ACGCGCTGCGCCCACAGCGGGTCCTGAACTGTGCTGGGGTCACTGGGCGTCCGAACGTCGACTGGTGCGAGGACCACCGGCGCGAGACCGTCCGCAGTAACGTACTGGGCGTGCTGAACCTGGCGGACTGCTGCGCGTCGCGCGGGATCCACCTCACCAACTTTGCTACCGGCTGTCTATACCACTACGACGACGGCGAGCACCGGCCGACGGCTGAGGGCGGCAGACCCTTCACGGAGGACGATCCGCCGAACTTTTTCGGTAGCTACTACAGTCGCACCAAGGCCATGGTGGAGGAGCTGCTGCGCAGCGCTTTTGACAATGTGCTCATCCTGCGACTGCGCATGCCCGTGAGCGACGACCTGTCGCCGCGCAGCTTTGTCACGAAAATCGCACGCTACGAAAAGGTTGTGAATATCCCCAACAGCATGACGGTTTTGACGGAGCTGCTGCTAGTGGCACTGGATATGAGCGAGCGCGGCCTTACGGGCGTGTACAACTTTACCAATCCGGGTAGCATCTCGCATAACGAGGTCCTGGAGCTTTACAGAAAATATATCGATCCAAAGTTCCAATGGAAGAACTTTACGCTCGAGGAGCAGGCAAAAATCCTCAAGGCCGGCCGCTCCAACTGCGAGCTCGACGTCCGCAAACTGCTGCGGGACAATCCCGGTGCCCAGATCCGCGAGGTCCACGCCGCCATGGAGGAGGTCTTTCGGCGCATGCAGGCGAAGGGTGTCAAGCCGCTGGCTGCGCCCTAGTATAGCACCGCAGGTGGCGTACTTTGCGGCAAAACGGTTACGCACCGAGTGACGGGTCGATGGCGTGCGCTCCCAGGGACGACTCGCTTTGCGTGCAGGGAAGCGACTGCGACTGCAGGCGCGCTAGCACAATCCTGCACTGGGCGAAAGGAACGGAAGCGTCATTGGCACCAGGGCACTTATTGCCGTGTAAGGCACCTTTCGACGCGGACCTCAAGGCTGACTGCGAGGCGTTCTGGAAAGACTTGCTCCGATAGGCTAGCTCCGCTGTGGCATCCGCTACAGGCGAAATCGGATACCGGGATGATCCAACTGCAGCGCCCTTCTAATAGTGATCCGTGTAAATGACGCAAGCTTCTGAAGAGAGTACATCAAAGTGGCGCAGGCATTTGTTCCTGGCGTTCATGTGTGCCTTCGAATGCAGCATCCAGGGGCCTGCAGGCATTGGCTGGACGACTGCCTGCTAGCAGCGGTCAGGATTACAGGGATCCAAGGGACTCGATACGTGCATACGTGCATTACTGCATTCGTGCATGCTTCCATACGTAAAAACGTGTGAATGCTGGTGAGCACTGCGCGAATATGTGCACGCGCGCACGCTGCAGCATGGGAACACAGCGTTCTCGCCACGCTCTGGCTGGGATGTCTGAGCGATGGGAACGTGCTGTCGATGCTGCCACATAAGCAGAGTCCGTCAAGGCCGACACGCTCGAGACAGCGCTCATGAATTGCATAGTGGAGCGGATTCACGTGCGCGAACACAGGAACGAACACACAAACAAGTCCTAGTGGCAAGGCGAGTTTCAACAGATCCCCGAAAGCGCCCACACTCCGTACCTGCCAGCAACATCACTGTCGGTCGCTATCGCGCTGCTGCCCACAGCGCGAATGATGCACACATATCTCCTTGGATTCATGCCGCCAGCCTCTGTGTTGATCCTTCTGCCCTACACCATGATGGAAGCGCGCGATCCACAGAGTGCGCGCGCAATCGCCGCCCGCCGCATCAGCGATGCGTGCGCGGTGGCGACGCTGCTGCCGCCATCATCGGTCGCATACCTGGGACACGTGTCTCGCTAGAGATGGATCCTGTTGAAACAGAAACGCGCGCCACGATCGTGGCGTTACCGCCTGTGCAGGCAGAGCGCGGAAGTAGCCGGTGCGTGTGGTTGTGTGTGTCCGAGTCGAAAGGCGCACGTTGGCAAAATAAATGTCCTCGCAGAGCACGGCGCTTTCGAACGGTGCCAAGTCGGTAACCGGTGGACAGCCCGACGGGAACTCGGACGCGCTGGTCGTCTACGGCGACCGTCTGCGCTTCGTGCCGCGGAATATCCTTGTGACTGGCGGTGCCGGCTTTATTGCCTCGCACGTTGTCGAACGGCTCGTGAGTCGATATCCCCATTACCGCGTGACGGTACTGGACAAGCTCGACTACTGCTCGTCGCTGAGCAACCTCGCGCAGGTGGCAAACCGACCAAACTTCAAGTTTATTCGCGGCGATATCCGCTCGCATGACCTGGTGCTCTACGTGCTCCAGGAGGAGTGCATCGATACAGTGCTCCACTTTGCGGCGTGCACGCACGTCGACAACTCGTTCACGTCCTCGATCCTGTTTACGGAGAACAACGTGCTGGGAACGCACGTCCTCCTGGAGTGCGCACGCCAGTACGGCAAAGTGCGGCGCTTCATTCACGTCAGCACCGATGAGGTGTACGGCGGCGAGAGCAACATGGAGACAGAGTCATCGATCCTGGCACCCACGAACCCGTACGCATGTAGCAAGGCCGCCGCCGAATTCATTTGCCGCGGCTACGTCAAGTCGTTCGGATTGCCGGTGATCATCACACGCGGCAACAACGTGTACGGGCCGCACCAGTTCCCCGACAAGCTCATTCCCAAGAGTATCTGTCTGCTGGCGCAACGCCGGCCCTGCTTTGTACACGGCTCTGGTGAGCATGCACGCAACTTTTTGTACGTCGAGGACGCGGCGAGCGCCTTTGACACCATCCTGCATTGTGGCGAGACCGATGAGGTCTACAATGTAGGCTCTGAGATCGAGAAACGCAACATTGACGTTGTGCACGACATTATCGATCTCTTCGGCCTGTCTGCCGAGGCGAACCGCCACATCGAGTTTGTCAAAGATCGCACCCTCAACGATATGCGCTACAGGATCGACTCGTCGAAGCTGCATGCGCTTGGCTGGAGGCCGCAGGTGTCCTGGGAAGAGGGCCTGCGCCGAACCAAGACCTGGTACTGTGATCCGAATAACCTGAAGCGCTGGCCGAATTATCTCAGTGGCCTCGTACCGCATCCGAGTCTCACCGAGGAGAAGCACTAGGACGGCATTCATCGCGTACGCATTGAGCATGCGGCAGGCGAGAATTCGAGCGACACTGCCGCTGGTCTGTGCATCGCAGACGGCGATCCGCAGAGCAGCGTGGCATAGGATCGCCAGCGGATGCGCCTTTTGTACATGTATGACGGTTCCAAGCGTGTCTCAGGTGCGCCTCTCTCGACAAGTCTGTAATACGAGGCGCTTTCGTGTCGCCTGCAACACAGGACGCATCTGAAGCGATGCGCACCGACGAAAGCGCGCATACTCTATCGACCGAGGGTCGTGGGCTTGCGACCTCATGATCTTGTGCCGGTTGCAGAGCGTATGTTACAACACACGACAGCAGCAGGGCAGTTGACGCAGCACAGGTTCGCGCGCGGCAGGTACAGCGAGCTCTGGGCGGCGTCGGTTGCACCGATACGCTCTGCGCTCGACGCGCTTCTGTTGCATAAACGTGTACTGAGGCTGTGCTCCAATAACCTGCAAGACGCCTATGTCCCATGCCACGCGGTTTGCAGAGGTATGCTTTCGTCGAGTTTGCGTCTGGAAGCGCGTTGTTACGGGTGCGGCGGGTGAAGCATTCGGCGTCAAGAACTAGCCGCACACCGGCACGCTGTGCTGTGTCAGAGCCGTCGCCAGCGTCACCGTCCAGTGGCGACCAGCCGACCCAGACAGTGCGTGTACGACCTGGTGAGCGGTCGCTGCGGCTGAATGCGCTACAGCGCTGGTTGCTCGGCCGACTGAGGCGAAGCCTCGAGCGCCTCTCCCCCGGCAACGTGCCCAACCTGCTTAGGAGCGCCGTCGCGCGGGCGCGTGGTGCCCCCGCGGACCCACCGCCCTTGGACGATGACTACCTCGACAGTGTGCTGCTCCCAGAGTCAGATGAGCGGCACTTTATATCGCCGGCACTCCGACGCGTCCTGCGCGACGCGCCTGCGCAGCCTGCCAAGGGCGTTTACACAAGCGACCCGTCGCGGACGTTCTGGGAGCAACTGATCCTCTGGGCAGGCGTGGTGCTCGTCGCTCTCGCCGTCCTGCGCGTCCTTTGGCTCTTTATCAGTGCTATCCTGGGAATTTCGCTGAGTCTCATCGTCATCGCCGTCGTCACCGTGTTCGTTTTCGTGGCGTTCACAGTACTCGGCTAGAGAATTGGGAACTATCAGGGAACCGTACCGCTCCCAAACACATCCACGGGCTCATCGCAGAGCTGCCGACGAAGCAGGTGCAGCTGCGTACGCAGCCGGTAACCCCGCGGCTCCGGCACCGTACGCGCAACCTGCGTCCAAGCAGCAAGCACCGTGCGAAGCTGTTGCAAGACATGCCGACGCATCGAATGTATCGCCGCGGCAATGTCGGGAACGACATTCCAATCCAGCAGGAGCAAGTGCATCGCATCCACCATCCACTCTAGATCACTCGCATCGGAAGCGCGTCCCGACGTGCGGCCGGCCTCATAGCGTGGCAGGCACAGCGCGCCAGCGACACGTGCAAGTAGCATAACCGACGCGTGCCCTGCATCCGCCTCGGACGCACCATCATCGATGCGGGCAACTGCAGACTCCAGTGCCTCAACCTGCAATTCAGTACGACGCGATACCCAGCTCTCCAGGAGACGCGCACATAGACACTTTTGAAGCCAACGCGAGCGCCCTCGTGGTGGAATCACCCAAATCAAGGCAACGAGCGCCGGCAGCCAGCATCGTGTCAAGTGATCGTGCCCACAGAGGCGGCAATGCGGCACGTCGTCGCGCACGCATCGGCACCAGCACGCAATCGCCGCATCAGTGGACACGCGATCCGCTGCGATGCCGATGACCTCTGCCAGCTGCGTGCGCCAATGACGTGCCATCGCTGCTTGGCATGTGTAGATCGCCAGCACGTCGTCGATAAACGCCAGGAGCTGCTCGTCATTCCATGCTGCGGCGCGCAGGTTGCGTTTCAGCAGGTGCCAGAACGGCTCGAGGGTGCTGCGTATCTGCGTTAGCGCAGGCTCCGCAGCCGGGTTTTGTGTCGTCACCGCGGCTGCTGCTGTCTCCAGCAGCTGGTGCACGAACGCGCCCGGAAGCGTCAGAACGCGCTTCAAGCGGTGAGCGTGGCGATAGGCTGGGCATAGGGTCGACACTCGTGAGCTCGAGGCGCGTTTCGAATGGACAGGCTCGTCCAGCGCGCACACATCGCACCAGCCCAGGAGGCCGAGAGGAGAACGCGCGAGGGCCATGCAACCCAAGCGTCGCAGCGTCACGTGCAGAGCGCCCATGGCTAGCATGTGTTGATCCCGGGGGGTATCACACATCTGCTGAGCGGCTCACTCAAACGGACGGTGACTTGACGTCCGAATTCTAATCATTCTAGCATGGCCCCATCTATGCTAGAAAACAAGTTCATCTGGTTCTAGCGAGCATGCTAAACTTCGATGCGCTTTTCACCTCTATCAATATCAAGCTTTGAGGCTCGTTCTGCAACCGCTTCGCTTTCTTCCCCCTCATTGTCGGTTTTGAGTACGCGAGTCTTTCGATTTCCATAGGCTCCTGCATATGGAGTCGGAGCAAGTAAAATCCAGGGTACCTGTCTGTTATCTCTGTCCCAGAGTAGCGCTGAGCGCAACGTATCGCAAGCTAGGGCGCCCACCCAATGAAACTGTGCTTGAAGGCGTTCTGTCAGGGAATGGCGCCCCTTGGTGGGAGCGGAGTGCACCTTTTTCCGAGATGCTGCAGAATATCTTTGGTACTCCGACGGGATACATCCCAAGGCGTAGCTGGTGCACATGAGCGTGCTGTGGCTTGTTTGATGAACAAGAAGTATATATAATATTTACGATTTATGCTTCGGTCATCTTTATTCTTCACGTTTCGCCGGAACTCGGCGATCCACAAATATACGAAGCCTACGAAACGAGCACCAACCCGCACGGCAATTTCAGTGACAGCGCTATCACCATCGAGCACCAGCTCGTAACGAGGACGACTTCAGGGATAGAAACGTGCATTCACTTCCATGAATCTGTTCTTCAAGGCCCCGCATGACGTGCTCAATCGCGGTTGACACACGAAGAAGAGCTTTGGTTATCTAGCAGGACTTTCCTCTGTTTTTTTATTTTCTTCGGATAGAAGCCTTCGATCGGGGTCTTTTCTGTGATCAAACAAGTACCGGAAGGCAATTCAAGTTTGAGAAAATGTACAGGAATTTCAATCTGCCCATATTCCTTTCGTGCAAATCGGCAATAAACGCCCCACACGTGGCCGTCGCTGTGAGTACTCGAGTCCGATTCCAGTATTCTTCGCCGAGCTGAATGAAAAGACGAGAGCCTCTGGAAGCCAATCCCGCGAGAATAATGATGCTTCTGTGGAATGCCGTTTCGCGTGTTGCCCCTCGGCGAAAAGGTATCGTTCTTCGAACGAGATCTGTTTTGTATCATAAAAGGTTAAACAAGCTTTCGGAATGAGCTGGTGAATTTTGCGCTAATATACGACATGGAAGTCCTATTCTTTGTCAATCAAACTGCACGGATTTTTGCAATAAGGAGTTCTTTCTGCATAAAAATCAAAAACTTGAAGAATGCGTCTGATTTGCAGACAACATCTAAGGAGACCAGAATTATGTACCCTTGTGTTGAGGAATTGGATAATTGTGAGGTTAGCTTTGTAGACCGTCGTCCGAAGATCCGCGATAATCATGATTCTGCAGATTCAACGGATTTCGGTGGGAAAGATTCGAAAGTGACGCACCAAACCGACCCCGGAGGAACCTCTTTCTACCAACGAATCTGCAATCAAATATTGTGGTGCATGCGTTGCGTAAACCGTATAGGTAGAAATTGGAAAACGGATCGAAAAGCAACAACAGAACGAGCAATTCAAAGTCTCATTGTTGTCGGACACGGGTCAAGTACTCTGTGACCGTGGCAATCGACGTCGTCCAAACCCGCGCGCACAAAGAATCTTGGATTCTGAAGGGAATGCTCTCAACTGGAGATAATTCTTATGTTATATTGAGCTCTGGCTCGCAGGCAGAGTACGTTGAGATTACGTCAGTCAATGTACAATTTACGAATAGGTAAATAAATACTACAAACCGAAGTCATCTATTCCGGTGTCGGCCGTTTCAGCGTCTGTCTGATCCTCTTGCGCTTCGCTCTCCGCGGCATGTCGTCGTTTCCGACGACGCACCGCGAATACAAGAAGCGCACAGCAACTAGACAGTAATAGAGTTCCAAGCACCACTATGATAACGATCACCCAGACAGGGAGCGGACTCGAGCTCGAAGTGACCAATCCGGCTATAGTTACTGTTCCATTCGGCGCTACACAGACTGGAGAGCCGTAAAACTTGGATAGTTCAGCGCTGAGTGTGCCATTTTTCAACGCTTCGCGAAGTTCCGATGCGATCTGCAAAGCCGTTGAACCATCGGCATCCCAGACGCTCGTCGTATTATAAAGTATCAGAGATTGCGCACTGCCAATGCAACTTACAAACTCGTCTGCGTCCAACCTGAAGTCCGACTCACGAATACTTGACTTAGTGATCTCACGCGTACTATTCACAATAAAACTCAGTGGAGTAATACCGAAGAGTACCTCCATGGCATGGCGAAGCGCGTCAGCCAACGCAGACTCAGAGGCAACACCCGTGAAAAACGCCTCATTCAGTATCAGATGTACAGGATTGCCGGTTGTAGTACTCGAAACAGACACACTAGAAGAAGCAGATGCACTCAAAGAACTGGAGAAAGAAACGGACGCGCTCACAGACGCACTTGCATATTGGCTAGATGTGACCGAGACCGACGCAGATGCTAATGCTGACGCGGAGGCAGTGATGCTGAGGCTGTGGCTGACGCTACTCTGCGATTGTTGCTAACAAGCCCGGCAGTTATATGTGGATCGCCTTTTTTGAGCCGTTTCAAGCCTAGAGTCTTGGTAGCTCCCGAAGCTTTCATTACCAGTCTCCCTCTTTCGGGATTGCATGGTTTCACTACCTGCCTTGCAGGCTGGCTTGAATAAGTACCTTCATGAGATCCCAGTTCGTCCGCGGCTCTTTCCGCAGGACTTTCACTCCGCTCGATTTCCGCGGCAGGCGATAACACGTTGAACCCCTGTCCATCGGGTAAAATACAATATTTCCCGTTTTCTACGTTAACGGGAATGCTGTTGCCTTTCAGCGAACCGTGGACACAGTCCATTCTTTTCCAGTGCGTTGGAACGTTCGAGAAACGCAACACTTCCCCGTGTCCCGCTACTTTCTTCCCCGGTATTTGAGACCGTCGCTCGAGTTCGGAGGATGGGCTAACGCATACTCCTGAAATGCCGCAGCTGTCAGATTCCCCGTCGACGCTCACCAGTTCTCTGTCCGTCACACGGCAGCGAGCGCAAGTTTCCCCATGGCAAACGACACTTCGCCATCCCCGCGCCCAAGAACCCTTTATGCGTCTGAACGAAGAACAATCATCCCATAGCTCATGGCGAGCAGTGGAACGTATTAAAGCCTCAGCTTCACCGTCCCTCACGGTTGTTGTTAAAAGCGTCTGCGAAAGTCTCGCAAGAAGGAACAGCACAAGCCCGAGAGCAAAAATATTCCATAATCGTTGCATATTCGACTGCATGATTGGCCTATTAAGTGGTATATGAAATCACATAAGTGCGTTTCCTAGCTATAGAAGACAGCGAGTGACTTCTATTCTCCAGTAGCGTCCAAAGTGACGAGACAACCAAAAGCCGCTTTCGTCCACTGCACAAGCAGAAAGCGCTCCGCACTCCCAAACACAACACGCCAGGAAAACGCTGGATCTTGACCTGTCCCTCCAAAAAGAGAGCAGACTGGTCCGAATAGACGAGGTTCCCTCCGTGAAAACTCTAACGCCCTGTCTAAACTGGATTGAAGCAGGAAAACGCCAAGGTCTGGAGAAGGCGTCAGTGAATAAACCGTCGCCGTCGTAACTTGGTATCCTTTCGATCGGTTGCATACCTGATTTACGCCACGTATTACGCATCGATGGTCGTCTGTTGATTTCGCGGGGCCGCTCGAGGGGACTGCTCGTGCGTCCCCGTTCGCGGGGTCTGGGTGCCCAGATCCCCGGGGCGGTACCCGCACCGGCGCGGGGACGCGTCCCCATCCGACGGGAACGGGCGTCGCGTATGCCCTACGTTTCGAATCGAATGGTGCAACGACGCGGAGGCGGTTCCATCCGCAGCCAATGAAACGCCGCCATGATCGCACGGCCGTGGTCTATGGAACGTTCTTCGTAACCAAAAAAGAGAAATCGTCGTGCGGAAAAAAACAAAAAAAAAAACAACAAAACAGACTAGTCGCAAACTATTTATGAAAGAACAACTATCTTAAAGACCCACACACCACGCGCGCCCATGGGGTCTAGTTTTTCCGAAGAAGCTCTGAAAGTGGGTTAAACCGGGGTGCTTGGGCGACGACGAAGCAAGCCCACGACACGGACCTTGACCGCAACGAACGGAGGGGCGGAGGCAGTGGCAGCAGATTATATTGACGAGAATTTTGAGTAGTTATCCGCTGCTCCCGAAACAACGCTGCAGGTTCGTGCACAAATCTTGGACCCATCCTCGAACTCGGGCTCAGGAGTACCTCCTACCATGGGTACCTGCCTAAACTTTGGAAACAGTCTCGGCGGATACTTTGGAAGACGGCTGGCGGTATGTTCGCGGTCGAAGCTGGAGTAAGCGACTTGCCCGCCTATGTGTTTGGGCAGCGGATACGTAGCCACTGAAAGGGTGGTTTGCAGACTGTTCCCAGTGGTTGAGGGGAGGTTAAAGCGTCGGGTAATATAAGGGTCGCATTCGAATCGACCTTGACTAACGTACTTCTGATTCTACGCCAGCGCTGCGGCAAGCACTCAATGAACGACTGGAATGCGGGAGGCGCTGGTGGCATGTGCGCTCACACACCCCGTGGAGGCTGCGTCTAAATCGACGTTCCACGCGAAAGGTCCAGCGAATCGGATGCGCACACGGGCTCAGTGCGCTTTCCGCGCCTACCAACTGTTGGGTGTCAAGCACAAACCCGCATTGCCAACCGACAACAACGCATTCCATGCATGGTCACGAAGGAGAGAGGCATCTCCTAGGATATATCCTAACAACCAAGTGTCTCCAGCGTGTCGTGCAGCGAAGGCAAGCCTCCATCCGCAGACTGTCCGAGCACAAAGAGACGACGAGACCCGATTCTACGGCGGGTGAACCACGCCTCGAGCCGACGCCCTCTGTGGTAATGCAACGCCGTTCTATCTCCGTGATGCATCTGCACCAATGGTAAGGACGCTACTGCGGACAATTAGGGCAGGCATCAGGCACAAGGTAGAACGAATGAAACGACCAGAATATACAAGAAGAGGTGCAGGCAATGTAACTTGGAAGTAGAGAGTTTCATGGATACCTCACCGCGCATTGGAAAAAACATACAAAAAAGAATGAAAAGGAAAAGCGTAAAATCGGAGAATGCTGGCACAAGTAAACGTATCGTCCATGAAAAAAAGAATCGCGCTCGGTGAGCGCTCCTCGGAGATCGGCCAGTCAACTGACAAGCTGCGCGTGGCGTTGTTGAAGGGAAACGCGATCCTGACCAGGAGCGTGCTGTTCTACCGGAAAAAAAGGTAGATTTCCGTTGATGTCATAACCAAGTACAGTTTTTCAATTCGTTTTTGTTTCAAACTTCAAACAAGTCTAGTCAAGTGTTTTTCGCAGTATATAACAGAAGGGTTCAAAGAGCGTTGTTTTTCAAAAAAAAACAAAAAAAGGAAAGCTATGAAAAAGCAAGTCCACGATCCCGGAGGCCCGGGGTCGCAGGCTGCCAGAAAAAAACAAAAAAACAGTGCCGAGTCCAGAAGAAAAGGAAGAGAGAAAGAAGAAGGACAGAAAGGGGGAGGTCCTACTTCGAAGGCGGCAAGAAAGACGGCTGTACGACGAGAAGGTGGTGAAAACCTTCCTTCTTGGACATATCAAGGATTCCTACAGGGAAAAGTTGCGAGACGCTATCGAAAAACGTGTCGACTCGCACACCAAGAGTATTGTGAAGGCGTCGTCAGGACTGATGCATTTAGCGAGGGAGATGTATCGCGACGTGACGCAAATGGAAACGGTCGAGATTCCGGACGATTTTTTCGACAAGACCTTTCTTCGTCAGCTGATGCTTGGGACAGGTGAATCGCGGAGGGAAACTCAGCTAGGGCATGCCCTCCACGAAAACTTCGCGGAATTCCACTTCGAGGGTAATCGATACAGGGGTGACTGGCGTATTTACAAATATAGGGCAATGAAGTACCTCACGAACCTGAAGAACTATTTGACAACGAACCTCGAACGTTTCGTGATACGCGCCGTGGTTGCACTCTACCCGGGCCTGTCTCGCAAAAGAATATGGGCCATCATCGATGGTATCACGAAAGATCGCAAGCATGAAGATGAGGTCGAATTTGTCGACAAGAAGGCGTCAAAAGTGAGAACGAATGAAGCTTCTCTGATCCGTGCGGCTATTCAAGAGCACCGTGCAGTCTTAGGGCTGGTGACTCCAACAGACAAGATATCAGAGTTGAAAAAAGATAAGGAAAGATACTATCGCCTCGTCCTGCGGTACCTCGTGTTTCTGGACCGATAGCTCGAACGCAAGGCGGAGATGAAGCTGAGAGGCGAAAAAATGAAGAGTGGGAGAGACGGAAGGCTGTCCTAATGGGTAAGCGCTTCAACGGCGTTCCAGTGTGCAACCTCAAGTCACATTTTGTGAGTATCGACTCCAGAGTCCTTGACGCCGCATGAAAGAGATCAGTCCCGAGTTCGATGTTAGCAGGGAGGAGTTCTCCGGCGAAAACCGGGAGACCCACTGGAAGAATATCTTCGATTTCAAACGTCTGAGAGTGAGCAAGCAAACGGTATTCACTGGTTTGATCGAAACCGATGGAGTAGCCTTGTGTGTACACTATCGGCGGTTGAAGAAAGATCGGCCAGTTCCGCCCTCGGCTGCGCCCGTGACGAAGGATGGAGAAAAGGAGGAGTCGGATCCTGCGATGCAGGAGGTGGAGGATAACGACTTTGTCGTTGACGTGGCGAAGGATGAAGATGAGAAGGAGGCGGATCCCACGACGCAGGAGGTGCAAGATAATGACCTTGTCGTCGACGCTGCGAGGCATGAAGATGAGAAGAAGGCGGATCCTGTGATGCAGGAGGTAGAGGATGACAACCTTGTCGTTGACGCGGCGGAGCATGAAGAAAACAAGAAGGCGGGTTCTGAGAAGCAGAAAGTGCAGGAAAACGACTTTGTCGTTGATGTGACGAAGCATGAAGTTGAGAAGGAGGCGGAACCTGCGACGTAGGAGGTGGAGGGTAACGACTTTATCGTTGACGCGGCGAAGAATGAAGAAAAGAAGGCGGCGGGTCCTGTGACGCAGAAAGTGCATGAGAATGACTTTGTCGTTGGCGCAGACCCTGGAAACACAAATATCATAACCATCGCTGCACCGAAGCGTGCGGAACTTGGTATTGACGGCAACTTGCGTCAGAAAGACATGCGTCTTTTGGGGTTCTCGAGAGCGAGATACTATCGAGAATCGGGAATGATGAATGCGAGGAAGAAAATTGAGACTTGGAATTCAGGAATGAAGGATCACCTGGAAGCCTTGAGCGAGGTCATGAGCCGGGGAGCGGACTTTCGGGCTTTTCGGGAATTCATGGAAGTTCGTGTTACCCATTGGGATGCGCTGTGGGAGGAGTATACCAAGCTCCGGTGGGCTCGTTTGCGTAAGAATCTATACGGTGGGAAACAGCGGGCGTTTGCCAACTTTTTCAGTCAGTTGAGTGCCTTGAAGGAGGATGAGAGTCAGAGGCTGGTAGTGGCATACGGAGCAGGGCGCTGGGCGCCCAAGAAAGGCACTGCGCCAGCTCCAACGACAAGATCATACAAGGAGTGCGCATGGCGTTTCGTCACGATACCTGTAGATGAGTTTCGAACGTCCTATACACACCATGAACTGGGGTGTACACTGCAGAGAGTGGAGATTGAAAAGTGTCAGCGGAGTCCTGAGGAAATAGCAAAGTACGGACCGCTGACGGAAGAGCAAATGGGAAGGAAGGCGAAAGTGCGAGGGCTACATGCACTAGGGAGTACAACTCACAACGGCAAGAAACGGATGGAATTCTTGAACCGAGACTTTAACGTCGCTATGAATATACGGAGATGTGCGGTGCTGGAGACGAGACCTCCAGCGTAGACATGAGAGAACTTTGCTGGACAGCCTCTGAAAGTTGAACTATATGAGAACAAGTTGTAAGCAGTAGTGGGTGGCCGGTCCAAAAAGTCTGGGAGGCGTCTACACGTCAGTTAAAGATTTTTTGTCGAGGGCGCGGTTGCCGCCACTACTTTTTCTGCCGACCGCAGCGCAATTAAAACTACTCTGTGTTTACAAAGCACCTACGATATTCAGCAGGTTTGCCCTTAAACGAAATTCATATGTGGACTGCTGCCTGGTACCGGGACTTTGGACGTCACGGTCTCCAGCGCGCAAGTCTAGCGAAGCACTTACCGTTGAGAACGCTCGTGCAGCGGTCCAGGTCACGCACGACAGGGACGCAGCGCTTGGTACGGCGCCTGTCAGATCTGCGTCTTGCTTCAGTTCCAAATCCTAGCTACCGGCAAGCACAGTCGACCACACGTATCGAAAGATACCGCTTATCACCCCTGCAGGCGGTTCGTTGTGGGGTAAGCCTTGTGAAGTACGCAACCGGCACTGCTCTCCGTAGTGCCTTTTTCCTGCTCTTTCGGTTTGCTATGTTGCAGCTAGTTGCGTCTGGAAGCCAATGGTCCTCGAACCTAAATACGCAGCAAGTCGTTTTCTTCTCACGAGACTGGAGGGCGCAGCTGGAGTTTGTGAACTTCTTCTTCGGGGAGCTTTCTCTGCTTGCGAGCAAGGAGTGGCGTCACATCCAGGCGGGAACGTATATCATGCCAGCAGTGCCCACACGCCACTCACTGGACCTTGTGCCCAGACTGGTGGATTTCATTCAGAACCTGGGCGACTCGATGAAACTACGAGAGGCGGGTATCGTCGACGCTGTTCCGGAGGCATTTCGTCTGAATTCCTTTTACCCTGAGTACTACAAACAAAACTTTCACTACCAAACGGACGGTTACCTCAGCGCTGAATCAGCGGCCCGATACGATTTTCAGGTCGAGGTCCTTTTCGGAGGTCTCGCAGACATGATGCGTCGACAAGCACTGGTCCCTCTACTGGGTTTCTTGCGCGCAGAGGTCTCAAAACGTACACCGAGTAGCAACGGCCATCCGACCCTGAGCGTCTTGAATGTGCCCTGCGGCCCGGGTGGCTTTCTCCTCGACCTCATGGATAACCTTGCTGCAGATGAGCGTTTGCGCAACGTGAAGGTGACCAGCTTGGACTTGAGTCCGTTTTATCTACAAAGAGCGCAGACTCGTGTGCAGGCACTCCCAGAGAGTACCCCGCGCAGAAACGCAGCGTTTGTCCATGCTAATGCAGAATCACTGCCTTTCCCCGATGCATCCTTTGACGCGATCGTCAGCATATACCTCTTTCACGAGTTACCGATGTCGGCACGCGAGCGCGTTATCGCCGAATGGACGCGCGTTCTGCGACCCGGTGGAAGAATCGTTTTCGCGGATTCCATCCAGACCGGGGACAATCCACGGATGGAAGCCGCCATGAATCGATTTCGAGTGAACTACCATGAACCGTACTACCTAGAATACATAGAAACCAACTTGCCCCAGCTTTTCAAGCAAGCCAGCGGCGGCCAGCTGTCCAATCGTGAGCAAGACATTTCGTTTCTTACAAAGGTTTGTGTGTTTGAAAAACAAGGTGGTATTTGATCCTCATTTCAGTGGTTTTTGTGAAGGTTTCCTGTGAAAGAATCTCAAGAATAAGTCCTTATGTCTTTCATAAAAAGAAGCAGTTGAGTGGTATTCTGCCCTACCAAATAGGCCGTCTGCATCGGTACAGCCCAGTCGCTGAACAGGCAACTGCGTCTATCCAGCAGCTACACCAGATTCGCCGGTCCACAGACCCTAAATGAACAAAGAGACTTGCTTTTCTAAGGATCTCGTTGAGAACACTGCACCATGGGGTAAAAAATGCACCCAAACTTGTTCCACAGACCACTTGGCGACCTCGCTGCCGCTGTCCTCAACCGAGAAGCCTCAGAACTCGCCGTGCATCCGCACCGGAAAGAAAACGCGGTCTACGTAACCGAATCCGTCGCTTTGCGCTCTTTCCAGAGAGAAGGTGCTGTCTTCCGGAGGCAGTATGACGCACAAGTCCCTCCTTCGAAACAAGGAAGCGCTTCACCGCGCCACTGTGACTCTTACCAGGCACTCCAGCGAACCAGCGGTTGTACTGCCAAGCAAACCCCAAAGCTGAGCTCCTATATAAGCACAAGCTTTTCAGCCAAAGAGATCCAGGGTGAAGCAAGACGGGTATCCGTAAAAAGTTCATGCGTTTGACCTGGGAACACGAATATTGTAACTAAAGTAGCACACGAGCGTGCGGCAGACATTTTTCGGACGACAAAACGTTTAGATTGACCATGCATCCCAGAATTCGGGACGGATAATGGCTTTCGGGAAAGCGTCCATCGTGAAGCACCTACCTTCAGGTTCCATTACCCATACTTCCTCTCGGATATACTTGTCGTTTCGTATGTTCTATCGTGCGCCAAGTGCCTGCAGTGAGCACCCGCCATAGCGCTTATATACCGCTGAAGCAGATGCTGCACGGAGACAGAACGGCTTTGCCATACCACTGAGGGCGTCGATTCGATGCTTGGTTCATCCGACACGGGATCGGAGTACTTAATCATTATGAAAGCCTGCGAAAGCGCGAACCGATCTACGAGGAGTTCACTGCGACCAGGGTGACGCCCAGACGCAGCATACGCGCTCCTTGTCCCAGAATGAATTGCGTTGCAGACGAGCTGCGCAGGTCTCGCCATACTACCTGCCACTGGAGAAAGCATGAAGCACTAGCCGCGCAGACTCGTCCGGCTCACTGGATCTTCCGCCTAGAAGGTAAACTTTCGAAGATACGGAAAATTTTCCCCATTTCAGTGCTTACTATCAAGGTAGAAAGAAACTGTTATCGAGTTGCCTGTCAGAGGTTAGTTTCTGTTCTTTTCTCTCTGGGAGAATGCTCGCTGCTCACGGGCGGACACAATTAGAGGGCAAGCCTGTGTGAGGAAGTTGGTAACGAGGGCAACTTATGTCAGAAAGACATGCGTGTTTTGAAGTTCTCGAGAGCGAGATATTACCGAGAATCGGAAATAATGAATGCGAGGAAACAAAGTGAGGTGTGCAACGCAGGAATGAGGGAGCATCTGAAAGCGATCCACCAAGTGACAAGCCGTGGGGCGGACTTTAAAGCTTTCCGGGAGTTCATGCAAGTTCGCGTGGCTCATGACGAGACGCTGTGAAAAGAGTATACCAAGCCCCGGTGGGCTGGTCTGCGTATGAGCTTGTATTGTGGGAAGCGGCGTGCATTCGCGAATTTTTTCAATGAGTTGAGCGCCCTAAAGGAGGATGAAAGTCAGAGGCTTGTAGTAGCGCACGGAGCAGGGCGCTGGAAGACTCAAAAAGGGACTACGCCAGCTCCAACGACACGAACGTTCAAGGAGTGCGCACGGCGTTTTGTTACGATACCGATAGATGAGTTTCGAACATCGTATACAAACCATGAACTGGGGTGCACACTTCAAAGGGTCGAGATGGAAAAGCGTCGGAGGAGCCCTGATGATATACGAAAGTACGGAGCGCTGACGGAAGAGCAAATGGAAAGGAGAGCGAAAGTTCGAGGACTAGGTGCACTAGTAAGTACAACTACCAACGGGAAGAAACGGATGGAGTTCGTGAACCGAGATTTTGACGCAGCAATCTATATAAGGAGATATGCGGTGATGGAAAGAAGACCTCCAGAGTTGAGAAGAGAGAACTTTGTGGGGCAACCTCTCAACGTGGAATTATATGAGAAAAAGTTGAAACCAGTAGTAGGTGGCCAGTCCAAAAAAATGCTGGGAGACGTCTGAACGTCAGTTGGAGACTTTTTGTCTAGGGCGCGTTTGCCACTACTGGACACTGCCGGCGACAACGTTTTTCTTTTGAAAGGCGTTTGTTGTCCCAGCCGTCGCTCCGAGTGACCTCCAGCAGCACCAGCTCGGAAACCTCGCTCTATTTTCGACGCTACTCTATCAAAATATTCTTATCACAAAATCGATCGTCTCCGAGGAAGTTGGGAAACGCAAAACGCTTCGCTAGAGTCGGGCTATCGTGGGGCGATAGTACCAGATGCGGCTTTTCCTACTGATTCTGAATCGGGCGCTTCAAGGTGCTTCGGCACTGCTTCCGTTGCGTCATTGGGGACACGACACCAAACGCCCGGGTCAGTTCTTGCTCTTCGCGCTTCACTCGTGCGCTGTTCAGTCCACAGATGACGCACCATCAACGACCTCTTCATTACTGCTCACTTTTTACAGCACTGAGCATGCTATCCAGAACTCTGCTGATGGTGTGCCCCGACTGGACCAACTCCGAAGGCTCGTGACTGGCGCTGACATGCAGCACTAGTGCGGGTGGCAGTCTCAGGTGCTCGGTCAAGACCTGGCCGGGCACAGATGCCCAGATTCCGTGGCGGATTAAGCGCTCTCGAGCTAGTACCCAGAAGCGTTCCGTCACGAGTTCTTCGAAAGCCCCGGCCTGGTACATGCCTGGGATGACCATCTCGTGCGCTGTGGCAGCTGCAGCCACCGCAGAGGCATGGTTGATTTGCCGAATAGCTGCATCGGTTACCATGGAGCCGAGCTCCTCCGTTGCTTCCGCGGAGATGGACGAGCCCGAATCCGATAGGCTGTCGGCGTCACCGTCCTCGTTCATCTCAGTTGAACGAAGCTGATCAGCACGATTCCGAAGTTGTTTTTCAGTTGCCTGCACCAGCTGGAGCACTCGGGCCAGAAGCGACTGCACTCCTCGGCTACTGAGCCGCAGATAGATCAGCGGCGATTCGTCAACGTTGCCTTCGACAAGCACATTCGCGGGTAGATGCTCTCGCAGTGTACGGCGCAACAAAGCGGCGTTTGAGCGCACGCGCTCAGACCGATTCGGCTCTTCGCACAACAGCTGGATACCGACACTTACTGCCTCCGCTAGGAACGGCGGCTGAGATGCACTGAAACAATACCCCGCACTGCTCAAACGTTGATGATCTACCACAGAAAGTTCGGCTCCGACACAGAATCCACCAACAGAGGCGAGCGAAAACGCCACATCGACGACAACGATGTCGACATCACGACCGAGCTGGAGACCGAAATGTTCGCAAGCACCTCGCCCGGTTGCACCAAGAACACCCATAGAGTGGCTTTCGTCCACAAATAGACGCAAGTTGCTGTGCCGACGCCTCACCGCAGCAAACTCGTCCAATCGAGCAACCATCCCTGTATTTTGATAAATGCCTTCAACGATGATGAACTGACGATGCAGAAGATTTGATCTGCTTTTCGGCTGTGTTGACTCAATGGCCACAATTTTGCGTTCCAGATCAGCGGGATCATTGTGGTGGAACCAAACAATCATTGCCCGGCTTAACTGCATGCCGTTCTGGAGAGCATAGTGTAAACATTCATCAGCGAAGATAATGTCGCCCTTTTTCGCAAAGGCATTAACAATACTAGTGGAGGTGGCTGACCCGAAACTGTAAAGAATGGCCTCATGTGTACCCATGAACTTTGCAATTTCGTACTCGCAGCGTAAATGGACATCCATCGTTCCATAAAAACCGCGAGGCCCGCAAGCACCGCAGCCATACTTGAGTAGTATGCGTCTGCATGCCTCTTCGATTCGTGGTTCCCTCTGGAAGCCCAAATAATTTGCAGACGCAAAGTTCAGACATCGTTTCAGGCCGTGGTCACCGATCTGGACGACACAGTACCCACCGGGCTCGTAGGCATGAACGGTGGGCGCCTCTAGCAGGTCAGATGTCTCGGTGTCTGCGAGTTCACCGCTGCCAAGGGCAATGGAAACACTCGTACGAACCAGACTTAGAGTCGCTTCGGTCGACGCGCCGTTACGTGGACTCAAAATTGCGGACTCAGTACTCGGAGGAACCAGCGCCTCGGGCGTCCATTCGTCGCAGAGCGCATCGATTTCCTCTTCCGTGAGATCATCCGCGCGCGATTTCAGAGCGAACCGTGCAGCCGCGCGACTCGGCGTGCCACGTTCGCGTCGCTGACCCGGTGCATACGCTTTTTGCAGAAAAAAATAGGCAAGAAGCAATGCAAGGCTAATTTCCAAAGCAACGTGAAAGAGAAGAAAGGATGTAACCTTTCCCCTGAGCTCGGAGAGAACCGATGAGAGCCATGTGGGAAGCTCCATCATCCAAGAGAGACCGGGCTAACTGAGAGGCTGCCTGAGCCCAAAAGCCTCGTCGTCGGGGGCCCGCCTGTGCACCGTGAAAGCAGCGCAGTCGTGCCACTAGCACAACCAAAGGCCGACTCGGCAACACGCGTCACGCAAAGACGCCACTGAAACTCTGAAGAAATGCCAATGCCTCTTCGCTATTTCTGTTTCCAGTGAAGAAACTAGAACGTTGTGTGCAACGTTGTGCCGCCACTACCAGTGAGACTCAGAGTTCCCGCCTCGCCATCCGAACCCTGAGACGCATCCAGACGTGTCAAGCCAGAAAACAGCGACGTAGTCATACTTTGTACTGAAAAGTGTCCTTTGAATCCACGCACCATCACCCGCCGCGTATCGGGTCTGAGCGCTAAAGTCTGACGGTGCTCGGCGCAACGGCAACAGATGCGTGGTCATGGCGCCGGGAGCGGCACGCCTAGTGGCGAGTCGTGCATCCGCTAATCTTGGTACCGAGCAAATGCCACTTATGAACGGGCGATCGAGTCGGTGACCACTGTAGGCCGCGCGAGCGCAGTGTTTCGGCAACAGCAGAGATAACCTCAGTTTTCAATCGGGGGATACGTGCCGGACAGGTTTGGTTGGGGTTGATTTGGGCAATTTTCGCAGAAAAGTTGGCAAGGAACACATTTCATCTGCGTGCGTTGCAGTAAACTGCAGATCGAGACAAGTCCATGCATCAGACGAGCTCTCCGGAAAGGAAAGCGATTGCAGGTAGAATCTCGTGTAGAACGATTCGCTGTGCATGCTGAGGCCGAGGACCCGCATTCGAGCCTGTGCAGGGTACGGTGCATATCGAGACGACGATCCTGTGCGGTGTGCTCCAGGACAAGTCGGTTTCCCGTGAAGACGTACGAGCGTGATACAGTTTTACCACTCACGCACAAGATCCTATTATTGGTTACTCCGCGAACAAATCCATACGAGACTCGGCGACCTGATCTCAGAGCCGTTTCTCATAGTGTGCAGGCAGCTAGAAATCGGCCATATATAGCGAGAGCGCAGCGAAACGGGAAATGGCCCCAGACAGGTACAATGGGTTGAGTATACGAGCTCGCTGCAGCGCAGCGTGGATCAAACGGATCTTGCGAGAAATAATATTCATGCCACAAATCGGAAGTACAATCCGTGAATATTAATATTAGACATGGGGCATAGCATGTGCAACAGATGATGCCAAGCGCCCAGAGTTCGGAATGCGCAAGCACGGCGTTTCGCTGGGTATCCAATGCATCGAAACCTCTGGTAGGATTCGTTTACAGATCGAATTGGCGTCAGGAAGCAGAGCGCTTGCCGCCCATCAGGCCGATTTGCGAGGCGTACGACGATGGATCTGCGGGTGCTGTGCCTCTCCTGGTTCGGGGCTCCCGTTCTACTCAGAGCAGCGAATTCTGGACAAGTGTACCATGATCCCATCTTGTTGTTGTTTGTTTTCTAGCAGGTATTGAACGCCGGCAGTGTAGAGGATTGGCGAGTGACCTGCCCCAGACGAAACGTCTCCAACTGACGTGCCGACGCCTCCGCGTCGATTTGGACCGGCCACCCACTACTGCTTTCAACTTCTTCTCATATAGTTCCACTTTGAGCGGTTATCCAACAAAGCCCTCTCGTGTCAACTCCGGGCGTCTTCGTTCCACCAGCGCATATCGCCTTAGATAGATAGCGGCGTCAAAGTCTCGGTTCACGAATTCCATCCGTTTCTTGCCATTGATTGCATACGCCAGTGCAAGCAATCCACGAACTTTTGCCCTCCTTTCCATTTGCTCCTCCGTCAGCGCTCGGTACTTTTTTATATTCTCAGGGCTCCGCTGACACTTTTCCATCTCCACTCTCTGAAGTGCACACCCCGGTTCGTGGTGTGTATACATTGTTCGGAACTCGTCTACAGGCATCGTAACAATACGCCGTGCGCACTCCTTGCACGCTCTCGTTGTTGGAGCTGGCGTAGTTCCTTTTTTGGACGCCCAGCGCCCTGCCGCATACGCTCCTACGAGCCTCTGACTCGCGTCCTATTTGAGGGCGCTCAACTCATTGAAAACGTTCGCGAATGCCCGCTGCCTCCCACAGTATAGATTCATTCGCAAACAATCACACCGGGGCTTGGTATACTCCTCCCACAGCGCATCCCAATGGGCAACATGAACTTCCATGAATTTCCGAAAAGCTCGAAAGTCCGCTCCCCGGCTCATGACCTCGCTCAAGGCTTCCAGGTGATCCTTCATTCCTGAATTCCAAGTCTCGATTTTCTTCCTTTTATCATTGTACCGGATTCGCGGTAGTATCTCGCTCGCGAGAATCTCAAGAGACGCATGTCTTTCTTACGTAAGTTACCGTCAGTACCGTCTTCCGCACGTCTGGGTGCAGCAATGGTGATGATATTCGTATTGCCAGGGTCCGCGCCAACGACAAAGTCGTTATCCTGCACTTTCTGCGTGGCAGGATCCGCCTCCTTCTTTTCTTTCTCCTTCGTCATGTCAACGACAAGGTCGTTATCCTCCACCTCCTGCGTCGCAAGACCCGCCTCCTTCTTTTCTTCATGCTTCGTCGTGCCAACGACAAGGTCGTCATCCTGCATTTTCTGTGTCAAAGGATCCGCCTCCTTCTCATCTTCATCCTTCGCCACGTCAACGACAAAGTCGTTATCCTCCACCTCCTGCATCGCAGGATCCGACTCCTCCTTTTCTCCATCCTTCGTCACGGGCGCAGCCGAGGGCGGAACTGGCCGATCTTTCTTCAACCGCCGATAGTGTACACACAAGGCTACTCCATCGGTTTCGATCAACCCAGTGAATACCGTTTGCTTGCTCACTCTCAGACGTTTGAAATCGAAGATATTCTTCCAGTGGGTCTCCCGGTTTTCGCCGGAGAACTCCTCCCTGCTAACATCGAACTCGGGACTGATCTCTTTCATGCGGCGTCAAGGACTCTGGAGTCGATACTCACAAAATGTGACTTGAGGTTGCACACTGGAACGCCGTTGAAGCGCTTCCCCATTAGGACAGCCTTCCGTCTCTCCCACTCTTCATTTTTTCGCCTCTCAGCTTCATCTCCGCCTTGCGTTCGAGTTCTAGATCCAAAAACAAGAAATAGCGCAGAATGTGGCGATACCATCTTTCCTTATCTTTTTTCAACTCTGATATCTTTTCTATTGGGTTCGCCAACCCCAGAACCGCACGGCGCTCTTGAATAGCCGCGCGGATTATAGAATCTTCATTCGTGCTCTCTTTTGACACCTTCTTGTCAACGAATTCGACCTCATTTTCACGCTTGCAATCGTTCGTGATGCCACTGATAATCACCCATTTTCCTTTGCGAGACAGGCCCGTGTAGAGCGCAAACACGGCGCGTATCATAAAACGTTCCAGGGTCATTGTAGAATGGTTCTTCAGATTCTTGAGGTATTTCATCGCTCCGTGTGTGTAAATATCCCGGTCACCCTTGTATCGAGTACCGTTGAAGCTCTAGAAGGGGTATGTTTTTGTGGAGGGCATGCACTAGCTCATTTTCCCGCCGCGCTTCCCCTGTACAAAGCGTCAGGCGTCGAATAAAGGTCATGTGGAAAAACCAGTCCGGAACCTCGCCTATTTTGATGTCCGTAACGTCATCGTACATCTCCCTCGCCGCATGCATCAGTTCTAAAAAAGCCTTACGAACAGTCCTGGATTACAATTCGACACTGTTTCTGATGGCCTCTTGCAACTTTTGCCTGCACGGATCCTTGATGTGGCGTAGAAAACAGGCTTTCATCATCCTCTCATCTTACTGGTGTCTCACTTCTAGCTCCTTCTCGCCATGCCATGCCGTACTCGTGCATGGAACAAGGCCCCCAGCGATTGTAGACGCTCCGAAAGCAGCATCGCGTGTTTCTAAGCATGTCAAGTTATGGCCTGGATCGCGTTTCCCAGCAACGGCGAGATGCGCGTTTTGTCCGGTTGTTGCCAGATCTCCAGGCGCCAAGAACAAGACACTTCGACGGACAGCGCATCGCAACGACGATTCCGCGCTCGATGCATCAACGGCGACGAGAACAGCAGCTGCGGCGGCGGCGGAGGCGGCGCGACGGCGACACAGCGCGATCGGCTCAGATGGTTAATACGAGCTGCAGGATCAATTCTGACAAGTTGAAGGGAACACTCTCTATCACCAATCACAGAGGCAAAACCCATAACAAGATAAAGTCTTAGTCAATGCAATATATATTGAAAGCACTCCTGTGCATACTCACGGTTATTGCCGTCGTAAGCAGTTGCAGCAACGGATTTCTGATCCCTCGGGCGGCCAGAGACGCAGCGGTGCGGGAGGACGGCGCACCACGGCAAGCTGCTTTCGCTGGATATCGCTGGCTCCCCGAAGAGGAGCACAGTCTTCAGCACCTGGTGGAACGTGGACAGGTCTATGTCACGCAGTCGAAACCCCAAGCCACAAAGACTGTCGAGCCTTTGGTAACACCGAAGGCCACCGCGCTAGCAATAGCTACAAAAAAGGCAACGAAGAAACCAGAAAAAGTGCAGAAGGTCAAGAAAACAGTCGTCGTGACAGCTCCCCCGAAAGTCATTGTCAAGCCGACCGAGGTCGTCGTGACAGTTACAGCGGTTGCTACGGTCACGAAGACACCGACGCCGACTCCCGTGCATGTCACAGTGACGGCTCTCGCAACTGAGGCTGTTACGGTGACCGCGTCCGTAGCAGTCGCAGCAGTATCAGTGACGCAAACACCCATACCGCAAAAAGTTATCTGCCGTTTTTGGATGAAAAATTGTAATATTCAGGAAATCAATCGGCAGATATGCTTCACGGGCGAGAACATTGACCAGTTTACGTGTGAACAGATTGGTTGCTGCTGGCAACCTATCAAGTCGCAGAAGGCGCCCACGTGCTATCGAGCGATCTGGGCTCCGGTCTGCAATCTCCAATGTAACTTTCAGGCCTATCTTACCGGCGGCCAGGGCGTCTCTGAGACGCCGCTCGTTAAAGCAACGAGCGCGAAGACGGACTCCACGAGCGATGCGCCGTCTGGCAGCTCGAATACAACCCAGACCAGCCAGTTGAGCAGTGGGAACGTGTTTTCTGGACTGCAGAATGCACTCAGCGGTCTTCCATCGTCATAGAGCATGTGAGGTGGAGCGCCGCCTGCTCGATGGATAGATCAGTGCACACAAGGCAATAGCGGGTAGGGATCCACAGGAGGCGACGGCTGGGCGCCACTTGCGGTGTGTTACCCCGGGCACCAGCAGATTGGGTAGTGACCTTTCCGTAAAACCAGCGTTTCGGAACAATCCAACCGACGCATTGGCATAATCTTTGGCTTTAGGACGTCTCGAATGAGGTTTAAATTTGTGTTTAGCAGTACCTTGGTACGAAATAAGCATGCATCCTCCGCGGACGAGTGCTCTCGTTCACGACTAGCTTGTTCGTTGAGTGGTATGGACGCATTTTTCGTCCAACTTTATAACTTTGCCTGCATTGCTCTTGAACCTGTCCTGCCTATTGAACTTCATGAAAGCAAGTTGCGTTACGAGCACAGCAACGCGGCGCTCGCACTGGCCCCGGTTCAGCGTTGCCGCTGGCAATAGAGCCGCACCATTGCGGGCAGGGTACGCGGCGCTGCGGCCCGCGTCACGATACCCACCGTTCTCCTCCGAAACGAAACACCGTCCAGGGACAGTACACGACGCTTCACGAACGTCTCCGCGAAAAGCGTCCCTGTGTGTGCAATCTTTCGACGATGAGTGCTCAGATCCTTGCCCGAGTTGCTCGATCGGTGCATGTGCTATCGAAATCAGGTCAATGGTGGTACCTCGAAGCCCTCGTACCGCAGCGTCACTTTCGGAGGTGCTTTGCTGCAGCGAGCGCAGAGCTTCCGCCTCACATCAAGCTCCGTATGCCGGCTCTATCACCGACGATGAAAGAGGGAAACCTGGTAAACTGGGTGAAAAAGGAGGGCGAACAGGTCTCGGCGGGCGACGTTCTTGCCGAAATTGAAACGGACAAGGCTACAGTGGAGTTTGAGTCTCAGGACGAAGGCATTCTGGCCAAGATTTTGGTGCCTGCTGGAACACAGAACGTTCCAGTGGGAACTCTTATTGCACTGCTGGCGGAAGAAGAAGCCGACGTTGCAAAACTTAGGGAAGCGCCTATTGAACCTGGAGAGAGCGAAGCGGCTTCTGTGAAGAAGCTGGAAACGCCGGCGCCGGAACAGCAGCCGGCTGAGGAAACCCCCCGAGCACCCGCAGAGGCGCGTACGGTTACCGCTCACGGGGGTGGCCCAGCTAAGCCTCGCACTGAGGCATCCAGAAACGAGACATCGAGTGCTCCCAGTCGAGCCACGCCTGAGCCAGACTCGCGTCGTGCGCAGGTAGACGCGAGTCGGCATGCCGCGGATTCGACGGCGGCTCAGCGGCTCAAGGCTTCACCGTATGCACGGAAGCTTGCAGAGGAAAGCGGTGTTGATCTGTCCAGGGTGCAGGGATCGGGGCCCGACGGCCGCATTGTGGCTGCTGACCTCGAAGCCGCGCTCCGAACAGCAACACGACAAACCGTGCAGCAGCTACCCCTGGATCTGTTCGTTGAATCGAAGCGTACGATTCCGCACTACCAACTCGTGTCTGAAGTTCGACTGGACAGCGCGCAAGCTTGGCTGACTGCGCTCCAGAAGAAGCAAGAGCGTTCCACGGACGATGCTCTCGAACTGGAGGATTTCCTTGTCAAAGCACTGGCGACGGCTGCGCAACGTGTACCGTCGGTGAATGCGTCCTTTATGGGATCGAGCATCCGCGAGTATGCAAATGTCAATGTGCTGGTGCTCCCGAGCGACCCGAATTCGATGTACCGCGTGATACCAAATGCGCAAGCGATCGGTCTACGGGAAATTCACCGCATACGAACTGGTGGAGGTTCGGAACAAACCCGCGAGAATGATGCCACCGATCTGGGCACCATCGGGTTTTCGCTGAATACCCACGTCTTACAAGAGATGGCAATCATTATCCCCCCGCATGCTGCGATAGTGGTCTTCGGGAAACCAGATCAACGTGTGATCGCCGGCTCAAATGGAACGTTCGAAATCGGGACCTTCGCCCTGGTGACGGCTTCTTTTGATCACCGCGTTGTCGATGGTGCTGTTGGCGCTCAGTTCATGGCGCATCTCGCGGAGTATACGCGAGATCCCCTGTCGATGCTCGAGTAGATCGTGCGGGGACTCGCACACGAGGACTACCACCCTCTCCACGGCATTCACAGCGGCGTATTCGCGCCTTGCATGGGTTCAGAGTGCCAGCTGCCGGGGCCGGTGTACATGATCCGATCCTAGGCGAAGTACTCGGCCATCGGTACATCACGATGAACCGGTCGAGTGCGAGCTGCGCGGCTATGTCCATCGAAGGCACGGTGGCAAGCAGGTGTTCTCACGGTGTCGATTCGAGGCGTCAAAAGAGCTGCGCTCGGGTGTGCGAGTGCTGCCTTTACTCACGGAAGGGATGAACGCTATCTCCAATTGTGGCCACGTTCAAGAAAAAAACTCCACGGCAGTGTTCACGTCATGACTGCAAAAAAGATCGATTCAGCGGGTTTGGGGGTGCTGGTCACGAAGGATCGGCGCTGGGTACAGTACGCGCGGGGCATATTGCTGGAGATCTGCTCAAAGGCCGATTGGTATCCAGCCCCAAGAAGATGGTGCATGTGTGCGCATAGCGCGTCCGCTGCGTGTCGCTACGCGGATTCACGACGGATAGCTGAACAAGCCCAGTGCTACTCTTATATTAGATCTCTATCTCTGGTGGTGTTGGAAGTGTGCATTGAAAGTTCGACCCGTCGCCACGCTGATCGATATACCGAGTCTGTAGCTAGAGCTCGCATGCCGAAGGGTCGCCAGATCCCGGAAAATGCCCCGGAAACCGCGGAATCAATACAGAATGAGGTAGGCGACCATCAGGCACTGCTGCTTTATCCTGCCGAACACGGACGATGTTCGCGCGAGACGGCATGCTGCAACAAGTAATCTGGTATGGTTCGCAGCGTACCGGATTGGATTCTGGATTCATAGCATGAGCGACGCCGGCTGCCGCGGTACTCGGGGGAACAACGCGTACCACGCGGTGCCACAGGTTCCCAAAGCGCTCATTCATCCGCGAGCATTGATTTACAGTGTGGTATCGAATGCGTGAACGCGGAGGTCTTTTCGACGATCGCGCTGCGCAGCCGCTTCGATAAAGGACGCCCAGGTGTCCACCATTCGTAAAGCGTCCTGCAGAACGACGCCCAAAGAATCGGGCGGAAGCACTTTGTCTCCGTGCCCGATAAAACCGGTAATACAAAGCGCTGTGTCCATGCCCGCTGCTCGCAATTTGGCGTACAAAAGCTCGGCTTCCGATACCGGGACGACTTCGTCAAATTTTCCGTGCACGAGAACAACTCGACTACAACGCAAATCGTGGACATACTCGACTGGACTCAGGATGCGCATCAGATGCGCGGTCTCCGCCATGACGCGCTCGGCGATGTGCATCCGGTACGGGACGTCATTCTGGAGGCGCCAGTACGTGGACGCCACCTCTGCATCGACCTGTGCGAGGTATCCGGGGAGCGCCTCGGCAGCAGTGCCCCTTCGCAAAAAGTGATTGTCATGAATAGCTAAATAGAAAGCATGTTTCAGGGCATCGTTCGGACCCAGAGCGTATTCCACAAAGTTATAGAACATGACGTTGCGCCCGTAATCGTCCGCATCGGGCGGAAGCTTGAGGATTTCCTCGCTCACCGTGGCGGTGCTCGCGAAACCGCCCACAATGCAGATAGCTTTAATCCTGTCTCGGATGCTCGGACGCGTCGCAGCAATCAAGGACATGGCACCGCTTATGGACGCGCCAAAGAGACTCAGTCGACCATCGGGGCAGAGTTCACGCTGCCGTGTCAGGTTCAGAACGAGCTGCTCGATCTGGTCGACTCCCGATGGCTGTACGAGCAGCTGTTCCAATGCCGGAACGTTCGGCATAAACACATCGAAGCCAATAGCCGCGAACGCCTTGGCGACGTGTTCCAGACGAGGGTCGAATGCGCCTCGCGGATTAATGCCGTGGACGACAACCAGCGTACCACGCGTGCTTTTCAAGCGCCGGAACCGTCGGACGAGGCTATTCAGCTGGAGCTTCGTCTCCACGACCTGAGGAAAGCGCTCGAGCGCGAGGCGTGCAAACAGTTCTGCGGATAACAGACGCGCAGACCAGTCCTGCCAGAGGCGCCTCGTAGCTTGTGGCAACGGCACCAGGCGCGTGCTTGCAGACCTCAGTGATAGTGCGCGAAGACGCGGCGCTTGTACTGGAGGTCTTTGTGGTTTGCCCGCACACCAAGCGCTCCGGCGCTTTCGGCGTAAATTTGGCACCGCTGGTACAAACATGAAGCTTTTCCCTGCAGACCAATACCGACAATACCGTCTCAAACAACGAAATTAACGTCCAGGGGCATTTGTATACTATAGAGCGTGAATGCCCTATGTGCTGATTGCGCGATCGAGGGCGCGCGCACGATACGAACGGATTCGGGAGCGCGCCGCATCCGGGCTCGTCCAGTCAGGGATATTCTGTGGCGCAGCGCGTGGGTATATTTTATACATATATGTTCTAATAGGATCATAGAGGCCTACTTGGCGAACTTGGGTGTCCACGCTCAGAACTTGGTCTCTTCGGAATCGTATGCAGTCCAGCTTTTGCAAATGCTTCGGCTTCCCCGTGCTCAAAATTCGTTTTTTAAATACGCTGAGCTATTGGTCTAGACCAGTTGTCAATTGTCGAAGGAGGCTACTGGTAACGCTAGCATCCAGAGTTCGGAACTATCGGCCGCTCGTGAAATACGTGACCAACAACAGCGGGAAGCATCTGAGCCCGGACTTTAGCCCAGCCAACAACATCCTTCGCCCATTGACAATGAAGGTCGAGAGCAGGCGAAGAATGGCGTGTTCAAAGCCGAGGATAATTGAGAGGGTATGGAAGCAGTCGCAGAAAATGCCCGCAAAGGCTGGTGTTGATGTATTCTGGGAGCGAGCCAGGCTGCAGGCTTCTCACTCGAGTTACCCATGCATACTCCTTGGATTATAGCCTATCATGGGTGTAACCTTGCGCACCCGTGCGGCATATCGCGCGTTCCGCCTCGAGCGCAACATTCTATAGAGAAGCACGTCAGCACATGCGCCATGGATGCCAGGTCGCGCAGTGGGGCGTGCGCGCCCGCCCCTGTGTCGCTCTTGCCGGCCAGCAGCATGTCCCAGGGTGACGCGCTCAGGCAAGCGGGCATCCCTGGAAAGCGACTAGGCACGGTTATCGCCGAGACATGCAGCTCACACCTCGAGCAGGCAGCACATAGACTAGATTCAGGACTAACCTTTAAAAAATAGTCGTTCCTTCAATATCCTCGCTGGCAACGAATCTCGAGCTGCAAATCTCCGCCAATAGCCCGATTCTTCTCATCCAATGGTCAAAAGATCCGCCGAGACACAAACCTGGTACTGCTGTGACGAAGTAAGACATGATCAACATGGAAACTGCCTGGCTGCCGCCAGGCAGCCATCTTAGACACTCTTTCCACCCCGCTGGAGCTCCTCGTTGCGGAAACGTACCAACCAGCCCGGCTGATAATTCTTACCGCGGCCAGTCCAACGCTCGAACCGCGAGAGATGCTTCGGATTGATGCCCTCGCCGCCATACTCATTCAGCCGACCACTAATGAGAAGCTCCCACTGTAAATCATACTCGTACAGCGAAAGGTTCGTCGTGTCCGGCAGAAAGACCCAGGTGAACACGGCGCCAAAAACACAGAGTGCGGCATTCACCCAGAACACTGTCCTGATATCGTTCGTGGTCTTTGTTTTGAACGCTGCAGTCGAGATGAGGGCACCGGCCTTACCGCTGAATGACGACATGCCGTGACACGTGCTGCGAATAACAGTCGGATACAGCTCTGCCGACACAATATAGGTCGTCACGTTTGGGCCCATCTGCGTGAAGAGGCTCGTCATGATGTAGCAGAAGAGCAGCGCGCGCGGAGAGTGCTCTTGCATTTGGACGTAGGCACCGGCCGTGATGAAGAAGAACACCGCCTCCCAGAAGAATCCAAAGATCTGAAGGCGAACGCGGCCGCACCACTTGCGATCGATGATGAAAGCAGAAATGAAGTATCCAATGAGCGCAACCGTATTCTTCAGCAGGATATAGCCGTTGATGACGATGAGATTCTTGTCGGGAACTAACGCGGTGAAAATGGGTCCCGAGTAGAGTCCGTTTCCATAGAAGGAAATATCATTGATGAACCATCCCAAGCATGTCGCCAGTAAACGAGACCAATAGAACCTAAAGATGTAGCCGAAATGACGTCTCATGCGTCCAGTTACGGAAAGGCCCTCTGCGCTCTCGTTCGTGTCACGCCGCCGCTTGGCACTCAAATAGATCTCGTTTTCACGAAGGATCAGGAAACGATATAGGAGTATGAGCAGAATCAGAAATGCTCCAATCCCGTAGTATGATCGCCAAACGTAGCCCAGTGCCTGGGTGGAATACCCCGCGCAGTTGTTCACATTGGTCGCAATCAAGGCCGTATCCGTGTTTGGCGAGGTCTGCTTCGAGATCGCAAACTCGATCAAAAGGAGCACGCTGCCAAACACGATACCCACGCCCTGCATGGCGAACGCCAGCGCTATCGTTTCTCCGCGACGCGCGGTGCGGGCTCGCTCGTCAGCACGTGCACGCTGGCGTGCAAGCGCGTCTGTGAAGTAGATCGTTGACTCGCCCTCGCCACCCGTCTCCTGCATGATGCGTGTCGCGCGCTTCTCCGATGCAACTGACGCGGTCAACGGGTACTCGCCGCCGATGCCGAAGCCAGTAAGCGCGTAGAAAATTGCAAATAGAACGAATATCGTATCCGCACTCTCCGAAATTGAGAAAGTAATGATGATCGCGCTGATAAAATACGTCGAAACCGTGAACAGCATCGAAAAGCGACGACCGATTCGATCGCCTAGCAGGCCAAAGAACAGCATACCGACAATTAACCCGGCGAATATTGAATACGTATTTGCCTTTTGGGTTCCTTTCGTGCAGCTAGACGCTGCAAGTCCTTGGCAGGTCGTCCCTGATATGGGTTTTGTGCCAAAACAGGTCGGATACGCATTCGTCCAGGCTGTCTTCACCTGGCCCGTGTTGACTGTAAAGTATCCCTCGATAAAGATACCAATGCCTGTGAACAAAGAAGCAGCCAAGTACTGGATAAAACCGGAAATACCGTTCTCCGACCGTGGTGGAATATCTTTCGGGGTCGAGGCGATGGGTTTTCCGGTGTCGTCTGTTTCCATGTCAGTGTCGTACGCCAAGATCACGCCGGATCCGAACATGATTGGTGCGTACGCTGCAGACTCGCGGAAACTGGTACGCACAGCCGTAGCGTACTGCTGCCGCTCCTCCTCAGCCACGCCGTATTCTTCAGCATCAGCCATTTTATCCGCGGTGCACTGCGTTCGGAACACACACGAGCTAGAGAAACGTGATCCGCCAAGCGTGCAAAGTTAATCGACGCCACGAGCCTGCGCAGCGACGTTGCAAATAAGGCTTTTCGACTAAAAACAAAAACAGGAAACGTATTATACAAGATATAGAAAAACAGAAGCCGACGGAGGGTGCACCGTCGACGTACCGAGCTCAAGATTCCAGCGCACGATCGCATCTCGCGAATCTTGTCACCACCGCCTATCTAAAGACGCGTCGCCGGCGGTGCGCAGTACTGGTGGCGAACGCGCCTTAGACAAATCGTCTCCAACTGACGTGCCGACGCCTCCGCGTCTATTTGGACCGGCCACCCACTACTGCTTTCAACTTCTTCTCATATAGTTCCACTTTGAGCGGTTATCCAACAAAGCCCTCTCGTGTCAACTCCGGGCGTCTTCGTTCCACCAGCGCATATCGCCTTAGATAGATAGCGGCGTCAAAGTCTCGGTTCACGAATTCCATCCGTCTCTTGCCATTGATTGTATACGCCAGTGCAAGCAATCCACGAACTTTTGCCCTCCTTTCCATTTGCTCCTCCGTCAGCGCTCGGTACTTTTTTATATTCTCAGGGCTCCGCTGACACTTTTCCATCTCCACTCTCTGAAGTGCACACCCCGGTTCGTGGTGTGTATACATTGTTCGGAACTCGTCTACAGGCATCGTAACAATACGCCGTGCGCACTCCTTGCACGCTCTCTTTGTTGGAGATGGCGTCATTCCTTTTTTGGACGCCAAGCGCCCTGCCGCATACGCTCCTACGAGCCTCTGACTCGCGTCCTATTTGAGGGCGCTCAACTCATTGAAAACGTTCGCGAATGCCCGCTGCCTCCCACAGTATAGATTCATTCGCAAACAATCACACCGGGGCTTGGTATACTCCTCCCACAGCGCATCCCAATGGGCAACATGAACTTCCATGAATTTCCGAAAAGCTCGAAAGTCCGCTCCCCGGCTCATGACCTCGCTCAAGGCTTCCAGGTGATCTTTCATTCCTGAATTCCAAGTCTCGATTTTCTTCCTTTTATCATTATACCGGATTCGCGGTAGTATCTCGCTCTCGAGAATCTCAAGAGACGCATGTCTTTCTTACGTAAGTTACCGTCAGTACCGTCTTCCGCACGTCTGGGTGCAGCAATGGTGATGATCTTCGTATTGCCAGGGTCCGCGCCAACGACAAAGTCGTTATCCTGCACTTTCTGCGTGGCAGGATCCGCCTCCTTCTTTTCTTCCTCCTTCGTCATGTCAACGACAAGGTCGTTATCCTCCACCTCCTGCGTCGCAAGACCCGCCTCCTTCTCATCTTCCTGCTTCGACGCGCCATCGACAAGGTCGTTATGCTGCACTTTCTGTTCTGTGTGGCAGGATCCTCCTCAATGTTTTCTTCATCCTTCGTCACGGACGCAGCCGAGGGATGGACTGGCCGATCTTTCTTCAACCGCCGATAGTGTATACACAAGGCTACTCCATCGGTTTCGATCAACCCAGTGAATACCGTTTGCTTGCTCACTCTCAGACGTTTGGAATCGAAGATATTCTTCCAGTGGGTCTCCAGGTTTTCGCCGGTGAAGTCCTCCCTGCTAACATCGAACTCGGGACTGATCTCTTTCATGCGGCGTCAAGGACTCTGGAGTCGATACTCACAAAATGTGACTTGAGGTTGCACATTGGAACGCCGTTGAAGCGCTTCCCCATTAGGAAATCCTTCCGTCTCTCCCACTCTTCATTTGCCTCTTCACTCAGCTTCATTTCTGCCTTGCGTTCGAGCTCTCGGTCCAGAAACGCGAGGTACCGCAGGACGAGGCGATAGTATCTTTCCTTATCTTCTTTCAACTCTGATATCTTGTCTGTCGAATCCGCCAACCCCAGAACCGCAGGGCGCTCTTGAATAGCCGCGCGGATTACAGAATCTTCATTCGTGCTCTCGTTTGACGACCTCTTGTCAAAGAATTCAATCTTATCTTCATGCTTACGATGGTTCGTGATGCCGTTGATAATCGCCCATAGCCACTTGCAAGAGATACCCTGGGTACAGTGCAAACACGGCACGTATCATAAAACGCTCCAGGTTCACGATCATATGATTCTTCAGATTCGTGATGTGCGTACTCGGCCTGTCACAATTTACTCTGGCATTAAGAGCGGGCGGCCTGCGTCATGGCGTCGCCCTGGTCCTAACAGACTCCTAGCACGTCGCTTCACGCTGTTGCAGGCAGCAGATCTGGCTGCCCAGTTGTCAGGCTCCCAGAATGATTACGTATTCCGACTCCGTATCAGGTGAAACCTTCCTCGATACGACGCCCTCAGTGGTATCGCAAAGCCGTTCTGTGTCCGTTCAGCATTGGCATCAGCGCTACAGGCGCTTTCGCTGGAGCTCAAATCAGACACTCGGGGCACAACAGGACGTACAAAACTACCGGTGTATCCAAAATGATGCATTAGTAATGGGCTTTGATGGTAGATGCGTCATGATGGACGCTTTTTCGACTACCAATATCCATCTCGCCGGCTGAGATCCCCGGTCAATGTAAACGAATTTCGCCATCGAAAGAGAATCGATCGCAGCGCCCTGCGGATGCCGCCCCCCTCCCCTGCGAAATAACATCCAGACAAACATTACGTCTTTTCCCTTCAAAGGGAACACTGGTCCAAGATGCCGACCCTATGCTGATCGCAGAGCAAGCGTCGAAGGTCTTTGCATATGACACTCGCGCCGTGGGCTAGTGCGGCGCTTTATACGCTCACTTCTCTGCTAGGAGTGATTGTTAACAAGGCAGTTTTCTCGTCTTTTGACTTCGCGTACCCACTGGTAATCCTGCTGGCCCAGCTCGTTGTCACGAGCACAGCGTTACTACTCGTGTGGCGCAGATTTCCACCACTACCCGCAAACTGGGTCCCGTTGCTTCTCGTGGCAGCAACTTTCGTTCTGAACGTCTTCACCGGCCTCGTGGCGCTCGAGACTGCGAACCTGCCCATGTTCAGCGCGTTCCGTCGCCTCTCCGCTGTGGCAGTCATGATATTCGAGGCCATCTTCTTGGGCCGGCGAGAGACGGCTGCGGTAGAAAAGGCAGTCGCTGTGATGACGGTTGGGTCGGTGCTGGCGGCGATCGGAGAGATCAACGCCGACTGGCTAGGTTACAGCTACGTGATACTCAACAACTGCGCCACGGCCCTGTACCTGGTGGCGCTGAAACGTGCAACCCCGCGGCTGGGGCGTCGGCAACTGGACAGTCTGGTGATCACCTTCTACACCAACCTGTTCGCGATTCCAATGGCGCTGGTCGCTGCCTGGTTTCTGGAGATGCGGCGCACTGCCGATGCACCCAGTGCCCTGGACGCCCTGGCAACACAGCTGGAACGACGCGGTTTGGCGTTCGCCGCTGCACTGCTCTTGTCCTCGGCGTCGGCGCTGGCGGTGAACGTTACGACACTCTGGTGCACCGCAACGAATACGCCACTGGTGACAGCGATCGCCGGTCAGACCAAGAACCTTCTCCAAACCGCATTAGGTTTTATCCTGTGGGAATATCACTTTACGGCTTTGAACGCTTTCGGATTAGCGCTCGCCGCTATCGGTTCCACGATGTTCGTCCATGCCAAGTTCATGAAAACACCGAAACCTTTCCAGAATACGTAACGCCGGCCCCACCGAACGCCTTCAAGTGCATATGATACGCCCAATAGCTGCGCCACATCATTTCAGAGAACGTGTAGCCCTCGTAGGAGCCCTGGTAGACCTCGGCGATACGCTTCAGAACTTGCCTCACTGAGATGCAACCGAGATCAAGTGCCGATTTCAGGACGAGGCTCAGCTCGGCATGATCCGAGCGCGCTAGACGCTCAGTGACCGATTCGTTGCGCTGTCGCACGATAGCCTGCAGTGTGCGCGTCGCCTCGGCCTCGCTGGGGCATCGGTGTGTCCCGTGCTCCATACCTGTTCCGATTTGTCGCCAGCTGTCAGCCGCCAGCGCGCAGAGTGCCTCGGGGCAACTAAGGCGCTCGGGAGCAGGCTCCAGCTTAATGGAGACTTCTTTCCCTGTGCGTCTCTGACGGATGGTGCCCGCTACCGCTAGGAAGGACACGTTGCGCTTGCCGGCCTGGGCGGAAAGCTCCTGCACCATACCTTCGTCGAGGAGCGTGTTGCCTGCCCAGTAACCCTGGAGAGTCAACGCTAGCTCGTTTGCCTGTTCGACTGCTTCAACCATCGCTCGCTCGGCAAGGGCCCCGTCCCAGTTGACTGCGTGATTGAAAACGATGCGATCAATCTGGATCTGGAACTCGTTCCGCAGACGGGAAAGTAACGCCACCAGAGCGGCTCCACCGCCTTCGGGAATGACCAACAATTCGCTGCCTAATGCAACAAGTCTTTCGCGAAGGTCACGCAGCGCACAACGCGTCTCGCACGAGCGCACACTGCCGGTGTACACCGCAAGCAGCAAACCGCCACGTGCACGGTCCCGAGTCGCTCGCGCGGCTTCCGCTAAAGCAACGTTATCCGTAACGCGCTGGTCCTGATTCACCCACCAGATAACGCGAGCGTTGCCGGCACCACTGCCGACTTGGGGAAGAGGTGCGAAACTCGGTGGTGCAACCTGTAGCCAGTCCCGCAGCCGCAGCGCCGGGTCGCCGCCCGTGCGAACACCACTCGTTGTCGCCGTGCAGCCGCTCGACGCTACCAGCTGAAACCAGTCTAGCGGCAAACGGCGGCTTACGGCAACGTCCGCACGCCTGCGACCGCCACGAGCCTTGTGCGGCCTGAAGCGAGTGCGTGTCGGGGTGTCGTTCCCGTGCGCTCCCAAGCAGGGCGTCGTCAGACGCGCCCCAGTGCTTGCACCCACAAAAGTCAGTTGTAGTTTGCTGATTGAGCAAGTAAGAAACATCCTATCGTGTGTGAAGCCGCCTTGAATTCGTAACACCTGTAGACGTCAACACTGAGCACTGCACCGTACTGCACTGCACCGCACCGCACCGGCACAAACGTGTTGCGAGCGCTGGTCCACGAGAAGCCCAGAGAATGCGAGTCGCCACCACGAGCTCTCCGCCGATGCTGCCCACTGGCGCATGCAGATCAACTGGATCGATCGCCAAGTGGCGGTGCCTCCAGCAGTGCGGCATGGCTGCGGCGCGATGCGCGCATCGATGCTCCTCAGCGGCGCGCGCACGTACATGTGCGCACCGCAAGCGCTGGTATCTGGCGCTGGGTGCCTCGCATATACCCCGGGTACGGGGCCGGCGCCGCTGCACAGCACAGTAGCGAGCTGCGGCGGCTGCGGCGGCTGCGGCGGCTGCCATCGCCGGCGAGCGCTTGCCCCGCCTCCCGCAGTCGGAGCGTGCGCCTCGCGATCCGCCGTAGCGGTAGCGATCGGACTCGTGAGGCACGTTGTTGTTGTGCAGCTCGTCCAGTGTCTGCAGTGCAGTTGTGCAAGTATCATGTCGTTCGCGCTACCCAGTCTGCTTTATGACTATGCGGCCTTGGAGCCACATATTGATGCGTTGACGATGCAGATTCACCACACGAAGCATCATGGCACGTACATCAACAACTTGAACGGAGCTATCCAGGGTGAGCACGGCGGCTCGCTGAAAGGTCTCTCCCTGGAGGCCATCTGCCGGAACGTGAATTCGGCTCCAGAGGCAGTCCGGACTACGGTCCGTAACAACAGTGGCGGGCACTGGAACCACACCTTCTTCTGGACTATTATGGCACCAAGCGGCACAGCGGCGTCGGCGCCCAGCGGGGCACTCAAGAACGCCATCGAGTCGCAGTTTGGGAGCGTGGATTCATTCAAGGATCAGTTCAACAAGGCGGCTGCAGGACGTTTTGGATCCGGATGGGCCTGGCTCTGCATGAACCAGAATAAGCAGTTGTTCATCACGAGCACCCCGAACCAGGACAACCCGCTCATGAGCGGTATTGCGGAGAAACCCGGCTTGCCTATCCTGGGTCTCGATGTCTGGGAACACGCCTATTACCTCAAGTACCAGAACCGTCGACCGGAATACATCGCTGCTTGGTGGAACGTTGTGAACTGGGACACTGTAGCCAAGTACTATGACGAAGCGTCTTCCGGGAAAGCGCCGGTACTCGATGTGCCTCTGCAGTGACTAGACAGCGTCACATCTTACCCTATGGCGTTCCGTGGGCGTCTTTAGGTCTGATAAGGAATGTCTTAAAAGGAATGCGTATTGGTCGTTTGGTCCATGCGTCTCCAGAAGCAGGTTATTCGCCCGAAGTACCAGCAGCGCTTCGTTTTCAGCGCAGCAGCAGCAGCAGAAGCAGAAGCAGAAGCAGAAGCACTGCAGTGCTGCACATTTGCGCGGCGCCGAAGGATCACCTGCAAACACGCTCGTTTCGTCAAGGCGTTCAGCATCTAGGTACTGCCGCAGCGACAACGTCATACGAACAGGTGTTTGGTGTGCTGCACATTTGCGCGGCGCCGAAGGATCACCTGCAAACACGCTCGTTTCGTCAAGGCGTTCAGCATCTAGGTACTGCCGCAGCGACAACGTCATACGAACAGGTGTTTGGTATGGTGTCGAGCGCTCGTTGCTCCGAACAGCGCGCGCATCCCGATAGCAGCCACTGCACGCGCACAACGAGGAAACTGTTGTCTAGGCGCTTCGGATACGCCGCTTACTAGCCGCACTGATACCTCTGCAGTGTCTGACTGAATAGCCGAACCATCACCGATACGGATTCGGTGTCTACTGTGCGACGTATGCCAAACAGGCCGTCGCTCATCGGCCCTGAAAAAAAGACGACACAAATCTTTTGCCGAATACTCTGGGCGGGGAGCAAACACAAGTCCCGCTGCTCGCACTCGGAGACACTACCAGGCCTTCTTACAGCCGCGACGGGCCATGTGTCGACGACGCGCTACTGAACTGCACATCGGCAACGTCCTCCTCCAGCATCCATGGCTCCGCCTCGGCACGCAAACGCAGGAAAAGGTTCATCGCCTTCATTGCCTGTACATCGTCAACCGTTCCGAGTCCCAGATGACGCTCACCAACGACAACTGCCAGACACTGCGCCCGAGAGAGCGCCACATTCAAGCGTCGGGCGTCCAGGATGAAGGCAATACCCTCGTGGCTCGCGCGTGTGCGCATCTCAGCGTCGCCTCCAGATGCCGCGGTGCGATCCTGCTCGGGTGCGCAGAGACTCATTATGACAATGGGACGCTCTTGGCCCTGAAACTTATCGACGGTACCGATACGCGGTATATTGCTCGAAGCTGCATCTGCGCCCGTCTGTGGAGTGCGCGATGCAGCCCAGAGCGTAAAGGCAGTTTTCAGGGCATTCACCTGTTCGTTGTAGGGTGCCACAATCAGAATGTCGTCCACGGATACATGGCGCGGTGCCGCTGACTGCTCCGTTGCCGCCTGCGGACCGAGACGCAGTTCGAAGCGCGTCCCTTGCACCAGCATCGCAACCAGTCGCAGGACTGTAGCGACTTCCCGCTTCCAGCGCGAGCGCACGGTAGCACTACCAGGGAACGTCGCTGTCGACGACGACGACGACGACGACACATCTACTGCGAGGAAGCCAAGCCCAGAGCGCGCTCGCCCCAGATGGTGATCCCAGACCTGATGCTGCTCGGTACGGGCATGCCAGCGCAGCCGCCCCTGGTAAAAGGTCGTACCGATGAAGCGGCAGAGCTCAGGACAGAGGCGGTGCGTCGTCGGCAAGAACCAGCCCCAGGCGGGCCCAGCGACCGACGTGTCAGCTCCGAGCAGGTACGTCAGCGAAGACTCGCCACCGACGAGGGGTCGCCCGCTCGGCAGCAGCGAGTTATTCGCCGATACCGCCGCCAACTGCATCTGATCACCAACCAGCACCGCAGCACGCCGAACGTTCGGCAGCATGGCAACGAAATACGCTCGTGCCATCTGACCAGCTTCGTCTACGAAGAGGTAGTCGAGCCGCTCCCGCAGGTGCTCGTGTGAGAGCGCGAATGCCGTACCCGCGAGCACACTGAACGGGGGATCCGCTTCCGACGACGTCGGCGCCATTCTCGGAACCCGAGTGGTTACGTGAACGGCGCCCGTCGGTAAACTGCACTGCTTGTGCTGGCCAATACGCCAAATCAGCGCTGCGGTATGCGTACATCCGCGAATTCGAAGACGTTGCACCAGGGCGCCCAGTGCCTGGTCGATGGCCGCGTGGCTACTCGCACATACGCCAATACAAAAGCGATGGCGACCAGTCGGCTGTGGCCCCAGCACCAGTTCCGCGATACACTCGGCGATGGTATGCGTTTTGCCGCAACCAGGCGGTCCCTGTATCACCAGAACGCGCCCATCCGTGATCTGACGAAGCGATTCGACAACCTGTGGTACCTGCTCGGCAGTTCGAAAAGGTTCGTCAGACGCCACCAGAGAAGGAAATGGGCACTCGCGTCGCAAGTAGCGCGCAACCAGCGGTGTCTGTCGCGAGTGCATCGCTGCTGCACAGAGACCCAGAATGGACGACAGACGACGAAAGAAGGGCGGTCGTCGAACGATGCGCGGCAGACGCGTGCCCGCAGGGAGAAAGCGCTCGGCTGTCGCCCGGTCCACTTGAATGGATGCCGAATCGGGACCTGTGAACCGCAGACGCGCCAGCGGTACCATGAGGTAGCGCTCACCGATGAGCAAACAAGCCTGCCATTCGCCGGAATCCGAGTAGATTCGCTGCTCAGCGGGGAAGCATACGCGCAAGTTGACACGATCCGGTCGTGCGGGAGTCTCAGCGGGCGGACCGTTCATCGAAGATGCCTGCAGTTTTTTGCGCTGTGGGCGCGTCGCTTTCGATGCACTGGAATGCGTCGGCAGATCGGGCCCCTGATCCGCATACTGGACTCGAGGAGCGGCTCCTGGCGACCCAGACAGGTCACTGGATGCCTGCATCGTCGATATGGAACTGCCTTGGACATGCACGCCGCTCCCAGCCGACCCGTTGTCGTCGTGGTGCATACCCGCGATGCTGTCGACCGAGTCGCCACCCGCAACCCCCATCGGTTGTTCCAGTCGTGCTGGTGGTGTCAGCGCAGCGGATGGCGCTGTTTGGGATCGGGTTGTACTCGCCAGGCGCTCTGCAGCATCAACGTCTCGTCCAGAGACGATAGATGTCTTTTGGGAGCTGGTACGTCGCCGCCGATCGCCAGCAGAGGCGTCGCTCGCGGACAAGGACGTTTCCGGGGACGCTGCATCCCAGTCAACTACGATCGCGTCCACAATCACATCAGGATGATCGTAGAGGTCGCGATCCAGCGCTACCTGCGGCCGCTGGCGCCATGCCAAATGCTGCAACTCTATTTTGGACTCTCGAAGGATGTAATCGACCAGATCCCGCATGGGATCATCGACCGGCAGCCGTTGCCGCACGTGCAGGGACAGCAGCATCGCGTCCCGCTCCGGTATCCCTGCAGCTCGTTCCGTGCGTAGCATCTCTATCATGGTAGCGTACGGTGTACTCGGCGCCACAGCGTGCCGAAATCGCGCAGATCCCGAGGCATCCTCGTCGTTGTCCTCGTCGTCAGCATCACTATCACCACCATTACCACCAGCAGTAGCAGCAGCAGCAGCAGCACCAGCACCAGCATCGCTGCTGTTGACGTTCACGCAACGCCGCGCACCCGATTCCGATGATCCCGCAGCAGCACGCCACTCGCGGTGATCAGCGAGCTCCACATCTGAACCTGTTTGAACAGATTCGTTCGATAAGGTATCATTCGAATCCTGCGACGCTGCTGCTGCTGCTGATGCTGATGCTGATGCTGCCGATGATGATAAAAGCACTGGTGCACGCATCCCAGCGCACGCAGCGCTGTAGACGTGGTCGTGCGTGCGCAGCCAGCCGGCGAGTGCGTGCAACGATCTGCAGATCGAGCCGCTCAGCGCCAGCAGGCGATTGCGCACGATACGCGCACGCTCAGCGTTGTTGTATCGACTGGCGATTCGATAGCGCTCATAGAGTTCTGTTGCTTCTGCTTGGGGCGCCATAACTATAGTGCTGCAGGCGATAGCGCTACCACGAATGAGACTGTTCAGTGATCGCAAGTTGTACGGGTCGTGGTCACCGATGAGGAAGCTGGCCCGTACAACCTGCCGCAAGTCGACTAGCGGTAACTGATCCACGGTTGCCTGCACGCCGGCATCGTGCGTCGCGAGCGCTACCTCCATCAGGGCGTGCCGATCCAGTTCGCCAAAGTGGTAGACGTGCAGCTGGGGATCCTCAAATAGCGCCGCGCGAACGTGGACCAGGAAACGCCGGAGGATGGATGTGGCTTCTTCTGGTGTGTATGCCCAGAAGGAGGTCGGCCGCGCGTACTGCCCCGGGCACCATATTCCGAGCAGAAAATACGAACCATCGTATGAAGTCATGTAGGCGATGTACATATCGTAAGGCGAAGCTGGTGGCAACAGTCGAGCAGGCTCGGCGTTCGCATGCGGCCGTGGCTCATAGGGCAGTCGGCTCGCATCGCCATGGCGATAACGCTGCAGTAAAAGGCGCGCTTGCAGCATGTACTCCGAAAGTCGCCATGGGGGAATGTCGGCAAGCTGGAGCTGCTCTGCGGCAGGCAGGCTCGCCAGCTGCTCGAGGTTGCGGAACCCTCTTTCCCATAACTGGCGCATGTCATGCAGGCGCATCTCGGTAACGAGCAACGGGCTCTGATGATAGCGCTCCAGGGCGCATGCTGCGTAGGCGTTCTGTGTGAGTCGGCGGCGGCACTCACGCATGGCAATGAGCATGTCCAAGCTGGAAGCGCTTTCCGCAATGCGCAGCGAAAGCTCCGCGAGGTTGGTCTTCAGTAGACGTGCGCCCTCACGACGAACCACGGACAGTAACTCCTCCAGTTTCGCTTCAAAGTAAAACGAGCAATCCGCTGTACGCCAACACTGAACCTGCGCAACAACCGCATCCGATTCGCTGTCCAGACACAGATAGAAACGAGGCCAGTAGCCAAGGGTCTGCTCCTGACGTCGCTCCAAAGCCCGAACGATCCACAGATACGCCATCGCCTGCATTGTAAACTGCGGCTGTGCTTTGCGAGCTAGTTTGCATTCAGCGACAGTGTAGCGGTACAGACGATATCGATCCCACTGCGCCGCAGGTACGGAGGCAATCCAGCGCGCTTCAGGTGGTAGTGCAGTTGAGGGCAAACTGGCTTCTTCCCACGGATTCCACGGCGAGTCCGCAGGACAGATTCCGCGCTGGTCGCCGAGCTGGACCCATTCTCGAACCAGCAAGTCACTGCGACCATGCAAGGTTCCGTGTTCAAGGGGCGCTTGCGCGATGATCGCAACCCCAGCTTCCATTGCTCGCAGCGTTTCCGCCACCGAGTGACAGCAGACAACCTCATGACCATGTTGTCGCAGCGCCTCAAGGAGCGTTTGCTCAAACTCACGCCCACCCGCAATAAGGCCTTTCAAAATGGGCGCTCGGGGGCGTAAGCTCGACAAGCACGGCACCGACGCCTGCTGCGTCGAGTCCGACGGCGTGCCCCGCTGGAGGCGGCTTTGCAGGTACGCAGAGAGGCGAATCGCTCGATCCCAAGCGATGTCGCTGGGGTGCGCATTCGGCTCTTGCAAGACGAGACGTCTTGCATGGCGACGCTTGTATCCAAAACGAAAATTCATTACTCGATCTACGAGCATCATATGGAACTCGAAAGACGATTCGGTGAATCTGGCAAGCATCGTTGGTGGTAATGGCAGCAGCTGCTGCCACACGTCCGTGGACTCATCTCGCTGAATAGCTGGCGCGCCTGGCACGTCCGGAGGTGCTTCCGCTGCTGGAAGCGGCTCCTCTGGCGCCGACGCTTCCAGGCTAGCCACCAGTCGTATGCAGGACCCAGTAGCAGCACCTTTCCTACGTACAGATCGCACGAGCGATAAACTGGACTTCTCAGGCGCCCTGTCCAGGCACTGCCTCCAAAGAAGCAGAACCGAATCGTTCCTACGGCGACGACACAGAGTGGCGTGACACCTGCCGCTGCTGTCGGAGGTGCCAAGTGTGCAGAAGATGAAGCCGCTCTGGCGGCTTGCAGACGAACTGCGGGGCGGAGCTCCGCTTCCGCGCACAGGCGCGACTGCTAGCAGCGGGATCCATCCGTCGTCTTTGCCTCCGAAAGACTCGATTAGAGACGAGTGAAGGGAGGAGGTCGCCATGGTCAAACGCGTGCCCGCTTGAGACGACCCGCACCATCAACGCCGCTCGAAAGTCGAACGGCGCCAACGGTGTACAGTAGTGGCGGCAACCGCGCCCTAGACGAGACGTCTCCAACGGGCGTGCAGACGCCTCCCAGTTTGTTTGAACCGGAAACCCACTACTGCTTCCAACTTCTTCTCATATTGTCCCACTTTAAGAGGTTGTCCAAGAAAATTCTCTCGTGTCCACTCTGGAGGTCTTTTCTCCAGGACCGCACATTTCCTTGTATTGATGGCGGCATTCAAATCTCGGTTCACAAACTCCATCCGTTTCTTCCCATTGGTAGTTGTACTTCCTAGTGCACCTAGTCCTCGCACTTTCACTCTCCTTTCCATTTGCTCTTCCGTCAGCGGTCCGTACTTTTTCATATCCTCAGGGCTCCGTTGGCACGTTTCCATCTCGACCCTCTGAAGTATACACCCCAGTTCATGGTATGTATAGGACGTTCGGAACTCACCTACAGGTAGTGTAACAAACCGGTGTGCGCACTCCTTGTACGTTCTTGTCGTTGGAGCTGGTGTACACAATTTTTGGGTCTTCCATCGCCCCGCCCCATACGCTGCTACGAGCCTCTGACTTTCATCCTCCTTCAGGGCGCTCAACTGATTGAAAAAGTTGGCAAACGCCCGCTGCTTCCCACAATACAAATTCATTCGGAAACGAGCCCACCGGGGCTTGGTATACTCCTCCCACGGCGCATCCCAATGGGCAACATGAACTTTCATGAATTTCCGAAAAGCTTCAAAGTCCGCTCCTCGGCTCGCCACCTCGCTCAAAGCTTCTAGGTCATCCTTCATTCCTGAATTCCGGCTCTCGATTTTCTCCCTCGCATTCATTATACCCGATTCTCGATTGTATCTCGCTATCGAGAACCTCAATAGACGCATGTCTTTCCGACGTAAACTACCGTCAGTACCATCTTCCGCACACTTCGGTGCTGCGATGGTGATGATATTTGTGTTTCCGGGGTCCGCGCCAACGACAAAGTCGTTATCGTGCACTTTCTACGTCACAGGGCCCGCCTCCTTCTTTTCTTCATGCATCACCGCGTCAACGACAAGCACGTTATCCTCCACCTCCTGCGTCTCAGGACCCGCCTGCTTCTTTTCTTCATGCATCGCCGCGTTAACGACAAGGTCGTTATGTTGCACTTTCTGTGTGGCAGGATCCGCCTCCTCCTTTTCTTTATCCATTGTCACGGGCACACCCGAGGGCGGGACTAAACGATCTGCCTTCAAACGCCGATTGTGTACTCACGTGGCTACTCCATCAGTTTCGATCAACCCAGTAAATACCGTTTGCTTGCTCACTCTCAGACGTTTGAAATCGAAGATATTCTTCCAGTACGTCTCCCGGTTTTCGCCGGAGAGTTCCTCACTGTTGAAATTAAACTCGGGACTGATCTCCTTCATGATGCCGTAAAGGACGCCTGAATCGATACTCACCAAATGTGACTTGAGGTTGCACATTGGAACACCGTTGAAGCGCTTCCCCATTAGGAAAGCCTTCCGTCTCCCCCACTCTTCAGTGTTTTCCTCACTCAGCTTTATCTCCGCCTTGCGTCCAAGTTCTAGATCCAGAAACAAGAAATAGCGAAGAATGAGGCGATAGTGTCTTTCCTTATCTTTTTTCAACTCTGATATCTTTTCTGCTGGACTCGGCAGCCCCAGTACCCCACGGCGCTCTTGAATAGCCGCACGGATGACAGAAGTTTTACACCTTCTCCTGCGTGACGCCTTCTCTCCGACGAATTCGATCTCATCTTCATGCTTGTGATCGTTCGTGATGCCATTGATAATCGACCATACTCCTTTGCGAGACAGGCCCGGGTACAGCGCAAACACGGCGCGTATCATGAAACGTTCGAGGTTCATCGTCAAATGGTTCCTCAGGTTCGTGAGGTAATTCATTGCCCCGTGTTCGTAAATATCCCGGTTACCAATGTATCGAGTGCCCTCGAAGCGGAATTCCGCGAAGTTTTCGTGGAGGGCGTGTACCCGCTCATTTTCCCTCCGCGTTTCCCTTGCGCCGAGCATCAAGTGACGAACAAAGATATTGTCGAAAAACTCGTCTGGAATCTCGACTGTTTCCATGTGCGTCACATCGCGATACATCTCCCTCGCCATACGCATCAGTCCTGAAGACGCCCTGACAATACTCTTGGAGTACGAATCGAGACGTTTTTTGATAGCGTCTCGCAACTTTTCCCTGTACGGATCCTTGATATGTTCAAGAAGACCGGCTTTCACCACCATATCGTCGTACAGTTGTCTTTCTTTCCGCCTTCGACGTAGGGCCTCTCCCCTTTGCTTCTTCTTCTCTTCCTTTTCTACTCGACTCGGCACTGTTTTTTGTTTTTTTCTAGCAGCCGGCGACCCTGGGCCTCCAGGATCGTCGACTTGCTTTTTCATAGGTTTCCTTTTTTTTTAGTTTTTTGAAAAAGAACGCTCTTTGAACCCTTATGTAATATACTGCGAACAAACACTTGACTAGACTTATTTGAGGGTGAAACACAAATGAACTCAAAAACTGTACTTTGCTACGACTTTAACGCAAATAAAACTTGTACAGTAGAGCAGTGCGCTCCTGATCAGGATCGCGTTTCCCTTCAATGGCGACATGCGCGTCGTGTCAGGTGACTGCCTGATCTCCCGGGTGCGCTCACCGAGCGCGATTTTTAGAATGGACAAAACGTTTCCTTGTGCCAGCGTTCTCCGATTGTGCGCATTTTTCTTTTCTTTCTCTCTTTTTGTGTTTTTTTCAGTGCGCGGTGAGGTATCCATCAACCCCCTACCTCCATGTTACATTACCGATACTTCATCGCGGATATTCTGGTCGTTTCATACGTCCTATGATGTGTGCCTAGTACCTGCCGTGCCGTACCCGCCTTTGGACCTTAACAGCTGGGGCAGATAGTTCATAGAGACAGAACGGCTTTTCCATACCACAGAGGGCGCCGGCTCGAGGCGTGGTTTACCCGACGTAGAATTGGGTGTCGCCGTCAGTTTGTGCTCAGACAGTCTGCGGATGCAGGTTTGTCTTCGCTGCACGAAACGCTGGAGACACTTGGCTGTTAGGATATATCGTGGGAGCCGCCTCTCTCTTTCGTGATCATGCATGGAATGCGTTGTTGTCGGTTGGCAATGTGGCTTCGTGCTTGACACCCACCCACCACTGTGGGTAGGCGCAGAAAGCACTGGGCCCGTGTGCGCATCCGATTCGCTAGACCTTCCGCCTAGAAGGTAGCATGTGAGTTTCTTCGCCACTAATGAGCGCTGAGGCTCGGTTAGCGGACCATAAGTTGCCAGTGCTACACTCAGAGTGAGTGTCCGGTCTTCGACTATCACGATGATGCCCAGCTGCTGGTGTCCTCCAAGGAGCTCGCTGCGCTCCTGCTTCCAGCGCGGGCACTGTAAGCCTAAATATGTCAGCGTCTCGGGGATCTCGTCTCGACAGCAGGGACAGTGTGATTCCCAGTGCGATTCCAGTGTTCCTATACGGCTTAGAGACGGTGCTGGTAGCCAGAAGCCACCAACGCGGATTTTGGCGAGCCACTGGGTACCTCGAGCAAGTCCCGGGAATTCCAGCGCCTCCTACCAGTGCCTGCATGTGTATGCTAGGTTGTAGTTCCGGTATAGAGTCAAGCCGGCGTTAAGGGCGCGACTGGTACCGTGTCTACGTTCCCATATTGTTGTTTGGACCGTTCGCTTCAGGCGGTGGGAGCCTTCTACATTTCTGGGGAACGATTCGAGCGCATTTTCGCCTAAGAGGCGCTTCAACCAAATATGCGTCCATTTCATCCTTCTTGCGACGCACCTACCGGTACCGAGTACGTCTCGAGCCTCGTACGCGCTACCGCGGCATATGCCGACCTGCCTCTCTCTCTTCAGTGCAGAGCGGAGGACTCGACGCTGGACCTCTTAACGACACCGAAAGGCGCTGCTGTTGCTTCTGGGGAAGCACCCGCGACTATCCGTCCAACGGTCCGTACCAGAGACGTTTGGCACTAGCCCCTAGCGCACTGACAGCTTCGTGCTGCTTGCCGGGTTCGTTATTCGGGCTGCCGAGCGTTTCGGGACGGTAGTCACAGCGAGCGCCTCCGCTGAGGCAGTTTCACGCTCTTGGGGAAGGGGCGCGCACTTTGCAGGTCGCCAACGTGTCCAGCGTCAAGCCCAACGACTGAACTGCCGTCGACTGAGTCGCACACGTACACATGCTCACTGGGACATCAGCGCCTTTCGCCGCTTTGGACTGAGGCTTTGGCGGCGTTTACTACCCGAGTCGGAGAAAAGTGCGGCGGGTCCGTGAATACTGGGCGGTTTATTGCAGCACTTGACCAGGGAGAAGGGTTGCAGTGAACAGCAGCACGCTACGACTACTGCGCAAAGCTGTTCGCGCGCGTCTGGTAGCGCTTCCAAGTTGTGTCGAGCGCAGCATAGGCACGAAGCAACGACCCCAAAACGGACGCCCTGAACCTGCATGGAGTCTGAAGACGAGCTTCTGCCGAGCGTCCCCGCGGTACTGGTGGACGAGTCGAGCCCCGGCGCGTTCGCGGAACTGGCGAACGAGAAGGCGCGCCTCGAGTCTCGGAGAGCGCTGCTTCAGCGAGAACTGGAACGACTACAGGCGCCTGTCCTTCAACAAAGCCCCTACTACAGAGAACGTAGAGCTTGTTGCTTGAGAATGCTGGAGATCATTGACGTGAGCATCGCACAACTGGATTCTGGGATGCACGCGCCAGCAGCGTTGAATGCTGAACTGGAGACCCTGTTTCAGAGCTTGCATATCGACTGAGCGTTGCGGGCTCGTGCCAGCACACGCCACCTACTCGATAGCGCAGTGAGATGCGCACTTTATCCGGGGTCGCAGTCCTGGAGGCGTCATGCGCGCACACACACAACCACACAACACCGGGATACTGTGTGTAGCAGCTACAACCCGTGATCAAAGTCTAGAATACCTGGCATACGGTCATGCCAGAGTATCCATGCGCTCCAAGTCGGGTTCGTATGGAGCCAGACGCGGCGTCGCTCGCCCTGCAGACAGTGAACGACCAGTATACTGGCTGGAAACGCTGCAAGTCCACGTCGACGCCGCCGGTGTTCGCCGCACTCGGCACATCGCTGCAGCACCAGAAGGGATTCGCTTTGGTGCGTCCGACGGGGATAGCGCACACGGCGCTCTGGTCTCGATCCTGTATCCCTTGGATCAAGGGCAAAAAACGCGGTATGACGTTATCGAGCAGCGCTAGGAGAGCAGCCATGGCGAGTGCGAGCCCCCAGCCGCCCGCAGCCCGTGAACCTGCCCTGTTGGATCGGGTACGCAAGCACCGCGAGGAGACGGCTTGCCGAGAGCCCCCGCTGCAACATGCTCGATGATCGCGCTACAGAGAGTGAGCACACACACCTCGTCGATGTGGATGTGCATCGAGCGACGCTCGTACTGTCGTCCGCGCTTCCACGTACATGCGGCTGCCTCGTATCCGGACGATGAACGGCGAGCGGTAGGCTTCCCGATCCCCTATCAACCTAAACTGCATCGCTTGGCATTTGTTCTAGGGCGAGTCGCGCACACTCTGGTCGACAGTGCGTGGTTACAAACTTGACGGTATCGATAGATGATCCGCAGTGCTGGTGCAGGCTTCGGAACGCCAAGCGCAGGGGATGCGTAACCTCCGGACACGGATCCAGAGGCGGAATCTGGGCACAGCGCAGCTCGGCGTGCTCAACGGAGTAATCAAGGATGAACTGTTCCTCGACATCTGCTGCGTCGTCTGGGTGAAGATTGCGCTCTGCGTGACGCGCCTGCACCCGGCTATTCGGCGGCGCTGATGCCGGTCCAAGTTGCGCCTCCACGACGAGGCAGCAGGCCAGGATGGTGTCCAGTAACTTGACCCAAAGCGCAGGGCGAGCGTCCGCCGTCATAATCATCGCGCAGCATATTGTCTTCCCCATGAGCGGATCACAGAGCACTGGGCTCCGCTCTGGGGCGGCGAGTTCCGGAACCCAGACCTGCTCGAGGAAATGTTCAAGCAGCGCTGGCTGCAGGGCATCTGCGGCGCGTAAAATCTTCGCAGCACCAAGCCGGACGATAAATCTGGCCATGAATGGGAGCAGGTGGCGCACGAACTTGGGTGTGCGAGCGTTCTGCAACCGAAGGAAGAGCACTTGCAAGATGGCACCAAGATAAGCATCGAGACGGTCACCGGAAGCACAGGCATCAACGATCGCACTCAGCAGCCGCAGACCATCATGGTCGTGAGCGCGGAAAGCAACCAGCCTTTGGAAGACGCCAAGCACGCGAGGCAGGTGCTCTGCATCGCAGAGCAGATCAGGGCTGGTGCGTAGGAAACAAACCAACAACGACACCATGCTGGGGATGTAGCTGTGTCGATCCCAGAGAGGCGGCGCCAGGAGCGGCGGCACCAATCGCTGGTAGGCGGGCGTCAGACCTTCGTCGCGCCAGAGAACCATTTGACCCAGCGTCTGGAATACGTACGGCGCTAACTCGACGATGTCCTGCTGAAGGATCCTTTCGAAGACTGGAAAGAGCAGCGATTCTATCGCCGACACGCCTGCATGACGCAGCAGCAGCACCAGAGTCTCGAAGAGGTTGTGGGCGTACAGCGCATTCGCGTAGCCCCCGAGATGCTGTTCTAGATCCATGACCAGCAACTGCGCAACTGCCGGACCCTCTTTGACGGGTACAAAAGCCGCCAGCTGAAGCAACAGTTTCATGAGGTATTCATTTTCGGGGTCCCGAACCATCTGTCGAGCAATCGCCTCGATACAGGGCTTGATCTGGCTGCTGTCCATCTTCAGCTGCTGCATTTGCGGCTCCTGATGAGCGCTGGCTAGCACTCGTTCCAGGAAACGGGCCGCATAGCTGTGCACGACCGGATCCGCGTCATCCAAGAGGCGGACGAGGTAGGGCTCCAGACCCTTCAAATCCGCAGCCGTCAGTCGCGTACGAAACATGAGCAGGAACTTCAACGCCTCTGCAGTGAGGAGCGGTGGCGAACGTTGGCGCTTCGTCTGTGATACAACCTGGGTGATCTCGGGAAGTATATGTGTCTTGGTGAAGCTTGCCACATCGATGAATTCGCTGGTGTTGACCGCACCGGATGTACGGGTGCCTGCTCGCCAGCTCAAAGCCGCTACAATCAATATGGCATTCACCTTTTGTCGCCAGTTGTGCCTGGGGTCCGATTCACATGCCTCCAGCATGCTGCGCACGTACCCCGAGAACACGTGTACGATGCGCTCCTCGAAACGCTCGAGCAGGGCCCGCAGAAGCTCACCGGCCGCCCGTCGCCGATTGGACACGTCACTTCCGTCGAGCTCTAGGCGGATAAAGTCTCGCGGCATCTCTGAGAAGAGATCGAGATCAGCCTGTCGAAGCTGCATGTTCGGTGCTACGACGCGTTCACAAACATAGTGGAGTAAACTCGTTCCACTGGCACTCTCTGAAGCCTCAATCAACGTATGCAGCAGCAGCAGATGATCCACGCCCCGCGCGATCGTTGTCAAGAACCGAATGCCCGCAATCACAACGCTGTCGTAGCGACTGCGCAAACCGCGATGAACCAGCAAGACACAGATCGTCGTGAGAAAGTTGGGCAACAAAGAGCGAAACTCTTCTTCATACTTTTCAGCATAAAGAATCAGACATTCGATGATGCGGGCCTGGAGCGTGTCCAGCGGTGCTGGCTCCGCCTCGTCGTCGCTGTCGAGGTTGTAGGCGGCACCAGCAGCGCTTGACGCTGCCGGCGCTGACAATCCTGCGGTCGTAGGTGCGTCGCTCAGTGCCTGATCGGCCTGAAGAATCCACCCGAATTCACTCATCCATTCCGCCATGTGATCTTCGAAAAATTCCGGCAAATCCTGGTAGTTCAATGAATAGAATATCTCGGTAATGTGCTGCATCGCGGAGAGCACCAGCGTCGCCGTTGCGGTCTCCAATGGATTCGAGCCGCTGCGCCAAAACATACACAAGCGCTGGAAAAGACGTAGCAGGAGCGACTGCGTTGCCTGCAGAACGAGCAGAATTTCCTGGAAAAGCGGATCGCTGCGTGTCTCGTGTCGATACCGCTCAACCAGCGCCTCCAGCGTCTCGAGTGAACCAAGCAGAAGAGCGCTATCCCAGTGTTCGAAAGGCTGTTCCACACAGCGCTCCAGGCCGCCGCTAACGAACGGCAATAGCTCTGGCCAGTTGTGCGGAAAGTCTTGCGCCGCGATGACAGCCACTGCTTCGATCAGCTGACGACGCACTGCCGCTTGACGCACTGTTGTGAGCGGCAGTATCATAGCGCGTAGCGCTGCCCGATCAGTCGGAGACTCGTCCTCCCAGCGTCTCTTCACCACATTTTTAAAGTATATCGCAGCTGCCTGGCGTACAGCCACTGCTGAGCCCGCTTGTGTCGCGGCAACTGGATCGGCCTCCGCAGAAGCGATCAGTTGCAGGAGCTGTGCCAGGAAGCCCGGTTTGCTAGACGCCGACTCTAGCACCGCCTCCGCGCCACGTCTCGTTTCCGTTACAGGAGAGAGCGTAGCAAGCACATAACTGTACAGATCATCCATGCTCACGGTGTAACGTACTCGGAACTGGCAGTCCAAAGACTTGTCGGGTCGCACACTGGCGGTACGCCGTAGACACGGCAGGCGCCGCGCGCGCAGCGCCACACGGCGGGACAGGACACACACACACACACACAGAGCGAGAGCGAGAGAAACACAGCAGTGCGGCAGTGGGTCTAGTTGACGCCTTGCCAACTTTAACCAGGAGATGCTATGCGTCACCGGGAGCAGCTGGTGTGCTCGACACTCAAACGAGCGTATGAACGAGGCAAAGGCATGTCTGGTCTGTGGATCGGAGAACTTGAGAGGTTTTGCATGGAATATGGAGAATGCCTCCGCAGACGCCGATACGCATCGCGCACTCCAGGATGCCCTGTATATTGGTCAATCCTAAATCCTAGATAGAAAATAGATAATCGTCAGGGATGAATTTATCGTTTAGATCATCGAGTGAGCGCTCTCCCACGTGCGATGGTTCGGCATATTTTAATGGGTAGGCGCATTGAGGACACGACTACTTTCGGATACACTGGCTGGAACGATCCATGGCTAACACTGGTGACGTTATCTTAACCATTGGACTCTAGCGTAACGTGAAAATGAGCTGAAACTGGTGTGTGTTTCTCAATGTATCGAGACTCGACGCGAACTAGATGCATGACTGATGCATCGACTGTAATAAAAAAGGCTTGACTGCTGGCGGCAGCAAGTGCTAACCGCTCCATGCTGAACGTCTCTGGGATCTACTCGGTTGAGTGCAGTCGTTCCGAAGAGCGCTTTCTTTGCAAAACTTGCACCTGCATATCGGTACACGCGCACCTGTGAGCAGGTTTTCTGTGCTGCAAGTATTGACGTTCGTGGTGGCGCTCGGGCCCCAGGCAGCGTTCCAAGGCAGGACAAAGCACTGACAACAGACAAGGTTGCTTGGCTGGACAGAGTATTCGGAACGCGTGTCTAAGCTATTCCTCCGCTCGAGCCGGGTCCCTGGGCTTGAGAGCGTTCGTTTCGCTTTCGTGAACGCTGCACTGCCGCCGTTGTTGGTGACTGCTCTGAACCCTGTTCCAGTGTCGTTTTGCAGCGTTAGAACAGCTGTGCGCGTTCCAAAGGTCCAGCTGACGGGGGGCTCCTCTCACAGACGACTGTGAGCAGATCAGTGCTGGTTTCAGGAAACCCAGTTGGACGCTGGGCGGTATCCTACGATGGGCGAGGAGTCTGCCGGGCGAACGCAAGCAGTCTCTCACGGTGTCTGAAGGGAGCGCTCGCGCCGCTTGCTATGCGGGACGGCGCCGGCAAGCCAGCGAAACCCTCCGAACTGGGCGGCGGTAGTCGCACTCGCTGCTGGGGATATGTGGACATCGGGCGTGAGCTATGCGGCTCAACGCCCAAGGCAGGCAGAGGGAACGCGTCGACACGCAGCGCAGTGTTTGTGATCGAAAATGCAAGGTGCACGAGGGACTAGTCTCGCGGGCCGGATTGCCACATAAACATTGAAGGAAGGTAAGCGGGATTTCGGGTGCCATTTTTTCACCGAATTTTCCGGAGAAACGGAATAGACTCTATCGCCTTTTTTTTGTGACGCTGGCGGCGAAGCATTGGACCAGACCTGCAGCGACTGCACGGCAGTCTGGTTTCCGGTCGGCCAGCAGCGCGCACCGCGTCCTCATTCAGAGCATGCGTCGGGACAGAGGCCTTCGACCAGAGAGCCGCCTGGAGCCTTGGGTGTCTATGAGCGCGTCATGCTTGCGCTGCGAAGGCTGCTTGGCACGCAACCCTGGAATCCAGTGGCCATGTACACGACGCTGCGCTCTGCAAGAGACAAGCAGCACACCTGTGATCACCGTGCAGTCGTTCTGCAGCTTGTCGCGTACGGATGCAAGTTAGTTATTATCATTTCCGATGAGGCACGGAGGTTTCAGAGGGCTTCCCGAGACCTCGCCATTCGAAGCGCTGCAGTTGATCGAGAGCGCCGAACGGACCTCGAACTGGCCGCAGGAAACGCTGCAAATCCGATTCGGGAATATCAGCTATGTACGGGTCAAGCTCTGTGCGTGTCCACTGTTTCTTGAGACCAAAGAGCATTGCGAGGCGCGTTTCTGGTTTCTGTGGCAAAGCATCGGCTTCCAAGAGCTGCACGCGCATGGATGCACTCGGGCATGATGGTAGAAGTGTTGCGGGGTCAGATAACAGCGAGCTCTGCTCTGACGAAACCAAGTGCTCAGGTGCAGGCGACGATTTGCTAGAGTTGCGGAAGCGCTCCAGCGATGGGAGCATGATTGCCACCCCATGGAGCGACTGCAGCGCATGCTCGGTGTCAAAAGATGTATCGGATGGTAGTCGTCGCTGGATCTGCTCCATGAGTTCTTTCAGATCCATTGAGGCGTTGCGTTGTCGTCGCAGCAAACATGGGACCAAGTCGCGAACGACATCCGAAATGTGCAGGTCGAGCATATCTGGTGTCTGTGGATTCGGGCGGAACCATCTGGCGATTGCAAAGGCCGCGAGATTTCCGTCAATAATGTCCATTTCGAGGAGAGCCGTCTCCAACAACGGTCTTGAAACATTCGTGACCGGCAAACGGTGCACGAGGATTGTGTCAAGAAGATGCTCTAGAAGACGCTCGCGGCCCCGGGGGTCGAGGATCCAATACTTGGACGAAACGGGATCGAAGATGATGCCTATCTCTGACATGCTGGCACGCAGTTCGCTTTCGGAGGCATGACTCAAACACAGGAGCGTTTCCCAGGAGACTCCTTCGAGATCCATTTCGTACACCGCGAAAGTCTTCATGAACTTGATTAGGGTACGAAATCGCGGTACCATGCGTTGGCATTGCAAGACGCTGTGAAGCGCAGCGCGCAGGCGCAAGCAACGCGACTGCTTGGCGCCCGACGCCGACTCGCAAGGCTCAAAGACCAACAACGAGTTGGAGGTTTCTTGTCGCCAGAGCGAAAAGACCGCATTTTTGCTGCAAAGCACAGACCGGCGCTCCTCGTCGTCCACGGTGAAACCTGTGTCCGAAGATATGGTATCTGGGGCGGTTGGACCGTCACAGTTACCGCGGCCTCGGCTGGTCGCGCCCATATCGTGCCTCATCCGCTCGACCAGAAACGACACCTCGTCCGGCAGCAAACCATCGAACACGAGTCCTTCGCCCGCACTGAAAGCGCCGTGAACAAAGTTTGCGAGAGGATCTTCCGAGTTCGCTGTATCGCCGGGCGGTGTGTCGGTTTTCAGAAGCATATCGAGGCTCAGGAGCAGGTACTCATTCTCTGCCACATTGCCGTCAAGAAAAAGCGGGAGAGCGTTACAGCGCGCTTCGGGTAAACTGCCCATAGTACTCGTCTGCGCTGAAGCGACAGTGAGCTGCAGCACCGCCAGAAAGCGAGTCGCGCGCGCCAATGTAAGATAATTCGGAGCAGGCGTGAAGTGGCCCTGGTCGAGCCTGATACTCCTTCAGGTGCGTGCCTCGAAGAACGGAGTTTATATTAGAACTTGCGGATCGGTGCGAAGAGTCGGTTGCAAGAGCGTACACGACTCGAGCGCCACAAACGAGCGCGGCGCACCCGAGTGCCTGCACCTGCACTACCGCGACCCGCGCCAGCGAAGTTTTTATGCTGTAGAATTATTGAGGAGAATCGTAGAAGTAAGCGTGCCTGCACCCGTGATGTTTTTGATGCGATAGGCTCGTTGAAGAGAGTCTGAGGCGTGCAGCTGCCCTCCGCTCACAAGAATCGAGCGGTATTCCACGAGCGCCTCTGTCGATGGCGCGCGATGTTGCCGCCCATGCGGGCACATCAACGACCTCAGGCTCGATTTGGCGTGCGCGCGCGCTCGTAGCGCCAGCGGGGCGTCTATGCGCAATGCTATCGACTGAAGGAACACTTTGATGGTCTACCACTTGTACTGGAATACTTCTCCGACTCTATCTATAGATATATGCGGTGCTTGATGTTCTATGGAGTGTTGAGGGCACCATGAACGTGCCTGGATCCGGACGGAATACTATGCAATGCATATTGGGCACTGATTTTTCCAACGAGAGTTTGGAGCGTTGCAGCGCAGCGTCTGCATCAGTAAGAGTCGCTTCCCTGGCAAGCTCGCTCGACGTAAAGCCGGTGGACGATCTGGAAGCACGAGATATTGCCTGAGGTTGATCGAGGGGTTCAAGTCTCGATGCAGTATGGACGGGTATGTGTGTGTACTTGCTGCTGGCGTCACGACGCAGCGAGCCTCACGCCTTTGATTGCCGCTGCATCTCATGGTCGAGCGGCTTACCGTACGCCATCTCGTGCGTCTGTCTCTGTTTCGCTCTCTGATTCTCTACCGGATTCGGCACGCGCCCGTGCTCATGACACGTGTATGCCGTCCTGAACACATCGGCGGGCATCGTGCAGCGCGCATTTCTGTATTTACTTCTGTATTTCGGCATGCTCATTGCATGAGCAGGCGTCCAGCATTTCTGCGTTATAGCGCGCCCTGCTCCATGGGTTACCTATCAAAGAAAACTGAGCAGCTTCATCTGCTTCGCACTGAGGCCTTCGGCTCCGTCCCCGCGCTCTAGACGCACAGCGAAGGCCATGGCGCTATCTGACCTGGGAATCACGCGCACAGCGAAGCCTTTCCCCGCATCTAGCTTGAACAGTTGGAAATGCGTCGCGCTGCCCGAAAGGATACTTTTCGGCACCTGCGCTGTCGAGGTCCCGTTCAAGGACGTGGTGCGTCGACCTTTCAAGGTATTCTGCGGGCTGTAGGTGCGAGTCTCTGACCCGACGCTCAGGCCGTGTTGCGGGTTTTGTTCCGGGCTTCATTCACGCTGTCCCTCGGGGAGGGTTCAGCCATAAAAAGCGCAGAGCAATGTGGACAGCTGGCAGCCCTGCGCCCGCAACACGTACGCATTGTTGGTGAACGAGCTGCGTCACAGCGCGCGAAACTGAGAGAGTCCTCATCGAGTGCGAAGCAACGCGACGCCATTTGGCGACCTGTATCTCGCTTTACTGAATATTCTCCCTGCTAATGTGTCTTTGCAGGGAGGCGTCGAGAGTGGTTCCGGCGTCATGCGCCCGATCCGTGAGCTTTTCCTTCCTGTCCCTGCACATCCTCTTCGTCTGAGGGATCCTCCTGCTCGTGGCGGAGCGGCCTCTTCGCCTTTGCGTCCGCTCGGCTGCGCGCGCCTTGAGCGCTTTCGAGTAAGGGGGCGCATCGTACCCAACGATCAACCCAGAAGAATGCGTGATAGAGACGCAACGGAGCGCTTCGACGGAGTATGAGGTGCTGAACGAAGCCGTCTGCTTGGCGATCACTAGGTGGCTCGGCAATGAAGTCGCCTCTGGGCCTGATGGTGTCGGAATGCTCGCTTATTTGTGCTTTGGGATCCGTCGTTCGCGCCTCGTTGGGTACCCTTGTGCGGGTCCACCATCGCTCCCGAACAAGTCCCTTTGCGGCGTTATACGGAAATCGAGCACCTCATGTGAGAATCATTGGCGCCGCAGTGCGAAATCGATAAATTGTGTCGTTCAGCACGAAACAGTCTCCCATACAAGTGCATTCCCTTCTGTATCCGTCTGTGTCTCTTCGGAGCAGCTCGTACCGACGGTACGGCATCATCACAGTCGATGACTGCTTCCGTGGAATTCCGTATCGAAGAAATGGAGTGGCATAAATTGACGAGGAGACACACTGATCAACACAGGGTTTGGTACCGTCCGCATTGAGTGCGAATCGTTCATCATGCAGAATACGAGTGGGTAGCTGCATCCAGCCGCTGACCCTGGACTGGCTGACTTGTACAAATCATGTCGCCTTTGGTACACCAGCACTGACACCATAGAAACTTTACGCCAACTCTCTCCAATCGATAGGCTCCATTCTCTTTGTCTTAGGCATGCGACAACCATGGATAAAGACGAAACCTGACCTGCTGGTACAGTTGGTACAAAATTCGCTGCTCGGATTATATCGATGATGCGCTGTGTGCCGAGGACAAGGTGCGCGGACATTACCGGCTGCCGCTGTGGTCACTGCAAGCACCCGCTCATAGCTATGCACCCGCTCGAGTCAAGCATGTGTGGTTCACGCGTCATCGCTTAGGAACGAATATTTCATCGTCGCTGCATTATATCGCAGGAGATCGATATCACGATGCAACTGACCGTATAGATCGTAGACGAATTGACTCCAGGATATATTCTTTACTGAATAGTTCAAGGAGGATTGCGTCCCTTTTTCAGATCAGTCATGCCATAGGACGCAGATGATTGAGGAACACTGTAAGGAACCAGTATATGCGATCTGCGTCAAAAACCGATATTTTTAAAGACTGCTTGCCGTTTATGCTAGAAAACTTCCGATTGATCAAACTACGGAAAGCAAAACTGACGATCAGAGCCATCCCGGGCGTCACTGTTTCTCAACAGATCAATTGTATGGTCCTGGAAACAGTAGGATAGTCTCAAGAGTCATAATTCACGCACGGCCATCTTCCATGGAGATCGCAATGTCGACGTTCCTCGAACGTCGCGATCTTCATCAAGCAGAGTGACGTCAGTCTGTTTTTCAGTTGATGCGACATCCTCCGGACGAAAAGGTTGGAGTATACATGAGTATTCGTGGAGCTGGGAACCCGTTGTATGTACGATCGAACTCGAAGAGAACGAGGACGTCATCCATTCTTGCTGCAATCGATCCATTTGGCTGTCTCAGATTCGCTTGTGGAGAAGGCTGAAAGAAAAGCACCTGCTTCGTCTACTACTTGGAAACTTTTCTCCTGACATCTGGTGACGCCATCCTATTGGACAGTGTCGAATTTCGCCATCCGCTTTCCGTTCGAGCATTTGCCGATTCTATCGGGGAACGAGCTGTCTTTCATTCCTCAGTGTGCTGCGTGGTTCATCCCCATCAGAGGAATGTTTTTGATCATGAAACGCAGTGATCGCTCCACTGGGTGAATCGCTGAAGCGTTCAGCACACGCTGGCACAACGGAGCACATAAAATCTTCCTTCTGCATGTGCGTCTGTCTCTGGGAAGGTCAGCACCTAAGGGCATAAACAAGGGCGTTCGTTTGAATACATTAAAAAATCCAGGGAAAGTTATGGACTCGGAAGTCCGAGATGTTTGAGGCCCGGTGTTGCCAGCTGCCGGATAAAAAACGGAAAGAATCCTTTTCTCGACAAACATCAAGCGAACAAGAGTATGTGACGAAGAAGAAAAAGAAAAGAGGGGACACAGCACAGCAAAGATGTTTGGCCGACGGGATAGTGACGATCCTGTTATGTCACAGAGGACACGAGTTCGAGGAATCCTTGCTTTGGTGAGTTCCACCAGCGGCAATAAACGCATGAAGTTCGTGAACCGAGAATTCAACGTCACCATCAGGATCAGACGATCTGCGGTGCTAAACACGGGGACCGAGGACCCCGGGCGATTTAACTTCATGGGGCAGCCTCTCAGACTCGACTTGTACCCAGATAATTCGAAATCGATAGCAGACGGCCGGTCCAGGAAAAGCTGGGAGACGTCGGTGTAAGTTTCTCCTTGATTCATTGAGAGGAACAGAAACTAACCATTCACTATCAACTCGATAACAATTTCTTCCCTGCTCTACCGTACACGTTTACAAGGGGAAAAGATTTCCGTATTTTCGAAAGCTTTCCTTCTAAGCGGAAGGTCCCGCGAGCCGGACGAGTCTGATGGGCTCGTGCTCCGTGCACCTCTGAAGTGCCCGGTGCTATAGTGAGGCCTGAACAGCTCCTCCGCAACGCACTATATTCTGGGACCAGGAGCAGGTAGGATGCATCCAGGTGTCGCCATAATCACAGAGGTCTCCGGGAATATCGCTTCGCGCTGTCGCAGGAAGTAGGCCTGTCTGCGCAGTTTGCAGACCCCCAGAATGCTGACAAGTCTGAATTCCGTATCGGATGAACCAAGCATCAAACCGACGCCCTGAGTGGTATGGCAAAGCCGTTCTGTCTCCGTGCAGCATCTGCTTCAACGGCATACGCGCGATTGCGGATGCAGCAAGACAGGTACCCGGCGCACGATCGAGCGTACATAACGACCGGTACATCCGAGAGGAACTATGGATCAGGGAACTTGCAAGTAGGTTGCAGCATGAAGGATGCTTTCTCGGTAACCAATATCCATCCCACAATCTGCGATCCATGGTCCAAGGGATCATTCTACCGAATAACAACAAAATCGTGCGCAGGTCGCCGACGGCGCCCGCGCCTCTACCAGCCACAGACGTATGCGCTTTGCGTAGGCTCTTTGCTGGAGGCCTGTCGCTCAACACTGCACGTGCTGCTTTTCCCTCTGTGTGTGATGCGGAAACGACGCAGCAGTTTAGGTTTCGTTGAGAATGTCTGCCTTGTGTCGGGCGTCGGGAGCGTCACGCGCTGGAGCGCTCGCGCTTCATCCCAGCGTGCCACCTCGGAAGCGCTGGTGTTTCGTCAGCCACGTGTTAGGGTTACTCGGCAACCGTCGAGGCGCTTGCGGCACCCTTTGGATGGCACTGGTGCGGGACTGCGGGGCGCACAGCACATGCACTGTGTTTCAAGGCTCACGGAGCGGTCCCTGGCTGTGATTCATCCAGGGAGCGCTCTGCAGACAGTGCGCCAAGTGCTCACGACGCTCCTGGTCGCGTGCAGCTCGGACGCTGCTGTTGTCACCGCTGCAATAGTTTGTCTCTCCGTGTACTTGTCGTTGCACGTTAACCAAGCACGCCGGGCCGAAATCGCGCAGAACAGGCCAACCGACGGCCACGCTCAACGGCATGCACCTGGACTCTCAGATAAAGCGACCGCTAGACTAGTAGCAATAGAGATAGGACGTTCGAGCCGAACACTCTATGTTGACAAGGGCCCGCTGGATACAACAGCCTCAGAGCGATTGCTGCTGGCTATATCGGACGCAAGCTCCTTTCGCGCACGCGGAAGAAATGTATGGCGCGCTCTCGTGGGGTCGCTCTTGCCGGAGGGATTCGGCGACAAGACACGCTTCCCGCCCGTTGTTTCAGATGACTACCTGCCGTATACCGTCCTTCACTTTATGCAGAACCTCGTCCACGCTGCAGCGTCAGTCATTGCGACGCAGTCGATGCTGATTGCCATCGGCGTCGCCAAGCAGGCCACCATCGGCGTCTCCGCTGCAGTGCAGTGGGTTCTCAAGGACGGGCTTGGGCGCATCGCTGCGATCATCTTCGGTTCGCTTCTGGGGAACCGCTACGACGCCGATCCGAAGCGTTGGCGAATGCGCGGCGATATGTTGTACACGCTGGGTGTGGGCACGGAGATCGCCACGCGCCTGGTACCGCAGTACTTTCTGCTGGTAGGCACCATGGCAAATGCCATCAAGTCCGTATCCTATATGATGCGATTGCCAACAGCTGCCGCCATTCGGAGGCATTTCTCCTTACGGGAAAACTTTGGTGATCTATCTGCAAAGGCGAATTCGCAGGAGGTTCTCAGCATGTTGCTGGGTACTTTTGTAGGCATCGGCCTATCCTACATGATCGACAATAGTCTGAAGGCTCTCTTTGCATTCTACATCATTTATGTACAGATGTTCATTCTTTTTAACTACTGGTCACTTCGCGTTTTGCGGATGCGGACGCTGAACTTGCAGCGAACGCTCATTGTCATGAGGCGCTACTGGAACTCGGGTGGCGTTGAAACCTGCTCAGTGGCGATGGCGAACCAGGCGGAGAACTTTCTACTGCCATCGCGTTTGGGGCCCGCCCGCAGAGTGCGTTTCGGGTGTCGGCTGGGGGAAGCATTTCGAACGGTAGGCGAATTCGAAGAAGCGATTGCCAGGCAGCGATTATGGCGAGGACAGTACCTCCAACAAACAGATGTCAGCAAGCGAAACGGCAATGCAGATGCTGACTTCACCAGTGTACCGGATGATGTACTCGATGAGCGCTATTTGCTCGGCGTAGATGCAAAGCGTGGCCGAGTCTTCGTTGTCCTGCACCGGGACGCCAAAGTTGCAGATGAGCTGCAAGCGCTCATGCATGCGACCTACTTGGTGCGTGCTGACTGGGGCCCGCCTCCCGACATGTCCATAGACAGGGTACGTGACGGCTACTTGCTGGCATGTGCAGAGACACCAGTCCTGGTTCAGCGCATGCGAGCAGTCGGTTGGAATGTGGACGAATTTGTGCACGCAGGCGGAGAGCGGGCAAGAGCCATCTGGGGAACGGAAATCGAACAGCTCGGCACAGCCGCTGCCGACGTCGAGCACCCGACGTCTGCGCTGACGCGCCTGCTTCATCCGGCAGTCACGAAGCAACCCTCATCGGTAGGTTCGTACGAGCTTCTCACGACCGTTCAGGAATCAGCAGAGGCGACGGCAGCGGAGGAGTCGCTTGCCATGTCGCCATGGGGCCCTACGTTCCCCGAAGTGTCCTTCGGGTCCGAACTGGATATCGTATCTTGAGGTCCGCTGAATAAAAGCCAGGATCTTGACGAGCGTGGCCGCAGGAACGCTTGGTGGTACGTTACGGCATCAGTCACGAATGCGGTTCACGAGGGCCGCGAAGAGCCTCCGCGGCAACCGAAAGACGCACGTGCTTTCGCAGCGGTTTACGGATACGAGCGCGTCGTACCAAGTGCACCTTTGCGGGGGATTTTGTGGGTAAGCACCGCTACCACCACCACCCCCACGATTTCCGTTGCGCAGCGAAACGAGGAGCAGTCCCTCCAGAAGCCGCGATCATTTGCAAGGCCAGAGGCTTTACGACACAGTAGAGCGGAATCATCGCAGATCCAAGGGAGAGTTGCACAATCGCAGGTAAGAGTTGGACCCAGTACGTCCAGAATCGACCAAGCACCAACGCCTCTGCAGTGGCGGTGCGGTCCGTCGAGACGTTCCCGAGACAGCGTGCCCGTGCCAACCCAGCGAGGCGCCCTTTCTAGTTGTGATATGTGTGACCGGCGATTCTCGAGGCGTCTAGGATGCACTGATCAACGAACGGTTTTCGATCGAAGCGATACGACTCCAGCGTAAACTGGCTCGCGCTCACGTGCAACGGAATGGTAGGCATGAAGGTCGTTTCCCATCCCGCGCGCTTGCGTCCGTCACGTAGGGAAATAGCGCACCATCTGGAGACCTTTCCGCTCCAGACCGAGTTTCGCATAAAAGGCCTCGTTTTCTTCGACGCAGTCCAGGGTAACCTTGTAGCACTTGAACTGGTCCCGCGCTCGTGCACACAGCTCTCGAACGAGGCGTGAGCCCAGGTTCCGCCGTCGATGCGCTGCGTCAACCACAACGTCCTCAATGTGACCGGCTTGCCCGCAGCTTCGCGTGAATTTGTACTCGATAAGCAGCGTTGCTGTCGCTGTTACGCGCTTTGTGGCGCTTTCGACGGCCACCAGCGTCACGTACGTGCCCGGCAGCTGCTGGCGAAGGCGGTAGCGTTCGCGCCAAAAGGACAACGGCAGCGTACCCGTCTGTGTAAGCTGGGCAAGCAACTCTGGAAACCCGTGCTCAAGATCTGTTTCGCATAGTTCACGTACTTCGTATGAAGCAGTCTCGTCCATGCGCTGCTTCAACGTAGTGCGCTCGAGCAAGGTACGCAGCGCATGCCGCTTGGCATGCCGCAGCGCCAGCACCAACTGCAGTCGAGTGCGAGCGCATCCGCCTTGCAAGCGTAACGTCCTTAGGTCCGACTGTCCGCTCAGCGACTCGAGTGCTGCTATGCTGGTGCGCTTTATGGATTGTACGCTTGTCATTGAGTACACTGAGCTGGGCTAATGGCATCCGAGCAGCCTGCGGGCGTCGAAGACCCCGCGCAAGCGCACGACGCGGCAACCTTCAACCAGTCGGAGGAGCGACCAGTCAGCGCCCTAGCTTCGCAGCAGCGCTTACCATGGCAGCTACGCTGGCAACGAACCTTCAACGCACTGGGCGGCGTCGTGTCCAGGGCTCACGGCGGTATTACCGAGCAGTTTCGGGCTCTCTTTGCGCGCCGGATGGCCGCTGCCACTCCAGTGCTGCTATTTCTGGGTGACTCGCTGACACGTCGCGGCCTCGATATCAACGAATACGCTGGATACACCTCCGTTGGCTGGGGTCTGCGACTCGTTCACGCATACAACGGTGCGGCGGACTGCATCTTTCGTGGTCTGTCGGGTTATAACACGCGGTGGGCGCTGCCAGTGGTCCGGCATCACCTGTCGGATGTGGCACAGGAGCGTCTGCTGCTCGTTGGGATCTGGTTTGGAGCGAATGATGCCGCAGCACCCGGTACTGCACAGTGCATTCCACTGGATGAATACGCAAGCAATCTTTACGAGATGCTTCGGCTCATACTGGAGCGCTCGCACGACGCATCCCTGACCCTGACCAGCGAGAGGCATCCGCGGCGGCAGCAGCACGGTCGAACGCCACCGTCGCTCGCAGCGGCACCGGCACCTGATGCATCGGAGGCGAATGAGATAGAGTCTGTTCGATACCCTCGTGTTCTGCTGATGACGCCACCGTGGGTAGACGAGGAAGCTCGGCGGCGCCATATCCAAAGCAGTCTCGCAGCGGAGCGCGCTGCGCCCGACGCCCACCAGCCATCGGACTCAGGTCAACGAACTGAGTCTGATCGTATGTGTGCACGAACTAGACAGTACGCGGCTGCTTGTCGCCGTGTTGCTGCGCAGATTCGACCCCGAGATCGAGTCTTGCTCCTAGATCTCTTTACGCAAATCGAGCAGCTGCCTCCAGCGGAACGTTCCGGCCTCTTCATCGATGGACTTCACCTGAGTGATCGAGGTCAGCGCTTCGTTTACGATGCCATTTTGGAGCTCATCGCCCGCGAGGCACCGGAGCTGTCACCGTCGAGCCTGGGTCAGTTTGCGATCCCGTGGTGCGATATAAATCCAGTTCGCCCACAGGAGCAACTGGCTGTGTATGACCAGCAGCGATGGTGGTAGCGCTACCCTGCATGAGTGCCGCTGACGGGCTCCGAGCCCGAACGGAAGCCGAGGAAGGTGCACGCGCATCTACACTGCCGATTGATGCATGGTAGGACAAGAAGCACGCTGTTCTCAGTATGAATAGGAAACGAGTCTCGAATGTGGATACGTGCGACAAATAGGAAGCAGGCGCACCTGACAAAGCATTTGAAGTATCCGGGGTAAATCCAGACACCAAAATTTGACGCAGCATCCGAAGGTTTCATTCTGAGCGCGCACTACGGCGATGTGGTAGCACGCTGTGCCGTCTGCGTGCAGTGTACCGCACATCGTTCCCGTTGATATAGTCGATGACGCCTTTTCTTGGTCTCAGACTGGTGTCGAATGTATCCAGGAGACTGCGTGAGCGACGCTTGAGCGCACGTACGCGCACATGTATCCATGCATACATACGTCTAGGCACTGGCCAGTGATTACGACGCCTTGCGCAGTATGTCAGTTGCCGCGAGACCGGTGAGCGGGCGTTCACCAGCGAGCCATACCCGTGCACTCATGAACGTTTCGTGGCCAGGTGCGGCTCGCGCTGCCGTGTCCACCCTTGTGGCTCCAGCTGTTCCACAGACGGGGAGCTTTCTGCGTTCGCGCGCTTCGGTATACGTGGTCGACACGCGCTCCCTCGTGAGTGGCAACTGCGGTCCACTTGGGCGATGCAGCGCCCTGGACCTGGCATTCTTACGGTCTCGGGAGCTTCATAGCATGAGTCGACGTTCGCAGCAGCCATCAAAGCATATGGAATGCTGCATGAATGACGTACGAGCGAATCCCGCCATGCATTGAAGCTGCGGGGCTGACGTTTTGCATCCTACACCTCCGAGGCCGCCAGCATACGTCCACGGTCCGCGCTAGAGTCGGAACGGCGCCATCGCGAGACCCTTTCCGCGCAACGCCTGTCGATAGACGACTTCGAAGAGGTCCACCAGCTGCTGCACGCTCGGCACCGGACGGGTCAGACGCGCCGTGTCTCCAGTACCACAGTCCACCTTGATGAGGCGCTTTCGATAATAGAACTGGAGCGACAGGGGTCGCCACGCCTCAACGCCGAAGCGCCGCGCAGCCTGCGGAACCTGCCGCAAGTCCACACCGTACACCACTGCGAACCTCCGCACGCGCGCTGCTGATCTTGCGAGGATTTCGTCCATGAAGACACAATCTACAGCTGCTGGATCGCTACTAAAGCGCAGGGCAACCAGACGCTCGGTTTCCTCAGCCAGTGCTTGTTGAATCGCCGCCATGGAGCCCAGTACCGGCACCAACGGTGCACTGTCCATACCATCGGAGGTGTATGCAACCCCAACAAACAGCTATCGTTCACTGCAAGTCCATCGGCTGACGTTTGGCGTCACACGAGCGCTCGAGTCTGACGCTCGTGATACCACACGCGCATACGCAAGTCCGCACGCCCAGCCTTTCCTCTTCAATGGACAGCGTCCGCACAGGCGCACGTTTTCTGCCGCCTGCGCTGGCGCAGTTGCGCGCACGCAATCTGAAACGGTATGCACCTCTCCATTTACGCACCATCATGAATCTATAGTACTATGAATATACATAAATATATCATTAGGTATCTATATGCCACCACAGCAGCACGTTCGGATTTTTTCGCTGACAAAACGTTTACTTCGGCCAGCGTTCTCCGATTAAGCGCATTTGTTTCTTACTTTTTTTGTGGTTTTTTTCAGTGGGCGGTAAGGTGTCCATCAAACCCCCGACCTCCAAGTTACATTGCCGATACCTCTTCTCGGATATTCCGGTCGTTTCATACGTCCCATCGGGTGTGCCTAGTGCCTGCCGTTCCGTATCCGCCTTTGGACCTTAAATGCTAGAGCAGATAGTTCATAGAGCTAGAACAGCTTTTCTATACCCGAGAGGACGTCGGCTCGAGGCGTGCTTCACCCAACGTAGAATCGGGTCTCGTCGTCAGTTTGTGCTCGGACAGTCTGCGGATGCAGGCTTGCCTTCGCTGCACGACACGCTGGAGAAACTTGGCTGTTAGGATGAATGCTGGGAGCCGCCTCTCTCCTTCGTGATCATGCATGGAATGCGTTGTTGTCGGTTGGCAATGCGGGTTTGTGCTTGACACCCACCACAGTGGGTAGGCGCAGAAAGCGCACTGGCCCCGTATGCGTATCCGATTCGCTGGACCTTGCGCCCAGAAGGTACCCTTGATGCCGATGCGCGTCGCGCACATTAGCATAAGCGCATAACCTGGACAATCCGACACCATCCACCATGCAAGCTGCGGAAGGCAGTTTGGTGGCGCCATTCGTGCCAGAGGCGCTGCTGCGCTTTCGGTTGCGCGCGCTGGCCATCGAGGTAGCGCGAATGCTCGCCAAAGTGCGCGCACAGCTCGCGCAACGGAATCCTGTGTGGGGTGTAGCGAATTCTCCCCCCCAGGTACCGCTACGCTGCTGCACTGAGGTCGACTCCAAAAGGGTGCCTGTTGGAGGCGTGAACCGCCATCAATGCTGGTATCACTTGCTTCTAGTCCTTCTTTGGGTCTGAATTATTTGCGTTACCCAGCCAAAGCAGTGCGGGTAACGCGCTGTGAACGGCTTCGCCTCGCAAACGCGCGCCGGGGTGCAGGTCCCGCCAAGCTTGACGCGTGTGCACCTCGACCGGCCGGGGGCGACACGCTTCGCTGGCGTGATACTGTTGCGCTTTATGCACAGCTTTCCGCTGAACAAACTGTGGAGCACTTGCTCGAAGGTCTCTCGCGTCGACAGGCACTCACCACCGCGCAGGAGTGTGATGAGGGTATTGAAGCGTTGTATGCCTTTGCGAACTTTGACGTCTGGTCGATCAAGAATGAGTTCTTCGGAAAGCGAATTGATTTGGGTCAGTTTGAACGCTTTAAGCGCATCATGATGGCGAGGCCGTATTCCGCGCTGCTCCGTCACAAGTGTCGATGCGTGCTTAGCTCAATGCGAGTCACCCCATACCTCTACCACTGCCGTATCCAGGTTCTCTCGAGCGTGGACGACGTTGCCGTTTTCAGGTTTTGCCTCAGCCGCCGAGCGTTGCCAGGCGCTCCACGTGCACCACGCCGTCCGCGTTTGTACTGGATGGTTGACCAAATTCTCCATGAGCAAGTTTCATGATGTCACTTCTTTGCACAGTCACATAAAGGCCGCCAATGGTGCCCCTTCATGTTTATGATGTAGAAGGCTTGCTGTGCGCCATGCAGCGCAGGAGGCTGCTTCGTTCCGCTGCGCACTCTGGTGCGTGCTCGCTACCGAACGCTTGCATGCATCTCCATAGCGGGGCGCAGTCGCACGTCTCCACAGAGCCATTCCGGACATGATCGTCTTGAATGGTTTGTGTGTTGGAATACAACCCGTGGTGAAGCGTGATGCCGGCGAGGGTGACGCTTACCACGAAAACACCTCCTGCGACCAGTCGTCTTGCGGGCAGCTCCAGCCAGCGCTTTCCTGACAGTAACTGTCTTCCGAGCAAACTCGCGTACGTCATATAATTCTGCAGACACGTCCCCGTTTCACGGAAGGGAAAATCTCGAGGAGCAAAGCGGAGCCGCCCGCACGCCCACACACACACATCTATGATAGGGACGAGAACGGATCACCCAGCACTTGTGTGACGAACAGTGCTCCGTGTCGCGTTCTGTTTCCGTGCACGAAAGGCTTGCTTTCAGCGCTACTTGTCGTAATTAAGGACCGGCCAGACCGTTGGAGCAGTGTCCGGTGCAGTAGACCGCGTACCTGAAAGCCACAAAAGGCGCACAGGGCAGAGCGCCGTACTGCGTCCAGCTCGCGAAACCGGTCGCTTCTTTCGGGCGATGGGCGCGGTCGCCTGCTGCTGGTCCGTGGTATCGCCGACACAAGGAGCGCCTTAAAAGTCGAACGTCGCCGGCGGCCGTGTACAGTAGTGGCGAGAAACCCGCCCTAGATAAAACGTCTTCAGCTGACGTGCAGACGCCTCCCAGCTTTTTTGGACAGGCTACCTACTACTGCCTCCAACTTTTTCTCATACAGCTCCACTTTGAATGATTGCGCAACAAAGTTCTCTCGTGTCAACTCTGGAGGTCTTCTTTCCACCACGGCACATCTCCTTATATTGATAGCGGCGTTAAAGTCACGATTCACAAACTCCATACGTTTCTTGCCATCTTTGTTTGTACACAGTAATGCGAGTAGTCCACGAGCTTTCGCCCTGCTTTCCATTTGCTCCTCCGTCAACGCTCCGTACTTTTTTACATCCTCAGGGCTTCACTGGTACTTTTCCATCTCCACTCTCTGAAGCGTACAACCCACTTCATGGTGTGTATACGACGTCCGGAACTCATCTACAGGTATCGTAACGAGATGCCTTTCACACACCTTGTGCGTTCTTGTAGCTGGAGCTAGCCTAGTCCCTTTTTCCCACGCCTACCGCCCTGCCCAATACGCTTCTACTAGCCTCTGACTGTCGCTCTCCTTCAAGGCGCTCAACTCATTGAAAAAACTCGTGAACGCACGCTGCCTCCCACCGTGTAGATTCATACACAACCGAGCCCACCGGGGCTTTGTATACTCCTCCTACAGCGCCTCGCAATGAGCAACACGAACTTCCATAAACTCCCGGAAAGCGTGAAAGTCCGCTCCCCGGCCCGTCACCTGGCTGATCGCTTCCAGGTGCTCTTTCAATCCTGCGTTCCACGCCCCACTTTTCTTCCTTTATTCATTACACTGAATTCTCGGTAATATCTCGTTCTTGAAAGCTTTAAAACACGCATGTGTTTTTGACGTAGGTTGCCGTCGATGCCATCATCCCCGCAATTGCGTGTTGTGATGGTCATGATATTCGTGTTCCCAGGGCCCGCGCCAACGACAAAGTGGTTCTCATGCACCTCCTGCTTCGTGGGGCTAGCCTCTTTGTTTTCTTCACGCTTTGCCAGCGACGGCAACGAAGACAGAACTGGACGATCCGCCTTCAAGCGCCGATAATGTACACGCATGGCTATCGCATCACTTTCGATCATCCCAGTAAAGTCCTTTTTCTTGCTCGTTCTGAGACGTTTGGAATCGAAGATATTCTTCTTCCAGTACGTCTCCTGGTTTTCACCGGTGAACTCCTTGTTGCTTACATCGAACACTGGACAGATCTCCGTAATGATGCCGTAAGGGATTTCGGAGTCGATACTCACAAAATGTGACTTGATGTTGCACAACGGAACGACGTTGAAGCGCTTCTCCAGAAGCGCAGCTTTCCGTTTCTCCGTCACTGCATTTGCTTCAACACCCTGCTCCATATCGGTCTTGCATTTCAGTTGTCGGTTCAGGAATATGGTATAGCGCAAGATGAGGCGATCGTATCTTTCCGAATCTTTTTTCAACTCTGATATCTTTTCTGCTGGACTCGCCAGCCCCAAGACCACACGATGCTCTTTAATAGCTGCACGGATTACAGAATCCTCATTTGCTCTCCTGCGTGATGTCTTCTCGTGAACAAATTCGATCTACTGTTCATTCTTACTATCGTTTGTGATGCCATCGATGATGGTCCATATCCCTTTGCGAGAGGGGCCCGGGTAGCGCGTACAGACGGCGCGTATCATGAAACGTTCCAGGTTCATGGTCAAATAGTTCTTCAGGTTCGTGAGGTGCTTCATAACCCCGACGGTGTAAATACGCGAGTCACCCCTGTCTCGAGTACCGTTGAAGCGGAATTCGGCGTAATTTTCGTGGAGGGCATGCACCCGCTCATTTCTCCTCGACGTTTCCCCTGTACCAAGCATCAGGTGACGAATAAAGGTTTTGCCGAAAAATTCTTCCAGAACCTCGACTGTTTTGATGCCCGTTGCGTCGTCGCGCATCTCCTTCACCAAATGCATTATACCTGCAGAAGCCATCATAACACTCATGGAGTCTGACTCGATACGGTTTCTGATGGCCTCTCGCAGCTTTCGCCGGGACGGATCCTTGATATGTGCGAGAAGACAGGTTTTCACCACCATCTGGTCGTACTGTCGTGTTTCGTTCAGCTTCTGACCTCGGGCCTCCCTCTTTTGCTCCATCGTCTTCTCATGTTCCTTTTAGCTCCGCCATGTTTTTCCTTAGTCTCCGGCAGTCGACGACACCAGATGTCCAGGATCCTCCAGTTTCTTTTCCACAACTTTTTCATTATTTTTGAAGAAGAAGAAGGCTCTTTCAACGCTTCTGATATGAATCGCTAAAATTGATTTGAATACACTAACTTGAGGTTTGAAACACAATTGCATTAAACAACTTTAATTTGTTACGACTTTAACGCAAATACAACTTGTACGGTAGAACAATAAGAAAACGGATTTTCACAATTTCGCGTTTCCTTTCAACGGCGACACGTGCGTCTTGTCTCGTACGACCTGATCTCCCCGGCGCGCTAACCGACCGCAGCATACAGAGCAAAGAACAGAGACTAACCATTAACTAGCAACGATATACCAATTTATCTTCCCTGCACGATAAACGATAAAAAGGAAACACGATTCCCGTTTTGTCGAAAGTTGAATTTCTCGACGGAAAAACCCGCGAGCCAGACGAGTACCCCAGGCACGTGCTTCGTGCTCGCCTCCCAGTGGCGGGTGCTGCACTGAAATCTGAGCAATTCGTCTGCAGCACTGTTTATTCTGGTACTAGCGGCAGTTAAACTGCATCTGGGCGTCGATCCGGTCGCGGTGGAGTCCTAGTATAGAGCTTCACGCTATCGCAGGCAGTGTGTCTGTCTGCGGAGCTTGCTGGCTCCCAGAATGATCCTATACTCCAACTCTGTGTCAGGTGGAGCATTCCTCGATCCGACGCCCTCAGTAGTACGGCAACGCTGCTCTGTATCTGTGATGCATCGGCATCAGCGGATTAGACGCTAAGGCGGGTGCATCAACGCATGCACCCGGCGAATGACAGGAAGCACGAGACGAGTAGTACATCTGAAAGGAAGTATACGTAATGGAATCTGGAGTTAGAATGCAGCATGATGGACGCTTTCGCTGAATCCGATACCCATTTATAGCACAATCTGGGATCCATTGTCAATATAAGTGTTTTTCCATCGGAAAAATGAAGCGTGTAGCTCTAACGTACAAATTGTAACGATGTTCAAGTCGTAGAAAAATACATTGTTTGTCCTCAATCGTGTTTCAACCTTCACTCTAGTGTATTCAAGTGCTTTTTCGTGCGTAATAGCTGTCCCATCCAAAGTGGTTTCGGTTTTTATATTGAAAAAGGAAAGTTACGGAAGTGGAAGTGTAGGATCCTGGGCGTCAATGTCGCCGGCAGCCCGAAAAAACGAAGAACAGTGCCAAGTGCAAAGGAACAGGATAAGAAGAAGAAGTAAAAGTGGAAGGCCCTACGTCAAAGGCTACACAAAAGACGACGGTACGACGAGATGGCGGTGAAAGCCTGTCTTCTTCAACATACCAAGGATCCGTACAGGGAAAACGTTCGAGAGGCAATATGGAACCGTGTCGAGCCGAACTCCAGCGGTGTTCGTGATGCTTCTCAAGGAATGTTGCATTTCCTAAGAAAATGGTATCATGACGTTACGGACATCAAAACAGTCGATATTCTGGGTGAATTTTTCAACAAAACCTTTATTCATCACTTTATGCTTGGCACCGGGGAAACGTCTAGGTGAAATGAGCGAGTTCATGCCCTCCACAAAATTTACGCCGAGTTCCGCTTCGACGGTACTCGATACAGGGGGGATTGGGATATTTACATCTACGGGGCGATGAAGTACCTCACCAGTCTAAAGAACCATTTAACAATGAACCTCAAAAGCTTCATGATACGCTCCATCTTTGCACTCTACCCCGGTCTCACTCGTCAGGGGATATGGGCGATTGTCAATGGCAACACGAACGATCGCAAGCATGAAGATGAGATTGAATTCATCGACGAGAAGAAATCACTCAGGAGCATGAATGAGGATTCCGTCATCCGAGCGGCTATACAAGAGCATCGTACGGTACTGGGGTTGGCGAACCGAGCAGCAAAGATATCAGAGTTGAAAAAAGATAACGAAAGATACTATCGCCTCGTCCTGCGTTACTTTGTGTTTCTGGGCCGTGAGCTCGAACGCAAGGCAGAGATGAAGCTGAGTGAGGAAAAAATGAAGAGCGGGGGAAACGAAAGGCTGCGCTTCTGGGTAAGCGCTTCAACGTCGTTCCGTTGTCCAACATCAAGTCACGTTTTGTGACTATCGATTCCAGAATCCTTTACGGCATCATGAAAGACTTCAGCCCCGAGTTTAATGTCAGCAGGAAGGAGAGTACCGGTGAAAACCGGGAGACGTACTGGAAGAATATGTTTGATTTCACACGTCTGAAAGTGGGCAAACAAAAGGTATTCACAGGGGTGATCGAAACCGATGGAGTAGCCATGTGTATTCACTATCGGCGCTTGAAGGCGGATCGTCCAGTTCCGTCTTCGATAGTGTCCGTGACGAAGCATGAAGATGAGAAGGAGGCGGATTGTGCCACACAGAAAGTGCAGGATAACAACTTTGTCGTTGGCGCGGACCCTGGGATTACGAATATCGTAACCATCGCTGCTCCCAAGCGTGCGGAAGATGGTAACGACGGTAACACACGTCAGAAAGGCATGCGTCTGTTGAGGTTCTCGAGAGCGAGATACCACCGAGGATCCGGCGTAATGAATGCAAGGAAGAAAATCATTACATGGAATTCAGGAATGAAAGAGCACCTGGAAGCTTTGAGCGAGGTGACGAGCCGAGGAGCGGACTTTAACGCTTTTCGGGAGATTATGGAAGTTCGCGTTGCTCATTGGGATTCGCTGTGGGAGGAGTATACAAAGCCTCGACGGGCTCGTCTGCTTATGAACCTGTATTGTGGGAAGCGGCTTGCATTCGCCAACTTTTTCAGTCAGTTGAGCGCCTTGAAGGAGGATGAAAGTCAGAGGCTCGTAGTAGCATACCGAGCAGGGCGCTGGGCGTCGAAAAAAGGAACTACGCCAACTCCAACGACAAGAACGTACAAGGAGTGCGCACGGCGCTTCGCTACGATACCTGTAGATGAGTTCCGAACATCCTATACAAACCATGAACTGGGGTGCACGCCTCAGACGGTCGAGATGGAGAAGTGTCAGCGAAGCCCTGAGGATATACAAAAGTACGGACCGCTGACGGAAGAGCATATGGGAAGGAGGGCGAAAGTTCGAGGGCTACTTGCACTAATGAGTACAACCAATGATAGTAAGAAACGTATGGAGTTTGTGAATCATGACTTAAATGCCGCGATCAATATCAAGAGATGTGCGGTGCTGGAGAAGAGACCTCCAAACTGGACAAGAATGAACTTTATTGGACAACCTCTCAAAGTCAAACTATATGAGAAGAAGTTGGAAGCAGTAGTAGGCGGCCGGTCCAAGAAAACTGCGAGGCGTCTGTACGTAAGTTGGTGATGTCTAGTCTGGGGCGCGGCGATCGCCACTACTGTACCACTGGCGACAGCGTTTTTCTTTTGAAAGGCGTTGGTTTCCAGGGGCGCGCGCTACAGCAACGCCTCTGGTGCGCCTGCTGGGTATGACGGCAGACGCAGCTTGGCCAGCGCTCGTGGTTAGCTTTCTCCTGGGGCTTTTCGCAGGGCGCCGCAGCAAGCACCAACGAACTGGTGCCAGCGGGCTGGACACGAGTGCATCGGGCGCGCCTGCTGGGTCAGTGATCGACAGCACGCCCGCTGATGCACCGTTCGCCTCGCTGGTGCCGCTCGCGTCGGCGCCGTCAGGGACCACCGCTGACGTTAAACTGATGCTCATCGTACGTCGTGACCTGAAGATGAGCCCTGGCAAAATTGCCGCTCAATGCGGGCATGCCTCTGTCGGTGCTTTTAGAGGGTGTACGGATCGCGCGCTGCTGGCTGCTTGGGATCGAAACGGCCAGCCGAAAATTGCGCTGCGCTGCAGCTCACTGAAAGAGCTGTTGGCGATCGAACGGGCGGCCCGGCAGCTTCGTATACCGACTTTTGCCGTACGCGACGCGGGGAGAACGCAGGTCGTGGCGGGCACGATTACGGTGCTGGCTGTTGGGCCTGCCGAGAGTGCCAAACTCCAGAGAATCACCGGCCATTTGAAGCTACTTTAAAAACATCGAAGTGCTGCGAGTATAAAGACGACACCCAGGGGCCAGAACACGTGCGCTGATGCTAGCGTCCAGTGTTGAGACGCCAAGGAGCCGCTGCTGAGAAGCCGGCAGCGCGAGACGCGGCTCGCAGTATCGCGCTGCACACCAGGATTCGAGTTCGCGAATCAGTGCAGTCGGCAGTTTACGAGAACGGGCGGCAGGCTGCATCTGAGTGCATGTCGATGCACTCTCCGTGCTGCAGCGCGTCGTCACGCAAGGCTATCGCCATCATAGCGGAGCGCGGTGCTGGCCGTGCCTTTGTGCCGCATGCCATAGCCTAGCACTTGCCCGGTATTTTGGTTGGTCAAGTGCCGCGCTGACGCGTATTCACGCGAGTTGCGTTCTACATAAAAACACTAGATACAGCAGCTGAGCCTGTATCCACTCCTTTGCCCGTTAGCAGCCACACTTGGCGCTATGCTTTACGTTGCTGTGAAAGCGTGCAGCTTCAGCAGCAAGGCTTGCCTCCATGCGCGCACTCGTCTACACGCGATCCAATCAGCTCCCTCATTGTCGATAACGAGCGCGTTTCTAAAGATGCCCATTCATGCCTAGCATGGTATCGCCAGGTTTCCAATCGCATCCCTACTCCATGCGATTCAGGAATCGTAAAAGAGCAGCGAGAACGCTGTCCACCCGGGGCGTCGATGCATCCGGCAACGCCGTTTCAAGACGCGCTTCCGCAATCTGATTTGCACCCAACGATTGGAGCAGGGATCCAAACCCCGTTTCAAGCAGGAGCGCCCCCATATTCTCTAGGAGGCTCGCAAGAAGCCCTGTCGATCGTGGACGCACCTCCATGAAACGCAGCGGTCGATCTGCGGCTAGTTCAAGACGTTCCCGACACAGCTCGACAGCGCGATCAAAGCCGCCGAGTGCATCGACGAGCCCCACGGCGAGCGCTTGCGTACCCGACCAGACACGTCCTTGTGCGTAGCGATCGAACTCGTGATGTTGGCGACCACGGCTCTCCGCTGCCTTGCGCACAAACGACTCGTAGACTCGCTCCGTACTCCGCGTGAAATAGGCATCCTCTTCGGGTGTGAAGGGCCGAAAATCCACATCGAGCTCCGCATAGCGCCCCCTACTCAAAACCTCTCGACGAAATCCAATGCGCTCAAAGAGTTGTTGCAGAGACGGTTTGGCAGTTACAACGCCGATGCTGCCTGTTAGGGTGAGAGGTTCCGCCACGATCGCCTGGCATCCCATGCTGATGTAGTAACCACCGCTACCGGCAACGTCGCCCATACTCGCAATGACCGGCTTGCGCTTGGCCAGCTCGCGGATGGAGTTCCAGATCAGGTCCGATGCTAGCGCGGAGCCTCCGGGCGAATCAACACGAAGTATCACAGCTGCGAGGCTTCGATCGTTTTTCGCTCGCTCCAACTGCTCCACAAGCGTGTCCGAGCCTATGCTGGGACTGAATAACGGGTTCGACGAGCTGCGTCCCGTTTGGATAGCGCCCAACGCCCGAATCACCCCAATTTTCGTGACACCTCGGCGACGCCCTTCGGGCAGGCCTAACACAGACGGACGCACCCGCCGATAGCGCTTAGCGGCCACTGCTCGCAATGGACGCACCAACAATCGTCGCAGGCGACGGTCTGCACTGCTCGAGCTGCTCTCCTTTTCGCTGGTTTCGGATAGACCCCAGGCTTTGCCGACAAACCGCATTTTGAGCTTGTCTAGAAGATCATTCTCATAGGAGATACCATCTACGAATCCGAGCGCTTTCCATTCGGCTACCGTCATGGGCGGATCGTCCAGGATGCGATGCACGACGGCTGCAGGGTCTGGCTCTGAACCCACTCGTGTGCTCAGCTCGCTGCACAGATGTTCATACTGTTGCTCCAGAAGCGATGTGAGGACTTCACGTTGGGCGTCGCTCATCGTGCGTCTGGCAAGCTGATCGCCTGCTGATTTATAGGCGCCAATGCGCTTCACTTGCGGCTCAATGCCGATCTTGTCAAGGACGCCGCGTAGAAAGCTCGCGGAGACTTTCATGCCCCGAAGCGACAGGATACCCTCCGGAGGCATGTAGATCTCATCTGCGCCGAGCGCCAGATAGTACTCTCGTTCGGAAGCTACCGCCATGTAAACGATCACCGGTTTGCCTGATTGTCGGAAGTAGTCGAGATAGCGGCGCGCTTCCTGCAAACGAGCGTAGCCGCATGCCAGTGGACCTATCTTGACGTACATGGCGCAGATTCGCGGATCATGCGCTCCATTCCGGCATATTCGCTTCCAGTCTTCCAGCGAGATGCTGCTGGCGGCGGGGAAGGTAGCCGCGTGGCTGTCGGGAAACGGGCCCTCGAGATCGACGGTTATTGTCGTATAGCGACGAAGGCGGACGCGCACGAACACGAGCTTCCATGCAAGCCATACCCGCCATAGCCAACCCGTCTGTGGCTTGAACTCCAAACGATGTGCCTCCAGCGCACCCGGCACGCGCACATGGTTCACCGCGGACGGCTCAGGGAAGTTCACCGTGCCAGCGGCCTCGCCGAGTTCGCTGACGACGCTGTTTGGCGGGTCGCGCGAAGCTCCAGCCTCGTGAAGACTCGCGGACAGCGGGAGCCGTGGAGCACGCCCGCGTCGCGTTCTTGCCAAACGAGGAGCACGGGAAGTGCTCTCTCTGTGGCGCTGCACGCCGCTCCTGTTCGAGCGCTGACGGAGACGCGAAGCGCTGCCGGCCGGCGCCGCTACGAACGCCGCCGCTGACACGAGCATCGCGGGCTCCGTTCCAAACACGTTGGCAGACTGCGAAAACCTTCGTTCCAGCGAACAAACGACAAGCGGAAAGCGGTGGAATTCGCAACTGCGTCCACAACGCAGCTGTCGTTGCACGTTTCACCAAGACGCGCAACGAAAGATGCTGCAAATTTTTTCCCATTGCCAAGACGCGTACCAAGGCCAGCGTCCTCCGATTGTGCGCTTTTGCTTTTTTCTTTTTCTTTTCATTTTTTTTCAGCGCGCGGTTAAGCATCCATCAAACCCCCTACTTCCAAACTCCGTAACCCATACTACTCCTCGGATACACTGATCGCTTCATAGGCTGTATCGTTCGCTGAGCGCATGCCGCAAGCGTCCCTTGTGGAGCTTGTACCGTTGGCACGAATGCATCTCAATGACAGAACGGCTTTGCCGTACTAATGAGGACGCCGCCTCGGTGCTTGGTTTATCCAACATGGAATCGGGATTCACTATCATTACGAGAGCCTGCAAGCTGCGCAGACAGACCTACTGCCTGCAACAGCGCGAAGAGATTTACCAGGATAATCCTGCGAACACGGGCGACTCCTAGACGCAGCGCACCAGCTCCTAGTCCCGAACTGAACTGCGTTGCGGGCGAGCTGCTCAAGTCTCGCCATTGCACCCACCACTTGGTGGAGCATGAAGTTTCAGCGCGGCGGAGTCGTCTGGCTCGCGGGACGCCCCGACTAAAAGGTGAACTTTCGACCATGCGAAACAATTTTGCCAGCTTCAACACGTACCGTCGAGGCAAATATTCGTATATCGTTGCTAGGTAGCGTTCGTTTCCGTGATTATTTTCTACAGCGCAGTCGATACGCACACCATCATATTTGGGAGATGACATTGACGGCAGCCTGCGCCACAATGAGATGCGTCTTTTGAAGTTCTCGAGAGCTGCATATTGCCGACAGTCGGAGATAATGAAGCCCAAGAAATACTGCACCCTGCAACGCTGAACAGAAGGAGTACCTGGACGCGATGAGCAAAGTCGCGTCGCGCGGAGCGGACTTTCGAGCTTTTCTCGAATTCACGGAAACTCAAGCTGCTCATGCCGAGGAGCTGTGGAAAGAGAGTATCCAAAGCCCCGGTGGGCTCGTCAGCGCATGAACCTTCGCAGAGGGAAGAAGCGGGTACGCGGCATGTTCATGAATCAGTTGAGCGCCCTCAAGCAGGACAAGAGTCAAAGGCTCGTAATTGGATACGCAGCAGGGCGCCGGGTGTCCAAAAAGCTAGCGTACCAGCTCCATCGACAAGAGCGCGCAAGGAGTGCACACACCGTTTCATCGCAATACCGACAGATGAGTTCTGAACGTCCTACGTGCACCAGGGGCTGTGGTATACGCTTCTGGAGGTCGAGATGGAAAAGTGCCAGCGGAGGGCTGAGCATATACAAAAGTGCGGAGACCTGACGGTGCAGGAAATGGCACGAAGGGCGCGAGTTCGAGTACTCCTCGCTCTAGTGGGTTCAAGCAGCGGCAACAAACACATGCAGATCGTGAATCGAGACTTTAACGCCGCTTTCAATATCAGGTGATGTGCGGTACTGGAGAAGAGATTCGAGGGGTTGACACGATCCAATTTTGTGCCACAAACTCTCCGAGTCCAACTGTAAAACGAGAACTTGAAACCAATAACAGGCGGCCGGTCGATAGAGACGGAGCGGCGTCAGCACGTCGGTACATAGGTACCCGCGCGATCATCGTACCGTATTCAAACGCGATCCCCAGAAGCAGCGCGCAATCGCAACCGCAGCTGTGCACTGCATCGGTGCGCGCGGAGGCGGCGGCGCGATGCGTGAATCTGCTGCGGGCGTACGCTCGTCTGCCGGAGGCATCCAGCGCCTCCAGGTGACACTTCAGGGCTGGTAACGTCTTCGAAAAGCCAGAGCAAGGGATAGCTGTGTGTACCGAAGCACCGCCATAGATTGCTAAAGTCTTTTGCGGTACTTGTTTTTAGCACCTGGCTCGAGTCCCGGGCGCTCGTCGGGGCCACTGTAGTTCGTGCGCGCGCGCGTTTCCGGAGTAACCAGTACTGCGGTGTGTGTGTGTGTGTGTGGAAAGCGAGCCTCTGACCGCCTTCAACAGATTCCCATGACGCAAGGAGTGAGCGTTGTCGGAGAGCGTGTTGCGATGGAGCCGCCAGCAACCGAGGCTGAGTTGCGGCTCCTCCCGGAGCTACTTGCAGTTCTCAAGGGCGCACCCAGTGAAGTTCTTCGGCATGAAGGAGAAACGTCTTTCTTTCAGGTCGCAAACTTGAGCCACGCAATTGATGACTCTGTCGTACACTTGGTGCGGTCGGTTGCCGAGGCTGGTTGGCTGTATGCTCACCGAATCCGGCCGTTTGTGCAGCCGCATCCACTCCCGGGATCGATGAAAGAGCGCTGGCGTGTCTGCAAGGATTCAACCCCTGCGCAAGAGAGTCGAACGCGAGCTGCTCTACGAAGTGCGCTCGTTGCAGAGCTCCAGCCCTACCATTTGACTTTGGATCAAGCGGAACGCATGCTTCTCCAGAATCGACTCTGTCTCCAGCAACTGGCAATGCTCATTGAGCCTCATCGTTGTACGCTGCTGCGTTGGTTAGCCATGATCGCTGAAGCTGCCGCTGAGGCAGCAAATACCGCAAACGATGCAGTTTCCATTCTGAACCTCGTGGGGAGGTTGCAGAACCATGGCGACCCCGCGGTCATTCACACCATGGGTCGAATCTTTTCCGAAGTTGTTCAGCCCTTACAAAGAATGGTGATTTCCTGGGTCGCGTACGGCGATCTCAAGGATGCGGGCTTCGAGTTTTTCATCCAGCTTGATGACCGAAAATTCCCTGCTTTGCACCCCGAATGCGTACCATATTGGATACCAAAACCGCTTGTAGAGCGTTTGTTCCACGCGGGACTCTCGCGGTTTCTCTGGGACAAATGGGCACAGTGCGCAACTTTCCAGAACGATGCGGTGCTTCTTGATTCGCAATACAGTCCGCCCGCAACGCTTGCCCGTACCTCATCGTTCCTTGCATGGCTCGGATCGTTGTGCGCATCGGATGGACCTGGCAGCGGAGTCCCGGTTCGCTCGCTCTTTCTGGACCAATATCATCTCGTGCACCATCTGAGTATCCATCGCCATTTCGTGTTGCTCGAAGACGGCGATTTCGCCCTGCATTTGACAGAAAAGTTGGAGCCTGTCATGCTGCGTGCAACCGCGAGTGTTGAACGCAGTGCCCTTCTGCAGGCACTGGTTGAAGCGCTGACGCACACTGGGCTGCATCGCGCGGGGCGAGCTGCCACAGAGCACCTGCTCGACCGCCTCGATGTGTATCTCGCGCGTCCCCAGACTCGCGATCAGGACTGTATCGCCAATGCGTTTACGCTTACCTATCTATTTCCGGATCCGATTGATTACCTTATTCGGCAATGCCCCCATTTTGGAGAGTACAAGCGCCTCTACGGCGTTTTTTGGAAACTACGCCTTACCCAGTACCAGCTTGCTGTAGCGGCGCACGAGCACAGCCGCCTCTATCAGGACCTCAAGCGCTGGGCGGCCCCAGGTCGTCGAATGCCGGCCCCAGCAGCGCATGACCGTGCCGGAAGCGCCGCCATTCGAACGCCGCTGGCGAACTGTGCACTCTTTCGTGCACATCTTCATCAATGCCTGCAAGCTGTTATCCAGTGTTTCTACCGGGATGTCGTGGACCCAGCCTGGCGTACCTGCGTTGCGAATCTACACGGCGAGCATGCCCAGGGCGCATCCTGGTGCACCCTCATCGAAGCGCTCGACGCCTACTTTGCCCAAGTGGTCCACGAGCTGACGCCCGCCGACCAAAACACCACTGATAAGAAGCGCTCCAAGGTGCTGGCACCCGTCAACCATTTGGAATCCCCCGCGAATAACGCCACCGAACGCGCTGGCGCTCGTCCGTCGCCCGGGAAGCCGCAGCAGGCCGTCAGCGCCGCCGCCGTTCCGCATTGCTGTCGCCCAGCGCCGTGTGGACTCGAGTCGTCGACCGCCGCCACAACACCGGCCATTGCATCGCTCTGTGTCATGATTCGGCAGTTTCTTGCACTGAATCAGGGCATCTGCCTGCGTCTGAATGGGTATGTGCGCTCGCTTGGCTACGCCGATCCAACATGCCCCAACGATGATCTCGCCTGCCTTGATGCCGCTTTACGACGACAGTTTCGTCAATGGCAGCGCGTTACCTGCCCAAAATGGCGAGCCGCTCTCGACGCAAGCCCCTCGGAGGCGCTTCGCCGCCTCGCAGCCGACGTGCCGTGCCCACCGGGGCCTTTGTGTGCGCTCGGACGCACCCCCGAGACGCCTTGATAGCGTCACCACACGCACATACGCACGCGCGCACCAAAGCATATCCTCAATTAGCGGGAAACGATCGCGAGTGAATGCTTTTCGTGCGTGCCGGAAACACCAGTCCAGTGCAGTCCGTGTGGAAGAGCGCGGCCAACATGCGCGCCCGTAAATCTGCCCACAGCATCGAAGGTACCGCCTTTTGCATCACCATATCCGTGAACTGCACGCATTCGTAGATGCGTGTTCCAAAGGTGCGGATGCGTGCGCGACGTACACGCATCCGCGCAGCATGCATAAAGCGCAGCAGATCGCCGAGTTGACACGTGTGCGCGTACGCATGCAACGCCACGCAGGTGACCGCGCCGTCTCGCGCATTGCGCATGCAAATCGGATTCGCCACGGCGTCGAAGACGATGTTTCGTAAACGCGCTTTCCAGCGCTCAATGCCTGAATCAGCGGTGCCCGAGCTGCCGCCTTTGGTGTCCAGCATGTCGGCGCTTGCTAGAGCAGGCACTTGGAGCAGGAGCTCGGCAACAACGGCCTGGGGTGTGTCGGTAGCGCTGCTGGCTCCGAGGCGTTTCAGAGGCGGCCGTGTATCGCGCGGGTCGGAGAGGCGCCCTCGAACAATGGTGCAACGGAGTGCGCGGAACGCTCTGATCAAGTCAAGGCCAATGCCGGGGCGTGAATGGGTGTGTACGACAACGCGGAACTGCGTTGAGGTTTCATGTTCCACTGAGACACGGGGTATGTCCGGCGCAAACAGATAGCGTAGCGCATCGGCCAAGTGTTCTTGGTTCAGCGTGGTGCCGGCTATTTCGCTGTTGCTGACGGCAGCGATACCGGGAGGCGGTGCGCGCAGCGCAGCCGATGCCTCCGCAGCAGTGATCGTGTCGGGTGTTCGCGTCTCGGATGGCGACCATGCGCTTGATGCAAACGCCGAAGGCGAACGGAACGAAACCCCTGCTAGCTCCGCGCCTCGCATCACCTCCTGCTCTTCGGAAGAGGAGCGTGTTGTGTCGCTTTCCTGTAGTGTGTCATCAGACACCAGCGAAATGTCTCGCCCAGCTCCGACAGCGTCCGTCTTCAAGACTGGCACTTTCTCGACTGGAATCCGAGCGACGGGCTCATCGGGCATGCGCATTCGAGCGCTCGTTTGGCGACGTTTTGTGACGAGCTCCGCCTCCGAGTCGCTGCGCACGGGTCCTGTTCGCTGCGCTGTCTGCTCGTTGCAGGCCTCGTGGCCCGCCATGGATAAAACCGATGCCTCCGATGCATGCCCCAGATCGCAGTGCTGAACCTTCACCGCTGTCTGGCTAAAACTGCCGTTGGCGCCAGTGGTGGCCAAGCAGTAGCGGGGCGGTGACGCGCTCAAGCAAGTTGTTTCCGTACCAGAGCCGTCAGACGACCGGCGACAAGGATGCTCGACCCCGTATGGCGTCATGCGCTGCGTCCTAATCGAGCGTGTATCATCATATTCTGAGAACGACTCCAGATCAGAGACGCGCGGGATGTAGAGACTAATGCCCCTGCCGACGCCGGGCCCATCTTCCAGAGCGGCCACGACCACCGCCGTGTGCGGTGGATAGACTTCAACGGAGCACTCGGGGCCGGCCAGTTTTGTGCAAAGTGCACGTAAGCGATCCAGTCTCACACCAATCAAGTGGGCTATGTGGCTTGCAGAGCCCGTCAGGCCAAGCAGTAACGTCAATGGGACTCTGGCATTCAGAGCATCGGCCTGCGCTGCGGCCCACAGCTGCTGCGCCTGCACGAGGCATTCAGCACAGGGACAGGAAGGTGTTTCGGGAGTGACGACTCGACGATTATAGCCGCCCGCAATGATTTCAGCGCTGCGCACGACAAAGCCTTCCTGACCTAAATATTCTATGATTTGTTCAAGGGCGGTTGCTGTGCAGGCCGCGCTTCGCACGGTCACAACGCATTCACCCCGTCGTCGCCACTGGTCGATAAAGTGGACCCATGCGGTATCATCTCTGACCTGAACGCCGGATGCGCTGCGGTCGTCATCGTCTTCGCCCGCAAAGTAGTCATCCAATAATACGTCGTCGAAACTGTCAGTACGATAGAGAGCTAGCCGTAACATTCGCTCAACCCCAGCACGTTGTTTGTGTATTTGGTATCCTCCAAAGACTTGTAACATGCCATGAGCGGTTTCATTTGGCTCAGGAGAGTGCTGCAGTGCCGCAGATTTCCACTCAAAGCCCTCAACTTCCAGCGAAATGTCCTCCAGAACGTGAATGATCCTACTGAGAAGCTCGTCAGCTGACCTATGGTGGCACCGCAGACTCCATCGCCTCGCCTCCGAGTCAACTTCGATATACCATTGAGCTCGCTTGGTCCGGGCGAAGCTGTCCGCGCAAGCATACGCGAGCATCGAGTCACCGCTCGGTGACGGCGGGCACTCGGTATCGCTGGTTTCCGGCGAGACCGCTAAAGTCCTTGTCTGTCGGATCTGCCCAGCGCTCCATGTGGTCAGAACGCCGCACTCCATCATCTTTTCGGTTCTCGACGGAGCACTCATGGGTTTTCACCGTGTACTCCGCGAATAATTGTGGGCGTATCCGCTCTCAATGTGTGTCGTTCTCTGCGGAGTCGCAGAACGTGACCCAGGAGCTTCCAGTCCCTGGACGGACAGACAAAACGCTTGTTCGCGCTCCCTTGCAGAGCGAAATTTCAAGGGAGGTGAGCGGGCAAACGCAGTCGTGTTGCGGTCAGCGTTATAGCAGTAGCCGCTGGGATCACCAGAGGTTGCCCTCTGGTACGTTCAGCGTCGCGCGCTCGCAACAGTGTAACAAATTGCGTTGCTCTCGGGGTTGTGCAGCAGCACTAGTTCCACCCTTGCAACCTTAAACCAAGATTTGCAGCGAAATAGCTTCAACCGATAGAGATCTACCAACAACGTGAGCGTCTCTCAAGCGTCTAAACACCAGATGAGCGTGCACTGCCAGCCTCAGGGGAACGCCACGAAGCGCCGCAAACGTCGTTGACCTGCCTATCCAGAGACCACCACTACAACGACTACTACTACGCTTGGAGTTTCTGCGGCCTGATGCCTGCAGAATATCAGCCCAGCTTATCACAAAGACGAAACGCCCGGGAGCGTACCCCGAGTTGCACGGAAACTGTAAGCTTCGACGCCTGGCCTCAATTGCTCTTCGAGGCGCCAGCGATGCCTTCGATGGAAGCCAGTCGCCCAGCCAAATGAAAGGAGGATCAGGTAACGGCCCCGCGAATTGAAGTCGAGCTGCGGTGGCGGCGGGCTAGCAAACCGCCTCCGTTTGCGCGCTGTTGACAGGGGCTCCGTTCTTTCATCGGTCACGTAGTATCAAATTAGCTATTTATATATTTAGTTTCCAATTATTGTACATCGATGATCCGACACCGCGCGATCGCTTATAGCGAGCGTTCCCCTAAGGGTATGCTGTGCATAGCGCTGTGCCTATCGCACACGCAGCGATTGACGTGCTGTTATAGTGCGGACGTCCCGCAGCTGTACGATCGCCATGGCTGAAGGGTCGCTGGTGTAAACGTGACAAAACGGCAGTTTTCTTTATACGAGGCCGGCGTATTGCCCTGATCGCGTCATTCCCGCAATGCCATTCATTTTTCCCTTGGTTTGGTTCCGAGGTATAGGACAAACCGAGTCTGGGCCATAAAACGTCATGATTGTTCGCGAGCGTGCATATCGAACGACTGACTACCTGCCGCATACGCGTCTTTTATGTCTCACGGATCGATCACGAAGACGTACGGCATTATCGAACACGACATAGTTGACAATCATGCGGGGGTGTTGATAGCGGTGTGTTCAGTTGCAGCGCACGTTTCCGCTCGGGCTTCATCCCGCCTGGGCATTGTGTGTGTGTGTGTGTTTGTGCAAACGCAGACAACGATGCTGTCGCTCGGACCTGCCTCGTCAGCTTTGTGTGCCGCAGTGAATGATTTTCGACGACAAGCCCCGTCACCGATGTGGCTCAGATGCGCGCATGCGAAGCGAATCGCAGCTTCTTCGTGCCCTCGTTCGCGCTGTTCTTTTCCTTCATTCGAAGCAGCGCCATTGTGCTGGGTGATCGCGACGCCGCAAACGCGCCGACCGACCATCCGCGTAAAGTGCACGCGCCGCTAATGCCGATCGCCAAGAGCGTCAGGTCCTTGGTTCCTATCCTGGCCGGGCAAAACGCAGATATCTGTGCTTCGCTTGCAGTGAGTCGAGCACTGCACCTAACGTACGTCCTCGTCCAGAAAACCGCAGACAAGGAGAGCGCGCGCACACGTCAAACTTTAGTCGGCTTCGCTTCCCGCAGATGCGATCCTGCAAGCCGGGGCGCCCACGACTGCGATTCCATCGCCTCACACCTGAGACGGATATTCCGCAGCTTGTCAACGCTGCAAGGCCATGCGTAACCCGTCTGCTCGGGTCGGCGCTATGTTTCAAGATCGTTTGCGTGTGCTAGTGCAAAAATGCAGGGATTCGCCCTGACGATACTTCTGTACAAGTTTGGAGAAATCTCCAAAGACCCTAGGCCCTGACCAGGAACGCTCCTTGGCGTCGGGCACCGAGTTCCCATTGGAAGCTCTCTTGATAGCGCGGGGGCTCGTCGACCTTCAAGGTCACAAACAGGTTACGTCGGCAGATCCGCCGGCTCGATGCTATCAAAATCAGGTAAGGTCCATGGGTTCGGGGCAGCGGTCTGCGCTTCTCCCAGAACGGGCTGCGTGCCATGCGTCGCTGGCCCGTTACCCGCACTTGTCGACTCCGTCGCTGCCGATGAAAAAACGGCGGGTTTTGCAGACCTCAACTGCCGAACTTCTGTGCGCAAGTCGCGCAGCTGTTCTTGCGTGTCTCGCCATTGTTGCTGGGCTTGATCGCTCATCGTGCGAATCGTCGCGCTCAGGTCTTCAATGGACTGGCGCAACTGCCGCAGTTCTCTGCGAAGCACACTTGCTTCACTCGCTGGTTTTTTGGCAGCTTTATTTTGTTGAGGAAAGTACGCAGGTACGACATACTTTCGCAGAAACTCCCGAAGCACCGAGATAGCGCCAACTGTGAGCGCGAGGCGCCAGGCCCACGTCCAAGCTCCGGGTACTGCGCGCTTTGACTGCACACCAACACCCACTGCAGCTGGTGGAACGTAGCCGTTCCCCAGCGACAAATCCAAAGGAGGCGGCGGTTTCGATTCCTCACCGAACTTGTTACCCGCCCGTCTCCAGGCTTCAGCGAGCTCCTCCTCCGTGTAACCCTTGGCGCGGAGGAACTGCGCAGCCTGAACGGGGTCTTTCACAACGTCGTTTTGCAGAAACTCCACAGCCCGTTGGACCCAGTCCTCACGCATAACGTAAAACTATAGCCCGGTGCAGCGGCCGAAGCCGACTGCTCGCCTCGCAACCATAAACGCTTCCTACGAAATGCAGGCGAGTGCGCTGTGCGACGCGATCGCGATCGGGAGCAGCAGGTGCGAAACAAAATGGATTATATCAGACATAATAGACATCAGTGGGATACACGCGTTCCTGAGAGGGAACGCGCCTGTGCAGTGCGGCGCGGGCATGCAATGCATCCGCGAGCCGCGCGATCTGCGCACCCCGCTGCTGGACGACGGGCACCAGCGTGTCGAACGCAGAAGCAGGTGTACGGACGAGACGATTTTTCGGCCGTACGCTATGGAGGAGCGACTTAGCGATGAACTGATAGGCAGGGCGGCGATACAGCGGATAAAGCGCGATGGAGCACGATCAATTCGGCTCTATGAACGAGAGCAGGAAATAAAAAAGTTGCAAGATGAACTGCGCGAGTGTTCACGGCGAGCTGGACTCGAGCGTTTCTCCGAGTGCCGGAGCCTCGTACAAGAGCTGATCAAGATTTTTGAGGAGCCTTGGTACGGTGCGTTCTCGAAAAACGACTGAGGTGGTCTCCGAGACGGGTAATGATCATCCTGGGGCCGCGCGCCTCACTCACAAGCGACCCTGTGGACGGGAGTTGCAGCGGGAGTCCGAACTGCCAGGACCGTGTGCACGTGGACTGCCGCAGCGCCCGCGACCAAGGCGAGCTGGCCTCTACATCAGCGATCGCTGGTGCCGTCAACAAATTGGGAACTCTCTGAGAGGTTTTGCAGGTGCCGCGCTGGCTTTGGTTGCAAAGCCCGCGACGCCTGTGCGACCTGCACACGCCACACAGGTCCAGTGGGGTCGGTGCAGCGGCCCGCCTCCACCGGAACAAGCACTTTTGATACCTTTCGCAGTCGATCTTTTGCGTATAAGATGAGAGGCCTCGGACGCAATTGTTATCGGCGGATTCATGTTTTCGATCTGCATGCGTGGCGGCAGAAGAATATCGTCGGGGATTTGTGCGAGAATCGTCGCTGCGACGCTCTGGTTGCCGGGGATCCTCTTCAGTCTGGTGAAGAGGACGCAGACATGATGCTTTTGCAGGCGTCGTTGCGAGGCCTGCACACACACCGTAATTTTTTGACGGCATGCCCCGCGTTTTACACAGGGCTCAGGGACACTCGCCTCTGGACTTGTTGCTCGTTACGATAATGATGTTGATGATGATGATGGGGTTTTTGGGTTGCAGTCCCGCCATTTACAGAGCGGAGCATGCTCTGTACTGAATGTTTGCGGCAACTTGGGACATTCGGTTTCCGCGTATCGACACGATAAACTTTGCGTCCAAAGAAGAGATTCGGAGAGCCTTTACCTGGATGTCGTACAATGCCGAGAAATCATATCGGGGACGAACTTTGCACGACTGCAGGCATGCAGGCCGCGCAAACACTGACAGAACCGCTCCATACGCGGTTTTATACGCGAGGTAACAGGATAGAAAGACTGAGTATTCGGTGGTAAGCTGCACGTCAGGATAAAGCTTGTGCTTCCTTGATAGATCGCTGAGCAGTTACGGTGTATGCAGGCACGACATCAGCTGCTGGATGATCTCATGCACAGCGAGCTCTGAACCATAGAGTTTAAAGAGAAAGCGCGAAACTAGCGGCGCGATGTGAATCTGTTGCTCGGGAAAGACTCTCCAACTTGCCGCCTACGGATGCACTCGTGGCTAGCTCAGCGTATTCACTGAGAGTTTAGTCACTGTAACACCAGACATAATCACGGTCCGGATGCGATCTCCAGACGCGCTCAAAATCTACGAATAAAGTCTGCAAGGAAAGATGCGCACTTTTGGAGGCGACAGCGGTGGTGATCATAAATCTTCAAGCGCTCTTGCATCCGGACATGCGCACCCGATCAAATACTCGGTAATATCGAATCATGGAACAGCATCAGCGTCGCTGAATCCCCAGGAAAATCGTTATCACGGAATATATGTGGCGTTCCAGCCTCGCTCGACAGCTGACCAGTACCATACCAGTGTCTTGGCGCAGGCGAGGATCCGAATCTTCCCCCTGTTTCCTAACGTCTTTATTGCATCCGAACTCCACAGCGTTGCAGCGCAGCGTCTGCATCAGTAAGAGTCGATTCCCTGGCAAGCTCGCTCGACGTAAAGCCGGTGGACGATCTGGAAGCACGAGATATTGCCTGAGGTTGATCGAGGGGTTCAAGTCTCGATGCAGTATGGACGGGTATGTGTGTGTACTTGCTGCTGGCGTCACGACGCAGCGAGCCTCACGCCTTTGATTGCCGCTGCATCTCATGGTCGAGCGGCTTACCGTACGCCATCTCGTGCGTCTGTCTCTGTTTCGCTCTCTGATTCTCTACCGGATTCGACACGCGCCCGTGCTCATGACACGTGTATGTCGTCCTGAACACATCGGCGGGCATCGTGCAGCGCGCATTTCTGTATTTACTTCTGTATTTCGGCATGCTCATTGCATGAGCAGGCGTCCAGCATTTCTGCGTTATAGCGCGCCCTGCTCCATGGGTTACCTATCAAAGAAAACTGAGCAGCTTCATCTGCTTCGCATTGAGGCCTTCGGCTCCGTCCCCGCGCTCTAGACGCACAGCGAAGGCCATGGCGCTATCTGACCTGGGAATCACGCGCACAGCGAAGCCTTTCCCCGCATCTAGCTTGAACAGTTGGAAATGCGTCGCGCTGCCCGAAAGGATACTTTTCGGCACCTGCGCTGTCGAGGTCCCGATCAAGGACGTGGTGCGTCGACCTTTCAAGGTATTCTGCGGACTGTGGGTGCGAGTCTCTGACCCGAAGATCAGGCCGTGTTGCGGGTTTTGTACCGGGCTTCATTCACGCTGTCCCTCGGGGCGGGTTCAGCCGTAAAAAGCGCAGAGCAATGTGGACAGCTGGCAGCCCTGCGCCCGCAACACGTACGCATTGTTGGTGAACGAGCTGCGTCACAGCGCGCGAAACTGAGAGAGTCCTCATCGAGTGCGAAGCAACGCGACGCCAATTGGCGACCTGTATCTCGCTTTACTGAATATTCTCCCTGCTGACGTGTCTTAGCAGGGAGGCGTCGAGAGTGGTTCCGGCGTCATGCGCCCGATCCGTGAGCTTTTCCTTCCTGTCCCTGTACATCCTCTTCGTCTGAGGGATCCTCCTGCTCGTGGCGGAGCGGCCTCTTCGCCTTTGCGTCCGCTCGGCTGCGCGCGCCTTGAGCGCTTTCGAGTAAGGGGGCGCATCGTACCCAACGATCAACCCAGAAGAATGCGTGATAGAGACGCAACGGAGCGCTTCGACGGAGTATGAGGTGCTGAACGAAGCCGTCTGCTGGGCGATCACTAGGTGGCTCTGCAATGAAGTTGCCTCTGGGCCTGATGGTGTCGGAATGCTCGCTTATCTGTGCTTTGGGATCCGTCGTTCGCGCCTCGTTGGGTACCCTTGTGCGGGTCCACCATCGCTCCCGAACAAGTCCCTTTGTGGCGTAATCCGGAAACCGAGCACCTCATGTGAGAATCATTGGCGCCGCAGTGCGAAATCGATAAATTGTGTCGTTCAGCACGAAACAGTCTCCCATACAAGTGCATTCCCTTCTGTATCCGTCTGTGTCTCTTTGGTGCCGCTCGTACCGACGGTACGGCATCATCACAGTCGATGACTGCTTCCGTGGAATTCCGTATCGAAGAAATGGAGTGGCGTAAATTGACGAGGAGACACACTGATCAACACAGGGTTTGGTACCGTCCGCATTGAGTGCGAATCGTTCATCATGCAGAATACGAGTGGGTAGCTTCATCCAGCCGCTGACCCTGGACTGACTGACTTGTCCAAGTAAGGCTGTTTTCTCGTGAACTACCGGTGACAACACCTTGTGTTTCCTGTTCCTGTCTCCATTCTGCAGGATACCCTCCGTTTTCTTGAATGCGTGTGAGAGATGTAGAGAAAAAGAACGTGCTGATATAGCGACTGCATACGCGATCTGCGTAGGCAGCGATGCCCTGATGCCCCTGTCCGTAAAGATCCTAAATATCGAAGATCTAAACACACCCCTGAGGCTCTGCAGCACAGGCCAGCGGGAGAACGTGTACTCCGGTGCGCGCGGAGACTGCCAGCCAGCTGGACGCAGCGTTGTTCGCGTCCCTTAGCTGAGCACGACTAGCGGGGCTCAAAGGTCCCCTTTTCTGACGCAAGCGCTTGGGGTTGTTGCTCTGGCACCAGTGCGCATAAGGCCCTGTGCGAAGCAAGCAACACTGTTGAAGGGCGAGCAGCGAACGACGACGCATACGCGACGGTTTCGCTCAAGATACTCATGTTTTTTCGACCGCCGTATCTAGGTTCGTCCCGCATCGATGAGATTCTCGATGAAGCCGAACGTGAAGGAAGGGTTGGGGATCAGGAGCGTTCGATTTTCCATAGTTCGGATCGGCAAGCGTCTCAGGATAGGACAAGTCCGAGTGCTGGTGACGGGCGTGCGGCCTCAAGCCAGCGACAAGGCGACGTGTCTGAAGAGTCTGACGCAACGGCGTCTGGTGGAACCTCAGTCGACCCTGTACGGCAATTCCAAGCGGATGAACAGCAACAATCGCGGATTAGGCGTACAGTTCGGACGATTCTCGCGGAAGACGACCTCATTCCGGAGTGCAAGGCCATGAACTTGCGTCTTTTCGAATATTTCTCGCAACCGACTGCGCTGCGCTCGCTCGTCCAGTTCGCAATCGGTTGTGATGATGATGAAGAACACAAGTACGCTGGCATGGCTACGGAGGTTCTATGCTCAGATGTTGAGCGCCTCAACGAGGCCTTTATCTCAAACGTGGATGTTTTGGAATTGTTCCTGGGCTTCGTGCGCCGCAAACCACCACTCGCGGCGGATCTGGTGTCGAATTTTGCAAAGATCTTTCTCTGTATGCTCCGAGCGAAATCGGAAGAGTTGCTTTCCGCAGTCGATGAGCACAAGTCATGGTTCTTCTCGCAGGGCATTTTACAACATTTACAGCACTCTGCGCTCAGCAATTTGATTATTGAGTTGCTGATCCAGAACGAGATCGTGATCTCCCGCAAAGCCGTGCACATATACGCACAAGCTGAATTGTTGAAACGCCTCGTGGATCTGTTTGTCAATGAAACAGAATCGCCTGACGATGAAACGCTCAGCAATGTCATGAGTATCATTGTTTCGCTCAGTGGGCGAGCGGTGCCGCTTGCCGAAGCCGCGGATATCTTCCACTCGGTTGGCGGCATACCGGATGAACTCGAGGGCGGATCCATCCTCGAGACCGCTGCAAGAGCGAATCAGCAGCACCAGCTTCGAACGGCGGCGAGCGGGCAGACCTCGATATGCCCCGATGAGCGCGACGAGTCGAGCGCCACGGCCATGAACCAGGAACGCAAAGCGCTCAAATCTCTGGACCTTTTGCGGCAACCGGAGCTTCTCGCGCGTTTGCTGAGCGCATTTCGCCAGAGCGATGCGCACCTGCTCTATGGTCTAAGTATGCTCACGGAGCTCGTGTCTATTAATAAGGAGCTTTCTCATGAGTACGAAACAGTGCAGCACCACTGGGAACAGACGAGCTTGCGCCTATCCACAGCCAATGAACGACAAGATGCGGACACAGCGCGAGCCCCGTTGTCTTTGCCATCGTCGTCGTTGTTGCGTCCATCGTCGGAAACGACTGCATTTGCCAGCAGCGCCGAAGACAGCGACACGAGCAGCACGTCCTCAAGCGAACTGGGACGGACGCCTGCGGCCGCACACTCCATACGAAGCAAGATGGGAGAATTTGAAACCGCTTTGCAGGCGCATTTGCCGTATCTGTTGTCGCGACTCGAGGATGATGCTGAATCGGGGCATTTCGGGGTGATTCGATTGAAGCTCGTCGAGTTTTTGATTCAGATGATGCTGGATGTATCGCCGCAGCTTTGCAGCAGGCTTCTTGCGATGGGAATCCCTGCAACGCTGACTCGCTTGCTACGAGCCTACCCATGGGTCTCCGTGTTCCATCATCTCTACCATCGTGCGCTTCAGGAGACACTCCTTACACCCTTTCAATCATTCCTTCAAGCAGTTCAACCGGCGCTCGATGAGGCAAATCTGCAGGCTATCGCGGATGGTACCCTGATCCCCGACCGTTTACGCGCATGGTTTCTCGAGGCAAATATAGTCCAGAGTTTCGTGCAGCTCCAGCAGGTTGCGCTCAATGCGGAAAGCGGCCGCATATCACCCGAAGATATGCGAGCGCTTGTGCGCGCTGTACCCCAACTCGAGTGTACGGATCACGCGGCTCGAGCACCGCCTTCGCGCATACGAGTGGCACTTTCCGCGCATCTCGCGGAGATGATACTGGAAATCTACGAGCAGGTGTTCGTTCCGCTCAGCAAAATGACTGCCACATGCACTTCGGGACAAGAGGACGCTGCGCTGGCAACCGGTGCCCCTGGCTGGCAACCAGCAACGACCAAAGAGGCAACGGCGGGAACAGCGACTGTCGTGCCGCTGCTCCAGCGCACGAAACGCTCGAAGGTACCGCTTCTGGCGTTCCTGTCTCCGCTTCTCGGGCTAGATGAAGAGGGCGGCACGATGCTGGCGGCTTGGGCTGCCCTCGAGGCGATTGCTACCGGTCCCGTCTATGCCGAGAAATCCAAGCAGCACCGGCAGCTGGGTGGCCGTCGACCTAGCGGTCTCTCTTCGCACAGCCTGAGTGAAGATCTCGCTCAGCTGCCGACACTCACGACCGACAACGCCACCTCTATGGGCGAGGGCGACGACGAGGACGGTGACGTCGGCATGATAGGTGGTGTCGAAGACCGCCAGGATGTGCTCGAAGATCGCCGACGCCCGAGACTACAAGGCAGACCCCCGGATGGTGCCGTCTTCCAGGAGGACGCGAGTTCGTTCGTGGAGCAGCATGATCGAATGGATCCACTGTTCGAGGATATGGACGAGGATCGCGATGAATATTTACCGGCACCACCGTTCATAGATAACGAACAGCAGCAAGCATCCTGCGGCGCCAAGGATGCGGGAACAGGGCCGAGTTCGGCACCGGAACTCAGCGTCGATGACATGATGACGGGTCTCAGCGAAGGCGAGCAGGAGTCGCTCACGCACTTCACGGATTATCTGTCACAGCGCGCACGACGAACACCGGCAAACAGCAATCAAAGTGGAGAGCGCTCTCAGCGAAAAGATGCTCGGGATAATCAAGAATACTCCGTAACGTCCGCCGGGGCGCTCGACCTCCCCACCGCAGCGTCTCGCAGTGGCGCTGTCGAACGCGAGTCAGCATCGCAACCAGCGCCTAGGAACGCATCCCAATTGAATGCCTTCAGGCAGAGTGAAGCACCCGATAACGACTGGGTTGCATTTGCTGATGATCAACACGAATCTGGCGACTGATGAGTTTGGTCATAGTCCGTGCCGCGTTGCACCAGCCGGTGTTTCTCGTTGCACTGTGAACGCAATGGCTTGCTGCGCTTGAGCTTGAGCTTTCGCTGACGACGTTGCGGACGCTGCTCCACATCTAGAATCGCTTCTAGCGCCATGGAAAATACGATACGTTGTTCCTCTGGGGTAAACGTACTCCTTCTGACTGCAGCGCCGGTAGCAACATAGCCTCTGCCCAGAGGCAAGCCTGCTGCACCCGAGCTCCCGGTCAACAGCCACTGCAAAAGCGGTTCCAGCAGCAGCGGCGGCGGCAGCAGCCGTCATCGTTGTTGCCATGATTCGAGTAGCCGTCGATGGGACTCACGGAGCGCGGAAACGTTTGTGTGAAGGCGGCGGTGGAGTCCCGGGCGCCCCGCAGCATCTGCGTCTCTTCGAGTGCCTCGATCGATGCGTCTACCCGGTTCCATAGAAGCGAACGAAAGCGTCCTAGCGCCGTTGGCAAAGGCTGCCACCATCCACTTGTGCTTTACGTTATCTGTGCTCTTAGTATCGAACCAGTATGCGTGGTTGCCTCCGAACACCGGCAACCAGCGTCCGAACGCAACTGCTCGGTGCTAGGTTGCAACAAACGGGGGCCACCAAAGCACCCGTACCAATCGGTACGGCAGCGGACCCCAACGGATACCGCCCTGCGTTTTGCTGGTGCCGCTCATGTTCCTTCACGTGACGCGCTGCAGTTCTTTTCAAGAACGAGACTATGTCCGATCAACAAGGAATCAGTGCCAGACACCAGGATTTCTTTCGAGTCGCCGTCGCTTTCGGTCGGCGAAAAGGTTTGACCTGCAGTCCGCGACGACTGGGTTTGCGGAAGGCACCAGGCAGGCGGTAGCCATCCTCGGTGCGGCCGGGTATACGGGTTCGGAGCTCGTGCGCTTGCTTCTCAGGCATCCGCACGTTGAGATCAAGGCTCTGAGCGGCACGGAACGTACCAGAGGGCGTCCCTACGGTCAGGTTTATCCGCAATACGCGTTCGAGAGCATCATTTCTGCGAACGGGAAGCAGGGACCTTCCCCAGTGCGCTCGTTGCCGCCGCTGTGTTTAACGGAGGAGGTTGATTTCAGTCAAGTGGACACTGTTTTCTGTTGTTTGCCGCATGCGACAACGCAGTCCATCGTCACAAGCATTCTCCAGAGCGCTGTCGGGCGTACCCCACGCGTCATTGACCTCTCGGCAGACTTTCGCTTAGCGGACGTGCACACATACGCCCACTGGTACGGAACGCCGCATCGGGCACCAGATCTTCAAGCTGAAGCAGTTTATGGTCTCACTGAGTTTGCCCGAGCTGATATCAGGAGCGCGCGCTTGGTGGCCAACCCTGGCTGCTACCCAACGGGTGCCCAGCTGGCGCTGGTCCCGCTCATTCGCGCCCAGCTTATCGCGCTTGACGACGTGATAATCGACGCCAAGTCTGGAGTGACTGGAGCAGGTCGCTCGGCAAAGGAAGCCAATTTATTCTGTGAAGTGACGGAGGGTATGCACGCGTATGCAGTGGCGAACCATCGTCACGCTCCCGAGATCGAACAGGGCCTCAGTCGGGCAGCGGGACTCGGGAACAGCGGTGTGGTGGTCAACTTCACCCCACATCTGGTGCCTATGGCACGCGGCATTCTTGAAACGATCTACGTGAGATGTCAGGCCGGAGTGACACCGGGCGACTTGCGCGCATGTCTCGAACAGGCGTACGGCGAGGAGAAGTTCGTGCATGTGCTTGCAGATCCACAGCAGGTTCCTCAGACGCGCTATGTGCGCGGAAGCAACCACGTCGTGATGAATGTCTTTCCGGATCGGTTACAAGGGCGAGCGATTCTAGTCGTTGCCTTTGATAACATCGTGAAGGGTGCCAGCGGTCAAGCAGTGCAGAATATGAACGTGATGATGGGTATACCGGAACACACGGCTTTGGAGCAGGGCCCGCTCTTTCCCTAACGCTGTTCGATCGACCACGGGATGATTCCTCCTTGGATTTGGGTAAGGGTTTTAGGAATCATGGAGCGCGTGCAGGGCGCCTGTCGCAATCGCAGCTAGCTGGTATGCATTCCGTGCTTTCTGGCGAGCTTGCGCTTGCACCTGCACGGTGCAGTCCATTAGGAGATGCCACTGCTGCCGAGCGGCCGCCTTTCCGTGCGAAAGCAATGAAATAGACGTGATTGTGGACCGCATGGAGAGGGTGAATGTTCTTTCCCTTGACGTTGTCTCCCGGGAAGCAGCATGTCTGTGTGGATGTCCGGATCGCGTCACCGCAGCTGCCACTGCAGCCGTTCGTTTTTAAAACCGAATGCTGGACTGTCTGTTCTTTTTCTGCCTTTCGATTCTATTCCGAACTTGGTTTCGATCTGCAGCCTCGTCATTCCAAGTGCAGCAGTATGGGCTTGTGGATCCATACGTGGTTTTAGGATTCTCGGTCGTTGTTTTGGAGTGGCTCCTTGGCGGCTTTGGCACCGGAGTTGGTTCCGTCACCGTTTTCAAGATGATTCGTGACACCCTTCGACAAGGCTTCGTTGAATACATGATACCATCATCCAATTCATACGCACAAGCCTCCGCGCGTCTCTTGTATTCAATTCTAGCGTGCTCACATCACGAATGCGTCGTATGTTCAAGGTTTCTGGTCCACCACTGCGATTTCTGAGGTCAGCCATTTGTGCCGCTGCATGGGGAACGATAAGAACTCGATATCGTGCCTTGGCGAGTCGTTCCTAAGCAAATACCAGAAGCTCACGGATGTTCTCGTACCAGATGATAATCGATTCGGGTGAAAAGACAAATCTCCACCGCTTGAGGCCATCGACGCTGCGGCATTGAACAGCCGAAGTATACTAGCGCTCTCGGAATACGCTCCCATATGCTTCTGGCATTCCTGTTTGCATCGGAAAGGGTCTTGGACTTGGATTTCAGTTCGCCCAGCAATCGCTGCTAGGGCAATTCACGTCACCGCTTTGTACGAAGAGAGCGTTGACGGATCGGAATTTCTCGACTAGTTCTTCCTCTTTGATGCTCCACTCGGTACTTGTTTCATCATGGACAACATCGCGTTCCATGAATCCTTTACTGGATGAAACAGTGCGCGTTTGCGCGTGTCGCGAACAAAGTACTCACCAGCGGGCTTGCTCTGCTGAGGCCCGTGATCGTGAGATACGCCACGGGGCACGGTAACGAAGGAGGGTACCGCGTTGAGCCCTCTGCGCCCGCCAGGAGCATGTACTGGACAATGAAGCGAGCGTTTACGCGCCACTAGCCGGCCTCGGATGTAGAGGAGGAGAAGGAGGAGGAATTTTGGTGCCTGCATGGGAACAAACGCACCACAGCAATGCGTAACCGCTGCATAATTCGCACCGAGGCTCTATCCGAGGAAGATGAGATTGGCAAGCGAAGCGTGGATCGCAACATCTGCCTTTCCATGAAATGTGTCGACAGCAGCCTGAAGTAGCGAAATCAGGATCTTAAAGTTGCCATCAACATGCTTCTGCAGCTGGCAACAGTGCTGGACCAAAAGGTTTGACCAGCATACCTGACGCCAGAAATAAGAGAGAGGCGGTGGAAGCAGCCTCAGAAAATCCCGCCACGATTCGTGTTGAAGATAGTGGCAAGCGTGACCAACCTATATGGTCTACTTCAGGAGTAGAAGACCCGTTCCGTTTTCTTCTGGAATGGGTGTCTAAAGATTCTGAGTGTATTCTGCGAGAGCATGGTCTGCTATGAGCGCGATGCTGCAGCGCGACATGCGCATTCTTCCAAAATCAGTGTCGGGCAGATCACGGGCGCATCACTGGTATTGCTATCAGGGGCTGGAGCATGTGGCCACTAGCGGGCACTCTTTTCGCTCACGCTTCAATCATTTGGCCCGGACTCTCTCACATGGTACCTCCCTGCTGGCAGCACGACACCGGGATGGCGTATGAGATGAAATGCAATGTGTTGCTGGCGAAGCGCACGACCTGCAGAGCCTCGCAGCTGCGCTTGAGCCTTATATCATCTAGAACGCAGTCTTTTGCGCGCAGATTTTCCCCTGAAAGGCAAAGTACTGCCAGATTGACGCTGCATTCATGTGGCGCCCTCGTCAGCTCAGCCTTGCGAGTCACGAACCGAGTTGCAGCGGGCCATGCACTGGACTCGGAATTAATGGAGGTGGTGGAGGTGGTGGAGGTGGTGGAGGCGGAACGATCGCCCCTGGGGCCTTGGTCGCCAAGTCGGTGGTACCCGCATGAAACGTCGCTATCTGAGGTGCCATACCATCACCCGTTTTCCACCACAGGAGATGCGCGTTTTCTTTCTCGGCCTCGTCCAAGTCAGCGCCAACGCGCTGTCGCCAGGTACAAGCAGTATTTTCATTCAGAGCGCGAGTCTCAGCGAGTGATTGATCCCACAACTCTACGAACTGCCATAGATAACGAAACAGATCATCACGAAGACTCGCTCGTCGAGTCGCGACTTCCGGGCCGCCCACAAAACCCTGCTCCGTCATAGGTAAAAGCAGGAGCGTATCTTCAACTGCTTCGTTCATTTCCCGCAGGCGCTGCGCAAGCTGTTGTAACTTCGCTCGCGCCGGTTCCAGCCAGCGACGAAAGCACCTTGAGAGCGCCCGCCCCGTCGGCTCATTTGCGGAGAGCTCGCACTCGGAGGTGAGCTCCTGTAGATCATGCTCTAGCTCGCTGAAACCGGTGGATATGTGATCGAGTTCAATTCGAGACGCAGTTTGGACACTGGCGAGCTCAGTTCCTAGCTCCAAATCTGCAGCCTGATGCTCACTGCTTTTCCGGAGCACTGCGCCCGCATAGGATATCACTGAACGAGAGCGAGCGAGCTGCGGAACCGAGTCGATGGTAAAGCCAGCGGCATTCGCCCGCGCAGAACCGGCATTGAGAACATTTCCAATCACGAGAAGCACTTCCAAAACAAGACGCAAGCGCCTGGACTGGCGAATCTCCAGACACGCTCGGGTCACGCTGGTCACCGCAGCGTCCAGTTCCTGGAAGGCTTCCGTGAAGCGCCGCATGGTGCTCCATGCCGCGGCCTTTGCAGCGATACGCGGTACCCGCTGCAGCATCGTGAGCATAAACCGTTCGGGATACAGCAGCCGTTCCAGAGCAATGTCCTTTCGGGTCTGGAAGGCCTCCAGCAGGCGCGCCTGCTCTGGTGCTGATGGAAGCATCGGTGCTAGAATTTCGAAAAAGTCTGGATCGAGGGCGTCGAGATCACCGTGTACAAACGCATCGGCTACAGCCTCGCTAGAAACGTTTCGGAATCTGCCCAGCAAAATATCGAGGTTGCGGACGTGCTTCGCGTCCAGCACTGCGAAGCTCTCCGGTGCGTCAGCTGGTGCCGTTGACCGGCCAGCAGCAGCGCCGAAACCGGATGCCACCTCTTGGCTGAAGAGCTTCGCCATTTCGTCCATATCCGGGATCCAGCGCAGTGGACGCAGATCTGACCAGATGGAGCCCGGTACTTGGTGCAATGGAACACAATTCCAGTGCAAGCGTCTCCAGACACGCGTTCGGGGCCCATTGCCGCCATTGGCACCTGCTGGTGTCGCCAGGTCGAGAGCCGGTGACGGCAGCGGTGGCAGCGGCGCACGGGAGACCGACGGAAAACGGGGTCCCGGCCGACGTACCGGGGATCTGGCGTCTGATCTCGTTGCAGCAGCAACTGCAGCAGGCTGCTGTGCCTTACCCGAGGAGATGGACAGCCCGACGGGTCTCTGCTCGAACCTCGAGATCCTTTCCGAGATGGTGTCTGGGGGCGGATTTCCCGTATCCCTGATCACGTCTACATTCGTTGCAAAGTGCAGCACCGTGAGACTCTGGTCCGGAGCCTCCAGCTGGGGCGCAATGGCCGATGTCTCCACCAGGGACTGCTCCACAGCGACGTTCGTGCAGGCGGCTCGTGAAATGGATACTTGTCCACCATGGTCCACAACAGAGAGATCACCATTCGGTGCGAGTATGACAACGGCCTCTGACGAATGATCGGCAGCGAATGCGTCAGCGGCCTGGTGATCGCGCGCTGTTGCTACCGCAAGCGGATCCAGCATCGAAGTCTGGACCTGGACGGAACGCGTGCGCTTCGGCTGCACCGTCCGATGGCGTCCATGGCCGATGCCGAAGCAACCGATTGGCAAACAGGCCGCGGATAAGTACGTGGACGTTAGTTCAGGAGCGAGCCTTGTACAGCCCATAAGAGCGAGTGCCCTGAACGCTCGAAATACCAGCAACACGCTATCCCGCTGGTATGCGTTCGGGGTGCGCACGCACAGGTGCACGCCCGCCGGCGCACGCATCGGAGCGGAGGCGGCACGCATCGGCCGTTCGTGAATCTCCAGCTGCAACGTGTCCTCGGCACGCATCGGCCGTTCGTGAATCTCCAGCTGCAACGTGTCCTCGGCACGCATGTCTATATGAAGGGATTCGCTCCACGGGCGGCATTTGGGGTAGAGGCCGATGATGCCGCGCTGCGATAGCGTCAGCGTGGTGCGCATCCGCCGGTTGGGTTTCCCCGGCGGTCTCTGGATCCAGGAGCGAGGCAGGCGCCAGGTGCCACGCTGGAGCACCGCTTCGACATCGACGCGCAGTTCCTCGTGAATGGTAATGACGGATGCCGTACGAACCGTAGCACCAGTGTCCAAAACGGCTGCAATGATACAGCCGACGTCGTCTGCAGTGACTGGGTAGCGTGCTTGCGGAGGTCCGTACTCGAGGTCGGCGCGTTCCACGATGGTTTCGGTGTCGCTGTACGGAAGGGTCCGTCGCCACTGCTGCACGACACCGTCCCAGTACAGGTACGCGGCTGTTTCGGTGCGTCCACGGAGGACGTTCGGTGGCGAGACAGGGTCGGTGGCCGCGAACGCTCCAGCTCGCTGCGAAGCGACGGACGCAGCGCTCGAGCCGACCGCTGCCTTCATCGATGAAGCCAGACTGCTTGAATCCATCTGCAACAGGACCAACTCTTCTCTCAGCGCTGCAACTCGTTGCATTCGATGGAGAAGTCGCAGCCAGGCTTCGGCTTCGAGCGCTTCAGCAAAGTCTATTCGATAGGCCACCGGGAAATCTCGCTCCGCCGCAACGCCGCTGACGAGAAGCAAACGTAAAGACGTCGAAGAAATCCGCTTTATATGCAGCTTCGAGACACGTAAACACAGGTTGTCATGATGAAAGTGCACGCGATCCAAGGTCGAGTTCACGCACGCGTTCGTGGCGACTGTCGTGCCGGAAACACCGTCCCCGCGCTCCACAGTGAGTAGAACCGAGGTTTCAGGTTGGAACGCAGCCCGAGCAACTGCCTCAGCAATACAGAGCCTCCGCTGCGTAACCAGAGCCAAAGCATTCGTTTCCATTTCAATGGAAAGGGAACGTGCTTGCCCAGAGTTTACCGAGCAGCCACGGAGACTCACGTTGCAGGCGAAAGGAGAGAAGCGAACCGATCCGCCCCGGGAATTTGAATCCGCGCAGCGCGATCGCTCGCCAGCGGCGGTATGATGGCGGCCTCATTCGCGTGCATGATAGGATGTACCACAACGGCCAGTATACCCGGGAGGGAGTATGGGTTATGGAGCTTGGACCTAGGTGTAACGATGGGTGCTTTACCGTACACCGATATGAAACGTGCAATCGGTGAGCGCTGGTCTGCGCGTAAACGTTTCGTCAAAGAAGATAATCGGGTGGTTTCGTTCGCCTGTGTCTATGGTCATCGATGCTGTTGACACCGCAATATACGGAGCGCCGGAGGAAAGCATCGCAGCATATCAAAACTCTTGGATGGGCTAACTGGATCCCGGCATTTCCACTGAGATTCCCAGAATACGACGCTCGGACAAGGCGGAAGAACGCGGTGCGTCGCGCGTTCGTGCTCGTTTCAGGAGCGCATGATGCATAAACTCCATTTCGAAAAAACGTACGCTGCGACCCGCATAGGTCCGTAGGTTCTGTGCGGAATTCAAGCTTTCATTCACGTTCTATCACAATACAGTTGAAACTGCGCCCAGCCGCGGTCTCGAAGCAGCCATCAATGCTGTTTGCGCGCACCATCTCGGGGCAAGCCTTGCTGGATGTGCGTTTTCAGCATGTTTCGAGGCGTCTCGCGCGACAGCGGCCATGCTTTCGTGTGCAGGAGCGCTTCCATCTATCGCGCGGGTTGCCGGTCTTAGAAGGACGCGCATTGCGTTGCGGAGGCATGCCATCGGCTTGTCCAGACATGCCTCGGGAACGAGACGCTCGTCGTGCACAGTATCGCTGCCGCCGTGCAGAGGTGACCCTGTTCATTAGCGGTGTCACCATGGCTCTGGGGCCGAATACCGGATGCAGCACTTTCCTCCATCTATCCATCCGAACGTCCGTCCGACCATTGATCTGCTGCCTTGTGTGCCAGTAGATGTAGACGACGTACGTAGACCAGCGAGCCGCTTGCTGCAGATCTATATCCTGGTGTCTGGTTCTATGGATGCGGAACGTCGCCAAGCTGTCCGGATCGGTCACGGAATCCGCCAAAGCCTACGTCGTGCGCCCCGAACATGCTCGTCTCTGTTCAACGGTACAGAAGCGGGATGTCCCGGGTCGTTACCTAGAGACATGATGCGTGTTCGGAGCGCATCATTCCCTGATCCGAGGTCCCTGTCAGACGCGTCTGCGATTCACATTCACCGGAAGAAGCCATCATCCATGTCACAAGGCTCACGATTGTACTCCATTATGGAATCGAAGCTCGTCGCTTCCGAGACTCGCAAACGAGGGATTGTACTGCGCGTCAAGCTTCCAGCTTACGGCAAATGTCATTATTCATTGGAGACCCAGCGAGGCAGGCCCACAAACCTATGTTACCTGGACGCCAACTCGCGACGCTGTCGTCTCGATGCACGCCTTGTAACGTCCTGGGATTTCAGGCGCACACACGAGAGATACCCGACTGCCCGCGTGCATCATCCGATACGGAGCGCGCACCAGCTGAGCGTTTTGATGAATTATGTCCAAAGGCTGTAGTTTATTTCCCACGAATACAGTGAGACAAGAGAGCGTAACAAAAGAGGAATCATGCGTTGTGCTCTCGATCTCCCTATCATTCAGAGCCGAGGAACGCTACGAGGTGTCCTCATGTCCGTGATCATTTCGGGGCGGGAAAGCGAGGATGAATCACGACCGGATCCTCCGAATGCGCGAAAACCGTCAATTGCCTGTTGATGAAACTTTCTCGATGATGCGTCAACTGTGGGGTCGCGGGAAACGGGGTATACCTCGAGGCGACACTTCGTGGGGCACGGCGAATCTGTTTTGGACCTTTAGGGCATCGGCACGGTCGCATGGTGGATCAATTTGTTTATTCTTATCTGGGGAGGTGTTCTGGAGTCGCTCGTACGCGACAGCGTCTCTAGTGGAACAGAAATCTTGTTCTGGCTACGGGCAGCTTACACTGCTGTCAGAAGCATCTGATTTCATGCATGGATCCCTACGATGCGAAAAAGAACAGAGATCAACGAGTGATTAGCAACTCGAGAACAGCTTCTTCCCGGCTTCACGGTGAGCGTTGAAAGGGAAAAAAGTTTTCCGTAATTTCGAAAGTGTATCGTGTTGGTGGAATTTGGCGCGAACCGGATGAGTCCGTCAGGCCAGAGCTCGCTGTGCCTCTAAGGTGCCGGGCCAGTAGCGAGTTCTGAGCAGCTCGTCCGCAACGCAGTTTATTCTGCGACTAGGGGCAGTTAAGCTGCGTCTGGGCGTCGCCCATGTTGCAATTATCTCCTAGCATATCGCTTCGCTCTGTCGCAGGCGGCAGGTCTGCTTACCCATTTTTCAGGCTCCCAGAATGCTTACATAATCCGATTCCGTACCTGGTGAAGCGGCCCGCAATCCGATGCCCTCAGCAGTATGGCAAAGCGTTCTTGTCCCCGTGCTGCATCCGCATCAGCGGTTTAGGCGCAATCGCGGATGCAGCAAGACAGGCACTCGCAACACAATGGAACATTCAAAACGGCAAGTGCATCCAGGCAGAGGCAAGGGCCATGGAACTTGGACGTAGAGTGCATCATGGTGGACGCTTTCCCGAATACCAGTTTCCAATCCGCAGGCGAGGATCCCCGATCAACAGAAACGTTTTATCAAACGAAGAAAAAGATGCGTTGCACGTCGATACCCGAAAAGGGGCATCGCACGCCTGATGATGCAGCGTCGGCGCCGCCGCTGCCGCCGCTGCCGCCACTGCCCCAAACGTACACCCATCCCAGCAAGGTGTCTAGTGACACCTGCTTCGTTTACGAAACAGCAATAGCACCGTTTGCGCTGGCACCGCACTCTAGAGACCGTACGTTGCTCCGGCTATGAGTGAGAGAGAGAGTCCCGCAGATGCTGGGCCCGAGAAATCCGTGCACCCGCTTCAGTTTTCCTGGACGTTTTGGTATGATATGCCCCGGGGAATCAAGCCTTCCCAGGAGAACTGGAGCAACAACGTCAAGCCGTTTGCCGAGGTCGACACGGTGGAAAAGTTCTGGGCCGTCATGAATAATATCGTGGAACCGTCTCGGCTTCCGCCTGGTTCCAACCTGCACGTTTTCAAGCACGGAATCAGGCCTGAGTGGGAAGACGCCATGAACGAGGCCGGGGGCAAGTGGGTAGTCACCCTGCCAAAGAAGGAGCTCCCCCGAATCGATGAGTTCTGGCTGAACTCGCTCATTGGGATTCTGGGAGAACACTTTGAAGCGAAGGCGAGTGATGACATTTGTGGGCTCGTGGTGAGTGTTCGCAAAGACAGAGGCCGACTGGCGCTTTGGAACAAGAGCGCTTTACGGGAGGACTTGCGGCGTTCTATTGGAAAAAGGTGGCGCGAAATCCTGTCTAGTGGCGGACTGCCGCGCGATCTTGATCTTGAATACATGGTACACAAGGACGCTATGGCGTATGATCGCTCGTATGTGAGTAAGGCGCTCGATCGCCTCTGAAACCTTGGCGCTGGGAGCGAGCTGTGGTGCGACTGCCAGCACCAACGGGTACGCGTGCGACACCTGGACTCGGCTTTGGAAACGATCACCGCACGCTGCGTGTAACGTCGTCGGCAAAGCCGTTTTCCCTGCGTCTAGCATGAGCCGGCGAAACGGAAATCGGGCACCGGTGTAGCGGGTCCAGGAAACGAACCCAACGACAGCATCCGGGGCAGCGGAGGCGGCTTCCACTGGCCAGTCGCGTCGTGAAAGCACTCTGCCGGTGCTGGACGCGGGAACGGGCATTGCAGCTCGATATCAACGCACGTTGAAACACATGTGCCGATATGCTGCTGGTGCGACTCGGAATGTGCGTTTCCATTCTGGTGCGGCAGCAAGATCCCTGTAAGAGGCGTAAGTTTGGCGAAGCGCCTTTCGTGACCGCTTCTCTCTGCTTTACGGTGCGGCTTTCGTCGCAAATGGGGTCCAACGGAATCAGAGATCAAAAAGAGGCTCGGTTTGCACCAGAGTGTTTCGCCAGCACTTTCGGACGATGAAAATCTCTGAGCGCTGCGGATATTGGCAGCAAAGCCTTCACTGATGGGAGCGTTTCGGTGGCGCTTCGAGAGTATTTGCATGATTGCGTGCGCTGTTTTGGTGTATCGTGATTGTTTCAAGTCATTTCAAAAGCTATCCGGATTCTGACTTGAGCTGTACACATGCTTTACTAAATGTGAGCCTCGGTTCCACTGGCCAGTACCGACTGTAAGACTTGGAGTAACCTGCTTTGCGCCTTGTGAAGAAAACTGTAAACGCCCATCCAGCTCGTCTTGAAGAGCGAACGCGCACGCCTTTGTTGCGTTTCATGCACGCCCCAGCGCGTACTGGAAGCGCCCGAGACACAGCGCAGTCGTGCCGAGTTTATGTCCAGAGCTGGCATCTAACCTATGTACACTGCTAGGCATGAGACGCGATCGCGTTCCAGACGGAAGCGAGTGCATTCGAATCGGTCCCTGTTCATGATGCGGTTCGGCGCCCAAGCACAAAGTGCGACGCGCATTGATGGACGCTCACCACAACCAGGGCGCCACGGCTTTCCCTCGTTGCTGTCGCAAGATGCCGCATGTTATCCCGTCAGCAAGCGAGCCGGGCATCCAAACTTCTTCGCGCACCCGTCTCCATCCCATAAATAAGGACTTGCTGCTTACGAAGATCTACACCCTCGATAGTACACTGCATAGGAAACATATGGCAGCTTCGCGTGGCCTTGCGCGGTGCCAACACGCGCACATGACGTGTGGAAACGATGGACCGCAACGCCAGGGCGCAGATGCGAACAGCCTCGAGTCGATGCCCATACAGGTAAGACGACGCTGTGCAGTCATCATGTGGCGCTGGCGCCGGCCTTGCTGGCGCCGTCGTGGGCGCTCACCGCAGGCACTAGGCACCCGGAGGATCGCATGAATGCGCATGTAATTCCGAAGGCAGGCACATCCACTGCTGACCGATGGAACTCGAACGTGTCGCGCGGCATGGAAGACGCTCTCCCCGATACCGATAGCAATCGCGCTATCGGGCACGTCAGGTTCGTTGAACGATTCTGTAGCCAAAAAGGGGTGATAAGCACAACGGGTCGAGCACGCACACATTCCCGTTCTTCCATCGTATTGAATGCGTTCCTGAGTGCCGCCACGCTGCGCAGACCTGCCCTCATGACCCTGAAACAACAATATCATGGATAAGCTGTCGATCCTCGATGAGTCCGTGAGGCAGCGTGCAGCGAGGCGCCTCCGACGGACCCCGTCCAGGCGCGAAACTGCGGCACGCGCAACGTCCGTTCGCTGCTCAGCGTGTCGCCTGCCGGGAGCCTCTCTGCAGACAGGGCCTATCGCGGCCATTCACGGGATCATCCCGAGTTCCAGATGCCCGCCAGCAGTACCGAGAGGGTTTCCATTCATGACTGAACAGAAGGGGCATCGGAGGTGGCGGCAGGCCTCAGTGATGGCGGCCGTTTCGTGCGAGATGCTCCGCGGGACTCGATCGCAGGCTCGCACCTCGCTCCGCCTCGTACTCCCCGTAAAACGTGACCACATTCTTCTCAGTCTCCCAGAGACGAATTCTGTACAGCAATAATCCAAGGTGTGGCTCAAGCCAACCCCAAATGACCGCAGCGAGGTTCTCAGTCGTTGCCGGTAGAGCGTGCGCATAACCGCCGTTTTCTGAAGCAAACTCATTTACATCCTCGTCAATCGACGCATGATCGAGCTTCTCGAGCACATGTTTCTCGATTACTTCCTTCAATAGACGCATGTCGAGCACCATACCGGTCTGAGCATCGACTGGACCTCGAACCGTAACCTCCAGAACATAGTTGTGTCCGTGGCGTCGTGCGCACGGCCCAAACAGCCTCTCGTTTTCTTCCGGACTAAGCTTGCCCGCTCTCAGCGCATGACATGCGGAAAACGTCACAGCGCGTGTTAACTCCACAACCGGCCTCTGGATATGAACCATTGGTCTCGAGCGACTCTGGAGCGAGAGCGCCCACCTGCAACGGATACAAAGCTCGCGAACGGTTTCGTGACGCTGCCCGATCAATCTCCCGAAAATCGCGCCAAAAGAGGAGCCTGCGCAGTAGCGCCAGGCACCGTTTCTGGAGGACTGGCATTGAGGCATCGAACTGGTATCATCCGGTAGCAGTATTTTCGGGACCAGGGCCAAGACGATTGTGGCTCTCAAAACGTGTCTATGTGACGCTGATCCCGGTCCAGTGTTCACTGCAGGGCTAGCACACACAACGAACCAGCGTCTTGCTGGTTGTAGCGTGTGTTGCAGGCGCTCGCGAAGGTGCTGGATGCGCAGCCTCCGCCGCCGCGAGGCTACTCTATGGTACCAGCACGGAGCTGCGCCTGTCCGTACTCAGGGATATTGAACCTTGGAACGTCAATATACTTTCTTGATGGCATGGGAAGATCGTATGTGGTGTCGGCCTGTGGCGTTCCAGCCTCGCTCGACAGCTGACCAGTACCATACCAGTGTCTTGGCGCAGGCGAGGATCCGAATCTTCCCCCTGTTTCCTAATGTCTTTATTGCATCCGAACTCCACAGCGTTGCAGCGCAGCGTCTGCATCAGTAAGAGTCGATTCCCTGGCAAGCTCGCTCGACGTAAAGCCGGTGGACGATCTGGAAGCACGAGATATTGCCTGAGGTTGATCGAGGGGTTCAAGTCTCGATGCAGTATGGACGGGTATGTGTGTGTACTTGCTGCTGGCGTCACGACGAAGCGAGCCTCACGCCTTTGATTGCCGCTGCATCTCATGGTCGAGCGGCTTACCGTACGCCATCTCGTGCGTCTGCCTCAGTTTCGCTCTCTGATTCTCTACCGGATTCGACACGCGCCCGTGCTCATGACACGTGTATGTCGTCCTGAACACATCGGCGGGCATCGTGCAGCGCGCATTTCTGTATTTACTTCTGTATTTCGGCATGCTCATTGCATGAGCAGGCGTCCAGCATTTCTGCGTTATAGCGCGCCCTGCTCCATGGGTTACCTATCAAAGAAAACTGAGCAGCTTCATCTGCTTCGCATTGAGGCCTTCGGCTCCGTCCCCGCGCTCTAGACGCACAGCGAAGGCCATGGCGCTATCTGACCTGGGAATCACGCGCACAGCGAAGCCTTTCCCCGCATCTAGCTTGAACAGTTGGAAATGCGTCGCGCTGCCCGAAAGGATACTTTTCGGCACCTGCGCTGTCGAGGTCCCGATCAAGGACGTGGTGCGTCGACCTTTCAAGGTATTCTGCGGACTGTGGGTGCGAGTCTCTGACCCGAAGATCAGGCCGTGTTGCGGGTTTTGTACCGGGCTTCATTCACGCTGTCCCTCGGGGCGGGTTCAGCCGTAAAAAGCGCAGAGCAATGTGGACAGCTGGCAGCCCTGCGCCCGCAACACGTACGCATTGTTGGTGAACGAGCTGCGTCACAGCGCGCGAAACTGAGAGAGTCCTCATCGAGTGCGAAGCAACGCGACGCCAATTGGCGACCTGTATCTCGCTTTACTGAATATTCTCCCTGCTGACGTGTCTTAGCAGGGAGGCGTCGAGAGTGGTTCCGGCGTCATGCGCCCGATCCGTGAGCTTTTCCTTCCTGTCCCTGTACATCCTCTTCGTCTGAGGGATCCTCCTGCTCGTGGCGGAGCGGCCTCTTCGCCTTTGCGTCCGCTCGGCTGCGCGCGCCTTGAGCGCTTTCGAGTAAGGGGGCGCATCGTACCCAACGATCAACCCAGAAGAATGCGTGATAGAGACGCAACGGAGCGCTTCGACGGAGTATGAGGTGCTGAACGAAGCCGTCTGCTGGGCGATCACTAGGTGGCTCTGCAATGAAGTTGCCTCTGGGCCTGATGGTGTCGGAATGCTCGCTTATCTGTGCTTTGGGATCCGTCGTTCGCGCCTCGTTGGGTACCCTTGTGCGGGTCCACCATCGCTCCCGAACAAGTCCCTTTGTGGCGTAATCCGGAAACCGAGCACCTCATGTGAGAATCATTGGCGCCGCAGTGCGAAATCGATAAATTGTGTCGTTCAGCACGAAACAGTCTCCCATACAAGTGCATTCCCTTCTGTATCCGTCTGTGTCTCTTTGGTGCCGCTCGTACAGACGGTACGGCATCATCACAGTCGATGACTGCTTCCGTGGAATTCCGTATCGAAGAAATGGAGTGGCGTAAATTGACGAGGAGACACACTGATCAACACAGGGTTTGGTACCGTCCGCATTGAGTGCGAATCGTTCATCATGCAGAATACGAGTGGGTAGCTTCATCCAGCCGCTGACCCTGGACTGACTGACTTGTCCAAGTAAGGCTGTTTTCTCGTGAACTACCGGTGACAACACCTTGTGTTTCCTGTTCCTGTCTCCATTCTGCAGGATACCTTCCGTTTTCTTGAATGCGTGTGAGAGATAAAAACAAAACCGGACGTGCTGGTAAAGTTGGTACAGAAGGTACTGCTCTAAATGGAAAAGATGTCGGCCCGGAGCTGTGCACTCGTGTCGCGAAGCAGCAGAGCGCGAACTGGTGAGTCATGGGTCAGCGTTGCCACGCATCCAGCAGCTTACACACATAAAGCCACCTTCATTTCTGTGGGTAATATCGAAGGAGACCCCCCAGTGCCTTGACACTACCGTCATAGCAACACAGAACAAGTCTATCTACCAAATCGAATCTAAACCCTAAAGGTAGAGTCTTTTGCCATGACCATCAATACCAGCTTCCACGTGCTTTTTCCGCAACTGACTCCATCCTGACTCAGTTACCTCAGGGTCTGAGTAGGTTAGTCTCCCCGGTCCCTCCGATACTGTCGTCAGCTGTCGAAGAATGGGGGTAGCTCCCGAATTGTCCTGATTCCACGCTTCCGTCCATTATCCACGCAATTCATGCAGAGGCAAAAGTTGGGATCCCTGCTTTGCTCCGCACTCTCATTTCTCTTATGTACAGCCACGGTGCGCTCGACACAGCGACGGCACTTGCATGTGGTCAAGTGTTCCCATATGTGCATGACGCATTCTCCTGTTAGCGCCACCCTGTGGCTCGCGGACGCTTGCTTCATCGCTCGGTACCTGTCCTTGACGGGCACAGAATGCTTCCACAAATGCCCTCCTCCAATACGGCGACAGGTGGCGAGCCTCACGATCATGTGCCTTTTCTGGATGGTCTCGTCACCGAGTGCTTTGTCCGCCATACGCGCAAGCGCCTGATGCTCCATTCGGTAGAGTATGTTCGGAACGCGATCCTGTCCATTTTGAAACAAGTACCGAGAGGAAAATCCAGAATGAAAATGCCACGAAATTCGGATGTGTGCACGCTCAAGTGGAGGCGATCGCTGCGATGACTCAATGCCGAGTACAGGATCCATACCCACGCACGCCGAACAGACGGTATCCTCTGGGAGCGCACCCCAGAAGAGGTACAAGGCTGGTGTCGGATCCCGATTCGTCGGCCGCAACGAAGACAGGAGGATTTGTCGTCCAAACGGAATCGACTGTTTGGCGTGAGAATTTCAGTGAACTTTCCCCATGGACTCGCTGACAAGCCCTGATGGGACGACGTCGCCTATCTCTTCCCTCGTCCGTCCACGAATGTCAATCGCGGCGCCCGTGAGTTGCCTTGAAATGTAAAGATCGAAAACTTCAAGAATATGTGGTTTGAGCGTGCTGCACGTAAGGAAATGGAGAAGAAACGAGGCTTGTACAGAAGAATCGGATAATGATATCGGTTATTTTACGGGTTGTTGTTCAGGAGCGTCGCCAGTCATCATGACACTCGTTGCGTTCTAGATTTCAGTGGCAAAACGGCGAAGGAGCGACTCCGAGACCACGCAAAAAACAGTAATGCCCTATGGCTGCACCTCGAATATCTAGAATGAACATCTAAACCAAGCTAGGTAAAATCGAAGGGCAGGAACAGAGCGTGCAGCTCAGTGCTGCGCTGCAATCCGCCACGAGTCTACCACTCACCGTCTTTTGCGGCAGTACAGATTGAATAGAGGATGGTCCACGACAGCATGGACGCATATTGCACGGTTCAAGTCGCGAGCGGGCAGCTGACGTTGCTATCGCGGATCCACGGCGCCACTGACTCGTAACATGAACCCTTAGGGTACAGCGCCGGTCCAGCGCTGTGAGAATAAGGCGTCACCGATGCTAAAGGCGAGTCGCGGTCAAGAAGGGCGTTCGACTATGCGGAGAGATTCGCGACCCGCAATCTTGCACCGGGCTGATGTCGACGTTGTTCGCCTCGTGGATCCATCCAGCGCTGTCATACCGCGAAAGTCCTGACGCAAAGCCCCAAACTCCTGTCCAGCCCTCTACCCGATGAACCGCAGCAAACGCGCAACCAAGGTAAACAAGCCGTTTATATCGATTTCAAACCGTAAAAAACGCTCGTTGTCACCGCTTGGATCCGCTCACTCGGAAGAAATGTCGTCCAAGCAAAAATCAGAGACAGCAGCTAAAATCTTCCGAGTTGCAGAACTATTCGACAATCGTGGAACGAGGTGAACGCTCACGACCCAAGCTTAGTCTGCAAAAAATGTCGGGCCGACTGGAGACGCAGTGGCGATGGTATATGCAAAGCGCCACTGCGCACGAGGAAGACTCTCGCCGCCCGTCCTCAGGCGCTGGAGTATTCTTGCACCGCATACAGGATCCGAACCATCAGAACGTTCCGTTGAACGCGATCCGGTCAATGCAGAACGGCTACTCATTTAGACCAGAGTTCCTGTCTGGCCAACGAGTGCCAAAGGCGACTGGCTCTCTCGCTCAGAGGACCTGAGACTGACAGCGCTCTTGCGGTGCGATCATCGCTGGATCGGAAGCGAGGCGCACTCACGTGCACCGAGTATGATCCCCGATACAGCTGTACGTGCCTAGTGCGACCGAACGAAGCCTCGGTGCTGTCCATGTACACCGGACTCATCAATCTGGAAGGTTACGAGTGTGCCGGGTTCCGGACCCCAGTCGCTGAAACAAACGCTCGCAGAGCGCAGTGCACCTGCTGGAGTCGATGCCGCATCTGACTGAGATGGAAAGACTCCGCGAACACTGCGCTGTAACCGGATACGGGTGTTAACGCATTGCGACCAGACAGCGCCGAGTGCCGGCACAAGCTCTCCGTCAGCTCGCTGGGCGACTTGATTCGATGCCACCACTGCAAGTGAACGGTGTTCGCGCATGAGGAGACGAAGTGTATTCACGAAGCGGAAAACCCAACGAGCACGCTTCGATAACGCTCCTCTTTTCCGATTTTCATACGCATGCCGAATCACAGCAGCGATACTATCGATAATTAGCAGCTTTGGATCCGGAGAGTGTTCAAGGAACTTTCGAAACGGCCCGCGAATGTAACGTGAAAGCGAGAGCGGTGAGCGCGCCACATGCGCACCCGTTTCCACGAGAATGCGGTTCAGGATGCTTTCCGGTGAACGAGCGATGTCGTTGCCATCGTTATCTGCGGAAGAAGCTGTTGCTCGTGCAATATCAACGAGGCGTTCAGACGGAAAGCGACCGTTTTCTGTGTGCAGATATAGTGTCATTCCACGATTTCGAGCAGCAAGTTGGAGGAGAAACTGTGTCTTCCCACTTCCAGCCTCGCCGTAAACCTCTGTCACTGCACCACAACGTATGCACACAACTTGGTCAAGAAGTGGACAACCCAGTGAAAGCGTGACGGGTGCGGGTGCGGGTGTCGATCCCTCCAGGGCACCGAAGCGTTCACCCTCCAGTTTGCCGCACAGGGCGCTCGCTGCGTGCCGAGCCACTAGGCTGGTTTCCCGCGCGACGCGCTCGCACGCGCTCAGAAACGAAGCTCGCAGACCTATGTCGCCGTGCGTAGAGCTCCACGCTGCCAGTTCCAATAAGGCCTTTGCATCCAAGTCGCTGTTAAACGGCTTCGAACCCGCAGTGCGGACCCCGGAGCGCGTTTTTTCGCGCTCTCGTGCGACAAGCCGTTGAAGCGCACTTTCCGAACCTTCCGGGGCAAGACGAATCAAACGCTCTGCCAGCGCCAAGGGGAAAGCATCTGCAGGTGGTGTCTGCTGTACAGCAGCGTCCAGTTCACACGGGAGTCTGACGTCTGCACAACCTGCGTCGTCAGTGCTTGCACAGTCCATCGAGCAACGTCTGCAAGTGGAGGCTTGCCGTTCCGTTCACAGCATCAGGTGCCGGTAGCCAGGTTACTAACGCAACCAATTAAAAGCGACCATATATCAAGCGTTCTGAGCCCGAACTGCGTCCACCAGAGGGGCGTTCCGCAGTACTTGCCGCCAAGGCTTGTGTCAAAGCGACACGCGCTTGCCGTAGAACGCACCTTTAGTGCAGCGTCGGGCGCGAGCGACACGTCTACAGCGCGATACTCGCCCCGCGCTTGTGCTGCAGTACCGGCTTTGTTACCAGTGGGTCTCTCTCGAGGAATACCTCGTGATGCGGTCATGCTCTGGGAGGCTTCACAACTGCGCACCTACGCCATATTCATGCATGAAACAGCGGGTGCTTCGCATACAGGGACTGGATCGCATTCGAGTTCCGGGCTCGAGCGCTATTCCCATGAACTCGTCAGCTTTGTACAGAGGAAGAGGCAGAGACAGCGACTTTGTGCACCCAGTTGGCGATGCATTAAACCTGGCGATCTTGCCGTGAGCTCTGTCGCGCTCAAATACATGAACAAGCAAGTCCGTCGAGCGCGGAAACCGCAGTTGTGCACGTGCACTGCCCGCAGAACATTGGTCCCTAACAGCGTCTTCTGAGCGATAAACAGTTGCTTCCCAGAGTCCGGGCACATCTGTGCTCAGAAGCAGGCTCTTTTACGAGACGTCAAGCGCTTCATTGCTCCCGGGTGCTCCCAAGTCCGGTGCGCATTCACGAGCAGCCGCCATATCATGCGGATCTTCTTCGTTTGCCGCAAGGCTCGCTCCAGGCTGTGCACCGGGAACGAAAGCCAACGGTGCGACTAAAAACTCAAAAAAACAATGTTGTGAGGCAGGGAAGGCGCCTTCTGAGGCCGCCAGCGCCACCTCCACCACAGCATTTGTCTTACGGTTCACAGAGTTGCGGAATCCGTGCCCTGTTGGCAGCGGCACTCGAGCTGTCATATGAAGTACATCATTCGCATTCATTCGGAGACGAACAAGATCGGCGCGCTGAAGTGCTCGCAGACATCTCTTGAGCAGCAGCGCACTATAGGCCACAGTCTGCTCCTGAACGCACTCAAACTCGAGAAAGGCAACGTCCTCAGCGGGTTCGTCGTCTCCTGTGCCAAAAAAAGGTATCTGGACGCGCACATTGGACACGGTTTGATCGCCGAGCGCCTGCATCCGCAAACCTGGGCAAGGATAGGGTACCATACTTAGTTGCGCTGCAGCCGCTCCGGTGTAGTCGAGTTCGGCGAGACAGATCGCGAGTACTCGACTCATGATTACAGCATCATTGTAAATCGGCACCTGAAGAAACTCAAAGTCATGGAGCGGAACTTGTGCTGCTGTCTGCACTTCACAGTCCAGGTAGCTTGTTGGATCGATCTGGAGCAACAACTGCAGCGGGCTTCCCCGTCGCTGGTACAGCATCCGCAGCGGTGCCCCGAGTGCAGACCTATCCACCGGACCTGTACAACCCACGAACAGTTGCAGACAGGTCAGTAGCTCTGTCCGTGGAACCTGAAAAGCAGTGTCCTCGACGACATCTGCCGGCGGGTGACACTCGAATAAGGTGAACAGCTCCCGCGGTAGCGTCACACACGCCTGAAAATAACCAGACTCTTGTACGACAAAGCGCAGTCCGTTCTGGTTGCGTGGAACCACCACAAGAACCAGGTCGCTAGAGAGAGAAGCTGCCGAAGGTAGACTTTGGAGCGCGTCAACCAGAAACTTTCCGCTTTGTAACTTGCATAAAAGCAACGGATTCGGGCTTTCGATGGCGCTGTCCACCATAGATAGGTTACGGACGCCAGTTTCGGGAGCGGTCTAGCGAAATCACTTCCCGCCGTTTTGTGTATTGTGCGGACTCGGCGGCGTCGTTTTCGAGCAGCCGCAGCGGCCATGAAAACGTGTGTGCTCTCCGACACGAGGCCTGAGCTGCGGGACTTTGGTTGCAGAGCTGGCAAACGTTCTGGTGGGACACAAGTACGTTGATGAGAAGGATTTCGTGCGTTCCGAAACCTCGTTCGGGAAGCACGCGCCACGCTCAGGGGTCTGAGCGCCGCCAAAGCTGCTCTAAAGTTCGACTGGCCTGGTGAAAGCTCATCACGAGGGAGGTACTTGTCGCGAACGTGTCTCGCAAACCCAATAATGTTCTTGATAGCAGAAAAATGGTCTGGTTAAATCACATGACGATGGAGACGTCTGGTTCACTAGTGTCTCGCGAACCCCGCAGTATCCTCATTCGATTCGAGCAATTGTTGCATCCCAGGGACAGAGAGAAGGCTTGAGTTGCGTGCTACATCAAGCGTTCTGCGTTGCGTTGGAAAATCGAGCGGCACCGAGTCGGGTCTATCTATTCGCGCGTACTGCACCCATCTTTACACGGCGATCGAAGCACACCGTTGGAGATACGCACAAACTTGTAAAACTAGAGCGGCGCCACGCTGAGCCGGACTAGTTCGGGAAACTGCGCTATCATATCTTCCTCCGTGAGCGTGTCGTTCGGTCGATCAGGGGTCCAGAGAACCTCCACCGCAAGCAGGTCGTCTTCCGTGACACCATGAAGCGCCTCCAAGACATGGCCGCTGGAGCGCGCAACACCTGTGAGGTTCCGGATCGCGACAAGAAGCGCCACCACGAGGAAGCTATCAGGCTCTGTTTCCTCCCCAGGCGCATTATTTGCATCTCCAGTTTCATCTGAATGAATTCGGCGGACGCCGTCCAAGTTCAGGACGGTGTCTTCACGCCAATTCGCTTTAATCTGCACGCTCATTCGACGAAAGGAGCTTTCAGCAGCCGATTCTTCAGATGCATCGAAGGTTAGCACATCGTGAGCAGATGCGTACCATCCCTCGCCGGTCTCGCGGGCTCTTTCAAGCAAGAGCGTAGCGTCGCGGAGAAGATGGCAAAGATCTCGTGGTTGCGTTGTGTCTAGCTCTGCAGCTAGGGCTTGCAGTTTGGGACGGACAAAGTCTCGAGCTTCGCCTCGAAGCGCGACCAATAGTCGAGCGACGGCTATGCTTCCCGGCTGGAAGCTTATCCCACGCTTGGTCCGGTCACCGCGACTTTTCAGGGTCGAAGCAGCTATGACGCTACCGAAAATCGCTATCTCCCATGGAAACGAGTTGCCGGTTCGTGGACCACGAGCCGTAGGCACTTGGACGCTCACTGTTCCTTCGCTGTCAGAAAAGCTCAGGTCGCCAGTGGTTTCCTGTCTGTACACCTGGCGACTTGGTCTACCAGGGAGGACTGTATCACTGGGACCAGTGCCAGACGACTCTGAACGGCTCCAACCGCCGACACTGCCGCCCGTTCGACTGGCGAGCACTTGTTGAACCGCCACTCCGGAACGGTTTTGCACGAACAGTACTTGCGCCGGCACGGGCTGCAGCCACGGAAAAGTCATCAACAGCCCCCGGCGTGGTTGACAACCCAAACGCGACGCTCTTCTTGTTCTGCGCGCTCTGAAGTGCACGCCTTCCTCCTGAGGAGAAACCGGTACGAGCGTGCGTACTGCTGCACCAAAACGCCCGCTCGTTGCACCTGGGGCTCCTCCGCAACTGAACATTGTGAACACGGTGTAAACGGTTTACGTCTAGAGCGAAAAGCTTCAGTTCGCACAGCGGCAGCAATCTCCTATGGCTCAGCGTCTCGAGGCTGTGCCCAAGTCCGGTGCCAGCAACGGTTCCTAGCGCGCAACTCGCCGCAGAACAGCGGCAAGCAGATGCCAAAGGCTTTCTTATGTTCTGGAGAACGTTTGCACTGATAAGTGTGGACGACGGAACGAATACATTACGGAGATCGAGTGCGTGTATGCACCCACTCACAGAAACCTCCCGGTCATTTTTGACCGGCCGGCTGCATTCGGCTTTAGCGTCTGATTGTACACTTCGAGCGGGAGAGGCTGCCCCACGAAGTTGGATTGCCCCAGCTCCTCGGGTCTTGTTCTCAGCTGCACACATCGTTTGCTATTGATGGCACTGTTGAAGTGTGGGTTCACGAACTCCTTGCGGGCTTTGCCGCTGGTGGAACGCACCTTTGCAAGGATTCCTCCACGTCGCGCCCTCTGTGCCACCACAGTCTTGTTATATTGCGTCGGGCAACGAGCTTTTCTCGCTTGTCTCGCCATTTCTTCATATTCGTCGTTTGCTCTTTGTCTGTCGACGGTCGGCGAGAAGGGGATTGTTTCCGATCTTTTCCCCGCACTCGGCGATGAACGGCCGCCGAAAGGCTCGACCTCCATGTCCGTAACTGTCCCTTGGATTTTTTATGTTTCCAATATGCACGTACTTGCTTATGCTGTTGGGCGAGGACCTTCCCTGCGTGAAAATGACTTGTGGAAGATCGACGACATGTGTCCCGATGTGTCGCCGTGTGCTGAGCGCTTCAGCGATTCGCCCAGTGGCGCGAACCTTACATTTCGCAACCGAGAACACTTCTTCGGTAGGGTTGAAACACGGAGCCTACGGAGGAATGAGAACCAGCTCTACCCCCGATAGAATCGGCAAAAGCTTGAACGCATGGGGAATGGTGAGATGCTACATTGTGCAATTCAAGGACGTCGCCATACCTCAGGGAAAAGTCTTCAGTGACTCGACAATGAAGATGCTATTGCGGGAGCCTTCTCTACGAGCCAAAATTGAGGCCGCCGAATCCATGCACTGCATCTGGAACACTTGATGACGTCGTCGTTCTCTTCGAGACCGATCGTACGTACAACGGACTCCCAGCTCCGCGAATGCCCATAAACGCTCCGAGCGTTTCGTACAATGAACGTCTCATCGATGAAAACAACAAACCGACACCTCCCTACTTGATATCGATCGTACCTTTCCAGACACGCTGTCGGTACAATATCAGTGGAAGATGACCGAGCGTGAATTAGGACTCTCTTTTTGCGTCTGCATCCTAATGTTGCTGAGGACTGCACGAACAACCCGCAGAGAAATAGAGACGCGCCTGGCAAACACGATCGACGCTTTTGCTTTCTCCACAGCGATCAACGGACCGCTTTTCTACCATTGACCGCACGCACGCTTTGAGCATATCCATTTTTGGCGATGATTGCATACACGAGTTTCTTGCAGTGTTCGTCAGCCAGCAGCGTACTGTGCTATGACTGACCTGAAAGAGGAATGCATTCCTCCTCGCACTATCCGGTAAAGCATATATATCTCCTACAATCAATGCATCTACGATCTATACAGCACATTGCATGGTGATGTCGATCGCCTGCTGGACACCGCAGCGGGGGCGCAGCAACCAAATCGAATCGGAAGACGAGAAGGGAAATGTAGCGCTCACGCTTCTGGGGAAGTCTGGATCGATTCTCCGATCCGGTCTCATCAGCTCCACGGGAGCGAAAATGCTTGTCGCTGCTTTCATGTCCAACATCAGGTCTGTGTTCGTGACATAGACACTCGGCTTCTCAGTACCAGCATTCATCGAGTTGCGGCTCGTGAGCGCTTTGTGCGGAGGAGGTGCTCGTGAGCACTCGCGCGGACACGTCGTCGCGGCGTCCGCATTCGGCAGCGCAGCGGTACCGGCTGGGCATCTTGGCTGAGGATCGTGTGCTGCCTGCCGGACTGCGCTGCTCGACACAACTTGCACACTTTATGCAAATGACGTCATCAGAGACGCCTTTATACCCTTTTTCATTCACAATCTACCAGGGCTGTGTAGAAACTTGGTCGGAGTGGGCTCGAGAGCCGGACGTTGTCGCCCTGGAGACACTGCTCCGAGTGTGCGGCGTACCCGACAGTGCTGTGCAGACGCTTTCCAGCGGTACGCCTTACATGACCGATCGACTGGTGTTTCCGGTGCTTCACATACGTCGAAACGCCGAGCAGTGTGGTGAAGCGCCGCTTCAGGACTTTGTAGTTAGTGGCTGGTACGCTTGTCGGGGCTTGTTGCTCGACTTGGGGGTGCTCTCACCAGGGCAGTGCACGCCGGTCGCAGAGTCGCTGGTCTCACTGGTCCGCGATCGACTGGATCTTGGTCGTTTGTATGAATGGTGGCACATAGATGCGAACTATTCTAGCTTCACGAAGCGCTACTGGTCGACGTTGTACCAGCTGCCGTGGATGGCGCGATGGACGATGCCCCGGCAGGAACGCGACGCGGTGCGTACACGTCTGCTCATGCAGAGCGCAGCGTATCGACAGGTGCTTCGTCGGACTCGACCGACTTCGTCCAGTGGCGGAGCTACTTTCCGCAGTCCTTTTCCACCGGAGCGACGGCAGCAGCAGGGTCAGGAACGTGACCTTCATTCAGCGTCGTGGTCTGACGCGTCTGCGGCGCCCGCAGCGACGGCAGGGGAAGCAGGTGCGGCCGCGCTGGAAGCCGCAGCAGATGCTGAATTCTGGTCTCTGGAGATTGAACCTGTCCTTGATGCTCTCGCTGCGATGCTGGGTGAGCATCGCTATTTCCAGTGCAGCAAAACGCTAGCGCCCACGACGACTGCGATGGAATCGCAGAATGGACCAACGACTGCACCAGGTTACGTGGACGCAGTGGTATACGGCCATTTGCTCGTATATTTACAGATGGAGCTACCAGTTGCGAGTCGCTTACGGGCGCTCGTAGCACAGCGACCGACACTGCAGCGTTATGTGGCACGAATGCGAGACACGCACTTACATTCGTGTGCTGAGGAGCAATCTGGGGCGGCGGAAGGTGTGCCACCCAGGGTCGCATCCGCTGGTGATTTGCCACGACCGCATCCGTCGCATGCTTCGTGGCAGGCAACCGGTAGCGCAAGGTCGAGCAACCGGTCCAAAATGAGCTCGACGCCAGAGGAGGACGCAGCCCAAGAACGCCAATTGGCGAATCGCACATTCGTCTGGCTCGCTGTTGGCAGCTTTATCTTTTACGCTTTATTCGGGACAGCGCTCGATGTTCGCATCGGAGACAGCTCGTACGATGCAACATGAGTTACACCGACATTTGACGTCTGCCCGAAGCGGGCCGGGAGAAGGGGTCAAAGCATCCTCGGTCGATCATGGAGGCTGTTGTCGTTGCAGATGAAGCGGGGCATTTTCACTGCTGCTTGCACGTAGAGCGACTGACATATGCACATGCCGGTAACCGCTTGCCTACTGGTCTGCTTGCCTGCCTGATGGTCATCATGCTGGCAGATGGGTGTCTATACCATCTAGAGTCTCATGATGAGTTGCGAGTCTGGCAGCTGTGCGTCGCAGATGCGTAATTCTGGACGCAGACGCGACGCTCCAAGATCCCGAGATTTACTGCAACGCACACACAAGTGACGGATGGAACGTGCAGATTCAGCGCATGATGCAAACGTTATCATGCACAAGAGCAGTCTGCACATGGATTGAGGAATTCGTGGACAATGGTATGCAGTAGCGTATGCGTCCACCGCCTGCCTACATGATACCGCTGGACACCTGTATTCACCCAGGAATCAGTCCATGAGCGGGAAAAGATACTCTTTGACAATATCACGCAGTAGAATGCGGGCATCGTCTGCCTGCAGATCACGTGTATCTGCAAGCAAGCACCTGACGCGCTCCGCGGCATTCCTCACGTTCTCGTCAACGACGGCACATGTTTGAGGGTGCTCCTGGTCAGACAAGCGCTGCATCCTGCGTACGCGATGATTTGGTGATGGCGGTGGCCGCCTGGATGCACTGCTTGGCGCTGGGGGCGGCGAAAAACTCATATTGACGGCGCTCGTGCCGGCAGTAGCCTGCTGGGTCCGTTGGGCGTTCGCCTCAGAGGCGAACTCGTCGCCACCAGTGGACGCATGTGCGCTACACGACGCTGCGGAGCGACTGCGGAGACGCTGCATCGTGCCGGCAGCAGCAGCGTGACGGCGTGAGCACAGCATTTGCCGCAGGGCGACTTCGAAGGCCTCGGTTTTCGCGACAGCATCTGAGAGCGCCTGCACTGTACTCGCTCGGGTTGCAACCGTCTGCGATGTCGACAGGATACATGGCCAATCGCGCTGTTTGATCCAGGATAACATGGATGCATCGGCAGGCATGCCGAAGTAGTGGACAGTTAGTTCGTAGTACGCTGGGGCGCCCTGCTCAAACTCGAGGAGGTAGTCGAGAGGCACACGCTCGTGGCGCACCTGCACTGAAGGTCTGCTGCGCGGGAACGGCCGGTACCCCTGGGGATAGACGCGGAAAGCGCGCAGCGCAACCTGCCCGACTCGGCGGCTCCGGACCGGGTCCACGATGAGGATCACCCAGGGTCCTTGGCCGCTTTCCTGAACAGCACCGTGACTTGCCAGTTCACTTCGGCTGAGCCAGCAGCCGTATCCGTGATGCGAGCGGTACCAGCCGACAGCGTTCAAGGCGATGCCCGGCGTCAGTAGCTGCGAGCGGTTCTCGGGCAGTTGAGCGTCGCGCGCTGGTGACACTGGTACAGGCACTGTACCTGGAGGCGCGCAAGCAGGTGTCGCGTCCCAAACGACGACCGCTCGGCTCGACGCTCCTGGCGGCACGAAACCCCATAAAACCCCTTGTGTTTCTGTTGCGGAACACTGTTCAAAGCAGTGGCTTGTCACTTCGCTCAGCGCGAGCACCGAAACGTACACGTCGCGAAACGTGGTCGCTGTCGTTTCGGAACCCTGTTCGGACTCGTGCAGTAGCGTCGCTGTGCGCTCCAGCAAGGAGCCTGTCTCGCGGAGGCGACGCCAACCGCTAGGGTATGCGACGCGCTCGAGCATAGTCGACTAGGTGCAGAAAGCTTCGACGGGTCCGAGCGTCGTCACCGGACCTTGTTCGAAAAGCATTCTCATTCGTTGGACAAGCTTTGCAACGTAGTGTTCGCCCGCCGTCTGGTACGGCGTTTCGCCACCACAGCGGGGCGTTCTCGCGAGAACTCGAAAGTCGAAAGAGCCGCCGCGCAGCCGAATAAGTGCACGCTGGTATCGTATTGCGTGGGCTTTGTTTCGTACCAGGTATCTAGTGATTCACAATGTGTTCAGGAGTCATCGTTCATGAGCAATGAATCTTTAAAATTCCTGGTTCAGCATGAAATGGAACGCTGAACTTGTCGATCTGTTCCTGCGTATCGATTGGGTTTTCCGAACGATTTACCAGAGACAGAGCTTCGAGATTCGCAGTGCAGCAATACGGGATTACGGATTCATAGATAATTTCAGGAGTTTCCATCGTCTTGTCGCGGAAATTCAGGATGCCAAGGATATCGGGGTGATTCGCAACACACTCGAACAAAGGCACCTCAAATAGATGATCGTATCTTCCAGTGCATACGCACGAGGCTCCGCTCTCCTCCAATCCCTGCGGTACCAGCATGCTCTAATCAGGTATGCTTCGGGTTTTCGATTTCTGTGGTCCAAGGCAACTCGCGGACGCGACAATGCGCGCTGTTGAATGGACGAGGAAGACAACTCGGCGTCGTCGTTTGAAGAGTTGTTGCATGGAGAAGGGTCCTGGATGCTGACTTGAGGCATCGCAGCGATCGACTCGAATGGAGTGTCGAAGGAGCAACCCATATCGACCGGATTTCCATACTGGATTTCCGTCTCGGTTCTTGGTTGTGCATGGAGAACATTGCGTTCAGCAAATCCTCTATTGATCGGAAGGGCGTGCGCTTGCTTGTGAAGCGAACAGCGTACCCGCCTATGCGACTGCCCAGAGGAGGCTCGTATCGGAAGTGTGCGGCACTCGGCATTGAGACTGAGGCAGATATCATGGGGCGCCCTCTCTACCAGTCCGGGGCACGTACCGGGCGAAGAAGCGAGCGGTGACGCACCCCAGGGCGGCGCTCGGAGGCGGAGGCGGCACGGGAGGCCCACGGGAATACCCTGCGGTAGCCGAACGATACCCCGACGAATTCGCTCCCCGGATTCATACAAAGCAAAGGCACGTAGTAAGGGAAACATGTATCGATTGTGACGCCAATGCATACACTGCATGAAGAACTGCTGCAGGCGGCGACCTTGCGACTCGAACGCTGCCATCAAAGTCCTTCGACTGCTGCAAACGTAGCCAGTTCGAAAGGAACGACCGAGTTGTTCACAGCCGGCGCTCAGAGAGAGTCTAAAGGAAGCGGTTGCCGAGAAATCCCGCATATATCGGTGTTGATCACAGTCGAAAGAAGCCAAACCAGTAGCGTATACGCCCGAGTTGTCAAACTGGACCCATTCCATCTCAGTCTGGTATGGCTCCATCATAACCCTGGACCCCCGGGTGTGCGTGTGCTATCAATAACCATCGGGAGACCGCAGTTCCATTTTAGACGTCGCCAGGTGCTGCTCATCCTGGAACCGTGTTCAGCTCAATACCAGCGAGCAAGTCGATGGAGCGATCGCCCTTGGCGTACGTTTTCGCTGGCGAGGGCGTTGCAGATGCGCCTCTCGCTGGCCAGCCTGCGGAGATGCAACATTTTTGTAATCGTAGTAGGTAGCGGGTCTGGGAAGTGGTACCAGGACGGCTCGTTTCTCTTGACTAGACGCGCATGGCTCATGACGACGTACTTCGATCGGCTGCTGGCGTCGCTTTCTTCAGCGCTCGAGATTAATGCAGCGACGCTGAGCGGTGCTGCGGATATCATCGTCATCCAACAGCCCGACGGACGCCTGGTGTCGACTCCGTTTCACGTCCGTTTCGGTAAACTGCAGTTACTTAAAAGTCGCGAGAAGGTCGTGGAGATTGAAGTTAGTCCGCTTGATGAAGTTGAAGCGGTAGCGGTAGCAAAGCAGCTGGAGCGCTCCTCCACGGCGAGCACCGGGCCACCGCCACCCCAGAGCCTAGAAACATCACGGGGCACGTACAGGGCACCGCTTACCATGCTGCTTGGCTCAGCTGGTGAGGCTTTTTTTGTAGAAGAGACATCTTCGGAGTCTACCGTCGAACTCGAGGGACAAACCCCCGGCGAGGCAATATGGGTGGAACGCGCCCCCAGTGAGCCACCTTCACCCTGCAGCGAAACCTTCCGCGACTGGCGCTCAGCAGCTGAGCCCAGTGCCGCGTCAAGCTGCCGAGAAGAGTCCCAGAGCGCCTTTAGCGATAGCGAGCAGCCCACTGGAGCCGAACGCCTCCAGCTGCCTCCGTCGGACTCCGCAGACCTGAGGGCATCCTCGCAACCAGAGTCGCGATGGAGCAGCCGCTTCGGCAGTATGCTACGAAGGCAACGTCAAACGGGGGCGGAAACACGCTCCTCATCGAGCACTCCGACAGATGTCATAACTTTGGGGATAGAGTCGCTGACGTCATCGCCACCGGCCGCTGCACAGCAACAAGCTGAACTGCTGGCATCGCGGGCTTCATCGCGATCCTCACTAGAGGGCGAGAGGTCTCCCGCAGCTGGCGTGGAGTCGCTTGTCTTTGAAATGGATGACAGTGGCCAAGCGATGACTGAGTCCAGTGTACCGGAAGTTGCAGCCGCTACCGCACCCGCACCCGCAGCATTCACGAGCGCCACGGATGTGCATGCTGTCGGCAAGCCCCCCGTTGCCTTGTCGCTATGTGGGCACTTGATCACACCCCAAATGACCCCTGTACAAGTACATGAGGTATTCGAAGCAAACCGCATATCCCTTGATTACTTTCGGGGTCATGTTACCATTCTCAATCATCCAGATATTCTGGTACGCATTCATGACCAAATCTACCCGCTACGAGTCGCAACACCGTTGCTGTACGGCATGTTGGCCTTTAACACGGTGCTTGATCCCCATGCGGTCGATCGACAAACAACAGCACCAAAAGCGCGACCGCCGAGAGCGCGTTTTACCTGGTTCGGGCTTCGAAGCAGTCAACTAGAGGACTCTAGTACCGATTTGTTGCAGCTGGGTGAGCCACTCACGGAAGCGGAAACTGAACTCAAGCCACCGATGGAAACAAGCACGACCAGCACCGCCGAAGCGAAGCAACATCTGCTGCCGCTGCACCGACCGCGATACATGCGCAAGTCGTTGTATCCGAGTTCTGCGCAGTTGGCGCAACTCGGCCTGCGACCCGGAACTAATCTGATCACGTTCACAGTGCAGAGTCGATTACAAGGAGTTCAACGAGTTTGTAGTCGAATCTATTTGTGGCCCCATGATGTGCGTCTATGCATCAGCGACGTCGACGGTACCATTACACGTAGCGATGTGCTTGGACAAATTCTCCCGCGTGTCGGCAAGGACTGGAGTCATCAGGGCGTCGCCAGTTTGTATCGAGCCATCGCTCGGAACGGGTACAAGTTTCTCTATTTAACATCGCGTGCGATAGGACAGGCGTCGGCTACTCGAAGCTACTTGACAACGCTGCAGCAAGAGGGGGGTCTTGGTCTTCCCGACGGGCCGCTCCTGCTCTCCCCGGATCGGGTGATCGAGTCTTTCACGCGCGAAGTGCTTCGACGGCGTCCGCAAGACTTTAAGATTGCAGCATTGGAGCAGGTCCGTCGACTCTTTCCACCGGGCAACTACAATCCGTTTTTCGCGGGTTTCGGGAACCGCGACTCTGACCGCATCGCCTATGCGGCCGTTGGGGTGCCACCAGAGCGCGTCTTTATTGTGAACGCTCGCGGCGAGCTGCAGGTGGGTAACCACGTATACAGTGCGCTCTCGTCGTTCAACGCGCTGCAGAAACTCGTTGACTCCATCTTTCCCGACATTTCCACCGTTTCTGGGCAGCAGAAAGTAATGGAAGTTCACGAAGCGCATGCCTTTAATGATTATCAGTATTGGAAGCGACCCTATTCACCGACGGGAAGTAGCAGCGACGCTGTATCGCGTTTCTTTTCGTAGATGGGTGGATGTTTTCCTGCCTGCGGACTGTACTTGGACGCTTCTGGGTCGATGCGCGGCTGCACGCTGAGCACGAAGCTATCGAATAACCGCAGTACGGGCTGCCTGATCACTGCGATACTTGAATGGGCTCGTTGTCGTCCAGAGACGGTTGAGAGGCGCCACCAAGGTTGGTTGGTTGGTTGGTTCAGTGTCTGGGCACACACTGGCCACAAGCGTGGCGCTGCGCAACGCAGGAATCTTGCACTGGTCGATGTATCCCCGAGGCAAGTTCTCGACGCAATGCTGCAACTGTTTGAGAACGCAGATAGCCACGGGTTGAGCATTGCTACCCATCAGTACGCCCTCGTTCGTAGCAAATCCCAAGCGGGTTCAAGCATCGGACTGATCACTGTGATGCTTGGTTCGCTCCTCCCAGGACGTTGCCGGGAGGTTGCTCCAGAATGCTGCCGGTCTCTGGACAAAATATCGCGGTGCTCGACGATGGGCACGCTGACGCCTATTCTCGCGTAGCAGTGTAAAGTACGGCAGACAGCACAGGAGAAAGGCAGCCGCGTTGGACACCAGCAGCATGACCAGGTCGGTCCACCAGAGCACGTTACTGCAGCAGGGCAGCTTCGACGCGACCGCCGCTGCACTGCAGGTGCAGTCGGGACCACAACGACCAAAAGGCGTTTTGCCCGACACGGCATTCACAATGAAAATAGCCTCAGTGATGATGAGTGAAAGGAAATACGACAACAATACCGCGGCGCCGATGATGCCGGCGAGGCCGGTCGCCTCCACTGGTCGCTTTGCGATTCTTGTGAAAGCAACAAGAATGAGCCCGTAGCCGCCCACCGAGAGCCATAGAACTGCGGTGGTGTAGAGGGTCACCCCCATGGATACCGAGCACGGAGTCGCGTGACGATAACGATCCGCAGAAATGATAATAATGACGACAAAGGGCCAGACAAAGAGGGCCAATGCCAACATGGTGACCCCAAAGGCGAACAGCAGCAGACGCTTCAGGTTTTCGCGACTGGAGAGATGGCGCTGGTGAAAGCGACCCAGCATGTCGCCAACGTTGCGGCCCAGGCGACCGGGCTTGAGATTCCCCGCAAAATGTCGCCAGGAAAAATCCTGCAAGATGAGTTGACTTCCGCGCCAACGTACCGGCTTGGCGGCAACCTGACTCGAGTCCATGTTCGAACGTTGCATCTCTGCAATCTGCTGAGCGTACCAGTCGGAGGTGAAGAGCTGACCACCGCTCGGAGACGTTCCGGTTTCGGGCACGGAGGTGCCGCTTCTGTCTTCGTCCAACGTTTCTGGGCGCTGTAATGAGTGCAGACTGAACCCGCTACGCTCTTGTTTCGCAGTCGCTGTGTAGAGACGCTCGGCATATTGATAGAGGGCAAGCGTTTCTGGCTCGGCCTCTTTCTGGAGCCAAGTATTATACAGATGCTTTCTGCGGAAAGTACTGGGGTCTGTTTCGTACGAACCAGATGGAAGGGTTAATGTGGGCGGATCTCCAGCGATACTGGAGATGTCCGGGCCTGTCGCTTGCGCATCCGCTGACCCCAGCGCTGCCTGCAGCTCCACGAGGGACGGAACGCGTCTAGGCGCCCGCTGTTTCGCCGCATCCATGGGTGCTTTCAGAGCGAGCCTGCCACTGTCCAGGGCGAGTTCCGTTCATCGTCGTGCTCCCGCGCGGGAACAGTGACCACCAGCACCGGAGAACGGCGTTGGATTTCGCACCAGTTGCCACAGGTACAGAGGACGTCGCTAGGCGTGAAGTCGCAGTGTGCGGATTCAGCAGGTGCTGGGGCAAGAGAGCCAATCAGGGCGGGATGGAAACCCCAAACGACAGAGGCCTCCTCGTCGACTCGGCAGATTCGTGACGCACTGAGCGCCGTGTACGATGCAGCGCCTCTAATCAATACTAGGTCGCTATTCGGTAAGTCAGGTGTAAATATCACCGCTGTTGGAAGCGAGTTCGGCGTTTTCGCGGAAGCGCCAGGTACTGCACGTAGCTTCCGCGGTGGCTCCTCGTTCAGACCAGTCCCGGGTCACCTGTTGGTGTATCGCTATTCAAAAACACAGGTATGCGGCCAGGCTGGCAGTTTGCTCCGAACAACCAGCGTCGCGGTTGAGGGCGTCAGCCACGCTCTCTTCGTGGTGCGTTGCGGCTTCGCGACTGTGGTCTTCTTGACCAGTTTCCAAGCCCTGGCAGGAGTTGCGACCCTTGTGTACAATACAAATACAGACCAAGCTGACGCCCGAGACCGGTCCAAGGACCCCGTGTGTGCTTCCCAGGCTCCGGGTGTGTAGGCGCACTATAAGTGCGTCTAGCTAGCCTTGCCTGGGTACGAGCGTGTGTAGCCAGACCTCAGACCAGAGACCTCGGTGCCTCAGGGGACGCTTCCGTGCTCCAATAACCCCGAGCGGTGTCTTTTCTCAGAAACAGAGGCAGCTTTCAGACTCCGTAACCCAGTCCAGGCTTACGAGCTGCAGCCCGAATGGCAATGCGAAGTCGAGTAGCACACCGTTGGCGGTTTGATGCCCGGTGCTGGCGCCCGCCGGTCGAGAAACAGCACGGTGCCCGGGATTGGCGTCGGAAGCCCAGTTGCTGTTGTTGTTGGGGTTGCGGGTGCACTGGGGTAGCGCCTGGTGCACAGATAACTGCTCGTTGCCATGGAGGCTGTCACCGGTTCTGATCCGTCCGATCCTCTAGTTGCAGACGTCCTGGGCTGTGGTCAGCTGGACCTCACTCGAGGGCTCATGCAACGGGCGTCTTCGGGGCCGCGTTTGCGACCTGGAGGGCGATTCCGTCAACACGCTGCCGCTCTGGAGGCGCTAACGAGGCTGCGGCAGGATCTAGAAGCTGAGGGTCCAGAGTCGAGTGCGACTCAAGGGCAAAATACCGGTGTCAAATGGGACGTTCGCCACCCAGCGTTTGATCCTCGAAGCTATCTGTTCGAGGTTCACGTGGACACGTCCTATCAGGAGCTGGAACGCGGACTAGAGGAGTTAGCGCAGCGGAGGCAGCGTCTGGAGAAAGCGTACCTGCAAGCGGCAGTGCACTCACTTCCTGCGTACCTGACGACAATATTCACGCTACTCCCGGAACTGGAACCGTCCGGTTCAACCTCAGGGCGAACGCATCCACTTGAGCAATTAGAGTCAACTTTTCGAGGGGCGTGCGCGCAGCTCAGAGATTTGTTCGAAACCTACCACAACATTGGGGTTTCGTTGAGCGCTTGGCAGTATACCTCTGTGCGGATGCGTATCGATCCCGAGATCGGAATGATGTACAGACGGTTTCTGACTGCGCTGTTCGAGAGCGATGCAGCAGCAGCAGCTGCTGCTGCTGCTGCTGCCGCCGTGAGCTATAATACATTGATAGAATTACGAGCTCAGGCACGCAACGGGCTTGCTCAACGTGAAGCGTCCTCGACAGGGACACGCGAGTGGACCGACGTGACTCTCCGCTCGATGGAGTTCCTGCTTCAGAGGCTGCGTTTCTGCCCGCGATTCCAGAATGGAGCCGCGTCGATTCCGTCCGCTGCTTTCTGGAAGAGCTTCGATGAAACCGTCGAGCAAATCTGGGCAGAATGCACTGAACCACGCCGCACGGTCGAGACGTTTTATCTCCTGCGTTTGGACGTTGCCAGTGAGACGCTTCGGGAACGTTGTGACGCACATGCGCTGCGTCTGAAGAGCACCATCTTGCGGAGCGCCTTATCCGCAGTGGAAAACACGAAAGCAGAGGTACCGGCTGCCGAGTGCAAGTTCACATCAGAAATACCTTATACGGAGGTTTTCGCGGCGGCAGCCCAACTCGTTCTTGCGTACCTGCGGAAAGAGGTGATTGGAATGAGCCAGTTCGTTGCGAACCTTTTACACTACGTGGATGCGGCACGTCAAGCCCTGCTTGGCCCGATTTTGAACGATGCGGAACGCGAAGCGTCGGCTCGACTGGTCCAAGTCCTGCGAGCATTCATCGAAACCTGCATAGATATATCTAGGGAGGCGATGGACGCAAATCGGTGGAAGCTGCTGGCTCCAGACGCCTTAACGCCAGAGCTATGGGGCTCGGAAGCGCTAGCAGAGCGTCTGAAGGGTCTTCTGGAGACCAGTCTGCAGGCTTTGGGGCAGATTCCTTCTGGACGAAGCAGTTGAAATAGCGCAGAGGCACGGAGCAGCGTTCTCATCAAAGCACTCGAAAATTCATGGATATCTGCATCGCATCGTTGCGGACATGGCGAAAGCGTCTCTGGAGGAGGCACCGCGGCGCTGCGACACAGCTTCACTACGCCTAACTCAAGCTGATCAAGTGCCCAGTGCGCCATACTCGTTCCAAGAAAAGTCACTGACCGATCGCTCTCGACCTGCGTCACACATGTTGTTACCCGCTTTTCGACGAAGCGTACTGAGCAGAAGATTGAAGTGCGCTGCGAAAGAGACAGGCGAAAGAAAGCGACTTTTGTGACAAACAGGTCATTGTGTTGTGCGCCACACGCCAGTAGAAAGATAAAATTGGCACCTTTGCATGCGGATGTGGAAGGGTGCCACTGCCTTACCGACTGGAAAAGTTTGCGGGTGCCTCAAGTCGCTCATACGGGTCGGGGTGTTTCGGAACCACAGCAGTCCCCGGGTACGATCCTTGAACCCGGGGCTCGATGCTGGTGCTCGTGCAACCCGCAGTGCGTCTTGGCGAGCGGCCTCTGGGATCGTCGGGGTCTGCGCACCTCTCTATCGCAAGATTTTATCGACGACGGGGATTCGTAAAAGCCTGTATTGAAAGTATGGAAAGCAAGGGGGGAACACAAGCAGCACGGCAGCGGGCGCGCCCGTGATCCAGTACTGGGCATCCGCCCGTTTTCGCTAGTCCGATGACAAGGAGCCCGCGAGCCGCTGAACGATGCATATATTCGCATCTGGCGGCAAACGATGCCCAGTCGAGTCGAGACGGTCCTCCCAGTGATGACCATCAGCATCGGTGTGGTACCGAACATGCCAGGTCTCGCCGGCGGTGTTGCGACCCCATCGACAACCGTGGTACTGCGGATGCTCGGCAGATGAGTCGGCGCGGCGGCTTTCAAAGTACCACTCGTACCATACTTGGGATTCGTGATTGTGTGGCAAGATTCGTGCATCCACACCGAACTTGTCCCCGAAACGGAATAGGACCTGGGGTTGGTTCTCGAGGCGGTACTCGCCATGACGCTCGAGCCACCAGTTGCCGTCTGGGTTACGTCGTACGCGGGCATCCTGCCACATGAGCGCTGAGAGCAACGGAAGACTCTGCATCGGTCCTGTGGGGAACGAGTCCACCGGTTTCGCATTGCACTCGGCAGCGGTACTCGACTGGCAAGGCAGCGCCGCATGGACGCCATCCTGGGCGCCTTCATGTTCAGAGATCGAAAGCGCACTGAGTGCAGTCATCGCGCCGGCGTATCGATCGGGGTGGCGTGCATGTCCGCAGGCCTCGATTTCCAGCGGATGCTCGTTCGCTTCGTGGGAACTACGGGTAGAATGCGCACTAGGAGATCCCGAGGGAAAAGTGGTCCCTATGATTGACGCCAGATGCTCCCAGGGGCAATCGCTGTTCTCCTTTTCGGGCTCTGCAAGTGAGAAGCCAAGCGCCGATAGGCTTCTGCTGCTGCTGCTGCTGACGTTCTCGAAAACGGGCGCGTATAATTCAGCTCCAGGCATCGGCAACGAATACTGGATGCTATCATCCCAAGACGCTGGCAGAGATGCGCGTTTGCCCATTGGCCCTTTGCGGGGACCTGACTTCGATTGCTTCTCGGGTACATCTTGATTCCTTTCGCACAGCACTTGTATTTGTGGTTTGCTTTCCAGGCGCGCTCGGAATGGCGCTTGATTCTTCTCTATCTGCCCGAAAACTGTAGGGAATGCGAGATTCTCAGTTGTATGGACATTGGCGGATCGATGGTCCATCAGTTCTGAAGCAGGTAACTCGCTGCGGTGCGCTGTGTATTCTTCATTCGTCGGTATCGCCGCGTCTTCGGAGTCGTCATTGGAATCCGACAAGGCGACGAAAGTGGCGCTGAGGGATAGATCATGCAGATTCGCATAATGGCGACTATGGCGTCGGTACCACAGACGCTCGAGACGGTCGGGATCGTGCAGCTTCCGGCACGCGATTGTCTTGAGTGTCGGCCATGCACGCGCGCTGTACAGCCGTACTGGCTTGGGTAGAGGCAGCAGCGGCAGCAGCCAATAGCACGGTTGCACATGCCGTATGACAGAAGCAGCCGATGCAGGGCTTTCAGGGAACCTGCCTCTCGCAGGAGTGCGCTTGCGGCAGGAGCGGGCGAAGAGCGCGCTTCGCTCCTCACGCTCTCGGCTGCGTCTGCGCAAGCTGATGAGCACCAGCACCCAGACGACCATCCAACCAGCTACATGGAGTGCAACAGGCACTCTTGGGAGCTGGAGCGGCGCGTGCTGCGAATGCCATCGCTCAGAAGCGCTCCACCATGGGAGCCAAGAGTCCCGTCGAGCAGCGACCGCTCCCGATGGGAACGCCTCCGAAGCTGGAAAGCTGCTAGGTTCATGCAGGTCCACCGATAGCACGCACCCAGACTGCGGCTCTAAAGGCCTGTAGAGTGTGCGGCCTTTCGTTCCTGTTGGAGCATCCCCGATCCCGTAAACAGAGCCCGCTGTATGCTCTTCTATTCCGGTTGACCCGGATGCCTCGCGCAGTTTCAGAGACTCGCGTTTTGAATGCCGCCTATACGGTGCGCGTGTTTCATGCAGCCGAAAATGGTCTTCGTTCACGTTCGTTGGCGCATAGAGCGCAGCGTCGCGACCGTCTCGAGTTGCACGACCTCCGACGCCGTACGGATGCATATCCGGGGCGGTTTCCGACCAGGTTTCGCGCTGAGATCGCTGCATATCCCCTGTCAATGATTCAAAGAAAAAGTGTCTACTAGTACACGTCACCAATAGTTCCTGTAGCGTCAATAGAGCAGTTTCGTTGGTCACTGCTTAGAAACGCAAGGAATATGAATGCCAGTTGCATGTGGCGATAACGGCTGTGCCGTACGCGTGGCATGCACGGATCAGCGAGATCGCCTGGCGGGAAGCCGCCATACGATGCGTGCATGCGTACGTGCGTGCGCGATTCCGCAATGCGTAACGCCTCGGCGGTGCGCCGCGCGTTGCTGATCGCTATCGCATCGCAGTCTTTGCCCTCAAAAGTGTTCCGCATTCAGGTGCATGTCATCAAATGCTTTTTCGCTGCTTACCGCGGACGCATGCAAAGTGCTTTCGTTTGAAGTGATGAAAAAACCAGGGGAAAGTATGGACATGCAAGTCGGGAATCCTAGGGGGGTCGTCATCGCCGGGTGCAGGAAAAACAACAAAAAATCCTCTTCTCGTTGACTCTCGAGCGAAGAAGAAGAACAATGGACGAAGAAGAAATGAGGAGATCGTCGAGAAAAGGCGTTTGCCCGATGGAACGATGACGAGACTTTGGCGCCATACAGGGCACGAGTCCGAGGACTCTTTGTATCAGTGAATTCCACCAGCGAGAACGAACGCATAGAGTTCGTGAACAGAGACTTCAACATCGCCATAAAAATCCGACGATGTGCGGTACTGAAGACAAGACCCGCAGGGCTGTGGCTATCTAACTTTATGGAGCAGCCTCTCGGGCTCGAAGCATACGATGAGAAGCTGAAGCAGATAGCACGTGTACAGTCGCAAAAGGCTGAGAAGCGTCTGCGCCTGGGTAGATATACATCCTCGACATGGTCCTGCGACCTTTACGCAGCGTCCAACGAGGTACTGGGATCGAGGTGGCACGAGAGAGCGCCCGCGTTCGTGCGAGCTTTAGCGCGCAGCTTCAGTGTGCATGGGGATCCCGCAACTGATGGCACGTGGGTCAACTGGGCCGCTTCAGCTGCTACCCGAACGCCAATATGCAGAAGCTCCCTGCCTCTTGTGATTCGCTTTGCACATGTATCCGTCTTCTGAACAGGGGCATTTCTGTTATTTCCATTCAGAGGCAGATCAAGGAAAGACAGCGAGAGTGAATCAGTGCACAGAAGGGTTTACGCTAATGTCAGACTGAGATGGAATGGGTCCAGTTTGACAACTCGGGTGTATACGCTACTGGTTTGGCTTCTTTCGACTGTGATCAACACAGATATATGCGGGATTTCTCGGCAACCGCTTCCTTTAGACTCTCTCTGAGCGCCGGCTGTGAACAACTCGGTCGTTCCTTTCGAACTGGCTACGTTTGCAGCAGTCGAAGGACTTTGATGGCAGCGTTCGAGTCGCAAGGTCGCCGCCTGCAGCAGTTCTTCATGCAGTGTATGCATTGGCGTCACAATCGATACATGTTTCCCTTACTACGTGCCTTTGCTTTGTATGAATCCGGGGAGCGAATTCGTCGGGGTATCGTTCGGCTGCCGCAGGGTATTCCCGTGGGCCTCCCGTGCCGCCTCCGCCTCCGAGCGCCGCCCTGGGGTGCGTCACCGCTCGCTTCTTCGCCCGGTACGTGCCCGGGACTGGTAGAGAGGGCGCCCCATGATATCTGCCTCAGTCTCAATGCCGAGTGCCGCACACTTCCGATACGAGCCCCCTCTGGGCAGTCGCATAGGCGGGTACGCTGTTCGCTTCACAAGCAAGCGCACGCCCTTCCGATCAATAGAGGATTTGCTGAACGCAATGTTCTCCATGCACAACCAAGAACCGAGACGGAAATCCAGTATGGAAATCCGGTCGATATGGGTTGCTCCTTCGACACTCCATTCGAGTCGATCGCTGCGATGCCTCAAGTCAGCATTCAGGACCCTTCTCCATGCAACAACTCTTCAAACGACGACGCCGAGTTGTCTTCCTCGTCCATTCAACAGCGCGCATTGTCGCGTCCGCGAGTTGCCTTGGACCACAGAAATCGAAAACCCGAAGCATACCTGATTAGAGCATGCTGGTACCGCAGGGATTGGAGGAGAGCGGAGCCTCGTGCGTATGCACTGGAAGATACGATCATCTATTTGAGGTGCCTTTGTTCGAGTGTGTCGCGAATCACCCCGATATCCTTGGCATCCTGAATTTCCGCGACAAGACGATGGAAACTCCTGAAATTATCTATGAATCCGTAATCCCGTATTGCTGCACTGCGAATCTCGAAGCTCTGTCTCTGGTAAATCGTTCGGAAAACCCAATCGATACGCAGGAACAGATCGACAAGTTCAGCGTTCCATTTTAACCCGGCACGATCGTACAATACACTTGGCACTGTATGCAGCGCGGTGCTGGTCGTCGTTCATGGGCCCAGTATGCACCGGCTATAAAAAAACATGAGGACAGTAGACCCTGTCATCGTGCGCGGGTTCTGCGAGTCATACATTGCTGCTACAGGGAAAACGCCAAGACCTGGATCTTGCATGCCTTGATTTAGATCGTGCTGTAGTTTTTCATCGATATCTAGGATCCATCTACGAGTCTGAAAGTAAGGAAAACTGCAACCGATGCGCCTCGAAAGAAAAGTGGACGCCGCAGCATGCACCCAGGTACATCCATATGCACAGTCTGTTGTCTTCATGGGCAACGAAGCACGCACCCGGCCTTGCATCGGGTTATCATCCACCACGGCAGCCTGTGCGCACATACCTGGCGGCCGCCTGAGGATGCGAGCGTGTTCCGCACAAGTAACCGTTGAATCAAAGGCAAAGGCACTTGCACAGAATTGAAGGTTGACGCGTCAGTGAGAGCTGGCATCGTCCCACGCGTAAGAGCCTTGTCAGCATCATAGAACCTCTGCCAGGCACTCAATGGCGTGACAAGGGCACAGGCGGGCTCCCGGAGACCTCCAACGACCGCCACCCATCCATGATGATGCAGCATCGCTGAATCTTGTCTGAATCTCACGGGTACACAGGCGCTGCTGATCGACAGGGCTGGACCAGCACGCGCACCTGTGACCTAACTACGAATTCCGCCACCTCCACAGCGATATGCTCCACTTGTGAAGAGAACTTGTAGAGCAGGCACCCTGGAAACGTCGTCCAGACACGATGCGGTCTCGTCGTCTCTGTGCGAGCTTCGATGTGACGCTTCGCCAGCGTTGAATCTCTGCGGACCGGAAGCGGTACCGCTCCAGAGCCACATGCAACAATGCCCCGAATTCGAGCAGAGCGGTATGGCGGAGCTCTCGGAGCCGCCTCATCACATCTGCCACAACCAGAAATGTGCAAGTCATTCGGAAGCGTCGCATGGAACGCAGTTCCCAGCGTGGCAGTTGCTTGGAGCGACAAGCAGCGTTTTTCGCTCCACTCATGGATCTATATCGTATCTGCACTGAGAAACACCTCTATATTACGCGAGATATGCGATCAGTAAAAAATCCAGATTCACTCCATGATACCCGCGCGCTTCTGCGAACACACATGGATGAACGCTTGGGAAATAGCTCCCTGATGCTGTTCTTCATCGCGCCTGTTGATTATATAGGAATCGGTGCTGATGCAAGCTCGGTGGTAACTTCCCGTACGGGCGCCACAGACACATCCTTCACGTTCTGAATGAGTTTCTGCTACTCGGGGTGCCTCCTGGGCGTTCAGGAAGAGGCTGGAAGCCCCTACGTGAGGCGCAGGTTCCACCCTGACACCAAGTTCACACGTTCGCTGTGTCGCAGTTCGACAATCTTCAGCGCCCAGCGCGTGCAGCGCACGTGCGTTTGTATGCACTGTGGATCGCGAACGAGCCGAATCTCGGTTTGCGTCGACAGCTGGGGTCCGCACTCGAGCACCTGCGCGCAGCGCCTCGATTTGGAATGCGCCAGAGACAGCAATGCGCAGCTTGATTCAGCAGCCTTGTTGGCCTTGGTATGCACCCAGTGAACCCCATAGGTCAGGTTACCTGGAGATTACCCCATATTCTCAGCGGTACCTGTCATAGGCCACCATGCAGAGCATCGGTGCCCGGATTCCACCACAGTGCGCCGCCCCTGAGACACTCCGTATAAAAACTTGTCAGATACCACAACACACGAAGCCGCAGCGACCACTCAAGCGTCCCCAACGACGCCATTTGCGTTGCAGCAGTGCCACGGGTGCGTCCGCCGCCCTGCACGCATCGTTACGAACGGTACCGAACGGAGCTTCTCTCACAGACGCTCATGGCAAGCTCAGCGAACGATGGAACATTCGAAATGACCAGTATCTCCGAGGGAAAGCATGGGACATAGAACTTGGAAATAGGACGTGGAACGATGAATGCGCTTCTGATCGTTGACACCAAGCAAGCAATCGGCGGTACTGGGTCCCCAGCACCATTGAAGGAAACAAGCAACCAGGCACACAGACAGCGCCGCTCGCGAGATTCGAACCTCCAGATGCAGGCACAGGCGAGCCTTCGCGGGACGCGCCACATCGCCGCGGCACGCACGCAGCATCGAATGCGTGCGTGCGTGCGTGCGTGCGTGCGTTCGCGCGCGCTCCTTCAGTCGAAGCTTCACCAGCGGCACGTCTCTCGTGCTGCTTCAGCTGTTTGTTGGTGTCGATCAGGAGCATGTTGCCAGACACTGTCGTTCCAGCAGAGATACGTAGAGAAACCTCTTGCACTTGTGATGCTGAAGCGTTCAACGCGACGACAAGAGATATGAGCGCTGTGTCCCAAGTACCTGAGGTCTTGGCGACTGCATTGCCCGTGGCGGGTAGCGCAGTGGCGGGCGTAGCTGCAACCCCCGACTCTTTGACACAATCTGATCACCAGGTGATCCCTGGAAGCACATTACCTGTGACGTCGTCAACGACAGCGGGGCGCTTTCAAAATATCGAAGATGGAACAGAGCCAACTGCGAGTGCGTCGTCAGCACTCCGAGTGACGCTGATTGGGCGCGATAGCCTGCGGCCCGAAGGGAAGGGTCCCGGGCAGGGCGGCCCACCGGTGCGTACCGAAGTTGCGAACCGGGTGAAAGTGTTGCTTTTCAAGCAGCTGCAGAACGGTATTCATCCTGGAGGTGGGCACAAATCTGCGGCATCGCATACTGAGCGCCTGGTCGTGAACGAGCCGGAAGCTCCCCACGGGTGTTTCTGTCGACGAAGTAGCAGTGCGCACCGCACCCCAAAGCCTGCAGTGTCGGCGCCAGCAAGCGCGTCCCAGGTCGACGACGAATCAGCACCCATTGCTGCCTGTGTTCTATTCGGGACGGACCCACAGCAACCCTGGAATCGTTCCGCCGTGCACCGCATCAGGCTTTGCGTTCGCCATCTTCGCGAGTGTCGCGGCTGTGAAACACCTGGTATTCTCGGAGCGTCCGGATCGGCGGGAGAAGTCGAACGACTCCGACTGCAGACTGCACATTCCGGGAGTCTTCCGACGCAGGCAGACCCGCATTCGATCGCGGGGCTCCTGAAGGACACGCTCCGGCGAACGCGTCCTGCACTGTTGTCATCAGATGGCTACCAGTGCTTCCTCGAAATGGCAAGGAAAAGCGGCCCGGGTACCTCCTGGGATGAGGCCATCAATATTTTCCGTCTCTGGCAACGTATTAGTGCGAGTCAACCGCATTCCTACTGTCGAGATGTACTTGTAGAGATTTTACTCCTGCTCAACGAGGTAAGTCGCCTCAACGACATCAACAAGATGACGAGTCGCAACCTGGCGGTGGTCATGGCGCCCTGCCTTTGTGACTGGGACCCGCTCCGGCCGAATGCGCTCGAGCAACTGCATGTCATGACGGATATGGTGCAGTATCTGATAGAACGCGCGAAATTCGTCGCGGACATGGAGGGTCACCCCGGTACTGGACACGAGCGCATCAACCTCGCACCGGTCTCTTGCGCGTACCATTCGAGCGCCGAGTCGCTCAACGCTGCGACCGTGAAACCGCCATGCTACGCGTAAAGACACCACGACCTCGTAATCGCGTTCCTGTCAGAGGTGACCTCAACTGGAGGCTTCGACCCATTCCCGCCCGCTGGTTGCACTTGCATCACGACCATTTGCAAAAGCGAGACCCACGGGATGTTTCATTCCGATGGAACGACCACGCTACATACGCTGTTGGTGTGTAATCGCCGCGAATGTCTGGCTTTGCAGTTGCTGGGTTCACGTCGGTAGCAGGTCCGTCACTTGGCGCTGAAGCTGCAGAACATTCTCGGCGAGTGTGCCTGTCGAGCACAGCAGGCGAGCGAATGCGGGAACATGGTTACCGTGTAACGTCGCCCCGAAGGTCGGAAAGCCCCAAAGACGCAGTCCTTTGAATGCGGCTGGCTCAGTGACCCTGCTGGTCAGCCTGGTGTTCCAGTACCTAACGCCGTTGCGCACTGAGCACGCGATGGAAAGGCCGCAAACCATGCTGGGCACCTGGTATCCGAGCGCATGTGGCGCCGAAGTTATGGCCTCTGGCTTGGTCCTATAGCACGCCGCGCTGCTCGTTTTAAGCAGCACGCCTTGTCTAATAGGCATGCTTCGGGCGCGGCGAGCACCAGGGACCTGGCGGGTCCGCGGACTCGTTCCAGGACCTGCGGGCATGGCGCACATGTGTGGGTTTGTGTGTACACGGAACCCCGACACGAGAGATATCCAATGCCACGATCGACTCTTGGTAGAACATAGTATCTGCCGGATATTCTAGGCATCCCACAGGCCGCGGAACGGCGCCCAGTGGTCAGTCTGCAAGCCTCGGGGATGCCATGCGCCATGGACAAACAGGCGACGCAGAGCAGCGCCCTCGAGTAGACGTCCGTCGGGGTAAAACATGAGGTCGCGCTGACCCTGCAACGCGCCTCTGGCAGCGTTTTCAATAGCGGGGTAGGCGTCCGTTTTGGGTTTGCCTCCTGGAGCGTTCGCGGATCGCTCAGACCCGTATTTTATCGGAGGATACTCCCCGGAAACAGCGAGAGCATAAAAGCGTCGGCAGCGGAGCTGGGGTCTGTTCCTGGTCGCTTCGCAGGCTCCGTCCATTCATAACGCTCCAGTTCCATGCATTCATCGATCTCACACGACCTACCATGTAAAGTTTCTGACGGTACTGATTGCCGTCCAGCTTGCAAGCGGGGTCAGATGCTGCTTGCAGCCATCGCGCCTGAACAAGCGACCTGTATACCATGTTCGCACACAAAAAAGCGCACAAGGTGTTTTTCTATTCATTGGCATGCGCTGCGGTGCTCTCATGGCAAAAGCGTGCAGTACGGGCGGCGCGACTCGAACGCGCGATCTTGTGCGTGTTAGGCACACGTCATAACCATCTAGACCACGCCCGCGCGACGAATAAGCATGCACAACAATTGATATATAAATGCTTTGGAATCTGTGCGCAAGGATGGCGAGTATGATTCGGATTCGCAGGGGCGCTGCTCCGAGCCCCGAGGTACTGGACGTCCTCGTTGACTAGCGGAGCGTCTCAGACAGACCCAAGAGCGTTGTGGGTTTCACTCATGAAAGTCCTCAATAAAAGCGGGCGCGGAGAGCGGCAGTTCAAGTTCTTGTCGCTTCGCGATCGTCTGCGTCAGCTGAACACAAGCGATGCGGAGCGACTTCGCAGACCAGTCTTGGTCAGCGAAGCGTACGCGTCACGAAAGCACGAGTCGGCGTTGGATACGTACCTGCGGAACGCCATTGCCGAATGGAGCGATCGTGATCGAACACGCTCATTCCAGGCGTTTGCAAAGTCCGTGGAAGACTGGGTGATCTCACTGCCGCTTTTGCTTCGAAACCGGAAGCGAGTCTTTCGGCAGTGGGTGCTTGCTGTTCGCGAGCGATCGCCGTCGTCGTTGGCGGCGTTGATAGTTTGCTGGGAGGCTCTCGCACTGGATCTGGCTGCAGAGTTTACACCCTTCATACGACCGTCCTTAGAGGTTCTAGCAGGCGCTTTGGACTTGGAAAACGCGGATGAGACGAGTGTCTTCTTCTCGACAACAGCGCGGCTCTTTCGCTGCTGGACCAAGCAACGGCGCTTTGGGCAGCAGCAAGCGCCTCAAGTGTTGCGTTCATGGGCGGCGATGCTGCTCTGTCATCGCAGCGAATATGTACGTCTACTTGCCGCACAGAGCGCTGGCGTGCTTTTGCGTCGACTCCCGATCGAGGACATACAGCCGCTGGTTGCAACGCTGGTCACTCAGTCGGGCACCGATGCCGCCACCACCGAGACGCAGCGGAGGATGGCAGACGGCCTAGCGGCAACTTTCTTCTACGGATGCTGCGGCATTCGAGGGGAGCCACACTCAAAGGCCCCCGTCCTGCTTGAAAAGCTTCAACACTGCATCTTGCACCACGAAGCGCATTATGACACATCGGATGCCTTTCCGCAGATGCTCCTCGCTGCGCTTTGGTGGCGACTAGGGCGAGCGCTGACGCCCAGCGCCCTTGCACAGCTGCAGGAATCCACTTTGCTGGTTTCCCTGGAGCACGCGCACCCGAAACGTCTCGTTCATGTCATGGAGGCACTGGGCGCCTGCCTCTACGGATGCTGCCGCAACGCGGTATCGTCGTCCTCGGAGCGTGCATCGCTCCTGAGCGGGACGTTCGCTGCAAGCGTTTCGACTTTGCAGCTGGGACGTGGTTCGGAACCTGCGCTGGTGTGGCTCCTGGCGTCCTACGGAGATGCTATTGCCCGCCTCGGCTCTTTGGCGCAGAAACGACGTTTCCTCAAAAGCCTCACAGATGACTTGGCGGACGTCCGAGTTGCCGCAGCAGTGCTCGAATCGCTGGTTACACAGACGGAGGTCTGGCGCTCCCCAGAAGCGGTTCCACTGCTCGGCGAAGTGCTTGGCTGCGTCTACCAGCGATTATCCAGAACCAGCCTGTCGCGCAGCGCTCATCTCTCCTGGATATTGCGACTTGTCACGAGTATCAGGGAGACGGACCAAACAGCTAGTGACGCGCTGTTATCGACTCTGCAACGCTGTCCAGGGATCTGGCAAGTCTCGGACCTAGAAGACAACGATTCATCAATCCGCTATCTTGCGCTGCAACTGGCAACCATGGTGCGTCTCACAGGTATGGATGACGACCAGCAGGATCGATTGCGATGCATCCTGCAGGACGATACCTCTCTAGCTGCGCTCCTGGCTCTGTGTCGGCAGTTTCCAGCCGACAAGCCCCTATTAGACCGCTGCTTCGAGGCCGCAAGTCAGTACCCAGTAACGCCGGGTACAGAGGCTGGCTTTGACGCACTTGTACGACAGCTACTTGACCGGGACCCTGAAGGCAGCGACTTGGTGCTCTGGGCGACACAGACAGAGCGCTTCCGTTTGCAACGTGATGCTCTGTTCAGCGCAGCGGAACTTGAGCTGTGTGCGAGGTTGGCGAGGAGCAGTCCACATCCGCAGCTGGAATCGTTTTTCCAAGCCATGGCTGAAGTCTATCAAGTCGCTTCCTCGTTTACTCGGGAAATAGACCGAATTGACGCAGCTCGTCTGCACCTGAGACGTGTTTTGATGATGTTGCGACAGCAAGGACGTGCGAACATGCCCCAGCAGCTGGTGCGCTTGGAGCTTTTCGCCATTCTGGGCATTCTTCAATTACCACTGACGCTGTACTGGGAAGAGGTTCCCGCATTGTGGCGAGCTGCTATGGAGCAGGTGGATCCAGCAGCACTCTTCGAGCAGGTGCTTTTGCCGGTGTTTCAGGCTACGCAAGCTCGTTGCAGCTGGGTATCCCAGCGCAGTGAGCGATTTGCTGGTGAAGAACGCGCTGGTGCCCTAGGATCACATGAAGATGCTGCAGATGCTGCTTCGACACCCGAGTCGAGCGCTGCACCAATGCTCCAAACGACTGTATCGGGGGCGGTCTGTTCACCTGAATATGAATCCGCTTCTGGTGCTGCTGCTGGTGCTGCAGATGCTGCTTCGACACCCGAGTCGAGCGCTGCATGCTTGTTACCAGCCGCAGAGCCAAGCGGGCCCAGCTCTGGAACGCAACCTGGCGAGAAGGAGTTGCTCCGAACCGCCAAAACGGCGCGTCTGGAGGCAAAAGCTGCACGACCGGGAACATCTGCACCGACGCATACGTCGCTCGCCCAACGGAGACGCAGTGATCCGGCCAAGAGAGCCGCTCTGTCGAGCGCGCCTTTATGGCCGTGGCTCGCGAATACCAAGTCATCAAGTGACCGAATATGGCGGCGACTGAACCTGTTTCAGCCAACCGCAGAAGAAGCAGCAGGTCAGTGGGCAGCACCGCTGAACGCTGCCACGATGACGAATGCAGCTTCAACTGATTCAGCCGTTGCTACCGTTGCTTCTTCTCCCAGGACCGATACATGCCTGACGCGCTCGTCCGTCGGTCTAGGATCATATCCCTATTGTGTATCGCCGGCACCAGTTCAGAACGCTTGTCTGGATGACGAATGGAGCTCTCGTCGTCTGGCTCTCGCTCGACAGATCATTCCAGCGGACGCGTTTTACAGGAATCTGCTGCAACTGGTGGTACCGGTGCAGCAATCGAATGTGAGCAAAGCACATCAAAAGGTACTAGCTGCTGTGGTTACCGCATATCCGGTTCCAGCGGGTATCGAGACGCTCCACTGGCGTCAACTGGGTTCCCTGTTGGTTGCCCAAACACAGTCGGATGCTCCGGAAGCGGATCGAGTGCGCTACAAGGTTCTCCTAGAACAAGCGCTTCGATCGGAAGAGGCGGCTCTGCAGAGAGCAGCACTCGAGGCGCTCTTCCAGTCATCGACCTGGCACCAGCAGCACCGTCGAGCATACCTGCCTCCGTTGCTGGTACTGTTGCAACCCAGAGCTGATAACGCGCCTGCCAAAGCGCATCGAACGCGACTCGTGGGTACTCGTTTGGCAACGCTTCGGGAGCAGGTCGCCATGCTCTATGGAGCGCTGGTGGACCTCGCTGCGGTGCAGGCGCCACAAACGAAGCCTTCGGACGATAGGCAGCCGGCCGCCGAGGATGGTCCGAAGCAGCCGCTGCTCTATCAACTGGAGCAGCGTTTTCAGCAGATCCTGCAGTCACGGTCGTCGGCGATAACACTGGAACGACACCAGGCCGCCTCAGCGGACTCACCGGGGGATTTCACGTACTCGAGGAGCGGCTCGAAGAGAGCGGCTCGCATCAGGGAGGTACCTCCAGCCGCTACAGTGGAGTCGATCGTTATTCTACCCAATGACGCACCAGTGGTCATGCCGCTGGTCGCGAACCTGCTCTTTGGCAGAGCGAGAGCACTCGCCCGCTTTCTGGGTACCGGGTCCACGCAGGGTACGCAGAAAAAGCGCTATCGTGCGCTCTTTCAAGCGATCATGCAGTGCTACGGTTTCATGGGTCGCTATCCACAGATACTGCAGGATCTGGCCCGGCTGATCCAGCAAGAGCAACGCGAAGAGACGCGGCTTGTTCTGGCGATCGCAGTAGCGGACCTGATCCAGAGTGGCCTCGAAACGCCCTGGAGCCTATTCGCTAGCATTACTGCACTTGCGTGGGCATCGTTTTGTTGTTGGTATGCTCCGGAGCGCGAGGCGAATAAGGGCAAGAGGCGACTTGCCGCTAGACTGCTTCAGCGGATGCTCTGCTTGTTGGCGAATGACCAGGTTCACGGACGTGTCAACGGATGGGTACCGGTTGCGTCTGCTGAAGCAGCGCACTCGACTGCACCATCCGGCATCGGGGCATTTGTAGAGAACGCGAGCACGACAATTACGTCCAGGATGGAAGAGCCTGGCGTCATGGTCGTGGACGACGTCGAGGCAAGCGCGGAATCCGCTTCGTTGAGAGCGGTAACTGGCCAGCGGGTCGAGCACTCGGACGCTTTCGAAGAATCTTCCATTCCAGGGCAAGTTGAGTGGACCCAGATGCTACCGCCAACATGGTTTGCGGACCTGTTGCGGCTCTTGAACAACGCCTTGGCGAGGCTGAGTCTCGGCGAGGAGACGCAGTCGGCTCCGTCGCTGTTCGCACCGTTGCAGGTATTGCTCGAAACGGAGTGCTACGTACAAAAGCTTGTCCGAGGATATCCAGTAGAAACAGCGATGCTTTGGCAATACTTGGTGAACTGTTTGCTTCAGGTTAGGCAGCAGAATTTGCAGTGCCTTTTGCTGCGCTTGATGGATGCACTGCTGCAGCGTACAGCGCGAGGCCAGTGGCCACCAGTGCTCGTGCAGGCCCTCGTGCGCTGCCTTCTCGTGTCATCGCCTCGGGCTTGGAAAGCTGATGCGAAGCTTCGAGTTGCAAAGCGTCGACCCGAACCGGAAGGCCCGGTCCAGCAAGCTGCACTCCAGTTGTTGTTGCAGCTTGCGGAGCGCCTGGGAAACGAGCTGGCAATCGACGAGTCGTGTGTTATCGACCAGTGCATGGACGTAAGCGCAAGCGCGTCTCTTCTGCCAAGCTACGCTCAAGAGCAGCATGCAGCAGTGCCTGCAGAGACGCGGAAAGCGATGCATGCTCAGTCGCTTGCCGGGACGTCCTCGGAGTCCAGCCCGACGCAAGGCGTTCCAATGGATACCGCAGCGACTGCTCGCGTTACCGGCAGAGGCGCTTTAGCGGAACCCGCAGAAGCTGGGCTCGTCTTTCGGCAAGGCACTGCCGTACAAGTCCCAGGAGAGGCCGTCCCATGCACATTGCAGCAGGCAGCACTGGTACTCCTGGAGGCACTGCTGATGCTCATGGCACGCAAACGTATCCAAGAGGCAACGCGGTGGACGCTGCTGGACAGTTTCCACAGCGTCTGTGTGCGTCTGCAGCATCGGCTGCTTCCCGAACAATGGGAAAGGCTCCTGGTACTGCTCGTGCAACTCTTTGAGCGTGCAGAATTGTTCCCGCTGGCGAGTCGAATGCGCTGGGAACTCGCTCGTCGTCTGGTGACACTCTGCGACCATATTCCCGACCCGAGCTTGCGAGCACGCGTAGGCCCTGTAGCGAGCCTGTTGGAGCGCTTGAATCGCATATCGCCCACAAGCATCGGACAGATAGACTGGGACAGTGTTCTGGGTGCGTACGCAGAGCGCTTTGATGAGCACCATGACGCCGACTGGCGTCTCCTGGTGCCACACCTCATGGCAGGCATGCAGTTCACAGATGCAGCTATTCGTAGCGCTGCAAGCGAGGCACTGATCAAACTGGTTGGTAGCGCTGTATCAACACCAAGGACATGTAGCGGGACAGAGAGCACCAGCGTCGCCGCTCCTGCAACACGAATAGCGTCAGCGACACCTGGAGAGGCACAAGCCCCGACAAAAGCTACCCGGCAAGTGCCCTGTGCAAGCGAGGCATCCCGGGTTGTCTTGGCGTCAGGTGTCGCGACGTCGCCGAGAGCGCTGGTGTCGCCCGTTGCAAGTCGCTTGCGGAAACGAGCGCTCACGACGCAATCTATCAGGCAGCTGGACACCATACTGAAGACCTACGGCCAACTGGTCCGTCTCGCTACACCGGGACTCGACCCGGTGTGGCTCGATGGCCTGCGTCCGCTCACCGAAGCCGTCGACGAGTCCGAAGACGTGTTCCAGTGCCTGGTTCACCAGCAACTGGCTACGCGTATCCGCGCATGCAGACTCCTCGATCAAGTCCTGGCAACGGGCAGTATTCCGGTGCTTGTGCGGAAAGCATTCCTGGTACCACTCGTTGAAAAATTGATCGGATTAGCGAGTACGTCAAGTCGTGTGCATTCCGAAATAGAGCAACTACAGACGAGCTGGTTGGCGAGCGCTCAGGCGCTATTGGCGGAGCGCCTCCTGGCATCGCTGCCGTCAAGCTGGTGTTGGCAACGCTTTGCGCTGCATCTTCATCGTTTCGAACGACTAGCATCCAGCCAGAGGAGCGCAAGCACTCGTGAAGATGCCCATTCAGACGCGCGTATGTCCGCGAATGCACGACGACTCGGGCAAGCGCAGGTATTGGTGGTCTATGCCCGAGCGCTCGCTGCGCTGCCGAGTATACCGCAGGAGGTATCGGAAGCGCAGCAAATAGATCAAGCACCGGATACACAACACGCACCGATTATGGTGCAAAACGAGCATCGAACAGTGTCACCAGAGACACAAAAATCGGGGAATGCTCCCGAGCAGCTGCTCGAGCGACTGGATGCACTCCTGGTGGCGACAAGTCTCCGTGACACCGCAGCAGTCGAGGCAGACTGCCCAGCGAGTGATCGGCACCTGGAACGAATCGTTTGGGAAATCGTGCTGCGCCTTCTCCAAGCGCTTCCGAGGCAGCAGCAGCAGCAGCGTGCAGTCTGGGTACCGCGTCTCGTTACCCGCTGGATACGTACGCTCGGTTTACGCAACCAGCAACGGCGAGACGACGCACGCGAAGCGCTTCAGTTGTTGCTGCGGATTCTGGGACCTGAATGGCTCTGGTGCATCGCTCGCCAGTTAACGGAGACGGTGCAGGTATCCGCATCGAGAAAAGCGCTGCAGCATTCGGAAGGCACTTGGCGACTTCACGTCTGGGCGTACACGTTGCACATGTTGCTGCAGACAACGCTGGAGTGTGATGCGTACCCCACTTGGCATCTGGATCTGGATACGCTCCAACGTGTACTCGGACTAGTGTTGCTGGTGGAGTTTCGGGATCCCGTTCTCGAAGCAGAGAAGCGCGTATCCAAGCTCTATGCGGATATCCGCGAGGTTCATGTACACAGCGCGGAGCGTTGTCTCACGCTGCTGGGTCGAGTATGGCCGATGGATCGGCTAGCGAACATGGTGCTTGCGTTGGAGCTCTTTGTGCGGGCGTTTCGTGAACGACTCGCGTTTGATACCAGTGGGTCGACGACGACGACGACGACAACGACAACGACAACGACAACGACAACGACAACGACAACGACAACGACAACGACAACGACGGGCGTGCCCAGCAGTGCCGAGCGGTATCGTGCTGCCTCTATAGCGGAACGCGAGCAATGGCGCCGTCTCCTGCACGCTTTTGTGGACGGCATCCATCGACAGGAACTGCATGCAGTTGCACCTGAGGATGCCGAGACAGCAGTCGCATCCCAAGCACTTGTTCTGCGATATTTGCTGACGAAGCCGTCCCCTCGGATGCGTACGGATCCGGGAGCTGATACTGTTACTACTACTACTACTACTGCTGCTGCTGCTGCTGCTGCTGCTGCTGCAGAAAAGACGCCTCGAATGACGACTGGGTCTGGCACCTCTGAAACGATCGGCTTTAGGGATACCATGCGGGAAAGCGCGCACTTGTCTGTGAGGAATCGAACGAGTGCTGGACGTACGCAAGTCGCGGCGAGCAAGGACGCACAGTCACCATCTGGAGAGCGTCACATACAAAAAACGCCTTTATCGATCGATCAAGCGAGATCCAAACACCAGTACGTAAGAGAGAACGTTCCACCTGAGCACCGGAGCCGACAGGCGCTGCAAGGAGAACGGAAAGCGCGCCTAACCGCTGATCACCACAGAGACAAGAACGCAACAACGGAGAGCAGCGCTCGAGCGGATGCGCTGGGCCTTGGAATACTCGACGCCGGGCAACTAGCCATTGTAGAACAAGTGCAGCAGCTGAGCCCCGAACTTGAGACATTTCGCCAAACGAGACGCTCCGAGGCCGCTATTCTCGTCGAAGTTGCGCTGTACTGGGCCTGGCATTGGCGACTGCTGCGGGAACAGCGTCCGTCGTGTGGCGCGACAACCAGACGCTCTAGCTCGCCTCGTGTGGATGTCACTCGTAGGCAGCGGACTGCATCGGAAGAGGCGCACGAGGCGGTGGAGCTAGACGGAACGGCACCGGGGAACGCCAGCCTATCCGTCGAGGCCTCCGAGGCATCCTTACCGGGGCGCTCACCAGAAGAGGTTGCATGGCAACGTGCCCGACTTGTTGTGTGGCGCCTGCTGGTGGAGCCTCTGGTGCTCGAGACGCTTCGAGCACGTCACGATGAACTGGTGATTCGTTCCCTGCAGTTGCTGGAACGTTTGTGGCGCGCTCCGCATCTGGTCCAAGACAAGAGCATTCGCGTACACCTCAAGAGGCTTGCGCCGACTCTCGAGGAACTCTTGGAGCGGCAGATCGTCTCGAGTAGTGCAGAGCAAGCGGGTGCGGCGCTCCCATGCTCGAACTCGGTTTGGCGTTCGCATGCATTGCCGGCTTCTGGTACTGCCTCGAACCGCGACCTCTTTACGACGTTGTTGCGCGTCATGGCAACACTCGTGACGCTTCCCGCTCCGCTACCCACGATCATGGGCGTGCGGAAACGCTCGCAACAGTTGCTCACCAAGGCGGCTGCCAGTGCGCTCACCCTGGACAGTTCTCCGAGTCGTCTGTCGGCGGGGATGACGGTGTTTCGATTGGCGTTACGTGCTGCTCCCGAAACGAATGCCGCATCGACTGCGGTGGACTGGTGCACCCGGTCAACGCTGTGGCCCCTGGTCGAGCGTCTGAGCCAACTGTTGATCCAGCGCTCCGATGCAACGCTGCGAGATCAGTGCATCTCGCTTCTGGTGCGTTACTGCTGGAATCGTCGAACCAGCGAGACAGAAAGGCAGCGTCTCTTGGACCTGATGGTGCAGCATCTAGACTATACGTACGAGGACGGTCGCGTCGCCTGCTTGCTCTTCTTGCAGCGGCTTGTAGAATCCGCACGAACTAGCAGTAACGGCAGCAGCAGCGCTGATGATCACGCTCGCCTAGAGTCGACTGCGTCGAACGTTGCACTCGGTGAGTACCTGCTCGCGCCGCTGGCGGTGCGTTTGGTGAATGAGCACGGAAGCGAAGCATACCAGGTGCTGAGGGCATGTGTACGGGCGCTCTTCGAGCCATTGCCGTCCAGTTCGACAGGCACGGGTGTTGAACGACCTGTCGCTTTGACACCGGGAGCGCGTTCGCTCCAGCAACTGGTAGCACGCTGGCTGGAACCGGGACACGAGCCCGGTGTGCGACTAGCTGCCGCCCTGGTGTTCACATTGGTTCCGGCTGGTTCGCCTCGGGAGCTGGTGACGCTCCTGTTTGAAGCCATGGAGCCCTTCATCCGGGGGAATGCGTCCGCAGAGCGCGACGACTCGACCCCGGCGACAGCGCGGGCGATGCGGCACAAGGAACCAGCACACGAGGCGCTTCCACTGAGCGCTTCGTACTCTGAGTACGAGGAGCAGGGCGAAACGCTTGCCAACAACGCGGCTGCCGACGTACACCGGGGCATCTCGCGTTGGTGCCTAGCCTATGCCGCGAGTCGTGCTCTGGAGCAGACGCTGCAGCCGGAACACGTGCAGTGCTCGCCCTGGACGAAGGCGGACGCAACCAGACTCGTGGATGCGTTGGCGTTTGGGCTTCCCCAAACCGATCGGGTCAGTTTGTTGCTGCATCCGCATCCATGGGTGCGGGCCTCGCTTACCCGCCTAATGGAACTCATGTGGCAACGCGAACAGCATCCGCAAGAGCGAGCGTCTGCTCCCGAATGGAGTCCAGCACATGTGAGTGCTATTGCCGCGGCGCTCTGTCGACAGCTGAGCGCCTTCCAGGGACGCAATACCGAAGCAACTGCGGTCATAGAGCGACTCCTGATCGCGATGGCACTTGTGCTGGGCCAGGAGGCGGGTTCCAGTTGGCGCTGGCTATTGCGGCGCTTGTCGGGACTTGCTTCTCGGGCTCGAGAGCAGACCAGCACACGTCGAGTGGCGCTTCGCGTTCTCGAGCAGCTGCTCCGGAAACACACCGGTGCTGCGAGCACGACGGAATCACGGGCTGCACAGTCTACTGAGCATCAGCGTGAGTCTCGCGAAAAGCCAGGTCAATTAGCATGGTCTCGGGCGATAGAGCCGTTCCTCGCTGCCTGGATATTTCCCGTGTATCGCCTGGATCGGCTGCGGGCAAACGCGGAAAACGCTCATTTGGATGCTGAACTAGAGGCCTCAGCCGAGCGCATTCGTTCTGAACTTGAGCAACCGGATCGACTCGGTGCGGTGCGCTTCTGGGAGGTCTACCACCGTGTGACTGCTCGCGATCGCCAAGAGCGAGCTGCACGCCTCGCGGAACGAAAGCGCTTGGCGCTTGTCGATAGCGTGGAAGCTGCGCAAAGGAAACGTCGACGGCATGGTGCTTCGCGAACAGCGCGGACTTTGGAGAAGGTATAGAAGAAATCGAATGCCCAGTCGGATGGCGTGCAGTACTTCTGGTACGGTTGAGGGGATACCGGGCTTCCGTGCTTGGCGGAACAGGGCGCGTCGCTGCCTCTAGACACAGGCATCGGCGCTGGGGATAAAGGTCAGACCGGATAGGGTTTGTTTTCGTTTTTGAAGAGAGCGCGCTGCATCCGAGCGTCTAGGAAACGCCCTCGTGTGACGCAGCATGCTACTCGACAGCAGCGAACTGACGCCGCTGGCAAAGTCCGCTGGTGAGCTCCACTTGCCTTGGCTGGACGCTGATCGCTCTACCAAAGGGCATGATGTCGCTGTATGTGGATAGCATGTTGGGCGCTCGGCAGTTTCTTGACTAGCGAGAACGAGATATTCAGCTCGGACATGAAGCAAGTGCGCACTTTGTGTGAATGCTTTATACCAGAGGAAACTTGCTCGTTGAAAGCTAGAAAGTTGGACGCGGACACGCCGCTGAACACCAGTTGAGCACGACTCTGGTTTGAACGTGTTCGCTACAAAGCGCACAGGTGCTCGCGCGTCTGGCTGAGAGGCATTTTGCCGTGACGCTGTAGTTGGTCTAGTCATCCGGTGCTGCACCGTTCATTGTGACGCGCCCATGACCCTACACACACGGACATGTATATATGTGTATCCGGTTCATGCTGCCGAGGTATCCGACGGGTCCAGGGTCCACGAGGTGCCTCCGGATACCACCGCCTGTTCCCGCGTTCGCGTACTTTGCACCGAGTCATTGCCATCGGGCAAAGAATCTGGTGACGTGCTTCGTTCACAATTGACCTGTGAACCTGTCGCATTCAAGCACGCGACCTCTGCCCGAGACGCAGCTGGCGAACGTTTGCGTTGGGGAAGCACCTCGTTCAGCGCCTGGGACCACGACTGACCTGCAGCCACTCGAGCGAGTGCCTCGAACGCATGGCAAGTAGTGAGCACCGGAGAGCCTCGCCACGAAGGTAACAGCTCCAGCGGGAGACGGCGAGCTGGCAATCCCAGTGTCTGCGCTCGCTCGAGCATCAGTCCTTTCAGGCGGTTGCGATCTACGATGCCGCCCAGGATGTAGAGCGTATTCGGTTCTACCTGCATGAGCGTCTGCGTTGCATCGGCTGTAAGAACCACTGCGTCGATAGCACCAGCGGTTTCAGCGAGATACGAGGCCAAGTCGCTGCTGGTCCAGGTGATGCTGGGCCAACGCAGTGCCTCTTCACCGAAGACCTGGCTCCGGATATCAAGCGCTCGCGTATCTAGTCCGCAAATCGTCACTTGGAAGGTACATATGTGTTCCTGTTTCCGCAACAGGGCTTCACGTACGAGTCGTCTGTTCACAACGTACATTTGACGAAGTTGGATGATGCTCTTGCGCAGTTCTTTGGAGGTGAGCAATGCGCTCGCTCCCAGATCAACGATGCAGTGAAAGCGTCGAGATATTTGCTGAGAATGTGTGCATTGGAGATAGTCTCGTATCAGGCGTTCGAGACCTCTTGTTGAGGCATCTGTTACATGAGTTTCACCAGATTGTCGTTCGCCTGTTGTGTCGAGTCCCGCGAGCGTCTGTGAGGTCTCCAGTTGACGCCGCTGACGCCTCCGCTGCTTCGCTGCTGTTCGGCGCTCCGCTCGCCTCGCAAGGTACAGCTCGTGTCGAAGACGACGCTTTCTTGCTTTCTTTGACTCTGGTATTGAGGCTGAAGGTGTCCGATCCGATTCGAGGTCCGGAACACGAGCCCCTGGAACTGACATGCACCAGAGCGCGGCTGCAGCCTTGCCGGTTGCTACGCAGATCGCTCGCTACGCTCGAGTGTCCGAGTGGTACTGCGCGCTTCGGGTCAGGTAGCTGCTGGGTGCACCCAGATAACGCGCAAAACGGGATCGCTGCACGACAAGCAAAACCGGTTGCTTCCCAGGAACGCTGAACGACTCGGCAAACGAGTCTGGCGTTGGAGGCAGAGCGCGTTGCTCCCGACGATATCGTCGTTCGGTTCGTGCTTCGTGCGCCTGGTTCGAGTTCAAAGCAACACGAGTACCCGATGATACAAGCAAAGAGACGGAAGGTTCAGTCTTTCATCAAACGCAGTTTACCTACAGTCCTGATGATTGCGTGTTCGCTTACACCGAAACGTATCCTGAACCAGGGAAAATGTCTGCTGGCTGGAGTGCTCGACCTCGGGGCGGCCTCTACCAGCATGCGTCACACGTTGCCGCCCGTGTATTCCTGCAACCTAAATAAGGACGATGACGTAGATGGTGATACTTGCGAACCACTCTTAAAAGGCAAGTGAATCACAGAGGCTTCGTAGATACCAAGAGCAGTTCGGGCTCTTTCGAGGAAACCGCCGAACGCTACCTGTGCAACATTTTGTATGCTACCGGAAACACCGGGGCGACTCGCTTGTCAGCTATGCAGCCTTTCCGCAGGAAAACGGGTACCGTGGGCCAGCCCTTCGTAGCGTGCGCACCACTTGGACGATTATGGTGTTGATTCCGAATGTCCGTGTCAGTCGGGTCGCTGTGGTTTCTCGAATGCTGCATCTTGCGTCTTGCACGTATCAGAAAACTATCCCAGGCGACTTGCCCCAAACAACCATAGATTCGTCTTTACCGAGAAATATCCCCGGCATCGGCTGAGCCAGCGAGAGTTCTTGTGAAAGCAACGAGCACTGCTAATCGTCTTGAGCAACATGAACCGGTGTTGCAGTTCCAGACAACATGGTTTGCCCGAACAGATGCTTCGCAAACAGGTTTCCTCTGAATTCGAGATTCTCCGTCTATGCACCATTGTAGCCGATGCTTGATTATAACCTTGCAGCTTCGTTGCATGCCATGCACTCTGCTCTCTGTGATTCGTGTTTATGTACGTACCTTGTCGGTGCTTGATTCTAAGCTTGCATCTCCGTCGCAAGCAAGTTCCTTTTGCATTCTACGATTCCTGTTTATGCACTATTGCAGCCGGTGCGCGGTGATGCGCTCTGCACCCTTGTCGGAATGCACTGGGGCAGGTTCCCGAACACTGGTGTACTCGTTGAAAATTGGGTCTCTTCCACTATCGATAACAGCAGCTGCTGCACGCTTTTTCTGTGACTGCATCCTTTTCGACACCCTGATCCTCATTAGACCGGTCTCTGCTCACTCTCGCAGTCCTTTGACAAAAGTCGCCGGACGTTGTTGGCAGTGTTTGCGTCCCGATTTCAATGTGTTCGGCTATTGTCGACATAATCCACATACAGGCGAACGTTGCAAGCTACGCCTCGCTTGTCATTTTCATCTTCGATGCGTAGAGCATCGGTGCACAGGGCGCAGCGATGATTCCTAACGACGATCAACTGCTCCCGTTCACCCATCACAAATTCCTCTTCCCGTTCCATGTCTTCTGGAGCATGAACGCTTGTTTCTTCGCTCGGCGCATGCCGCTGACGCCTACGCAGGGTGCACCTCCGACGCCCATACCTTCGTTTCCGCGCCCGGCGCCGTACCCTACGATTCCAGGCCTCGTCTGGGCAATCCCTCGGGCGGGGACGCTGTCCGCTAGATGCACAGGCGCACGCTTCTCCACTCGATACGTAATTCGTGGAACGGGGTGTTGTCTGTGGAGAAACACGTGCCACAAGGCGAATCGACGCCGGGGAACAAGGCGCGGAATTGCGATCTGTCTACGCTCGCCTCGTGCAAGGCGCAGTCGCACGCTGAAACGGAAGCGATCACTGTGATGACTCAACTGCGAATCAATGATCAGTCTGATGAAGTTGCTGTGGAATTCTGCTTTGCGAGATGCGTTGACTAGAAGGCGATTTGTCTTTTGAACGGAATCGATAATGTGCTGGGAAAATCCCAATCAACTTTCGGATTGAGCTTATGAACAGGCCATCAAACGACGACGACGTGTTCTTTGACGCACCCGCCTGTCCAGTAGTGCGACTTGTTGCGCACACGACTTGCCGTGATAGATTGAAACGTTGAAGCATGCGTGAATCGCGCACGCTACTCCTAAAGCAAGCAGCAGACTGGAACCTTGTTCTGTGAACAAAACAATACTATCGCTTATATTCCGAAATAGAGGTCGAGGGCATCGCGAATCACCTTGATTCCGGTGAAATAACGAGTTCGAGGAGCAGCGCTTCGAAGGTGCCTTCGCGAAAAGACGTCCGGGATTCCTAACATCTCACGTGCGCTCCCATAAGCCTTCTGCTGCTCCACGTTCACATTTCGTCAATACATCTAAAATCAATTCAGAACAAAGTCTCAGTGCTCGAATCGATTGAGCATTTCCGCGTTACGCTTTCCCCAAGCGCCACTGCAGGCCAACGAGCGCTGCTGTGCCGTACGAGCCCGCAGCGTCGACAGCGGCGACGGTGTCGGGGCGCCCGACAACGCTGGCACTCGCCCCTTGCATCGGTATGCAAAGCGTACCTCAAGCAACGTCTACTTCGCATAGGTGCACTGCACTTGGGTTTTTGTAGCTTGCTGGATCTAGTTATTCCAGAGTAGCGCAGCGTGCGGCTGTTTGAGCGCGTTCCAGGCTTGGCAGCGTTCCGCGAAGCCCGAAGCAGAACGTCGCTAGTGGACGACGCGGCTGCGGCAGAGGCAGGTGCAGGCGCCCGGCGGAAAGCACACCAGTGTAGCAGCTATTGTGTGCGCTTACCCAGGTGAGTGCTGGTTGAGGTTTTAGGTTTGAGTGCGTCGGCTAGGTGCTCAGAGCATAACCTCTGAGACGCGAACGCGTAAGCGCCAGCTGCACGTGGAAACAGGGGACGTCTGCGGACAGCAGCCTGTGGCATTGCTTCCGTAGCCTAGGCCGGAGCCACATAGTATGGTGAATATAGTTTGTAGGAGGGGTTTGCTGGGGCAACTTGCTCGGTCTGGAGCAGCACTTTTGCACACGGTAGACGTGGGGGCCGGATCGTCACGGCGCGTTGCTGTTCGCACTGTGGTTGATTGGAGTCCAGCTGTACAGCAGGCGCGTCTGCCGTTGGAAGCAAACGCTCAGAGCTCGGTACAAGTTGCAGATGAGCGCCATTTGAGGCTTTTCGACACGTGCCGAAGAACTTGCGAGCGGTGGAGCTCCAGTCAAAGCGGCACGAGCGTCACTGGTAACGACTTGGCCGGCGTCTCGCTTCGAGTGTTTCCACGAAGGCATCGTGCTGCCAGCACGGCGACGCGCAAGTGTGCCGTGGTAGACGCTGCCGGCCTCAGAGCGCTGCTGCAGGCGAAACCTAAGCCGCCACTGCTCACCCTGGACTGGACGGAGCGGGTAGCGCGAGGGAGGTCGACGTCAACGCTCGCAGAGCGCTGGCGTTGCAGCTGGCGGGCGCGACCTCGCATTGAAAAGGCACCCCAGCGATGTCAAAGCACGTCGCCATCACCATCCTCGTCTTCGTCCTCGTCCTCGTCCTCGTCCTCGTCGTCGTCATCGTCGTCGTCGTCTGCTGCAGGCACAACCGGGGGTTCGTCGCGTCTCTTTACCAATCGATTACGAGGGCGCTCACAATACCTAGGAGAGCGACTTCACAGAGCATTGCATAGGGTACGCTCTTGGTTAGCACAGCTTCCAGCACGCACGCTGAAGACCATCGAGTCGTTCGCAAAGCGGCTCTGGAGAGAGGTCGTGGCCTGCATTCGCCAGCCATCACGCCTTGTCATGCATTATCGTCACGCAAAGCAGACGATAACCGACTTTATTCATCATTTCTGGACTGGTACCAAGCTGCTTGCGGCAGATGCTCGCTTGTCCTGGCGCATCATCAAACGCTTGGCGCAAGGCAAACAGCTCACTCGTCGAGAGCGCAACATTCTGATCGGGACCGGCAGTGATCTAGCGCGTTTGGTTCCATTTTCTTTCTTTATTATTGTTCCTTTTATGGAGTTTGCCCTGCCGTTGGCGTTGAAACTCTTCCCAAATATGATTCCCTCTCATTTTCAAGACAAGAAAAAGAAGGAAGAGGATATGAAACGCCAGCTCAAGGCGCGTATTGAACTCGCCAAGTACTTGCAAGATGTCGTAGAGGCACAGGCGCTGATGATTCGTAACCAAGCTTCAGCCGGTGATGATGTTCGCAAACTGGCGAGTGAGCTTTCCGAGTTTCTGCAGAAGCTCCGCGAAGGTCATCCAGTGGATAAGTGGGATGTGCTGCGCTTCGCACGGCTTTTCAAGGATGAGATCACGCTTGAGAACGCCACTCGGGAACAGCTCGTGGCCATGTGTCGATACATGGGCATTGCTCCGCACGGCAGTGACAGCTTTCTGCGCTATCGTTTACGGGCCAAGCTCGCGTCCATCAAGAACGACGACATGCTCATTGCGTGGGAAGGCGGAGTCAAGAGCCTCACCGATGACGAGGTCACACAGGCGTGCCGCGATCGCGGTATCCGAACCGAGGGCCTGCCCATTGAGCACCAGCGACAAATGCTTGCCGAATGGATTGAAATGTCGCAGAATCGCGAGATCCCCGGATCGCTCATGATCCTATCACGCGCATTCTTCTACACCATGGATCCCGACAAGGCACTGGAGGCGACGCTCACTTCGCTACCGCATGAACTCGTGCAAGGCATGCAGTCCTCGGCTGAGGCGGCGGATGACGCCATCGAAGGTGTTGGTACATCTGAAACTGGAGCCGAACACCGGAGTGAATCGGAGCGGCGTCTAGCTGAGGTACGACGCCACGAACGCCTCATGGAGCTTGAGGAGCAAAACGCTGCGGAGCAGGCAGCAGCAGCAGCAGCAGCAGCTGCTGCTGCTTCAGCGAAGCCAACAACGGATCACGAGTCCGAGGCGGCTGCGGTGACGTTGCCAGCTAGCGCCGCTCCCGAGGCAGCTGCGATCGAACGCATACGCGAAGCAGAGCTTGTGCCGCCAAGTCCACGTGAAAGCAGCGTTGCTGCCGCGTCTGCAGTCGAAACCGAGGCTGTCAAGGCTGGCACCGGGCCCGCCACCTCCTCGGACAAGCTTCTGGACCGGCACCTGGCCGAGCTCAATGTTGCTGATCGGAAAGAGGCGGTGGCAATGATCAGCACTGCATTGGAAGAAATGCTGCATCCGATCGTATCAAAAGAGCGGCAGGAAATAGAACAGTTGAAAATGGAGCTCGCCCAAGCTGTTGCGAACAGCGCCGGACCCAATGCCGCTACGACAGCTGAAATAGAACGCTTGAAGCGCTTCATCGCGCGCCTGGAGGAGGAATGCACGCTCGTAGAGCAAAAGGTGGGCGACGCGCTCAAGCTTCTCGACCGGGATAACGACGGCTTCATCTCCGTGAAGGAGATCGCCGATGCGATTGCTGAGCTGCGCTATGGTCAACCGCTCACTGCGGGCCGAAGTGCAGCGGGCATTCGACCGCCAGGCCTAGAGAGCCGAGTCGACCCCGACTCTGTCGCTGCCGAAGTGCTCCGCCGGCTTGACCTGGACGCCGATGGTATCATTCAGCCGGACGATATTCGCCGACTGGCAGCTCAGGTTGCTGCGGAGCGACTTGGTCATAGACAAGCTGCTTCAGCAGCTGCATCGAAGAGCGAATGAGTAAACGACCACGTTCAAATCTGAGGACGGCTGCTCAACCGCCACTGCGTTCACTCCAGGGCCAGAGTGCTGCCCATTGTCGCTGGCAGTGTGCTAGAATTCGTCGCGACCAGAGCCGTGCACGCGGCAGCCAACGTTGTGGCTGCTCCAGGACGGCAAGTGTGCGTTCCGCACTGCGCTGGTTAGCTCGAATCGACCGTCCAAGTGCGTCAACCAGGCGGGTGCAGTTCTGGTGAAGGGTCCTCTGGAGGTGCTCCCAGGCCTCTTCTCGACGCCTTCCCCCGTTCATGCGTAGCGGCAGTGCACAGCGCCACGCCTGTATCGGTGCTGGTGGCAAGTGTGCACGTCCAGTGCACCGGACGCGCAGGGCAAACCGACGCTGCGGTGGAGGCGCGTGCTGTGTGCCGCCACGCAAGTGTGCCAGCGATACCCAGGTACCGTATTACATGCAAGTAGGAAGAGCGTTCCTGCGGGGTGAGGGGAAAAGCACACGACGAGACAATGTGTGCAAGGTGAGCAGTCACTTGGTCTGTCCCAGAGCGGTGATCGCGGCAATGTATCTAGCGCCTGAAGAAGCGCCTGCGACAAGCACCACTCGCTCCGGATTGCCAGATGGATCGTGCCTCTGCTTATGTTGCGAATCCTGATCAGAGGCTCAATGGATATTGTAGTGTCTGGAGTGATAGAGCGAGGTATGCAGGCCTCTTTCCCGGTTACCGGGAGCGTTCGGCGGACCTCGATGCATCTGGTTCATTCCGTTGACTGTGCATTGCGGGGAACAACGGACGCCTTACGCTGGGCGCACTACCACATACATGGCGGAACGAAATGGAGGAGGTGTCACCTGGCGACCTCGAGTGGGCACACTAACTTTTGGGTCTCTCTTTGAAAGGTCATCAACATCAGCGATGACGTGCTCGTACTGTGACTGCATCGTTTTCGACACCCTGATCCTCATTAGACCGGTCTCTGCTCACTCTCGCAGTCCTTTGACAAAAGTCGCCGGACGTTGTTGGCAGTGTTTGCGTCCCGATTTCAATGTGTTCGGCTATTGTCGACATAATCCACATACAGGCGAACGTTGCAAGCTACGCCTCGCTTGCCATTTTCATCTTCGATGCGTAGAGCATCGGTGCACAGGGCGCAGCGATGATTCCTAACGACGATCAACTGCTCCCGTTCACCCATCACAAATTCCTCTTCCCGTTCCATGTCTTCTGGAGCATGAACGCTTGTTTCTTCGCTCGGCGCATGCCGCTGACGCCTACGCAGGGTGCACCTCCGACGCCCATACCTTCGTTTCCGCGCCCGGCGCCGTACCCTACGATTCCAGGCCTCGTCTGGGCAATCCCTCGGGCGGGGACGCTGTCCGCTAGATGCACAGGCGCACGCTTCTCCACTCGATACGTAATTCGTGGAACGGGGTGTTGTCTGTGGAGAAACACGTGCCACAAGGCGAATCGACGCTGGGGAACAAGGCGCGGAATTGCGATCTGTCTACGCTCGCCTCGTGCAAGGCGCAGTCGCACGCTGAAACGGAAGCGATCACTGTGATGACTCAACTGCGAATCAATGATCAGTCTGATGAAGTTGCTGTGGAATTCTGCTTTGCGAGATGCGTTGACTAGAAGGCGATTTGTCTTTTGAACGGAATCGATAATGTGCTGGGAAAATCCCAATCAATTTTCGGAATGAGCTTATGAACAGGCGCCCAAGAGAGAACACCCCATGATTTCGTCATCCAATCGGCGGCGCGCATTGCTGCACCCAATACTTGCTGTGCGTAGGTCGAAAGCTTGACGCATCCGCGATGTGTGCTTGCTGCTTATAAAGAAATGAAACGCGTGGACGCTTTACGTATGATTTACATAATGATATCGTCTATTTTGCGACCATTGCCCAAGATTGTCGCGATTGAGAATGATTTCGGTTTTAACGAGTTCCAGGAACAGCGCGTCAATGGAGCCACTTCCAAACTTCGACCAAGAATCCTAGAACGACCTGGGAAATGACGAGCCGTCGCTGCTGCTCGCTAAGCAACGATGCTGTACATCAGAGGGATACTTTGGAAATAAGTCTCGAGCCTGGACTAGAGCGTACAGTTCAGTGCCCCATGTTCATCGGACACGGTATAGCGTCGCCAGGAAGACGCGGCTATGCGCCCGTTGCAACGCAACAGCAGCGATTGCGTTTCGAGGGTGTCGCCGCATCGGCGCTGGGCGGCGGCGGCGGCGGCGTCGACGACACATGCGTGCACTACGCACGGATATCCGTGCATGTCGCGGATACGTGTACGAGGACACTTGCGTGCGTGCATGCGTACTTGCGTCTGAAACTGCCACGAGTTTCACTCAACTTTTTATCTTTGGACCTGCTAACCAATTTGGAAACGCTTTCAATCCTCACATTCTACGTCCACGCGTGCTGTCTCGGGCGTGATCTGTGACGATCACCGGTGTTTGGAAGGTTCCATGGAGCGCGACAGCCGCCGTGGTTACGGCCGGGGCGCTTTCTCTCGCGGTGGTAGTTACAGTCGAGGCGCAGGTCGTCGCGGTGGTGGGAATAGTGGTGCTGGTGGTGGTGGTGGTGGCGGCGGATCTTTTGGTGGACTGGCACCGCGGGGCGGTGGAGGATTCAAGCCCGGTGCGAACGCTCGTCGTGAAGGTGGTGGTCCAGGCAGGGGACGCGGCGGCGGCGGCGGCGGCGGCGGCGGCAGCTGGCGAGGCGGCGCCAGTCGAGGCCGCGCTAGTCGAGGACGTGGCGGGTCTGCAGGTCGTGGCGCCCCGGGTCGCTCGTTGAGAGGTGGATCACGGGTTCTTGTTGAGCCGCACCGTCTCCCGGGTGTCTTCATCGTTCGCGGTAAAGAGGATGCGCTTTGCACGAGAAACCTGATTCCCGGCGACACGGTTTACGGTGAGAAACGCGTGTCCGTTGAGGCCGTCGATCCGAACACCGACGAAAAGCGCAAGATCGAGTACCGAATATGGAACCCGTTCCGGTCCAAGATGGCGGCGGCGATTCTCGGTGGCATTGAGCGCTTCCCCATCGGGCCCGGTACCAAAGTGCTTTACCTGGGCGCAGCGAGCGGAACCACCGTATCACATGTTTCGGACATTGTAGGCGCCAGCGGGGTTGTTTACGCAGTCGAATTCTCGCACCGGTCGGGGCGGGAGCTGGTAGCGCTGGCACAGCGTCGGCCCAATATTGTTCCCATTGTCGAAGATGCCCGCTACCCAGCGAGATACCGCATGCTGGTGCCCATGGTGGACACCATCTTCGCCGATGTCGCGCAACCGGATCAGTCTCGTATCCTAGCCATGAATGCAGCGTACTTTCTTAGAACCGGAGGATACTTTATGATTTCGATCAAGGCAAGTTGCATTGACAGTACAGCGGCACCCGCCGCCGTCTTCGCGAGCGAGGTAGAAAACCTCCAGAAAGAGCGATTTCGACCGCTTGAGCAGTTGACCTTAGAGCCGTACGAACGAGATCATGCGGTGGTCATCGGCACGTACCGCGTACCACCGAAAAGCAAACCGTAAGAGAGCGTGCGTCAACGCGTGCGCTGCCCTTGGAGCCGAGCGCCCGGATTTCCGCCGCTGCTGGCGGCTTCGAGATACACCAGCGCCCTCATCGAGCGCCACGTGCTTTCGCGTTGGCGTTCGAACTCGGCACTCCAGCATCAGCGTCTAGGAGAAAGGCACGATCGGGCAAGTTTTCGACCGTTGGGTCAAGGTCGTCGGCGGATTTTACGCATGCTACCAGCCGGTGAAAGGCAGCGGCCTGATATAGAATTTGCTCAAGCGCGGCGGCAAAAGTCGCCCAAGGAGACTCGCCGGCGCCTGCTGCCGTACCTGCTGCTGTTGGCACAGGAACGCATGCCGCGTATCCACAGGCGACCGATCGGTTCACTGAGGCGTGACCACGCCGATATAAGGATGGCATTGCCCGATACCTTGTAGAGGCACAGGGCGGTGATGGCGCTGCCGCACGGCGTGACGCCCTGGTGGCACCATGCTAGCCTGCCGATTCCAGTTGGTATTCGGTGTAAGGAACGCGACCTGACATGATCGCTCGCAGGTTATGTGCACGTGGATGTGGCAATGCCCAGCATTTTCATTGATGATGAGCTTCGCCCGAAAACACCGCCCGAGAAATGGGAGCGTTTCGCTTCATCGCCGCAGTCCAATACGCAGGATGCGCATGGCGAACAAGGGCGATCCTGGCGCCGTGACGTCTGGCCTCAACTTGGACCGCATACCGGGCAGGTAGCAGCAGCGCTTATGCGACGAAACGTTCAGACTCCGTGGACTGCATTCAACACCGTGCAGCGCATGCCCTCGCACAGGTTGTCACGCCTGTGTGTTGCAGTGATCCACGGTACTGCTGCGCTTCGCTGCAAGCATCAACACAATGCGCATACGTAGGCGCTTTTACGCGCAATCGAATAGCGGGCCTCAACCTAGACATGGGGTAACCACCATATATACATTCGGGCAAGGTTCCGCGCACTGGTTGCCTCAGCAACCAGACGAGCCACGTCGCCTTCGACGGATAAGGGCGTGCCGCTCTGAGCGCCGTGCAGTCCGCGGCACTTGCGGTCGACAACGCGGAGCATTTCGAGAGCCTGGGCGTTGCGCTCGCAGCATTGCTGCCGCTGCTGGCGCGGTGGCATGTCGTTCCCGGGGTGCGCTGCTTTCCCGCGTTTGTCTGCTGGACGTCTGAGGCGCGCCGTATCCGCGGGCTCGCGTGGCAGCCGCATAGCGGCAGCCGGCCCCGGAAGCAACACCGGTCCACGAGTTGCGCTCGCTTCCATGGCCGCAGCGGTGCGTGCATCGCGAGCCGCAGCCGCCCAGTCGAGAAGCGGATCGTGCAAAAACGTTTCAAGGACGCTCAAGAGCGTTTCCCGGTGATTCCGCAGCACAGAAAGCGCGATCTGGGCACTACGATAGAAGACACCCTGGTAGCCTGCGGTGCCCATGGCATCGATCATATTCGGCGTCAGTCGAAACGGCACCGTCTCCGGCACCTTGAGACGGAGACCCTGATCAAACAGGCAAGCGAAATCCACGTGCACACACTCGCCGGACCTGGTATCGAGGAGCACATTCTCGCCGTGCCGATCACCCAAGCCAACCACATAACCAACCATGGACCAGAGCGCGCATGAACGTGCAAATGCCTGCCGCGCCGCGAACCACGCAGCCGGTGAATGTCTCCGCCCGAAATGAATGCTATAAAAGTGACGGAGCACAGGCGGGAATCGGGGTAAGAGCCACTCGGTATACCAGCGCACCTGATCTGGTTCGGGACGCGCTTTCGCATGCCGTTCATAGGCCAGACGGATCTCTTCGGTGCTGGAGGTGGCCGTCTTCTCGTAACCCAGGGCCCGATGCAGCATCGCCACCGCTGCGCGCAACGGCACCAGATGTGGCATCCACTCCAGAATACCACACTCTTCATTCAGTGGCAGCACAGCGTACGTCCGCAGCACGAGGCGCCGCTGCTGAGCGTCGGCAGTCTTGGCTAACAAACGATTCACCACGTTCAAGAGGTCCATCATTCGAGCATCCTTGCGCATGTCGCCGGCATCCTCGCGTTTGCAGAGAAACGGGTACACGTGGCCGTCAGAGGCCAGCAGTCCGATGCGCTTCGGACGCATCAACGAGTTCATAACCCAGACGGGTTCATCGACATCGACCAGGGTCGGGACGCTCACCGCAAATCCCTCGTGCAGGTCGTCACGAAAGCGTCCACTCGTCGGCAGGAACAGACGCAAGTACGCTTGATAGGGCACCGGGATCGCTAGTCCCTGGAGACGCTCTCGCAGCAACCGCCGGAGTGCACGCAAATGCACCGAGGCAGTCATCTGCTTTAGACCGCGTGGTGGCACCTGGGTACAGACGCGTGCGAGCTGCGCACAAAGCTCCAACCCGGCATCGAGGAGCGTGCTGAGGCCCAGGTCACCGCGCTGACGCGCTTGATCCAGTATCGCTCGGGCGGTAGCGGCGCGGTTGGCGTCCAGCGCCCCCGCGAGCGGCACGACGTACCAGACGGCCTGTCCTGGATACGCAACGACACAATCAGCGAGCAGGCTGCATAGTTCAGCGCGAACTGCGGCCGAGTGATGTGCTGTGACCCTTGAGAGCAGCTGCGGCAGCACGACAAACCAGATATAGAGCGGAAGACGGGTTCGCAGTCTGCGTACAATAGGCAACAAGTATTCGGCGGCAGAGCGACGAGCGATCGACGGCGAATCACGTGCCTCGTACGAGTCGATGTCGGGTCTGCTGATGCTGCTGCTGCTGCTGTTGTTGTTGTTGTTGCTATCCAATGCTCTGGTATTCGTGCGAATGGCGCATAGCACTTTGGATCGCTCGATATGCGACGCTGTATCTGGCGTCATACGCTTATCGCTGCTGCTGCTGTTGCTGCTGCTGTCGTTCGTGTGCTCCTCAAGGACGGGCTCGCTATCCTCATCGAGCCATAACGTGATGATGCGCGGCAGCGAATGGTAGACGTAACGACATCCGTAACGCAGGGAGCGGGCATAGTGCTCGAGTGCCGACTGCCGATACAGCCACTGCTGGCGAGCCTGGATACGGGGTTCAGCATCGCGTTCGGGCGTCAGACTATCGTAGAAACGCCCCAGCAATACGTAAATTTTCTCGGTCTCTGGTTGTATGGAAAGAGCTCGCTGGAAGCAGTCAATGATCTCCTGAGGTTGTGCAGAGCGATCCTCCTGCATCCACTGGGCCTGCAGGCAGAGCGCTTTGCTCACGAGCCTTGCAGCCGAGCCACTTGATGAGCGCCAAGTGCCGGTGCTGCTGCTATTGCTGGTGGACGCAGTCTTGCGTCCGAGCTGAAGGTCAGTTAGCGAGAGCGGTAACTGGGCAAGCGCACGACGTGTTTCACCGCGAGCACGGTAGATTTTGGCCAACTCGATACAGGCCGGGCCTTGGAAAAGCGACGCACGCGGAAGCTGTTGCAGGTACGCAATAGCGGCTGCGTGGTGACCCGACTTGCGCGCCAGTCGAGCGAGTCGGAGCGTGACGGCATCGGCAGCTTCTTGGAAGACAAGTGCGCGCTCCAGGAACTGCTGTGCTGAACGTTCTGGGGTCACGAACGACGCAGGTGGACGCGTTGTTCCGGGGACCAGCACTGCAGGTTTCGTTGACGCACTCACGAGCCAAGTTTGGTCAGGAAACTGGACGCTCGCTGGCTGACTGCGCCCAGCAGCAAGCACTGTCGCTGGGGCAGGTCGTTCGATACCACCACCGCCACCACCGCTGCTGGTGCTGCTGCTGGTGTCGTTGTCGTTCTTTGGCGCTGCCCAGGACGACCCGTTTGCACGTTCGCCACCAGCAAGCGTCCACGGAACGCGCAAGGATGTGCAAGGCGCAGCAGCAGCAGCAGCAGCAGCAGCAGCAGCAGCGGACTCGTTACGAGCCACCAGGTGACGAGCGCGTTCTACTTGCACCAATAAAGCTGCCCGCTGGATCGCGAGAATGGGCTCACGTGCTTGCCAGCTCGATGCAACGCATTGGAGACGCGCTTCAAGCCAGTTTGCAGCGCCCACATCAGCACCACCAGCGAGCCAGTCATGAGCGTAACGCTGAAGCACTGCTTCCAGGTCAGCGTGATCCCCGAGGATGCACTCGACATCCGCTACCGCATGGAGTTGCACCAACGCCGGATAGGTTCGCGCATATGACTCGAGAGCAGCGGTTGCAACAGTGTCGGATAACCCTGAGCGCGCTCGACGCAGCGTCTCTGAGAGCTGCGCTCCAGACTCATGGCCCGGTTGTTGTGCCTGGTGCAGCGCTTTGGCGATGTTTGCCAAGGCGGAGCGGGTACCTCGGGCGGCGGGGTCCTCAACGGACGCACTCAGGGTTTCGAGCGCATCCCAGCGACCAAGCCGCAGTGCTGCCTCAATGCCCAGGTCAGCGACAGCACTGCGCTCTGGATGTGTCAGAATCGGATGGAGCATCGTTTCCCAGAGGCCGAGCGTCATCAGACTCTGGAGGTAGCCGCGCATTGCAGCGAGGTCTGTGGGAAACGCCCGCAGTCCCCGCTCATAGCCGATAAGCGCTTCTTCGGTTGCGTGGTATGCTTCGGCATCTAGGGTGAATGACTCCCAGTCCACGAATGCGGATGAAGACGACGGCGAAGAGAGGCCTTGTTCGTAGCCATTAGCGGCCGTCCCAGGGAGCAGCGATGGCGAGGCGTCCGGGGTGCGCCCGCCCGAAGCCACCACCACCGGTGCTCGGCGAGTGGTGATCGCTTGCATGGCATCCAGATCACCTAGTTCTCGATAGAGACGCTGCAGGACGCGTCGCTGTGACTCGGAACAAGAACCGGTACACTGGTCGAGGTACAGTAATGCGCGATGCAGGGCACCGCTCGTGAGTGCTGCACGAGCGAGCAGTGCTGCAGGTAAAGCGCGCTCCAGAGCATTGAAGGGACAGATGTGCTCGGGTTGTTGTGCAGCCGCCGCCGCCAAGGCCGCGTACTCGCAGGTGGCTAATGCACATGGATCCAGGCCCCGAACTCGGCTCATCCAGTCGTGATCACGCTGTTCCGCCAGACGATCGAGGAGCAGGAACACCAACTGAATCGCCTCCGTCAGGTCGCTGGACAGTACTGCCACCAGATGCGATCGGAGGAAGGCGCTTATCCTGGTGATCCAGTGCTTTGATCTGTTCGCCTTTGTAGCTGCTGCTGCTGTTGCATGTGTATGGCCTCCGGTAAGCGGCAGTGAATCTGGCGCTGCAGTCGTCTGGTGCTGTGCAGACGCATCTCGAGGCGCGCTCAATGCAGCTAGTGCTTCAGGTGCGGTTGCGCTTGGCTCGACGTCCAGGTCGGATATCGCCAGCTGTGTGTCCATGTTGATGCTATCGAGATCACTAGCGATCTGGAGCATCGTCTGTACGAGGTAGGGTAGCAAGTAGATCGCGGTATGCTGATCGTGGCCTGTGAGCGTACGGCACGCGCGAAAGAGGCCCCACCAGCACCGGTACTTGCGACTCAGGGTAGCATTTGGGGTAGGGCTACCAGTCGGCGCTATAGCAGCTGCTGCTTCTGGCTTTTGTTTCGTGCCAGCTGCGGACACCGACTCGGGAACTGCCCCCGTCGAGGATGTAGCGCTTGTTACGCCTGTTGATCCTGTGCTTGGTATCGCTTCTGGTGCTGCTGGCTCCATGCCGGCTGCAGCGACAGTCGATGCTTCCGGGCCGATTCCGGAATCCATTCGCATGTCGTCGGAATGGATGAAGGTTACGTCCACTGCACACATCACTTGATCCAGCACGTCGACAAGATGCACTGCAAAGCCGCAGATCCACTGAGCAGCACTCTTGCCTGGTGCTACGGCACAGCGAGCACACGCTGCTCGGGACGTTGCGGGGGATGCGGTGCACTCCATGGAAGCCGGCACCGCGTCACTTGATGCAGCAGCATGTGCTTCGGTATTTGTATGCTTGAGGAGCGTTGCTGCTGGCGCACCTGTTTCGACTGTTGTTCCCGATGAGGTGCAGGGCAATAGCGACGCTGCGACGCCCTGATTTTCACGACCGATCGTTTCACTGCTCGTTTTCCGCTGTGCGACTGTTCTTAAAATATAGCGGGAGTACAGGAATGGGCGGATAATTTGGCGCGTGTGTTCGGAAAGAGCTCGCCAGAAGGCACGCTGCTGGATGCGCTCCTCCGTGGACCGTGTTTGTGGACGCTTCGGTGACGACGACGGCGAAGTCGGCAGAGGATGCGCGGTGCTGGTGATATCGGTGGTATCTTCGAGACTCAGCGCCAATCGCAGGACCTCTTGGATGACAAAACCGATCCGATTCTGCCACTCACGTGCTTGTGCAGACTCCACTCGACGCAGTGCCGGGATGAGGCATTGCTCCAGCAGCGTCGGAATGACGACTTGATCGAGTAGGGACTCGCCTTCAGAGCCAGACGACTGCGACACGACTGCATGCTGCTGTAACGACGGCAGTGATAGCGGTGGCGGTTGGCGGTGCTCCAGCGAGAGGCGGGCAGGGTCGACCGCCCCCAGGAGCGCCAGCGCCAGAAGCGCCTCATCGCGACAGTTGGCATCACCGTCGGTGACGGCGAGCAAGAGGCCCTCCTGAAGCAGCTCACTTACGAGCTGGGTACGCTGATGCAAGACGATGTCAACGTACAACTGGTTGCGATACTGCCGGAGTACACTGGTGAGCTCTCGCAGAGCCAGCAAGCGTACCAGTCGACTGTGATGTTTTGTGGCGATAGGTAAGAGGCGGATCAGCTGCTCTGCGGGTTGGCGCTGTTGCTTGCGCTCGTTCAGCAGCGTACGAATGGCGCCGAGTACTTCGTTTGTACGTGCTGGCGCCGGTCGGTGTGTATCTGGGCTGCTTTCACCGGTTGGGATCGACAAGGTTTGAAGCTCGCGCTCCGGACACAGTGTTGTTGTTGTTGTTGTTGCTGCTGCTGCTGCTGCTGCCGCCGACGCACAGGTCTCAGCAGGGTGCGCTGCCTCGAGAGGCGCACTATCAGCCCAGTTCGTTGGTCTCGCACTACTGGTGCTGTCAGCTGGAGGCAGGAAAATCTCATCGAGATAGGTGCTTTTGGCAGGTGACGCCGCACAAGCCCTAGTTAAATCCAGGAGTACTTGGGCCAGAGCGGGTTCACCTTCCAGGTACGGTCCCAGCACAGCAAATGCCGTACCTAGGTGCGGTGCGGCGCGCTCCCAGCCCAGCTGCTCGAGGAACGTAACCCAGCACTGAATGACCAACGCATGGAGTCGCAGGTCAGGGATCTCTAACGCATTCTTCAGCGTCGCCAGAACCTTGGGCACAAATAAATGAAGCTCTGGTGCGATGACCTTAAACAGCAGGTCCAATATACGAATCGCCTGGTGATCCTGTCGCCTGAAGATGCGGCGATTCAAAGCGTCGAGGATCCGGAGAAGATCGTGCGCGATGAGCGTCACCGTGTCCCTGGCGTCAACCAGAATCGCCAACTCGTCGAGCGCGTCTCGAACAACCGCCTCCGGTCTGGTATCCAACGCTGTCAGAAGACGAAGGATAACGCGTGTGGTATAGGTGCGAGCAATGTCATGAATCGTCGATCCGGTGTATGTTGCGAGCAGCGCAAAAGCCTTGTCGCGCTTGACTCGATTCGAGAGCAGCAGAGAATCGGCGAGAGCCTGGACTTGCTCTTCGATGCCCAGGGCTGCAGCTGCTGCCGATACGCGAGCCGAGAGTGCTTCCAAGTTACGCTCATGGATGTGGCTGACGAGAAAAGCAAACGAACAACGATAAACAAATGTGAACACCGCGTCCGAGTCGGATAGCTGTAACCAGCTCTGCAAGAGATCTGCTAGCTCCTCGTGATGCAGCAGCTGGTGCAGCAGAAGCGGAAAGAGTCGCGGGCCCTGCTCACCGAGCAGTCGCGACACGTGGTGTGGGCTCGCAGTGCGCTCCAGCTCCCAGGAGATCTGATCTATGGCGGGTACTGTAACGCTCTGCGGACTTCGCCTCCGACGACGCCGTTCCAGGGTGCTCGCTTGCTCAATGAGCGCCGCCAAAGCCACGGTAGCCAGTCGCGAACAAGCGTTGCGAGCGATCACGCCGAGTGCTTGAATGAATCGCCAGTCACCAAGGGATGCATGCATGGCCTGGTCCAGCTCCTGGACGAGTACCATCACGACAGGAGCATGCTCATCGCCACAACAGTGTTGAATGAGTGTCGCGAGAACCCGCATGACGCAAGCTGTATCCGGCGACAGCGCTGCTGCCGGTGCTCGCCATGCCCACGAAATACATCTCGCCAGAAACGGAGCTAGACGCTCATCGAGAAGCATCCGCTGCGCAGCTGCACGTTCCTGGGTATGCAGGAGAAGCGCGAGCAAGCGCATCTGTGGCCAGCTTGGCTCTGCGAGGGTTATCGTCTTGTGAATGAGCGTGTCCACGACATCAGGCGGCATCTTACGGGGACGGATCGACCCGATGAGCTCTGCTGCGAACGTCAAATGATCCAGAATTCGTTCAGGGTCCACGTATGCGGCACCGGTTCCAGTGATGCAGAGCCATCGGGCGAGATGGGGCGCCAGGGCCGGATCCTGTCTGAGTTTTGCGACAAACTCACCGAATTGACGATGCTCGTCAGCGCTTTCAGGTTGGACTAGCCATGGAATGCAGGCTACAGTCGATACTGCGGATATCGTGTGATCAGCTGTAGATGCATTCTCCTGTGCAGCACGTGCAGCGACTGCAAGTCGAGCAGAAAACGGTGCATGTCTGCCGGCTGCAAATAACGCACCGTAGCGCGCAGCTGCTGGTCGTTCAGCGTCGATCGATGCCGCAAGGACTCGTCCAGCGATGACGGCAGTCTGGTCGGGGCCCTCGCATGTACGGAGGAGAAGCAGCAGCGCTGCGAGCAGTAGCCAGTGCTCGCCAGCGGCTGCTGCATCGATGTACTCGTTGAGCGTCTCCCGCCATCCGCTGCATTTGGACCGCTTCGGACCACTGCGTTCGCATTCGATGCTTATCGTGGACGCCGTGGGAGCCCGACTCCTGGTCGCCCGGGAATCAGGCGGAGCTTCATTGCTCTGCCCTTGAGGAATGCTCGATCCAGGATCGCAGAGGCTCTGGACCACAATCCACAGCGACTTTTCGATCTCCACTATATAATGGAATGGGGAGCGCTGCATCACCTGTTGCAGAATGAGGAGCGCATCATCGCTGCATCCGGTCAGAGCGAGGATATACACGCGGTCGAGCCAGCGTCTCACATCCTCGGCACTGCTGAGTGCGCCGGTTGCGAGTTCCAGTTGCCAGACCCTAAGATCCTCTTGCTTGCGAAATGACGCGGCACGCTCCAGTTGAACATGACCAAGAACATTACACCAGATGGTTTCCAGCTCGGGAGCTACGACTGTCTCGTGCCGATTTTTGTGCCAACGCTGAAAGAGCGCCTCCAGCGAGCGCCAGTCGGCGATCGTAGCGCGGCGAGCGAGCACCCATAACAACGGGGCCAAGACGCGACGTAGCGTCGCTTCAGATTCCAAAATATCGGCAATCTGTTCACAGGAACGGCCAAGACTTGCTGGGAAGAATTCCACTGGACACTTACTCGCAGATTCACGCAAGACGGGCAGCGCAACCTGCTCCAGAGAGCTAGCGCCCGCTGTAGAGCCCGCTGTCTGCTTCTGCAAGGTCGAAAGCACGTGCTCTAATAAACTTGCAAGGTAGGTGCCCACCTGCTCGTTGCGAACACCAACTGAAGTCTCCAACGACGCTGCCATGAATAGGTTACCCTGGTATCAACGGACGCGTCCAAGGAGGCCTATGGCGTCACAGAGCTTCCCCAGAGGCAGCGTTTCTCCCCCCGTGGAAGCAACCCGAACAGACGCGAGTCCGTGCCGCTCCGACTCGTTTCGCGCCATGGATCGAGCGCTCGCATGTGAGGCATCGATGGCTGGGAATGAATAGGGAGGATATTGTATTTGATTGTATAATGGTGGACTCTGAGGACAGTGCATGCATGATCGCGAACGGCAGCGGCACATGCGCACGCATTCGCGTTCCTTGAATGAAGTTCGAGGATGGAGGAGCTCGTACGGCACCACAACGTTGTTTTGTCTGGCGTACAGCAAGTATGGCTGTGGCGCAGTTGTCGTTGTGGCGGGCCCGCTGCTCTACGGATCGGTGGATAATGCGAACGGCCAGTCTTGGTGGGAAGGCTGCTCTGTCTTCAGGGGAGCTCCGAAGCGTCGGGAGCTGAACGAAGATCGCTCTCGCTGACTGCGGATACAAACTGATTAGAACAAGTTCGGAACGAGTACACTGTGCAAACAAGGACGTACACCCAAAGGTTTTCGTGTATTCCTACTGTCGCCAGCAGAAGACCTTGCGGGCGTTTTCTACGACTGCTCCTTTTCTGTCTCTGTGATCTCGGGGTTTCAAATCGCTGGGCACTCCTTTCGTTCCAGCCTTCTTGGTTACAGTCGAAGGACGTTAATGACAGCGGTTGTGTACTGATTTCGTTGTTCCAGGATGTCGCGGGCGCAGGTAATTCCCATCGTTTTCGGACGCAGCCTTTGTGCGCACGCCGCAGTGGTTGCGCTTCACTGTGGTAAAGCGTTCCCGGATGCGCGCTGCATTTTCTCCTCCGAGGGCCGAGGCCTGCCCTGTGGCGCGTCAAGGCAGGCTTTATCGCTCGGTACACGCCCTTGGTGGATGCAGAAGGCACGGTTCGATGCCCTGCTCCGTTGCCGTGCCCGCTGCCTTACCCGATCATCGTGGGCTTCTTCTGGGCGATATCCTCGGCGAGTACGCTGTCCTCTAGATGCACAGGCGTGCGCTAATCAGCTCAATAGCTCAACATCCGCTTCCTAGCGCGCCTTTTGTTTTCTGCAGACGCCGCCCAGAAAACTTGTCGATGGGCGCAACACGCCTCAAGATACGTAAGCCAGTCTTCGGTATTGTATCCACGTGTACAAGTCGACTGCGATAATTCAGCCGCAGCTTTTGGTACATTCGTCTGTTTCGCTCGCAGGCTTATCGGAATATGCTTTCAATTCGCACACTCTGCTGAGACGAAGATAAGAGGCGTGCGAGTAGAAGCTACCGCTGTGGCGGGAAGGCGCAGGGCTCGAACCTCGTGCCTCCAGAGCATCGGCGATAACCACAGGGAGGTTGCAATGCGCTTTGGGGCTCACGGAAAGCGCAAGTGTTGAGGTTCGCGCTCCGTGGGTCCAGGCTGATGCAGATCGCATTGGGGAGCACCTTCTCGCGGCCATGCATCGGTGTTGATCGTTGTTCCGCCGCGTAAGACCTCAGATATTGAGCAGGGCTTGGTTTGAGCGCTGACGATGGTGTGAAGCATGTGTATGACGTTCGAAGTTGAAGTTGAAGTTGATGATGATGATGATGATGCTGGATGCGCGAACGCTGTCAGTCTCGTTGAAAGTCACCATGTGTTTTCGTCGTGGAGCAAACCTTGCTTTCCACCTCTCTTCCTTCACAATCACATTTATCGATCACGAGAGAGGTATCATGATGCTGTCGAATGCACTCGCATCGATGCCAGAGACGCAGGAGTTTGTGCACCGAACGGAATCGAGCATTTGGCGTGCGAAGTTTTAGTGAACGCGCCGCATAAATATGGAATAAATTCGTCAAGGTTCGAGCTCGCTTATTCTCCCTCGTCAATAATGCGGCACGAAAAGCCTGTCTCATGAGATACCTTGAATCAGGGAGATCGAAAACGTGAAGCGTGCGAGATTCGAGCTCGCCATACGTAACAAAGGAGCAGCATGGAGGCTTGAACGCCTATATTGGATAATGATATCGGTGATGTTGCGAACTCTGGTTCGGGACGTCGTGATTCATCTTGATTTCGGTGTCGCAAAGCATACCAGTAGCAGAGCGCTGGGAAAGCCTCCGAAATCACGCCCGAGAATCCTAAAACCACGTTTGAATCTGTAAGTGCTCATTGCTGCGTTGGGAGTGTCGAGACAGTGCATCGAAAGCAAGTTCAAAAAACTATTCTCAATCCAGGAGCAAAGCGAGCAGTTTAATGCTCTATTTTCATGTCAATCGGGTGCAGCGCTCACGCAGCAGGAGCATTACGATACCCGGCGCATCGATGCCGTTGTGAAGGAGAGAAGAACCTTGCACAAACTTGGATGGCGTATGCGCATCCAACAATTCATGAGCTCCTTCGCTCCCGCATGCCGTAAACTGTTGCCGTCGACGGGTATGCCCGGTGTCGGCTGGCGAGAGTACGTGATCCTCTACGGTGCTGCGTTCAGTTCGCTTCTTGCGGGAGCTTCTCTTGTGCATAACTGGTTGCGCCCAGACTTGACCCTGCCGAACCTGGCGGCAACAGTGACCCGAGACGCTGCTGGAGCCGTCAAGCGGACGCGGGCCCAGGAACCTCGGGCTGACACAAACGTGACGCCGTGAGGTGCGTCTCCCAGCGACAGCGACCGGCGTGAGGGATTCAAGCTGTCACCAGGTCGTGTGCGAAAACAAGTTCTCGAAACAAGCGGAGGTCTAGCGTTCGGTTTTGGGCGCGGAAACTATGTGTTTCGGCATGCGCCCAACTGTATTCAGGACTAGCGAAGGACGAAACATTAGAATCGTTCATGAATCGCCGAGGTGAATCGCGTTCGATGAACGTGGAGAGTGGTCTGGACTTTGCGGACTGCTGAACCGTATCATACTCGTGCTTTGGTACCAGCCGGACTCCAATGCATGCTCTCTTGGCCACTGGTTTTCTATCAGAAATATTCTTCGTTTCAGTACCATACCCCCGCTGGGCACGAAACGATATCCCGGAACGGACTTTCGACATAGAGCCGTTGGACGATATAAACCACGAGATATTTCCGAACGTTGACTGAAGCGTTCAAGTCTCTGTTCAGTACGCGCTTCCGCGCATTGTCGCTGGTGGAATCACACCGCAGCAATGCGCTCATCTTCCATTACCTCGCCATCTGACACTCGGTTAACGTATCGTACAGCATCTCGTAGAACTGTCTCTGTTTCACGCTCTTCTTGTCTACCGGTTTCAGCGTGCATGTGTCGAGATGACGCGTATGTCTCGTCCTGAACTGATTCGCGAGCATCGTACGGAATCGATTCCTGCGTTCGTTGCACGCTGCCGTCGAGAGAGCAGGACTACAGCCCTTGCTCTGGAAAGCGAGCCCAGTGTCATCGGATACCCGAAGAACGACGCGACTTGTCGACCGTTTCCATTCTCAACGCATCCAACAAGTTGGCGAATGCATGGTTCTTGCTTCCGTAGAATAGAAACGACTGGCGACCTCAGCGCGCGGTCTGTTGTACCGTGTGCCAACCATCGATCGCATGAGCCGCTTGGACGCTGCTGTGCACTCAGCATGAAGTGTACAAAGCGTCCTGCTCTGCTCGATACGGTGCAGAGGGTGTGGTGACGGGTCCTGACGCAATCCATCCATTTGCTGGTGTGCATTCTGATGTCTATGATGCCCGACGTGCGCTTATACCGAGCACTGGAAAAGTTTCGCAGATGCATTCACTTCCGATTGGGTCGTTGTCTCCGTCGTCTCGACTGACTGACACATCGACGGGCGTGACGTCCCTCATTCGGACGTCGACGACGACCAACAAATCTTTCTCTTGACCTGCCTTGGACGGTTGAAAATGAGTCTCATTGCGCGACTCTGAACCAGGTTTTGCAAAGTGCATGCAGATGGATGTTGCGGCGTCGTCCGTGCTCGAGACAGTTTTTCTCCACGCTCTACTGGTAAACGAGAATCCTTGAACGAGCTTCGCCAATGCGCCACGTCGCGTTGGTCGAATGCTGGTTGCTTGCACACAGAAACCAGCTATTGATCGCTGAAGAGGTCGTACATTACCGTGCACAATTGTCTTTGGTGATAGCATATGCCTTGGAATGACTGATCGCGATCATGACGTATAGACGCTAGAGGAGACACCGATGCTGGGATTCGGGGAGCGAGTCTGCATTGGCCTGGACGGCACTGTTCCCGAAAACGCAGTAATGCGAGATGTATGCAAGGCAGGCATCACGTTTCCGTCACAATTTGGATATGACGTGGGTTGGTCCAAGGCCCAGAGAGCAACACGACAACCTTGGACGATCTGGAAGGACGCCTGCTCGTGTTGCGATATCTTTTGCGAGTGCGCCAGCGCTTCGAACGCGTATGTCACCAGCTCAACATATGCCTCCATCGACACCGCGAGTATCCCTTCTGTCAGTGTCCAATGATCCCGGCCAGTGAGATGAGTCTACTAGGGGTAAAAAGCCCACAGGGCGTGCCCCGTGAAGCGCTCCACATTGGCTCGCATATGCTTTTGGTTTTCAGAATGCTTCGATACTTTGTCGCATCTATCCTGCGGTTAGGACGGTCACAGACGTGGCAACGCGACGCGACAAGGCATTCTGGCACGTGTGTGTTTTTTTTTGCGATCCCTGCTCCGACGATCACGCCATTCTGCATCCTCTGCCCGGGGTATATGTTGTGTCGTCGTACGAAGGTTTGATCGAAGAATTCCACAGGAGCGAGGACAACTGGCACCTATGCGTACGGATCTCGTGAGGAAACTTCCTCGACGAGGTGCGTCAAGACGTGCAAAGCGAGGTAAACCCTCGTCAACGGACAAACCGAGCGATCTCCAATAGCGTCCGGCATATCTTTTTGGAAGATTTGTCCTGGCGCTACGTCCTCGTAGAAAAGCTTTTACAACGGTTTCAGGTTGATCTCCCGGCTCGGAAAGTTTCTCGTTTCGGTACCTTCTCGTCCTCTTTTCGGGAGGATTTCTCCTTTTCATCCGATGACTCCTTCTCCATTTCGTTTCTTTCGCGATGTGGCATGGATGCGATTGTTGTACTCCATACCTGGTTTCTGTCGGGATTCAGATGCGCTGGATTACGGGTGATACCAGGATCCGCATTCTCTATGTATGTATCTACTATTCCTCAGATAACTTTTGGTGAACTTCTCCGTCGCGAGCTTCTCTGCAGGCCGACAAAGGCATTGCCACCACCCGATGCGCACGAACTGTAGCGTCACAGCGCAGTTGAGGGCCGGTCAAGGTAGAGAACTACCTGCCAAGCAGCAATTCATCGAAAACCTTTCGTTTCACGGATGCAAACGACTCGTCTAGCGTTTCATGGCCGTAACTACGGTATCAAACAGCAGAGAAGACGCTTTCGTCTGGATTGAATCAGGGGAACACGACGACGCGAAGAGCAACAGAACACCAATCATAGCTGCGTACTCCTTTATTGCTTTGGTTGATCCAAAGCGAAGTTCTCTAATAGGTGGACAGAGGAATGCGGGAAGAGGAAGCTACGAAGAGTGCCAACACGAGGGTTAAGATGCTGAAGGATCCTGACCGTTTGGCGATGTTTGGGCGACCAGACCAGGGCGTCGCCGTATGGCTGACGTTGTCGTCATACTCGCTTCTCGCTTCTATGCGAGCACCAGCTTAGTCCTCTCTGCGCACTCGCATACAGATCTACCATTTCTCCCAAATAAAGCCTCATGAATGTAGGTGAACACCTGGCCCTCCAGTGCCAAGCGTTCGCATTTCACCAGGATATCGATCGTGCGTTATTCAACGCGTGACGCGTCTAGCGTAGAAATCTGTGTTGTTCTCGGTCCGATAGGGTGTCTTCATCACTGTCCGCAATAGCGGTCCGGATGCTTCACATCCTGTGGCTTCTTCTATAGTGCTTCCTGGGGAAATCAAGGCATGGATTGGATTGACGAGAACATAGTCGTTCAGATAGGGTTCGCCAGGTTCTGTCGTGGACGCAAAATGTTAATATTAGGGATCAGGAGAGCGGCGGCTCACCTAGCCGATGAACTATGAACGACTGATTGATGAATGAGCGACCGTTTGAGGCATGCTAGCAGCGACAAAGTCAAGTCTTTATGGCACCTTCCTTCAATCTGCAGGTTACATTCTTTTTGTTGAATAGATACGAAAAAAATAAACAAAAATAAAAACAGGTGTGTGAGTACGGGTGTTCCAGAACCCACTGCTCAGAGTCTAACGTCTCCGGATTTCGCAGCAGAGCGCATGAGGTAGCGTGCACCCTCGGGCCCATTTCCTCGGTAACGATCATGACCTGAATAGGCGGCAAGCGTCGCAGAGCTTCGGTGCGCAGTGGCAGTGGGTCGCAAGCTCTGCGTTTACAGAGCATGCATCCAGCTTCAAAACGTTGAATGCCGGTCAGTTTTTCTGGATTTTCACCACGTCGCTCTCGCTTAACATAGACTGGAGGGAAGGAATTCGTCGACGTGGCGTACCGCGTGCACGACATAGCGTCAGCGGGGCTTTGCATTGCGCACTGCAGAGCCGGCTCTTCGGGCACCTATTTCGCTTCCACGAACTGCGTCATTCGTGCGACCGGGTTGGCGTCGAGGGCGCGCTCGCTTTCGAAACCCCATGGTTTCGAGCCGCTCGCGAGAAGCGACAGCTCGGTGAGCACACTCTAAAAGACCGCTGTTGCAACGAGACGGGTCGGTTTCCTTTGAAAACTTCACGGCACTGGGTCGTCAACACGCGTACAGCCGGGGCTCTGGGTTACGGCACTGAGGTAAAACCTGTGACTTGCATATGGTCGACGTATTTGATCCCTGATCCAGATCCATAAAACTGTGTAATCCAGGACGTAGTACTCCCGTTCCAGAAGAGCCCCGCAACTCCACTTTCAGAGAGCGATGCAACCAAACACCGCGCCGCTGCATACCGTTAACCTAGCAGGCTCCTTCGTTAACGAGGCACCAAAAAGGCAAAGACGAGCACCGCCACAGAGTCCCAGAGACTCTATGCAATATCTCTTGCCTCCAAGCGCAAGGCTAGGGGGGCTTGAGAACGCCCGAACAACGGCGTGCAGGGTCCATTGCCCCAGACAAACACGTGCCCGCAAAATCCGGTCCCAATAATAGACACAACGTGATAGCGTCAGTGCAATGTACAATGTATGGAGGCTTGAGTCCGCCAGTCGGAAACCGCATACATTGCCAGAAGAGCCTACGTGTTTCCGTGAGCAGTTGGTGCACCGCCTGCGATACGAGGCGCGCCGATGCCCACTCGAAGCGCGCGCGCGCGCGCAGGCACGCCGCCTCGTCTGATAAGAGACTCTTCGTCGTCTGCCGCGGCTTTGTTGAGTGTTATTCTCCTGTACGCAGCTCTTGCTCCAGTGGGTACAGGCGCGACGCATACCATGTCAGGTTCGCTATGGAAACAACTGCTTACGCGCGGTAGCTCCTGGATAGAACCTTCAGCGTCTCCCGAGGCGTGGGAAACGACAGCTGAACTTCGCAGGAAGCTTCTGTACACACACCTAAACGCTTTGCCAGCTCGTTGGCAGGCCGCACAGAACGAGTTCAGGGCGCTGCTGGACAAGATGCGCGCGAAGCAGGTCACCGTCGAAGAGGCCGGGTGGTTCGGCGTGCGCTGTGTTGAGCTGTATGCATTCTATTGTTTGGGGGTCGTGATCGGGGCGCGCTCCCTCCAGCCGTGAGCACCGGCTGCGCCGGCCCCACGACTGTGCAGCGCTCTATAGCCTGGGGTCCGTGACACGCACCGTGCCCCGATCAATTTGCTTCTGAGTCTACAGGCGCGAGTATGCGTGCGGAAGGTCTTTTTGATTCAGAGTTTTACGAGGATGACCTGGGTATGATCATACGAGATAAAGTGTGCAGCGGGTCCTGCGTTGGAGGCCCTCTCATCCACCTGAATCCAGCTTCATGGTGAGCTCCGGCTCGCGCGGGGCGTTGCCCACAAGCACGCGTGCGCACTTCGTGCATGCCTCTCGGTTAGACGTTGTAAAACAGATCAATACCGCAATGATGGCGTCCATGATTGTACGCAGCAGAGCGATCATGCCGATGCGCTATCTGCCGCACCAGGAACGTTACCGTTGACGGGGATACGTTGTTCGCATCCTCTATCACGCATGTGCCATGCGCCTCCTTGGTGTTTTCGCACCGCCCGGTGTGCGCCTCTCTCGACTAGTGCTGCGCGCACGCTGCGGCCGTTGGAAACGTTTCCTGAGCCCCTGGTCCAGGCCGAGGAACGCCAGCACCTCCACGAAAACAAAGAGCGGTGCGCTCGCAAACGCCTGAATGAGGTTATCCAGCAGCGCCGGGCGACGTTTCTCCAGCCATTCATGAGCAGCAAACTGAGCAGACCACCCCAGCAACTGGATGACGAGAAACGCAGACCAAACGACCTGTGCGTCAGGGGCGCGAAGCAGAAGCGCTCTGCCCGCAAGGTACAGAGGCAGGACCATCACTAGCGCTGCACTTGCTCCCAGAAGCGGCGAAAGCACGATATAATACAGCGCATAGGCTACAGCGACTATCAGTCCGAGATCGAGCTTCACACCACCGAGCGAAACGCGCCACTGCGCTAGCGCTGCTAGCGCACTGCCAAGCAGCAACGGAACGAACACCACGTGGACCAACTGATTGACAGGGTGCGCGTGATATTTTAGATAAAATCCATACTGTTCAGCAAAGTCAAGACTTAAGACTGCTGCTGTATGTCGCTTCCGCTCCCCCGTCATGGTTCACGGAACTGTCGTGTGTGCTGTTCTGGAAGTCAACAAGCAGCCGCTTATTCAGAACGTTCCTGGTACGCGAATTGCGCGCAGAGCGCACTGCACGTGCGCGATCGCAGATTTTTCTCGATTTGCAAAAACTTTTACGTAGACCATGGATCCCAGATTGTGGGATGCATTGGCATTGGCATTGGCATTGGCATTGGCATTGGCATTGACATTGGCATTGGCATTGGCATTGGCATTGGCATTGACATTGGCATTGGCATTGGCATTGGCATTGACATTCGGGAAAGCGTCCATCATGTTGCGACACCCTACTTCCAAGTTCCATGACCCATACTTCCTCTTTGGTATACTGGTCGTTTCGTATGTTCTATCGTGCGCCGAGTACCTGCTTTGAACCCCAGCACAAGCACCGCTACCGCTGGAACAGATACTGCACGGAGACAGAACGGCTTTGCTATACCGCTGAGGGTATCGGGCTGAGGCGTGGTTGGCGCGATACCGGGTCGGAGTACACCGTAACTCTGGGATCGCTCGAGCAGAGACTGCACGGAGACAGAACGGCTTTGCTATACCGCTGAGGGTATCGGGCTGAGGCGTGGTTGCCGCGATACCGGGTCGGAGTACATCGTAACTCTGGGATCGCTCGAGCAGATACTGCACGGAGACAGAACGGCTTTGCTATACCGCTGAGGGTATCGGGCTGAGGCGTGGTTGCCGCGATACCGGGTCGGATTACACCGTAACTCTGGAATCCTGCAAGCTGTGCAGAGAGACGTACTGCGGTCGGTAGCACGTGGCGGCTTCGGTTTGTGTGCCTTGCTGAATGTTAGGTTCAGGATCTTTTGCAACGAGGTGGCGCATCTCGAGGTACGATCGATGCGCACCTGGTCCTGTCAATGTCACAAACCGCGAATCAGACTTTCGTCAAAGGTTAACAGTTCGCTGACGTGACCCTCAGGGTACCGGGCGTATAGTGTGCGCTCGCGGAGAGCGCCGCTGAGGATGCTGCGTTGATATACAGCAACTTCACCACGTCCAGGAGAACGTCGGCAGGGAGTCGAGATATTCGATGCGTCTGCTGCAACGTATGGCACATGACCCTGGATGAACAGCCGTGCATGTGCATCGCATGACTTCTGTGGGGTTTCTTGCGAGATACGTCGATCAGTTGGTCAGAGTCCGGGGCCACAGCTGTTTCTTCAGATCGATCACAAGTAAAGAATGAGTTCGGTAATACGTCGCCGCTCCGAGGGCGCGATATGCGCATGCCCTGAGTCACGGGGTATGGCGGATCGGCGAGAACGTCAGTGCTGCTCGCTTGTACCCTACCAAGCGGAACAAATCGACACAAACGAGCTATTTTGTTGTCATGATACCTCGAAGATCCGGCAGACGGACCACGAACCTGAAGTGCAGTGTTTCTGCATATGCAACGCAAGAGCGCCAGCGCCGGGTTCCGTGTCCGGAAGATGTGCGCAGCCTCGTTGAACCCGAACCCAGGTTGTTTTGAGAGCGAACCCCAAGTTGATTTGCAGCAGCCGCAACGATCGTCGCATGCTTCTTGTTCGTTTCTGACCGACGTGACTGCATCCAGCGCGCGGAGATGAGCAAGTATTCAGGCCTGCCGAGCGTTCGAGGAAAATCCAGAGTCCTAAGCTGCATGGACAAAGCAACTGCATCTGCCACGTAGCCACGGCACTGTAGCGTCAACAATTGCGATGCACCGGAGGCTTCTCCGCATGCAATCGCAGGGATCGTGAGCCTTGTTCGCTGCTGTATAGCAGGAACTTGATTCAACTCGCAGTCGTGCAGCATCCATCGCATCTCCAAATGCTTTGTTCGCGAGACTTGCGGATATAACGCTCGCTGCGCAGCGTTCTTGAATATGATCGCTGACGGCTTCATATGCGGAGCAAAAACCTGCTAGGCACATCTGGGCAAAATTACCGTGACGACGGCATCTCGGCGCCTCGAGCTCCGGATCCGACGTACGCCGCTACGGTGCACATGCACGAGATCTCGCTCGCGAAAGTAGTGTGATCCTTTTTTCGTATCATTTGCCACCTAAAATAGCAGTTTGTGATCAGTCTCGGAGGTTCGGGTCAGATATGAGAGCACGTACACGCTCCGAATAGCACCGTTTCATTGCCTTGGGGATTCCAGCGTCCAGTGCTTCGCCTGGCGTGCGTCATTGCTGTGACGCTCGAACGCCCAGCGCACCGGCAGACGCACATCGCACCAGTGTGCCGAGCATTCGCGCTGATTCCGGAGACAGATTTATAAACGGAGCCTTTAAATCGAGTCAACAATCCCCAGTCCTAACTTTCATTGAACAGGCTCCATGCTGTACCTGGTTGTTCATGCAGTGTAAGCGCGTGCTCGAGCGAACGAGTCATGAAAAGGTCTGGCAGTCGAGCGCATGCCCGTACGCAACAGATGGTGTGCATATGACTCGATGCAGAGCGCACTCGAGCGCATGTCGAGCTGTGCCCAGCACGCTGTCTATCCCTGGATTCGCGAACGGTACGCTTGAATTACGATCCGTTCAGCTGCAAAAGGCACATACCTCGGACATCCGGTTCTCGATAGAGATATCGCAAGCTGGAGATGGTTTGCATGGTGCCGGAGAATGAAATCCGTTCTTATCGCACAGGCATACACCGATGCGCCGTTTCTGCAACATAGCGTCATACCAGAAAGGCAAAAGCTTCGTGCACAGAGCAGACAAACGACACTGATTGCGCTGCATCGTTGCTAAGAGTGATGCTATGCTATGCGGCGGTATACGCCATGACCTGAGCATCTCGTGCGTTTTCTGAGGTATGCACCAAGCAAACAGACGGCACTGTTTGCGCTGCATCCTTACTAAGAGTGATGCTATGCTATGCGGCGGTATACGCCATGACCTGATCATCTCTTGTCTCTGCCTCTGAGGCGCTCGTCACTGTATGCATCCTCAGGAAAATCAACGGGAGCAGGAGCCAGCCCGCTCGTCTATTCGCGTACTTCGATGCAACGACGCGGACGAGGCCGCTCCGGAGGTGCTGGTAAAGGCTCCTGCTCGAGTTCTGGTGCAACCACTATTTCGTTGGGCTCAGGAACAAGTTCTGCCGGTTGCGATGTTTCCTCTTTCTGTTTGGACTCGTGGCCAAAGCGTTCGCGAAAAAAGCGGACAACATCATCCATGCTCTGCCTCAGGTCCTTTCGAAGCGATGACGGGCGTGTATCCTTTGCCCAGGGCACATAGCGACCAAACCCTTGACCAACACCGACACAGCCGAACCCTATGCCTACGCCGCAACCCGTGAACGCCCTCGGTGCCTGGATGCCGTAGCGACGCACGCTCTCAAACGACCAACCAAGCGCTAGCAAACAACAGCCGGTGCCACAGCCGAGAATCGCTACACCGGCCGGAGGCAAAAAAGATGGCAGTTGCACCGCCGCAACTGCAGCGTGCTTCCAAGCGCTCGCACCCGAAAGCCGCCGCCGTGCACCAGTCCCTGTGCCAAGCGTCCAGCTTGGAGGTGCGTGCGGCTCCACCCAGGTCGACCGAAGCACGCTCGAACCAGCGTCCAACTGGTAGTTCAAGCTCCTCGCGAAACAGTTAAGTCCACACGCTTGTTCCATAAAGGCTTAGACACAGGAGAATAAGTTATTGAAAGCAAAGCCAAGTGCAAAGGTGCTGTGGCTCTGCACCACCCCGGCATCGGTGCTTCGCGTTCCCGCCAGCACCTGCGCCGGAAGATTCTTCGCATTCGCCGGAGGCTCAGCACCGGCAACCCTTGTGCGGTACCAGAGCGCAGGCGTCGCTCAGTATAGAGGCGCCACGGCGGATGCTGAAGGTAGACTTTGCGAAACGTAGATCGTACGCAGTGACCAGCATCTCCGAGATACGTTTGGGTAGATGCTGGTGGTTCCCGGAACGCACACTGCGGAATGATCATGCCATCCCAGATGACGATATCCATCGTGGAATCTAAGATCCCTGGTGCATGTCACTCTATGCTGTCGATCAGAAACGAATTGCTATCATGGGCTGTAGAACGCGCCCGCACGACACGGGCGATGCCGCACGGTCTTTAGGTAGCACCCGTTGCCGTTTTGCAGGAGGCTTCTGTGAAACCAAAAGTTACTGCAGGCTCGGTACCCGCGGGGTTCCTGGAACGGGATAGGTTACCGCCCCAGCAGATGTAGCTCAAGCGGTAGAAGCACGCAGTCACTACAGACAAGACGAGATGCTTGAAAGTTGGAGGTTCACGCGTCCAAGGCGGTCCACTGGGGTACCAGACATGTGAAATCCGCTGGTGTTGAACCGAATTTGCGGTATCTCGGGGAAGCCCATGTATCCTCCATGTACGCTCATACAATTGGGCGCACGGATAATGCGATCGTTTCATCGCCATTGCAATATACAAGAAGCGGAGGGAATCTATCATCCGGTATCTTGGTTGCTCACACAGCTCGACACTGAGGTTAGATGCAACATGCTCGGATGGTGCGCTTTGCAAAAGCATACCTGCAGCGGGTCTACGTCTCCCTAGATGAACACTGCACTGAAATTGCGGGACAGAAGCGTCCGCTGAACATACCCGGTCTATACTTCGACATTTGGCAGCGTTTGCGCTTCCACGCGCGTCTATTTAGGGTCAGTAATCCAGCGTCTTCATCAAATGACGAGATCGGTAAAGACTACTAACCGCTAGAGCGGTTGTGTCGCATGACCTCATCCCGCGACAATGGATATCGATCCATGATATGGGCACTCATGTCAGAATCAAGTAGAAAATGATCCACTTTGGTGAATCAGGTGTCCAGTCTAAAGTTTGGGTCTCGTCCCGCATTCATGAACCATGGCCTTTGGGGGCTTTTTTTTCTCGGCGACAGCTTCCAGTCGTTCTCTTCTTTACATCAAGATCAGTTTTCAGCAGTCGAGGGATGGATGTTGATGGCAGCGTTCAACGCCCGAATTCCCTGCTTTCCGCTACGTTCTATTCATTGAGCCGACAGACGCTACATGCGATCTACGCTTCGCATACGATACTCTTTTCTTCTGTATACAGCCTCGGTGCGCACGTCGCACCGTTGACAAATGAATGCACAGGGGCGCTCCCATGCGCCCACGAGACGCGCTACTTACGGACAGCCGCTTTGTGGCGCTTGGACGTTGGCGTCATCGCCCGTTACACACCCTTGGCGCGATAAACAAGGCTGACCCAGAAATGCCCTCCGCAGTTTCCGCACCCGGTGTTGTGTCGCAGGTGCACGGGCTTGGTCTGTGCGATGCCCTCAGCGCATGCCCTCTGAACCGCACGCGCAAGAGCAAGCAGCACCACTCGATACAGGGTTTGCGGGACGCTTTCTTCCACGTCTTGAGACCAGTACCAGACCGAACATCTAGACTTGAGAGCAGGTCGAGAAAATGCGATCCGTCTACGCCCCCGTTCATGGAAAGCGATGGCGGTCGTACCGCCAAATGCGATCGCATCGATGACTCAAGCGCGAGTCCAAGACCCTTTGCTGGCAAACAGATGAGCCGCCAGCCCCTGAGTGCATACCCCCTGAGAGGCACCGTGCCGCTGCCGTCGGATGCCGAATGACATGTCGTCGACGGCCACCAAGAGCGGAGGGTATGTGTTTCGAGCTGAATCTGTTGCTTGATGAGACAGGTTCAGTGAACTTTCGGCATGAGCGTCTGGGAAAGTCTCCAAAGCTGATGTAGAGTTTTTCCCCGTCGTCGTCCATCCAGCGGCGATGCCTGCTGCGCCCTCGTGCTGCCTTGAAGCAGAACCATCGAAAACTTGAAGAATTCGGTATCTGAGCGTGCTGCAGGCAAGGAATGTTGAAACGCAGAGTCCGCATCGTATGATTCGGATAGTGCTCCCGTTCACGTTACGAAGCGTAGATCGAGGGCGTCGACACTCCCCTTGTACCGTGCACATAACGATTTCCAGCGGCAAGGAGTCGAACGAGCCACTCGGAAAACTCGACCGAGAACCCGGATTCAATGAATGCATCTGATAGCGCTCAATGCGGCATATCTACTGCCAACGCTCTACATCTACAAAGCAAGACTGAGAATGCAATCGCAAGGCAGCAATTGATCGAACGGTTCAGTGCTCCATTTTTATGGTGGCAGGTGTATAGAGTCTAGGATATGGTTTAAGGCGCAATATGGATGACGAAATGTAACGGATTGTCGCGGCATGAAGAGAAAATTTTAGATGTACGAGTATTCATGAAGCCAAGACTGTACTCATCTGACGAGCCGCTGCAAGCGACACAGTACAAGTAACGCTGATCATTTTGACGATAGTGGACATTTTTCTTGTTGTGCATTGTGTACAACCTGGCGCATAAGCAGCGCGCGCTCTCCAGCAGTGGCTCTGCACCGCGACCGCAACTACCTCGTGTATTACACAATTCCCGCAACAGAGTACGCTCACCATCGACATGATCCGTCTCTAGTTGCGCGCTTACGGCGTTACAAGTTCCAGCTGGCGGCTATTCTGACACTATCGGGAAGTGCTCTGGTTGCAGACGGAGAACCGGAACCAGCGCGACGAAAGAGCTGCAGTCGAACCGCAATTCTCTGATGCAAAGGTTCACAGAATGCTTCGTTCGTGATGCAGCGTGGAGAGAAGCAGTGCGCTCCCTCCATTGCCCCAAGTTCCTTTTCGTGAACTGACCCGCAGGCACTACGGGCATCTTCCTGATACCGCCAGTCCGTTTATTGTTGCTGCTCGGGCAACTTGAAGTGCTAGACGGTTTCTGCTAGAAAACCCGCCAAAAAGCTTGCTATACGGCGTTTACATATGAATCTGCCTAGTAACCCTAGTCGTCCGGCGTTCTCGCTGGCCGAGGAGAACGTTGTCACTTCGGAATGCAGATGCTGGCGCGACATCCTCGGCGCGATGCATTGCTGCCCAGAGAGTTCCACAATCGAATTTGTCTGTTTCGTGTCTGCCACAGCATGTGGAATACAAATGTTTGCCGAACAGAAGATTGAAAGTTCTCCAACAGGTCCGGTCGCTGCAGTGTGCAACGCCTGCGGAGGCGCTCCCGCGTTCGAGGTTATTTATTCAGAGGGTTTCAGGCACTCACGGTTTAAAAGCATGAACCAGACCCGATCGCACAACGGCTCGTACGATAGCTGTCGCTGTGTCGTCTTCGATACGCCGTGGCGAGGCACTGGCAAAGCTACCTCTCCATCAGTCCCTGGTGTGGCGCTGAGCTCGTGGCCCCAGGCTCTGAAGGTCTGGGGGCCCTTGGCTTCGCTGCAAGCGCGAGTTTTCCGTAAACAATGTTCGTAAAACTCTTCCAAAGCCTCACACAGACCACGATTCGATTCGTGCACGCCCATACCGTCAGTGCACCCGGCGTCAGGCGTGTCGTAAAGGTAACACTGGAGCCCGCTCGTTGCCCTGTTTGGAGGACGCTTGTGTGCTGTGTTGCAACTTGCTCGCCGAGCCACAGTCGTTCGCTAAACGCACCAATTACACCATGTTAATCTCAAGTCCGAGTAGAGCACTGTTCGAAACGTCCTCTTTATGCCAGAGTCGAGAATGGCTCTTATTCGCAAACGGTCTGAAAGAAATAATGCGGCGGGTGTGCGGCGTCGCCCGTGTTCATCGAATATCCTGCATCGAGTTGGTGCTGCCAGGAGGATATTGTCGTGAATATCGATCAACATTCATCCAAGACGCATGTACCTCCGGAGGGAAATATGGAGAGTAGTGGTTCGAACTTGAATCTACAGAGCGGTATCATGGATGCTCACGCTGAAACCGATAACCGTCACAGAATCAGGGCTCCCTGCTTTATGTCAATATTCTTCGACACTACACTGGCGACGGCATAAAAATGGAGCACTGAACCGTTCGATCAATTGCTGCCTTGCGATTGCATTCTCAGTCTTGCTTTGTAGATGTAGAGCGTTGGCAGTAGATATGCCGCATTGAGCGCTATCAGATGCATTCATTGAATCCGGGTTCTCGGTCGAGTTTTCCGAGTGGCTCGTTCGACTCCTTGCCGCTGGAAATCGTTATGTGCACGGTACAAGGGGAGTGTCGACGCCCTCGATCTACGCTTCGTAACGTGAACGGGAGCACTATCCGAATCATACGATGCGGACTCTGCGTTTCAACATTCCTTGCCTGCAGCACGCTCAGATACCGAATTCTTCAAGTTTTCGATGGTTCTGCTTCAAGGCAGCACGAGGGCGCAGCAGGCATCGCCGCTGGATGGACGACGACGGGGAAAAACTCTACATCAGCTTTGGAGACTTTCCCAGACGCTCATGCCGAGAGTTCACTGAACCTGTCTCATCAAGCAACAGATTCAGCTCGAAACACATACCCTCCGCTCTTGGTGGCCGTCGACGACATGTCATTCGGCATCCGACGGCAGCGGCACGGTGCCTCTCAGGGGGTATGCACTCAGGGGCTGGCGGCTCATCTGTTTGCCAGCAAAGGGTCTTGGACTCGCGCTTGAGTCATCGATGCGATCGCATTTGGCGGTACGACCGCCATCGCTTTCCATGAACGGGGGCGTAGACGGATCGCATTTTCTCGACCTGCTCTCAAGTCTAGATGTTCGGTCTGGTACTGGTCTCAAGACGTGGAAGAAAGCGTCCCGCAAACCCTGTATCGAGTGGTGCTGCTTGCTCTTGCGCGTGCGGTTCAGAGGGCATGCGCTGAGGGCATCGCACAGACCAAGCCCGTGCACCTGCGACACAACACCGGGTGCGGAAACGGCGGAGGGCATTTCTGGGTCAGCCTTGTTTATCGCGCCAAGGGTGTGTAACGGGCGATGACGCCAGCGTCCAAGCGCCACAAAGCGGCTGTCCGTAAGTAGCGCGTCTCGTGGGCGCATGGGAGCGCCCCTGTGCATTCATTTGTCAACGGTGCGACGTGCGCACCGAGGCTGTATACAGAAGAAAAGAGTATCGTATGCGAAGCGTAGATCGCATGTAGCGTCTGTCGGCTCAATGAATAGAACGTAGCGGAAAGCAGGGAATTCGGGCGTTGAACGCTGCCATCAACATCCATCCCTCGACTGCTGAAAACTGATCTTGAAGTAAAGAAGAGAACGGCTGGAAGCTGTCGCCGAGAAAAAAAAGCCCCCCAATAGCTTGGCCTGATCACAATGGATATCCATCCTCCCTTTATCGTTTACGCCTGTATTAGCAGAGTCGACTTTTTTGAGTCAATGCTAAGATGAATCTTGTACATGTGCCAGACTTTACAAAGTGCATCTGTTCCATTTCTTGCTGATACGGGCACAACAGAAACAGCGTCCATGTCCAGCCATTATTCGTAAATTCACCATTGTTCAAGGCTACACACTGTGAAAGTGATGCCAATCAGAGCAATCCACAAGCGCTCGATGCTCACATCACTGCACGTCTATACATCTATATTCTGTACAAAGAGCGCCACCCGATCCAGTCCGTTCGGTCTCAGCGTCCGCATCAGCACCCAACACAATGCCGCTGGAGCTTCCTGCGAGCTGGATCCGCTCCGTTCACCAGTGCGAAACTGCGTCTAGCATGCACCACTTCTATGTAGTCGCGTGTTATGATGCACGCGAGCGCTGCGTATGCATCCCGGAATACAAAGCGCGCATCCATGGCCAGCCGCGCACCTAGGAAATCACGAGAGCATCGGTGCCGCATCATCATCATCATCATCATCACGAGAACAACAATAACAACAAGTACGAGGCGGGTGCGTTTTCGCCAGCATTTCGAGGTTGTGTCGCCTGTGCTGTGCACTTGGATCGCGCGCTTGCCTTGCACTCCATGGATAGATGATGACCGATACACCCTTTTGTGCAAGTACTACTCGAATATCGATACCAGGGTGCCTTCTGCGCAGACTCGCGAGCGTGGTCACGAGGAGAACGCAGCTCCGCCAATCTGATCCCCGGTTCGAAGGACCGTCCCTGGCGATGCAATGTCGCCATTCAGCATAGGTACACCAGCGACATCACCCAAGGTGGTGCCGCGAGGAAGTCGGAGCAACTTGCCCGAACTCTTATCGAATACGACGACATGCTGTTCCAGTTCAACGATTTGATGATAGAGTACGCGAAAGTATTCACTGGTTGTTCCCAACGAAGCTGTGACGGTATCATCGAGAATAACATCCGCTCGACGCGACTCGGAATGCGTCAGTGTTTCCGAGGCGAGCGTCTCGCCTGAGGGCGGCTGCGTTGCCGGTAACGCTGCGACACGAGCGGGTGTATCCGATGGACCCGCTGCCGTTGTTGCTGCCGTCGGTGTGCTTACGGCACCCGAGGCATCCGCCAGTGAGGCTACAGCAGCATCCGAGTCCGCTGCGACGTTGGATTCAAATTCGAACTCACCAACAGAAGGAGCACAGGGCGTATTGGCTAACGCCGCAGCATGCGCGATAGCGTTCCACGCAACAGCTTTCTCCCGTTCGCTCATGGCAGACGGCGAGACTGTGGTATTCGCAAAGCCCCGATCCGTGAACAGATTCAGATTCTGCTTGTAGAGCCAGTGCGCGGCCCTGCCGTACTCCGCCAGCCGATGCATTCGCTCCGAACGCACCTGAACCTCAACCGGGAAGCCGTCGATAACTACCGTGGTATGCAGACTCTGATACCCGTTCTCCTTGGGCCAACGTATGAAATCGCGTCGCCTTTCGCGCACACTTGGCCAGAGTCGCTCGATGATGGCCATGACGGCGTCGCATGCCTCCAGCTCGCTGCTCTGATGAACCGGTCGCACAACAACCCGCAACGCCATCAGATCCAGAATGCTGTCGATGCCGCTCCCGAGACGAATCATCTTCCGGTACGTCGAGTAGAGACTCTTCACACGACCTCTGATGCGCCACGACCAAATGTAACTGTGCAACTGAGGCTCCAGACTGAGCGCATTTTCGATCGCTTGGCGAGCGTACTCGAGGATATCGGCACCTGCATCAAAGCGCAGTGCAACTTGCCGTCGCAGCGCCTCACTCTGTTTTGGAAACAACAGCAAAAACGCCAGCTCCTCCATTTCGCATTGGAGGTAGTAGATGCCGAGCTGATTTGCGAGCGGAGCTACCACTTCCAGCGTCAAGAGAGCCAATCGCTGGGCAGTCGCATGCGTCATTGCGTCGAGCCGCTGCCTAGCGGGCGCGAGACTCGCCCGCTGGTCATCAGCGCCATCCGTATGGGATCGCGTCTCGCAAGACGCCTCTCGTGGTGTCAAGAGTCCGGGTGATACGCACGTGGGTGCTTGTTCCGCGGTCTCCTGCATCGAATTCAGTGAGCGATCAGCAGGCGTATGCGAAACTGCAGGAGCACCAGAGGCATATGCCCCGGACGCCGTCGACGTACCCCTCACGACAGACGTCGCCACCGACTCGTCCATTGACGACGCTGCCTCGCAGCTTCTTTGTGGTGCATTTCCCTCAGCTGCGCACGTATCTGGCGACGATGTTGCAGCGTCCATATCATCCATGAGGCCGAATGCTTCGCTGTACACGCGCAACTCGTGCAGCGTCCCTGCAAAAAAGAGCGCCAACGCGCGCCAGTCTTTGGCGACACCGATAAGCAGCTGCCGCAGACCTGCGGGATTCGAATCCATACTCGTCGCGTAGATAATGCCACGTATCGCCCTCTCCTGAATCAGAATATCTGCAACCGACCGGCCGAACTCGCTGGCGATCTCTCGCGTAGCCAGTGGTGTGTCCAGCAGAGCAGCTGCCAGCACAGCCTCGAGGTCCATCTGCAAGTCGATGACTGTATTCAGAACAGCACGACAGCGAGCGAAGCTGCGGTGTTTGCGCTCCTCGTGTATGGCGACACCCCAGGGTGTAGTCGACACAGCCGCTATGCGCCGTGCCGCCCTGTCGCTTGTACTTGGCGCGCTAGCTGCGTCCGGCGACAGGCGTTCGCGTTCCCCTCGCGCGCTTGTGCGCAAGTTCATGTCTGGTGGTGATGGTGGTGCATTCGCTGGGTCTGCCGTACTGCCTGCATCAGCATCTGGCGGTTGTCGAGCAGGCGAGTGCTGCATCGTAGCGGAACGCTGTAGCGAACGTTCCAGAGCAATGCGCACGAGGGATGAACCGATGGGTCCCAGGTACGCACAGCGAAGCTCGACATCTTCAATGAAGCGCTGCAAATCCTGTGTGGAGGATGGCCAGCCCGGGCCTTCCGCAACCTCACTGCATCTTCGCTGCTTTTCCAGGTTCTGGAGCGCCCGGCTAACCTGCGATGAAACCTGAATAAAATCTGAGCTGGAGACGTCTTTCGAGACTCGCTCTGGTGCCCGCCTGTGCTCGTTACGTCGCTGGCTCAGGGCTCCTGATTCGCGAGCCGCACCAAAGCACTCATACGTTCCATGCCTTGCGGGAGTGGTCGCTAGTCCCTGGCGGCGGCTGCGGTGCAGAAAAAGGCGCACGCCGACAGGTTTCCCAGTCGCTGACGGAGGCCGCTCCGGAACATCTTGCTGTTCACTGCGGGTGTTTTCATCACCCGTGGCCACCTGAGCATCACCAGTCTTGTGTCGCACGTTCCAGACACACTTTGGTGCAGCAGAAGCGCCTTCCTCGCCATAGAACGGAGTTCGCTCAGGAAGCAGCCCCTGTTCGACCGGATCGATGCCCAGACGAAGAGCGCAGCGCCGCCCTTCGAAGCGGCCGCTACAAAACACCCTCCGTACAGGCGGAACGCGTAGGAGTGCTCTGTTTGCCGCACATAGTGCCGCCGCGCTCCCAACGAAGCCGTGAACCCGCTCTATTCGCACAGGCTGCAGACTCGGCTCAACGAAGCAGCTCGATGAGCGCCCAGTTGACATAAACCAACTGTTTTCCTTACCAATAGTAAAGTAATTCTATTCTTGGAACACGCTCTCTGTCGTTGAATGCAGACCACCCGACCCGTATGTCTCGGTTATCGAGTACGTTCCGTGACGCTCCCTTCACACAGCGCGCTACCGACACGTCATCTGCGCTCGGGGCTTCGCAGGCCGTTTCGTGCCGGTAATCCGGACATCCGGACAATCTCGCGATGGCGGGAACGCGCTGATGCGCTGGCGCTCCCAGTCTTCTGGACCTCCATCCAGATATGAAACAAGTGCTGGCAAGAGTAGTCATCGAAGGGTGCCCCAGTCGTTGTGCAGTGTTCTAGTCAACGCGGTGCACGCTGGCTGGAATACCTGGTCCAAGACGCCGAGTCTGTGTTTGCGGGGTTTTTATCACAGGTATCCGCAGGAGGGATTGGAACCTGTTGGTGTGGGGACGTTCGTGCAGGGACCTGGTGCTGTCACTGCTAGCCTGCGAAGAACGGCTGCACTTGTACAGGTCAGTCGTTTGTAGGTCAGCAGGGCGATGAACCACGCGTTTCGTGGTCACGGTCATGAAGTTGTTGCAGACAGCACGGAAAGTATCCAACGGTATGTATAGGACTCGCTCCTTCTTATTGCAATGCATTCCGAGCGATGTTTGAGAGTTTTTGGAAGAGATGTCACAGGTTGAGAAGTTTTCCGCACCGCTGATACGAAACGATGATAGAGAAGCACGAATGGACCGAGAAATTGCGGCGATAGGGGATGACGAATGCATTCATAGAATCCGGGTTCTCGGTCGAGTTTTCCGAGTGGCTCGTTCGACTCCTTGCCGCTGGAAATCGTTATGTGCACGTTACAAGGGGAGTGTCGACGCCCTCGATCTACGCTTCGTAACGTGAACGGGAGCACTATCCGAATCATACGATGCGGACTCTGCGTTTCAACATTCCTTGCCTGCAGCACGCTCAGATACCGAATTCTTCAAGTTTTCGATGGTTCTGCTTCAAGGCAGCACGAGGGCGCAGCAGGCATCGCCGCTGGATGGACGACGACGGGGAAAAACTCTACATCAGCTTTGGAGACTTTCCCAGACGCTCATGCCGAAAGTTCACTGAACCTGTCTCATCAAGCAACAGATTCAGCTCGGAACACATACCCTCCGCTCTTGGTGGCCGTCGACGACATGTCATTCGGCATCCGACGGCAGCAGCACGGTGCCTCTCAGGGGGTATGCACTCAGGGGCTGGCGGCTCATCTGTTTGCCAGCAAAGGGTCTTGGACTCGCGCTTGAGTCATCGATGCGATCGCATTTGGCGATACGAGCGCCATCGCTTTCCATGAACGGGGGCGTAGACGGATCGCATTTTCTCGACCTGCTCTCATGTCTAGATGTTCGGTCTGGTACTGGTCTCAAGACGTGGAAGAAAGTGTCCCGCAAACCCTGTATCGAGTGGTGCTGCTTGCTCTTGCGCGTGCGGTTCAGAGGGCATGCGCTGAGGGCATCGCACAGACCAAGCCCGTGCACCTGCGACACAACACCGGGTGCGGAAACGGCGGAGGGCATTTCTGGGTCAGCCTTGTTTATCGCGCCAAGGGTGTGTAACGGGCGATGACGCCAACGTCCAAGCGCCACAAAGCGGCTGTCCGTAAGTAGCGCGTCTCGTGGGCGCATGGGAGCGCCCCTGTGCATTCATTTGTCAACGGTGCGACGTGCGCACCGAGGCTGTATACAGAAGAAAAGAGTATCGTATGCGAAGCGTAGATCGCATGTAGCGTCTGTCGGCTCAATGAATAGAACGTAGCGGAAAGCAGGGAATTCGGGCGTTGAACGCTGCCATCAACATCCTCACTACTATCAGCAAACGAAACCGGAGGGGAAAGGAGTCACCCGCGTATTGAAAGCCGGACCCAGATGAGAGTAAACGAGAGCAGTCTCATAAAATCCCCAAAGGCTTGTCTGGATGACCACAGGAAGAGATTCAAGTTCGAGCATATACGCCCGAGTTCGATCAATGCACCTGTCGCGTTCTGCGCCGCCACGGGGTCTCGGTACCCCGTTCGATCGCAGCGCAGCGGCCCCAGCGTCCTTCCGTTGGCGTGATGCGCATGATCCGCCGCTGGCTGCCGCCGCGGCACGCACGCAAGCACACACACCGACACCAGTGTCTCTATACTTCAATACATGTCCATATGTTAATGTGTCATTATATTTCTATTTCTGTCCATCTACGCGAAGCACCGCGCACAGGCACAGCGCGTCGCCGTCGTCGCCGCCGTCGCGATCGACGCGCCAACGCCACAAAGCAGCCCGTGCGGCACACATCGCGTACAACGCATCCGTTCGTACCGACAAGCTGCGAGTTTGTGCAGTACTGTGTTTTGTTGCAGGTTAGCTACGCTCGCGATCGTCCATGTCGGAGGCAACAAAACAGCAGGCTGCGGTAAGCACGGAGCAGGTGCAGAAGGCGAAGCAGAAGGCGAAAACCTCCGTGACATCTTTCTTGAAGGACTTGGCTGCGGGTGGTGTTGCGGGAGCGATCAGCAAAACGGCGGTGGCACCGATCGAGCGTGTGAAGCTGCTGTTGCAGATTTCGTTGAGCAACCCGCAAATAAAGCCAGAGGACCGTTATAATGGAATTTTCGATACTTTCCGGCGTGTCGTGCGAGAGCAGGGCTTTTGGTCGCTATGGCGTGGGAACATGGCGAACGTACTGCGCTACTTCCCGACACAGGCGTTGAACTTTGCTTTCAAGGACACGTACAAGCAAATGTTCTTGGCCGGCGTAGATAAGGACAAACAGTTCTGGCGTTTCTTTATGGGTAACCTGGCTAGTGGCGGAGCTGCTGGCGCCACCTCGCTTCTCGTTGTGTACCCGCTGGACTTTGCGCGAACGCGCCTGGCTGCTGACGTCGGCAAGGGGAAGGATCGAGCATTCACCGGCCTTGGTGACTGCATCATGAAGATCTACCGGAGCGATGGCCTTCGGGGACTCTATCAAGGATTCGGCGTAAGTATTCAAGGCATTATTGTGTACCGGGCGGCATTCTTTGGCTTCTTCGACACTGCCAAGGCCTTGCTGCTGAAGGATCCACGCAACGCGCCTGTGTGGCAGTCCTGGCTCATTGCGCAGACCGTCACCACCGTGGCCGGTATTATCAGTTATCCCTTCGACACTGTTCGCCGTCGGATGATGATGCAGAGCGGTCGCGTAGGCCAGCGCGAATACACCGGCACGCTGGACTGCTGGGCGAAGATCATCAAGAATGAAGGCACTAGCGCCCTCTTCCGAGGTGCATTCTCGAATGTTATCCGAGGCACGGGCGGCGCCTTTGTTCTGGTGCTCTACGATGAGTTCAAGAAAATCATCAACCCAACAGCTGTGATGTACAAGTAAGCAAGCTCTGACGTCAAGGGTGGATGCACCAAAGGCCAGATGTTTCCGCCTTCGTAACTGCTGCGATGCAAGCGGCGTAACGCCGGCGCTTGAAAGCGCAGCTAGACGGGGTGGCATATGCGAGATGAACTGTCCTGGTTGTAAACGTAAATTTGGTTTAAATTCAAACCTAGGAATCGCCGACGTTGCCTTCGAGCGCTTTTCATTGCGAGCACCGCATTGCGTCCGGAAGAGGTACTCCGTACCACACGCTTTCTCTGAGAACGCAATCCGTGGTGCATCATACCAGCAGACTAGCCACACCAAACTTTGGCAAGTTTGGAAAAGCGATCTCTAGCCGTTAGACCTGGTTGCCTGTCCGCAACAGGTTCTTGTGCGCCAGCTGCACCATACCTGTTGTCTTTGGGCAAGCGCTTGACGCTCCCGCGACGCTGCTGGCACTTGAGCGGAAAACCATAGCGTACACAAGGGCGTTTTATCAGGTCAGCGCAGTGCATCGCAACTACTATCCGGCGCAGGGCAGGCTCCCAGAAATCCTCGTGAAGCATGAACGCCTCCGAGTAGACTATTGGTTCCGGAGGACAGGCTCACGTCCCTAGAACGGTGCTTGGGTTTCTGTTGCGTGAACTTGAAATGTCGCTGATGACTTTGTGTGATAACAGCGCGCAGAAGCAGGTACCAGATGCATAACCTCATGCATAGAGTCGTTTTGCGCTGGAGTTCATCCATCATTCAAGCAGCAGCAGCAGCAGCAGCTGCTGCTGCTCTTCTGGCTAGCCCCAGGCAACAGCGCTTGCGTACGACTCCGCGTAGGAAACGTTCTCTTCAGTTTGATTTGGCTTACAGCACCTGAGACACCTGCCATTGCGCCATAAATGTGTCGAAGCGCCGTCTCAGCCCCTGTTCTCCAAAGATTTCTACCTGGTGCAGCACTCGACTGAACCACAGACGGCGTCAGCACGCCTGCGGAAAAGCTGTCTGATCTTCCTTCGGTGCCTCGCACACCCGCTCTTCATCCAATACCGATCCAGACTCGCCAACCGTCGCTAGTTGTAGTCGAACAGCACCGAAAGATGGAAAAACACGGCATGAAGCGCACAAGTCAATGACTCCGTTCATGTGTGCTGTCTGGCGACAGGCTAGCATCGACGTGCTGCTCCCGGAACCTCTGGATGCTGCACTGGACATCGGGTTTCGAATCCATCGCTCCCGCAATCCGATACGCATCCTTTCCAAAGCATAAGAGCACGACGCCTTGCCAGGATGCTGTTCAGCATTGCCCAAAAGCAAAGACAACTGACCCAGCATTACCTTTGCATATCACCAACGAATACGCCTCATATCATCGAACGAGACACGCTCGATGACCGCACCATATCCGTACGATACAGTCAGGGAATCGTCTCGATATCATCGAACCAGACGCGCTCGATTACCGCACAGTTCGGAGCGGCTTCCGCTGCATCACGGTGGTCTCTGGGGTGGCCCTCCGAGTCGCTCGGTTCAGGTGTTCGCGCTCGATCGATCGGGACCTCGTCAGTCAGCAGCTTATAGCGTCGCTCGTCGCAGCCGTATGGACGTGTTCGCAGACAAATCAGGGTGTGCAGGGGAATATCGACGTACGGCACCTGCTCCTGCTTGAGGCCCTTGAAGAAAGCATAGATACTCCGAATAATCGCATTGTGAGCAACAATAAGAAGAGGTTTGGTTTGACGTTCAATTTCCAGAATTATCGGTTCGACTCGATGGATCACATCAAGATACGATTCTCCGCTGGGATACCGATAGCGGAGCTTGTCGGCCTTGCGCGCCTCCCAGACATCGGGAAGCTCGCGTTTGATCTGCTCATAGGTCATGCCTTCGCAGATACCCGCGTTGATTTCGTTCAGCGAGCGCCAGCAGATGCAGATATCGGTGGGAATGTGACGCACTGTGAGCCAAGTGCGTCGCAACTGAGAGCACCAGACCGTGGGCAGCGGTCTGCCTTGGAACTCTCGTTGGAGGAATTCACTGAGTCGCTTGGCGTACGCTTCACCACGACGCGTGATCGGTGGATCACCGCCAAGTTGTCCGGTGACATTCCACTCGCTCTCTCCGTGTCGGGAGAGGTAGATCAGACGCGGAACGATATGCACGCTGGTGAGGTAGGAGACAATTTTGCTCTGGAGGTGACCTTTGAGATTATACAATACAAACTTCTTGCCGCCGTCAATGATTTTGACGTAGCTGCACCCCTCGTCCTCGGTGATCGTCTCATTGGCGCGTTCGTAGTTTCTCAGACGATTCTTAAAGTCGCGGACCGCGTAGTCAGCATCTCGGTCGCGATAATCCGGTGAATTCAGTTTCGTAGCGAGAATATTCTGTTCTACAATGCGTTCATCGTTCACAATGGACTCAAGAAAGAGGACTCGGATACCCAGATTTTCGAGGTACTCCCGGACAAAACGTCGGCGCATTTTGGTACTGTTGGTGGCGTCGTAGATGCCCACTTGGCCGTTCTCACCGAAAAGCCACTGGTTCATCTCATGGAGTGTACGGCGGGCAAACTCCCAGCGCAAGCGCATGCCCTCATCGTTTTCGGGCGAGAAGAAAGATGCATCGCAATCGCTGCTCTTCATGAGGCGGCGTCGCATGACGCCCACGTTAAAGATCGCTGTACGGTGACCGAGCCAGTTCAGATACCTCGCAACCTGTTGGGCGATATGGGACTTGCCCCTGGCAGGTAGCCCTGCCATCACAATCACCAGTTTGCGAACCATGTACTTTGTTTGGCCGGCTGGTTGCGCCATTTCTGGAAGGTCGAGTGCGCTGGAAACGCGCTTTGCCTGAGACTCGATGCGACGAAGAGTCGAAGACGCTGCTAGGACCTCGTCGCCTGTTCCGGAGTGCATCGATCCAGCGGCGGCCTGCGCTTCCACCAAGGTACACTGCTCTTGCTCTTGGTGTTCGTGGTGCTGTTGCTCTCGTTCAGGTACGTGGCGAGAATCGGGCGGTAGCGCACGGGATGTAGCCAGGTGCTGTGGCGGTTCACACGAGGCACCTGGGTCAATGTCCGCGAGACGATTCCCGGTGCCGGTGCCCTCGCCCTCGCCGCTATACGCAAGTGTTCGATGGTATTGCGGTCGAGCCGCACGGTGCCGGTCAATGAAGGCATCTTGGATACCGCCGTAGGCCTCAGAGGAGTTGTCGGCGTCGAAGTCTACAGCCAATGGGAATGATTCCTCAGCGAGCACCGGCGTTCGCTCGGTTTCCACCCGTCCACCGCCTGCAAGCAATGACGAATCTGCGCTCACAGCGTCTTCCTCGCGCTCGTTAGAAAAGCTTCTGGGACTCGGAGCAGCAGCGAGCGGTGCCAAAGACGGCGACTCTGAGCCGACGTTCCAGCGCGAGCGCCAACCCGCTGCACTCGTGTCATATTGAGACGTTGGAAAAGCACCAGATGCTTCAGCAGTTTGGTCTCCAGTTCCGCTGCCTGAGGGATTTGTTTGCTGCGCAGGCGAGAGCGGTGTCCAATGCGTGGCGGGTGCACCCTCGGCAGCTGGGGGCTCTGCTTTCTTGGCCGGCTCCGAAGCCACGGTGTTTCGCTCGACGTGTGTCTCAGGGACAACACCTGGTGGAGACGGTTCCGAGGCCACCCTTTGCAAGTCTAACTGTTCTAAACAAGAACTTGCGGACGCTACGGCCCCCTGCTCTGGCGCTGTGGCAAGCGTACCGCTGAACGAGCGAGCGTTCCCGGCAGCAGCGTCCGTCGACGCTTCCGTTAGCGTTCGTTCCTCCCCAGTATGTTTTTGGCGTCTGGATAATTCACTCTGGATCTCAGCAACGAAAGCAAGCGAGTCATTATAGGAGACTATGCGTTTCATGATAGCCCCAGCGGGGAAGCGCGAGACCCGCAACCTCTGTTCCAGCCGTGCGCTACTCCCATAAAAACGCTGCCTTGTTTGACTGATGCGCAGGCCAGACAACGTCATGCGAAGCGCTCGCCTGACTGCGCTACTCGAAGGGTCGCTCCCCCGAACTATTTCATACCTGCTTCTGACAGAAAGACTGCTTGAGAAGTGGTGAGGTGTCATGAAACTTGGAGCGGAGCGGTGGTTTCATCCCTGGATGCCGTCAGCATTCGCGCCTGTGGAAGGGGTCAGGTTCGCTGCATGATCGACCTCACACCATAAAATACGGTTGCCTTTGCAGCCTTTCCAAGCCTGGACCAAGCCAGCGTCCTGCGCATTTGGAAAGAAGGTCTTCAGATCGAGCCGGTGTCAGAAACGGCTCGGAAATACTGCGCTGTCTCCGTTCGGGAACTGTGAATAAGCATGCGGCGCGCTGCAGCAAGTATCAGCACAGCGCGTAGCATTGCATGAGGTCTCTTGTTAGGATCGACCAAGCTTCCATGCCCAAAAGGAAAAAAAGCTAGTCTGGAGCTTTTGACATGCACATGCATTCGCAGAGGAACGGAAAGAAGGCCGCCTTTCGCCAGACTGGCGCCACCAAGTGCCCCGAGCTGCAGCATCTCGTTTGATGCATCCTTGCCGGAGTGCACGTGAAGAGACCGAACACAGAGAGCGCTGGAATATCGAGCACCAGTACGGTTCAGTGAGCGTCGTAGCAGGTACTCACGCCGGGCTCGGTATCCGGATCATCATATCGACATAGCGTGATCCCCAGAGACGAGTCGGGGTCGCACTTCGTGCAGTTCAGAGCATGCGTAATAACGTGGTGGCTGCTTCTCTAGACGTCGATTACCCTAGTGTACTCGGGGTCTCTGGTGCGATTCCATCATCCGAGAACAATCCAGAGACCCAGCCTCTGTGCGCCTTCATACCGGAAATGTTGCCCCTTTGTAGGGCGGGACTGCGCTTTGCTGCATTGCAGCCTCAGCGGCAGGCGTTTGCGATAAACCTGGTATCTGTAGCAGGGTTGCTGGCGCCTTCACGCCTTGATTCTATAGGGGAAAGCACGCTAGGTTGTTGGCGTTGTGGTTTCGGTATTCGTGTTCGGCGCACGAAGCGGCTGCCAAGGAAACGGGTTTCAGGTCGCAGTTGACGTCAGCGTTGGCGTGCTCGCGACTAGTCCCGCGAAACGCACAGGGAAGAGAACGCTGTGTTTCTCGTTTTTCCCGGGATATGGCTTTATCTTTCTGGATAGTCACGGTTTGGTTGCTCCTTTTTCTGTCGATAATTGAAAGTGCATGCGGATCGATCCTCGAGGAGACGCTTCTGTTTGGAAACGCTGCCGCACAGGAAGGGCGCAGGTGTTGCTGGCTGCTTCGCGACGGCGCCCTAACAGTAACGCCACATCGCGAGGAACACGCTGCGCAAGCAGAGCTGCGGATTTATGGGACGCTTTCGAGACTTGTATCTAATAAGCAGAAACCCCTGGCACCTGAGGAGGTCGAGTTTATCTTTTATCCTTCGACCCAGCGCGAGTATGTAGGGTATCACGCGCCGAACGGAGGCTCGACCGTTCAGTACTGTTGTCCGCTGGAGGCAGACGCAGAATTGGATGCCTCGACTCCACCAGGGTGTAATGCAGCTACCGGAGGACACGTGTTGGTGGCCACGGCAGTCGCAACACCGCTCACATTACCGCAACGCAAGATGCGGACAGACTGGCACCGGGGAGCGCTCCTGCGCGCACGTGCACGACATGGCGCACCTGCTGGGCCCTCTGAAGCGCAAACGAATCGAAAGCAACATCGAGAAAACGTTCCCCAAGGCAAACAAAGCATCGATCGGGGTCGGCCGTGCATCTGCGGGGCACAGCAACGTATGGAATGGTTACGGGACGAGGCTAGCGATCCGATGCAGCAGCGAGCGCTTCATGATGCAGTGCAACTGAACGCTCAGGAGCAAGGGCAGGAGCATGAGGAGCTAATGAAGCCCCGGATGCCATTGGATTTGAGCGCTGTTGTTGGACAGCGAGCAGTGGAGCGCATCGCAGGTGTTTGGCATCGACTCCGATACCGATCAGCGGCACAGGAGACACTGGAATGCGTCGAACGGGGGCTCGCCACAGTTCGTGTCTCGCGTGACGCAGCTTTGGCACTGGCGGTACCCATTTCCATGGAAAGAGGTAGTTCCGGGGTCGCGCTTGATACCGCCGAGGCAAAGCCAACAGTTCCAGCTGCCGCCCCAGGACGCCAGCAGCAGCAAACAGAGCGACAAGCGCATCATGATCAGAGAAACGGCGTTCAATTTGAATACTTGAGGCATACAGAGACTCGCGATGTACAGGCACACGAGCAGGCGCCCTTCAGAGTTATTCCTGTGTTGCAGCAGCGAAAGCAACTGAATCAGACAACCGCCACGCCCGTTTACCGCTATCGATTGACGCTGCCGCGGTCCAGTTCGCGCATGGATTTCGGAGTGCTCATTTTCCCGGTCCGAGAGAGCGGCATTCACGAGCTATTGGTGGCCTCGTGTACTGGTACGAATATCAGCATGCACCTCGTTGCCGAATGGCAGAGTGCACACGGCTACCTGGCAGCGGAGCTCTATCCGCTACTCCCATTCTACGGCTGGATGACAGTGCTTTATGTAGCAGCCGGGGCTGTGTGGATACTCGCCTGCTACGTCCAGCTAGGTCGTCTCTACACTGCTCAGCATGTGACCACGTTCCTGCTAGTTCTCGGCCTGTTCGAGTCTTTTCTTCATTTTCAGGCATATCACTGGGCGAATCAATCAGGCAAGCGTATCTGTTGTCCACCGGGTGGCCTCGTCATGATCGGAGATTTCGTTGCAACCGTCCGTAGCACCCTGACCCGCGTACTCGTGCTTGCAGCGAGCATGGGTTTGCTCCTGCTCTCTCCGAGACTGATGCCCCCGAAAGCACTGCTCCTGAAATGGTTCGCTCTCGTGTATACGTTGAGCGCTGGCTCCCTGGAAATGCTCGAAACGGTATCACAGGGTCGTCGATCTGGCTTGATGGTCGTCGTGCCGGTCTCAGTACTCGTGTCAATCCTCGAAACACTTTTCTATTTCTGGATGTTGTTCGCCCTGCGCCAGACCTGGATTGCCCTCCAGCGCCGCGATTTGTCTGAAAAACGTGGACGTTTTCGCATCTTTATCGTCATGCTTGTCGCCTATGCTTGTTCGGTTTTGGCGTACGTGGGATTCGCGTTTGCTTTTCTCTGGAAAGGGGCAAATGGTCGAGGAGGTATCACTGATGCAAATTGGCATCTTTTCTGGTTGGTTGGACCCTACCCCGGTCTCGGTACAGGGGCACTCGGTGATACCGCTTCCGTCATGATACTGGCTGCCATCATGTGGATCTGGTTCCCCACAAGCACCCGACACGAGGAGCTGCTCGGTACCGGAGGCACACCGACTACACCTAATCAGCTGATGACGCTTCCCGCGAAGTCGTCGGCTCTACGGAGAGCGTCTGGAGAGCGTCTCGAATCCCGTTTCGAGCTGGACGAAGAAAACGACTAGGACGCGGGAGACGACTGGCATCGATCACGATTGCGACGCTGCCGAAGCTGCTGCGGTTCATAGAGCGAGATCCCTGCGATTACGTAAACAGCGGTATACCGATGTATAGGCATAGCGCGCACCGGGAGCTTGTGTGTTCGCGATCCGCCTCAGGTTCATGAGGACCGACATTGATCCCCAGCTAGCTGCTGCGGTGCCTTGCCGAGCGTATCTTGTCGGAGCAGCAGGACGCTGATGTGCCTGGCTTCTGGATGTCAGTATCCGGCACTTGATCAGCAGATCCTTTATCAGACGAAGTGATTCTATATTATTGAAAAATCGACGAGCTGGAGCCCATGACATGAATCGAGACCGCATGCACAGTCCTGCCCGTTCGCTTTGAAGATATCGCTCGTCAGAGGTCGGAGCAGCTATCAAAGTATATGCATAAGACTATCTCCTCGTCAATAGGTTCCGTCGCTCACGTTGTTTAGGCTCAATGAAGCGAAAACGTTTCGCAACTATCGGGTGCAAGAATACCCACCCGCAGATGCCTCCCAGTCTTTTTTCGACGGGCCTCTTGGCATCGGCTTCAGTTTCTCCTTGAATACTTCGAGCTTCAGAGGCTACACTACAAAGACGGAACGCGTCAGCTCTGCGGGTCTGGTCGACAGCACTGCACATCGTCTGGTATTCATGGAGATGTTGAAGGATCGGTTTACGAACTCTTTGCGATTTGTTGCCGCTGGTGGAACTCACCGTTGCAAGGGTTGTGTAGAGCTCGCGCCTGCTGTGCTTCGACAGTCTCGTCTTCGTCCCGCTGGGCAAATACGTTTTCTCGACGATCTCCCCTCTTCTCCTTCTCCTTCTCCTTCTCCTTCGTCGCTTGCGCTTCTTCGCTCGATGGTCGGTGAGAAGAGGATTTTTCCGTTTCTCTTCCAGGCGGCTGGCGATGACGGCCCTCGTGTATCCCCGACTTTCATGTCCATTACTTTCACGTGGATTCCCTTATTTCTTCAAAATGAATGCATTTTTTATGCCGCTAGGTTGGGATGTTCCCGAAGAAGACCGGGGTTTGCGCAAGAAAGCTGACCTGTGCTCCCGATTTGTCGCTGTGTGCAGAACGCTTCTGCGATTCCTCCAGTGCAGCAATCATTACGTTGCATGATAAAAAACACTCCCTTGCTGAGGTTGAATCACGCACCGTACGGAGTAATGAAAAGCAACTCGACCCCGATATCATCGGCAAAAGCCCTAACGCAAAGGGAATGGTAACATGCAACATTGTCCATTGGAAGCACGTCGCCAGACGTCAGGGAGAGGTCACCCGTGAATCGACCAGGTCGGTGCTGTTGTGTGCGCCTTCTCTAGGAGCGAACGTGATTCTGCCACCCGGGCCCACTCCAGATAAATCCGATGAGGATATCATCGCTCTCTTCGAGCTTCAACAGACGTACAATGAGCGCCCTGCTCCGCGAATACCCATATACGCACCGCCCGTTTCACCCGAAGCAAGTCTCATCGACAGAAAAAACACACCAGCGTCACTCGGCTTCATATCGATAGCGACTCTCCATGAACGCTGTCGTTGCGATTTCAGTGGATGTTGGTCGTGCGTGAAGCTGGACTTTTCTGCGACGGTATCCCAGTGATTTCAGGACCACACGAACAAGCTGTTGAGAAACAGAGATGCCCGTGGCGGCCTCTATCGTCGCTTTTGCTTTCCGTAACGTAAACGAGGGGTCGTTTTCTACCATTTCCCGCAAGCGCGCTTTGAGAATATCGGTTTTAGGTGCAGAGCGCTTGTACTTCTTCCTTTCAGCGTTCCTCAACCATCTGAGTACCGTGGTATGACTAACTTGAAGGAGAGATGCAGTCTTCCTTGAACTTTTCAGTAAAGAATATATCCTCCAGGCAATTCTTCTACGATCTACAGGGTACATTCCATAGTGACTTTGTTCGCTTGCTACACACCCCAGCAGCCGTGAAACGAATCTGGGTTGAAATACGATAAACAACGTCATCATGAACGACGATGCGCGTTTTCATAGTGTACGAGCGATGCTTCGAAACACGGATACTTCGGATGTGCGGTGATTCTCGGCAACAATGACAACGCATGTGACGTTGTCAGAGCGCATGCTGTCGCAGACCTCAAAAAAGAACTTGATTCTGGTTAGAGCAAGCTCCACAACGGTGTTGCAGCAGAGCTTTTTCGTTCATATGCGCAACAGACACACATCGACACCAAGACAAGACTATGAAAAGCTATGAAACGAATGTACGAGAGGCGAGTTCGGAGGCATCAGCACCAGTCAATCCAGTCGTAACTGCGACAGCGATGCATGCATCCATGAGGAGGTCTTGCTCATCATTATCAACATTCCTGCTCAACATGGGCTTTCATAACGTCTTTACTCGACATGATGGAGCCAGTGCAATGTAAACGCACCAGATGCTGCATCGTCTTGTCTGTTCATGAACGCGTACAAAGCATCGTCGCCGGAAAGCGCCCAGAGGAACGCTGCCGCCCTGGTCGCTTCGTCTCGGAGTTTCTCCTCATTGGTTAGCCATTGCGAAAAGGTTTCCTCATCGCCAATCTCTATCCCACTCGAATACGTTGGTCGATAGAAGTGCGCAATGGTTTCCGCTCGATCCTGAAGCAGCGAAAACAGCTGACGCAGCGCTTCCAACGCCCGCTGATGCAGCGTCTCTGCGTAGACCCAGCGTCTTCGGGTACGTCGGAGGGCACCAACGCCAGGCTCCAAACGCTCTGCGCTCTCGCTCATTGTTGCTTGAATGCGTTTCACCAGGTGCGCGACTCGGATCCAAAGTCGATGTGGATGAAGCTGGTAGAGCGCACTCACGCCAGTCAAGCCGGCAGGCAGTGGCTCTGCTGCACCTAGAGCGGCAATCACCAGCGGACACTCGTCTATCTGTCGCATGACTGCGCCAACGAACTGTTTTAGTGGGGTTGCAAGAGGCGCCTCTAGTTGATCGCGGTACCTGCACGCGTGCTTCAGTCGGCGCCAACACGCAAAGAGCGCGAACCATTGGTTCCCATTTCGAACGAGCCCTTTAGCACCTTCCAATAGCTCTATGAAGCGAACGGCTGTACGCGCAGTCTCACGTTCAAGGCTCGTTGCCTCCATACAAAGTCGCTTACCCTCTGAAGCGGCTTCATCGCACGATGAGGACGCTGCGCAGACAAGCCACGCTCCCGAGTCTGCGTCGAAATAGTTGCGGTGCTCCCGCTGCCATCGGCTAAATGAGAGCACTGCTCTGGAAACTCGCTCCTCTAGCGTTTCCAAGGACGTCTCATCCTCGGACATAAACGTTTCCAGTGCCAGTTGTTGTCGGAGCGAAGGCTGGTGTTCGAAACACCACACTGGTGCGTTTCGGCATCGAGCAGCAGCGCGGGTGCTTCACAACGCCTCTGCCGCTGTTCCCAGTGCGCTCTGTGCGAGCACGTTTCCTACAAGCGACCTGGGGTTCGTCTGACGGAAGACCGGCAAAGCAGAGCGAGGTACGTTTCCAAGCGGAGGTATGCCTGTGGTGTCTGCGCAAGAGCGTGATGTCGTCGAGGCTAGTTCGCGTGAGGCGACGCATTCAGGGTACGTCTTGCGGGCCAGTGGAGAGCTTTCTTCGACCGCCGCTGAGTCGAGTTCCGCTCCGGAGGTACCTCGAACGCCTTCCGGAGCGGCTGGCTGCACCGCACTGCTTTCTGCTACCTTGACACCTACGGGGTCTCGAAGCAACGACTCGGGTAACGCGGAGACCTCGACAAGAAGCGCGCTGGGCACTGCAGTAGGTGTTGTTCGTGTTGCTGGCGCCCCTGCTCGTCCACCTTCTACGACTACGACTGTTACTGCTACTGCTGCTACTGCCGCTACTGCTGCTACTGCTGCTACTGCTGCTACTGCCGCTACTGCTGCTACTGCCGCTACTGCTGCTACTGCCGCTACTGCTGCTACTGCCGCTACTGCTGCTACTGCCGCTACTGCTGCTACTGCTGCTACTGCTGCTACTGCTGCGTCATCGCCTCAGCCGAGCACCTCAGGGTCTGGAGGAGCCCCTGTCACAGAACCGAGTCGCCCGCGCTCGCAGCGTCTCTCGTGGTTCACCATCGCTCGTCGACTCTTATCGCACGGAGGGAAGAAACTCGAACTCGCCAGTTTCTTGAATGCGCTGCTTTTCCTCGGCCTCTTGACCAACTTGCACCTGACATATGTGAATCGAGCGGGCTGTGCCCCGACCCTATTGGAGCAAATGGCTCAGTTCCACCCGGAAGCACGACACGATCCGGCTCTGCTCCTGCGCCGCTACGACCTCGTCCAAGTACAAGTAGTGCCGACGCCACTCCCGCTGCAACACTTTCACAACACCTGGTCTGGCCTGCAGCCACTGTGGGAGCGGTTGTTGCCTCGTCCGCAACGGTACCAGTTCGCTACAGAAAAGGGATTTTTGCTACTAAGTGAACAGGCCAGACGAAGCCACAACATCTCCGAGTTGCATCTGGAGCTGACGACGAAAGATACGTGCTATGGTGCGTCACCATTCATGCGCGGTATTCTCAAGTACATTGTCGGTAGTGAAACCGTCGTTCTGAACGCTTTTGCGTATCTGCTGCAGTATGGCCTCCGACACGGCCACAGTAGTGGTCAGCGGTCGCTCGGCACGGATGGGTACGTGCTCAACGTGCAGAGCGGTGATATCTATAACATCGGTCGGGTATTTATCGGGGAACTATACGCGCGCTCCGCTTACTTTACCGATGTCTTTCTGTTGAAAACGGGCGTGTTACTAACGTCAGCATATGTGATGTTCACCATAGGTGCACTGATCGCGTTTGCGTTACGGGAAGTGCAGTCAAGGATCATGAAGTTAGCACTGGAGATCCAGAATGCTCGGAATCGCACGCCATATGCCGGAGCGCTGTTTAGCAGTTCGATTCATGCGCTGGTGCTGGTTCCGATTATTACAGGTATCCTTTTCTTTCTTTTTGAATTCTTCGATAATCAGCTGCTTGCGTTTTGCGTGCTCGTTGTCGCATGGATTGCGGAGGTGACGGTCATGTTGGGCTGGCGGAGCGGCCTCTCGATCTACATCCTTCCGCGGGCGTTTGCAGCGTACTTGTTAGCATTTCATATTTACTTTTTCTCGTTTCCCCTGGGTTTTAGCTGGTTAGCGCTCTTCACCTGTGCCGCGTTCATGCAGCACACTGTTTTTCTGGTTTTCTCTCGGTTCGAGTCACCGCGGCTTCGCGCTGAGGCAACAACGCAGCGATGAAGAGCGCCCGGGACTAGGACGCAGCGCACTGCATGCTTGGCGATGCGCGGGTACCATGTATAACGTGCTGCGCTCCTTGAAAAGTGTTTCTTGATTCGATGGTTTTGTTTGCAGCTTCATCGGTGCGAATGGCTGCTTGGTTGGCTTGCGACGGGTAATGCACAGCGCTTGCGTGGTGTCTCAGGCAGCTTTACGCTTGGACAACTTGCAAGCATGCCAGAAACGCCAGCACTTGTACCACTTTGGTGCATGCGAGACCACCGTGTGACGGTGCGATTTTGCATTTCGCGTGAGTACGTGCTATAGAGGGCGCGGCGGATGTCTGGCGCTGGACCAGGAACGGGCATTGCTGACGACTCCATCACGCTTTCTGGCGAGCGTATGCAACAATCCTCCTTTCCGTGGTCAGGGTCGATGCCTATATGAGCAATTCGTATTGGTTGCATGGGTAGCGCGAGCGTTTCGTGCTACATGCGCTCGTCGTCCGCTGTGCAGCAGCAGGCAGACGCGTATCCTGGACAACAAATGCGCCGGCCAACCAGACGACGGGCAACGATTCGGTACGGTAAACGAAGCAACTTCAGTCATACCGAGTCCGGGTTGCTTGTGCGTGGGCAAAAGATGACTCTCGTTCCATTCGAGTTCAAACGAGCGTCGTGAATCGCCACTGCCGCAACATCGCTGATGAGTGAAGTACCCGCCGCGCCAGCGTCAGTCTCCGGGGAGGCGCACCAGATCGCGCCTCTTGCTCGGAGTTGGCTTTGGTGGATCTCCCGTGGGCGACAAGTCTGGAGAAATCGCCATCGATCCCGGTGTTGTTGTTATTGCTGTTGTTCTTGTCCCCGTTGCTGTCGTCGGAGGGGGTGCTTGCCGCACAGGCGCCGTACTGGCACCAGTGTGTGGCGTACGCGCACCGGCACGACGCTGGGCGTTCTCGGCGCCGTCCCGAGACGAACTTGGAGTCTCCTTCTTTCCAGGAGCGACGCCCTTCAACCTGAGCTCATAAGCCCGGACTTTGGCCGACACGTCACCGTCGCTTTCGTTCAAGTTCTGTCCATTATGTTTCTCGTGGAGTGCTGTGTAGTGAGCGATTTTCTCCCGAACCGTCCCGGACGAAGTATCGAGAGAATCATTGACGCTTTGTTCGATTGAAGAATTCGCACTCTTACTAACCGTCTCAAAAAACTCCTTCGCGGATCGTACGCTTAAGCTTGAGTTTAAAGTCTGTTGGGACATGGATAGAAGTTTTCAGAGTCTATTGTCAGGTGTGCAGGTTGCGGGAAAAACGAATTTGCTGCGATGCGTGTCTGCGGCCGCAGGCGACGTCACGGCGGGAAAAACGGCTGTTGTCGCTCACGTGCAATGACGATCATGATGATCATGATAATGATGATGGCTATGCCGTCCAGCAAATTCATTGGCATTGCAGCCTTCGGTTTTGAAAGCTTCTACATTCCTTTACTTGTCTGGGCGAATTCCAAGCAAGCATCTGCCTCAAACGGTACCATAAAGAGAAAGCATTTGGATACCTCGCTCTCTCTACGTGAGCTTTGGAGATTCAGCGGGGGCTATTGCATGTTTCCAGCACGCAGCAGCTACGTCATTCGTGTAGCGACTCGGACGCGTCGTGATCGGCGGTTCTATAATTGTACGTACTTACGCCGGTGTACAAAAACACATCTAGATGCATCGATCACTCAACGCAATCCGCATTGCACTGCCACGGTGATCGTAGATATCAACGTAAGTGCGCCTGCATACAAGCACATCTAGATGCATCGATCACTCAACGCAATCCGCATTGCACTGCCACGATGATCGTAGGTAGAAACGTTGGCTCCAAAGCGAAATCCCCTCGTGCTACGATGTTTGTTGGAATAGGATCGAACAGTTCAACGAAACGTTCCAGAATGCGTGGGCGCTTCCAGAGAGAAGGCTGTGGATCTCAGCGCTTCAAGCGGTGCGATCCCGTCGTGCGGTTTTGAAAATGATGCTATTTCCGGCAGCAGCGACTGGATCGATTCAGACGCTTGCTTGGCATCAAGCCGGTCTCGAACGGTCGCTGCACCTTCACCACCAGCACATCCAGCGTCACTGGGGTCATGCTGCGCAGACAGCACTGCCCTACAGAGCCTTGACGAGTATCCGCTGACAGAACGGCGCCCTATCGAGCCAACGCATACCGCAACGGATGATTCGGGAGAGGCGCTGGCTGATGCAGTATGGCGAGAAAGTAGCGTTTTGTCCAAATGTTCTGTACCATGCGCAGATCAGACGCTTCGGATGGACGAATGTATCTGGTTCGTCAACGGACGATCAAACTCGAACGGCGACAGCACGACGTGATTTGCCGACAATTGCTGCATTTTTGAAATGAAAGCCGCTCGTCGGAGCGACGCTGCACCGTTCCATATCGTTATGCGGGAGCGTCTCGTCGGCAGTTGGGAGCTTGTTGTCGTCGGCATATGCCGCTGAGCGCAGGCACGACGACCAAACTGCAAGTTCACGAAGCAGGGTGCGTCATGCCCGCCAACAGCGCCGTCAGGAGCCAAAAGCGTCGAGAAGCAGACGCTGCTTTCAGCTGCTCGCCGGAGATAGCGCTCACCTAGGCTCCACGTTCATGCAGCAGAACTCTCTTACAGCATGGGATACTGTACCGTTGCGACGGTAGCAATGCCAGTGAGTACGTTCGCGTTGCGTTTTCTGTGCTGAAACCAGGTGATTTGCACTGTTCGAAGCGCCCCGTCATCCCAGCATAGGCCAACTGGATGCTGGCACTGCAGATTTCTCCTGAACCGGGTCGACGGAACTTGGATGCAGCGCGCGGTCCACAAGCTGCAGCACGTTTACAGAAGAACAAGGCTCGCGTAGACAATCAACGAACGAGTGCGACCTGCTCACCCTGGGGTATGCTCGATACCGAGCATCGCATCAGCGTTTGTCCAGGGGTACCCCATACCGCCAGACACATCCGTATCGTGAACGCGATGACAAAGTCGCGTATGACCTCAAATGGACTCGGCGACTTTGGACTTGTGAACGAGGTCAGCCAAGTTGTCGAGGAAGAGACTCGGCGTCAGGAGATGCGTACCGCCTATGTAGACGTCGAGGTTCGGCATCTGCCGTGCGAACGTAGCCGCTATCCGACACTCTGTGCGCGTAAGGCCGCCAATAAAAAAGATCATCAGCACATCCTGGGATGGTGCACTCGACTGGGTGCTCACGGGGCGTGCTTCCACCAACGCACTCGTCGACGAAGCAGCGCAGTTGCGGCATGCATCATGTTCGCTCGAAGCCGAACGAATCTCCATAGCGGACTGAGAGACATGGGCGCCTGTCGGGAGCAGCGCATCCTGCTCAAGGACGCTACCTATCGACTGTAATGGGCTCGGCTGTCCGCTGCGTACTGGAGGCGTCCTCATTTGCAGTCCAGACGGGAGATATTCTTGGTACCGTTGCGTTCTGGTGTGTGTGGTTGAGGGCGCCGCTGTCGTCGACATGAAGGCACGGGCTGCCGTCGACGTGCTCGTCGAGGTAGCGTCTGCTCCTGGACTCGAGTCGATCGAAGGCGACACTGGGTTTTCAGATGTGTTTCCTGCGGCTGCACAGCGACCGAGAATCTCGAGCAACAGCGGTGCACCATCACGAGCTCGTCGCTGTCTTTTGATTGGTTCTGCACTGTGACGCTCTGCCCGCAGGCACTCGATAAAGGCACGAAGGCTGGCTCGACCGCGGTCGTCGATCTGGGCTTTGGCCATCCAGCGTACCAGCAGGTTCGCGTCTGCACCGCGGCACGCTACCCAGAGGAGGATAAGACGCAACTTGGCGGAGGGTTCAACGTTGGGCTGTTGGAGCAGGGCCTCAACTTGTTGCTGCTGCTCTGCGCGTCGTACTTTTTTGCCGCTCCGGGGATCCTTGCCTGTCACCAGAATCGCCTCGAGTTGTACGATACTCGCCATGTAGCGTGACTGGTACAAGGCGGTGCATTTTTCAAGCTGATCCAGGTGGAAGCTGAGTCGTTCGACCACTCGCTGATATTCGACTACAGACTTGTCACCGAGAGTCGCGTTGGCTGACCCCTCGTTTCGAGGTCTGGAGCGAGCACTGCCCAGCGCGAACTCGCGCTGACTCGACTGACTGGCGTGTCCAGTCTCTATGAGAAACCTGTCCAGTTCAACATGTGCACTCGATGCTGCCTCGTGGATATCGAGATAGCGCAAACGCAGCCACGTTGGATCGTCAGGCGTATTCAAAGTCAGCGGTATGCTCCCGATCGACGTTGTCTTGAACAAACTACGCTGCGGCTTGACCACAATACTCGTTGGATGACTATCGACCGGAACCGGGAACATGTCGTGCAAGAAGGCATCGTACGCGAGATCATGTCGCAGTGGTGTCAGCGGGTCCGTCGCTCGATCAATGAGCACGAGACGGACGCTGCGGCGACGATACCGGCTGCGAGAAGTACCAGTACCTGCTGCTCGCAGCTCGTCTGACGGTGCTTCTGTACAAGCGCTTGGTACAGAAGCCGTAACGTAGACGGCTTCAGCGGTAGACCGGGACGTTTCCGCGTTCATAGCCGCACGAAGCGCGTCCGCAATACCCATGGCGACGCTGCTGGCAATATGGGTGGTATGGATCTCAATCTTTGGCAGCTCAAGCCCGAGGATTTGCAATACCGAGGCGAGCTGATCACCCAGTTGCTTGCATGCCCGCTTCCATTGGGTACTCGAGTCGCCTTGCTCCGGCCTGTTACCGGATGGTCCGGTGTTCCGACCGTAGAACGTTCCAAAAAGCTCCGGCAGCTCGAAAGAGAACGCGTAGTCATCGATTGGGACTAGGTCGGCATGGAGCTCCCTAACTTGCAAACTGGCGTGCATCCCGCCTAGACTTGTTCGGACTACATCGAGCAACGGACTCGTTATCGACCGGATAGCCAAGAGCAATACGTCGAAACGGCGTTGGTGTCGAGTCGACGTTGGTGTTGGCGTCGATGATGAGGCTCGCGGTGAGAGCCCTGTGCACACCTGTGCGACCTGTGCGAGCGAGGTATCGTCCCCAGTAACCAGGAAGATGGTGTTCGTTCGCGACGGCAGGTTCTTCAGCTGTGCCGCTTCTTCGAGGGACTCAACGCCAGTGATCCCGTGGTCAGCAAGATCCGATAAACGGCAGACAGCGGCGAGGATATGTGTGCAACGTGCATCCAAAACGAGCGTTTCCCAGCAGCCGTGTCGCGGGCGGATACTCCCGAACGTGGCCCCAACGAAGCGCATACGCAGAGCCTCTCTCAGACTGGGAGTCGATCGTAGGGTCTGTGAGACGCCGGGCGTCTCTGGTGGACGCTTCGGACCAGTGCTACGCTGCGGTGGTATGGAGTGCTTGTCGGGGGCCGTGCCACCACCGCCACCGCCAACGGTGCCACAGGCACTGGAAAGCGCAGCGATGGACAGGGTTGTTCGCTTTTCGAGCTCTGTTTCTTCATCGTCTGCTCTCTGAAGCCTCCGTTTGGCATTGTTTCGCTGCCGCTGACGACGTCGGTAGACGTAGTAGAGCGCCCCGAGTACGGCTGCCAAACCAAGGACGACGCTGGCAACCACACCGCCGATGACACCAGCGTTGCTGCTGCTGCTAGAGGATGAAGATCCCTGCTGCTGCTGCTGCGAGGACGACGACGACGACGGTGCTGGTTCCGCTGTAGGAGCAACTTCTGCTACGTCTATCGTCCCGCTGGGGCAAGTCGCCAGTATGCCGGTATCGAACGTGAGTCTACCACCACACACATACGACTGCAAACGAGCGGATGCGAGCGCTGTACCGTTCGCGCTTGCGTACGGACTCGAGTCCGTAACGAGACTGTAGTAGGACGCGTAGACGGAGCCCGCTCGCACGCCCACAAGCCACGTCGTTTGGAAGCCGAGGCGAGTATCTAATGCCGACCGAATCACAACATCTATAGCACCAGCGTAATCGCTCAGGTTCATCGCTGGGAAATAGAGAGTATAGGCGAGACGAATGCCGTGCGTCTCGTTCACCGGGGTGATCCATGCGGGTGACGGTTCCACTGAGGGCACAGGATTGATGCTCTGCGGAGATGCAGCCGGTGTTGCCGCTGAAACCTGCACGGTACCGTCTACGGTCCAGTTCTGGAAAAGCAGTGGGCTATCGCCGGAGGCAAACAATCCTATGGTTCCGGAGAGCATTGCGTCTGTAGCTGTATCCACAAGGGTGCCCCATGGACTCCAACCGTTCAGACTCGCCTGGAATCCGCGTCCAATGGCGGTAAGTGTTAGGATGAAGGAGTCGCTGGCGTTCAGGCTCGGAACACTGGTGGCATTCGATGTCGCGAGCGTACGCCCCTGAAAGCCGGGTCGTAGTCTTTCCAGAGTCAGTGTCTGATTCGGACCCGTCCAAAGCAGCAGATAAAAATCGCTCACATCCCGTGCACGTGCAACGATACCCACAGTACTACTGTTGGCCGAAGCGTTAACAGCGGCTGTCACGGTGTAGTCGGTCCAGTGCGCTATAGCGGTGCTGTTAACAAACAGCGCAAGGGCACCTTCGAAATCTGTTGACTCCAGGATCGTCGTGTTCGATGTTGCGTTTCCACTGCCCGCAGGCCCAGGCTCGTATAGTAACGTTCCATCGCTGAGAAGCGACCAGCTCGTTTCAGCAGACGCAGACGAACCCTCGCTCAGCACAAGGTACGAGCGGAGGCTCTCGAACGGCAGACTGCATGGACACGCACTGAAATTGAACGAATCGAGAGAGAAAAGCTCTGATACTTGAACCGCCTGGCGCTCTAGATCAAGAATCAGCGCTCCAGCCAACTCAACGGATACAAGTGCAAGCAACAAACAAAAGAGAATAGCTACCCAGCCACGACACCAGCGTCGCATAGGAGGCCAATGTGCATGAGTTGCCAACAAGCCTCGTGTTGGTTGCCTCCTATGTGAGCGTTACCGCTGTCGCTCTCGTCACCAGGGTAACGAATGAGCCAGAAGGACGACACTTGGCATATGCGACTTGCGTCCACGCTAAACACCGTTACCTGAGCGACGACGCATCCAAAGCAACGGTGCTTTCCCCGAGGGATAGGTACGCTTTGCTCAGCAGCAGCGCGTAACGGACGCGTTCTAGGGGCGCGCGGCACAACGATCCGCATCGGGGCCATTTTCGCTCTGGAGGGCGCACCCCAGGCTCGACGTCGATTCTGTTCCACCTCTCCTAGTACCTCAGTGGTGTGTAGCAAGCGAACAAAGTCACTATGGAATGTACCCTGTAGATCGTAGAAGAATTGCCTGGAGGATATATTCTTTACTGAAAAGTTCAAGGAAGACTGCATCTCTCCTTCAGGTTAGTCATACCACGGTACTTAGATGGTTGAGGAACGCTGAAAGGAAGAAGTACAAGCGCTCTGCACCTAAAACCGATATTCTCAAAGCGCGCTTGCGGGAAATGGTAGAAAACGACCCCTCGTTTACGTTACGGAAAGCAAAAGCGACGATAGAGGCCGCCACGGGCATCTCTGTTTCTCAACAGCTTGTTCGTGTGGTCCTGAAATCACTGGGATACCGTCGCAGAAAAGTCCAGCTTCACGCACGACCAACATCCACTGAAATCGCAACGACAGCGTTCATGGAGAGTCGCTATCGATATGAAGCCGAGTGACGCTGGTGTGTTTTTTCTGTCGATGAGACTTGCTTCGGGTGAAACGGGCGGTGCGTATATGGGTATTCGCGGAGCAGGGCGCTCATTGTACGTCTGTTGAAGCTCGAAGAGAGCGATGATATCCTCATCGGATTTATCTGGAGTGGGCCCGGGTGGCAGAATCACGTTCGCTCCTAGAGAAGGCGCACACAACAGCACCGACCTGGTCGATTCACTGGTGACCTCTCCCTGACGTCTGGCGACGTGCTTCCAATGGACAATGTTGCATGTTACCATTCCCTTTGCGTTAGGGCTTTTGCCGATGATATCGGGGTCGAGTTGCTTTTCATTACTCCGTACGGTGCGTGATTCAACCTCAGCAAGGGAGTGTTTTTTATCATGCAACGTAATGATTGCTGCACTGGAGGAATCGCAGAAGCGTTCTGCACACAGCGACAAACCGGGAGCACAGGTCAGCTTTCTTGCGCAAACCCCGGTCTTCTTCGGGAACATCTCAACCTAGCGGCATAAAAAATGCATTCATTTTGAAGAAATAAGGGAATCCACGTGAAAGTAATGGACATGAAAGTCGGGGATACACGAGGGCCGTCATCGCCAGCCGCCTGGAAGAGAAACGGAAAAATCCTCTTCTCACCGAACATCGAGCGAAGAAGCGCAAGCGACGAAGAAGAAGGAGAAGGAGAAGAGGGGAGATCGTCGAGAAAACGTATTTGCCCAGCGGGACGAAGACGAGACTGTCGAAGCACAGCAGGCGCGAGCTCTACACAACCCTTGCAACGGTGAGTTCCACCAGCGGCAACAAATCGCAAAGAGTTCGTAAACCGATCCTTCAACATCTCCATGAATACCAGACGATGTGCAGTGCTGTCGACCAGACCCGCAGAGCTGACGCGTTCCATCTTTGTAGTGTAGCCTCTGAAGCTCGAAGTATTCAAGGAGAAACTGAAGCCGATGCCAAGAGGCCCGTCGAAAAAAGACTGAGAGGCTTCAGAGGATATATACACGCCCCATGATAGTGCAAAGAACTGCGTTTCATTGAACACGCGCTGACGCGAGTACAGTTTGGTTGCGCTTGTACTTGCGGTAACGCTACGTCTCGAAAAGCGCGCATTAACCTCACAGATGCTTTTCTTGCACTTCCAATGAGCGAACACTATCGAAACAGTCTGCGTTGGTGCATAGGACTACACCGAAGTTTGTTGTCGTGGCCGCAGAAACGGCCAGGTTGCCAACGCACTGGGTTGCGGTCTCCAGTGACCGGGACGCACAAAGCACCGGTTACTGCTCACTGGAAAACGCGGGATCATGAACGTGCCGTAAAGCATACTGCGTCTTTGTGGGCCGGCGGACAAAAACGGTTTCCCTGGCGCGGAGACTTTGACGTCTTGGCTCCATGCGTGCCGCTACTTCGTTTTCCCAGTTCGAAACGACAGCTTGTAGCGAGTAGACACGACGAGGCTGGAAGCGAGCACGCCCCTGCGGACCAGCACAAGTGCGAGCACATCGCCACCGTATCGTTGGAAGGAGCGCTTGCAAAAGACCCTGTCTCCACGGGCGTCTATGCCGCAGTGCAGGACCCGGAGCGCTCCACCAGCACAGAGCATACGCAGCGTGCTCCCGCGTCACCGAGCGGCACGTCGCGGAAACGACCACGGAATATGACACCATATCGACCGGTGCGCTCAGAAGTGGACTACCGAGCACTCGTCGACGACGAGCTACCCCGTATCGTCAAGGGGCTCGGTCTTGGGCCGACGGCAGTGCTCGCGCTGGATCCGCAACATCCTGGACCGACTGAACAAGCCAAAAATGCATACCTTTCGTGGCTAACCGCTGGGTATCACGGCAGTATGGAGTACATGGCCCGGACGGATCGCATACGGCGGGCTTTGAACTACGAACAAATCCTGCCTGGTGTTCGAGCGATCGTTGTAACGACACTGTTCTACTGGCCGGGCAAGTCGGGGTTCACCGCACCCGCAGACGCCGCAACACCGAACCGAGGCACCGTCTCCTGCTACGCGTGGGGTCAGGACTACCACCGCACGCTGGGGCAAAAGCTGAAGCAGCTCGCAGAGGAGATTCATGCATACGCAGGAGGTCAGGGGCGCTACTACGTGGACACCGGTGCTTTGCTGGAACGACATATCGGCGAAAGTGCTGGCCTGGGTTTTGTGGGAAAAAATAGTCTGCTCATTCATCCGCAGCTCGGAAGTGGCTTCTTTCTTGGGGAGGTCCTAACGACGCTGCCGCTTCCGAGCAAACGGCCGGATCTCTCTGGACGCGGTGGCTGCGGACGTTGTCGAAAATGTCGGACGGCTTGTCCAACTGGAGCGATTGTCGAAGACCGAGTTGTCGATGCTCGACGATGCATCTCTTACTTGACGATTGAACTGAAAGATGCGATTCCGGAAGAATACCGCGAAGCGATCGGCTCCCTCATCTACGGCTGCGATATCTGCCAACAGGTATGTCCCTGGAATCAATTCGACTGGGAGGGATCACCTACGAGCCCGCTTTTCGGTGAGGTACCCCAGGATGTCCGCGAACCGGATCTCTTGGCGTTACTGGACCTGAACGAGGTTTCTTTTCAAGAACGATTCAGGGATTCACCGATACGGCGGATCGGCCTTGAGCGCCTCCAGCGGAACGTGCTTGTAGCGCTGGGTAATGTGGGGAATCCGCACCAGTCAAGAGCTCGTCTCGTTCGATTTCTTGAGGAGAATGAAAGCGAATTACTGCGAGAACATGCCCGTTGGGCGCTTGATCGCATTGAACGGCGAGAAAAAGCTGCTGCGCCTTTTGCAGGTTGAGGTCTTGCGCAGCCTGCCCCCGAAATCCGCCTCTGATCACGTTGGACAGGAGCGGCGGCGACGCCAGCCACTAGCACCGAAGCAACTGAAGCAGACGCAGACCAGCGAATGTTGTTTGCCCTCGATGAGTGTGACGTGAAGAGACTGCTTTTTTTTTCTGTGTGTCGCCTAGCCGGTGATGCGCATGGCGTCCGCTGCCGCTTTCGAACAAACATCGAGCGTCAGCGTGGTGGACTTGTGCGTGTTTGCTGCTCTCTGTATCAACCAGGCTGAATCGGCGTCCAGCTGCAGCACCACTTGGCACCGAAACCCAGGGCCACGACAGTCAGGGCATATGCCTCATCTTGAACTTGTTGTGCTTGGAAAGTTGAAGCAATTCTTGTGCTTTAGGAATTTACGCGGAGAACCGTGTACGCACAGACTCATACATGTGTGCAGGGCGTCGTGGACTGTGTACATACTGCGCTCCATGTATAAACTCATAGAAATGTGCATGTCTATGTGCGGATACACATCAACAAGCAATATCGTCGTGCGTACACGCGCACTATTCAAGGCAGCAACGGATGTGTGGATACGCTGTCGTATGTGCAACTGTTCAGCGAGGTTATTCGCGACCCTTTGGATATCCGTACATCCCATGCTTGTTGGAGATTCCGGTGCCTCTTCAAGTCATTCAGATCAAGTCGTGAAATCGGTGACTAACGACAATGTCATTGGATGATCAGCGTTGAAAGAAGGATTCAGCAAGCAGCCATGGGCGGCTACTCGTCTAGTCGCTGTCGCTGTCGATACGTCCCCTTTTTGTCCACGCCGCTAATCGCTCTCCGTATGCCATGCGTTTCCTCGGACATTCTCATTGGACCTGCTGCTTGCGCCTTGCGAAACATTCCATACGCAACAGCAGGGGTCACTGTGTTCGCCACGGTGATCGAGCGCTCATCCTCAGTACCATCATCGATTCCCGACCAGCTGCTGATGCGTTACGGAAAGCGCCGCCTCACGTGACGCTCGCGAGCGAGCCTACCTTCCAAGTGAAAGCGAACGTGCCACGCTGACTTCACCATCGCAGAGGGTGCACGTTTCCAAGACCTAGCTTGAATGCGCTGCCCTGGGCGCGCGATACACCGTTCTGTTGAACCTGCAGCACGAGCCTCGTCATTCGAGACACACATATGATGCTCGCGCATAGCGCTGAACCTGTATGCCCGCCAAGTACATGGCTCATGCTTTATGTTTGCGGAGCTTTGGCATGTATCGCAGACGAGTCGCTTCACGTCAGGTTGCAGTTGTGATCGCTCCTCGTATCGAGAAACTCGCCACGAAACAACCCGCGCCTCTCATCAAGCGTTTGCCTTGTGATCGTCCAAGCTCTGTGCACAGATCGCATGAAATTTTTTCAGAAAACGCTCGAAATTTTCAGTTACAACATAGACACCATCATGCCTTGATACACGAACGTACGGCGGCGGATTTGTCAGAACGTACGGAAGACTATTCTGTGGAGTGCCCAGATTAAGGATTCGATTCGGAAACGGTAGACGACGCTGTCCGCAACTCCAGAACGTTAACCATGAAAAGCATGTCCGTTGTCGACGCTGTCCCGGGGTTGCACCGTCCACGCCCGTATCCAGCTCCGTCAACGGTTCCAGGATACGCTCCATGAATTCTTCGGAATCGATGTCCAGTCGCCGTGCAAGATCGCTGACCAAGTCGAGTATGGACTCGTAGGGTTTCATGGAGCCTTCATCCTTATGATCGTTGGAACTAAAGCGACTGAGCAACATCTGATGGAGATCAGCGACGCTCACCCGCACATTATGGTGGAAACCGCGGTACAGTCCGTAAGGCAGCGCACCCGCTCTTATCACGATTTCGAGTAATTCGACGTAACGAATGTCGTGGATTTCCGCTGGTACATTGGCCAGATGCAAATGCGCTCGACTAATCCGGATTCGTCGTCCGCGATGATCAAAGCGACTCACCGGCATGCCGAACAAGGACTTGGTGAGCAGTACCACACCCGGTAACGCGTGTTCCCGCGTCAAGAGCGCAGTCGCAAAGATGGAGGTTGCTGTAAGTTCCCCGCTAGCAAAGCGATTCCGATACCGAAAACCCTCGTCACCACCGACGTGTGCCTCGAAGACGCGAAGGGCAACGGTGCTGGGTACCGAAGACGGGGTTGCGTGGTTTCGGTACGCCCCGTGCTCGCGTGGAGTGTGCAGATCATCGTTTGGAGGCATCGTGGGTAGCACGTCAATGGGATGGTACACCTGCAAATGCCGAATCGGACGACGCTCGAACGGATTCCCCAGACGCAAGTAGACTCGTCGGGGTGCGGCTGCTGGCACCATCTCTAGCGCCTGATGCCGAGACAATTCCGAGGTCACATATACATCGCACTGATAGTGGCGCAGTAGCAGATCCAAGTTCACCATGGAAAACACTTCCAGGCCAGAGAGGGTTGTTTCTGGCTCCACGAAACCCTGAGCGGTGTCGTTGCTCACGAGTACAATGGCATGCGCATGGGCAGCTTGCACCCGCGCAAGGTCCGATATGCGGAGCACTGAACCCGCCACATGTCTGAGCGGACCATACTTGGCTGCTATCTCAGCAAAGTGGGACTCATTGGAAAGCGACGGGACCAGAACGAGCACTTCAAAGTTCGCTACTTTCCAGCCGTTCGGTGCCGAGAACCCCGGCTCCTGCGATGGCGCACTCGAGTCTGCGTTGACACGAACGTAACTCACGGACGACCGCAGTGCCTTGGTAAAAAGCTCCAAAAAGACCGTGCTTAGCGTTGAGCTGCAAGTCGCGAGAATAACCGTGGCCTCTTTCGGTGCCTCGTCTTCATCAACGTCATCATCAGAGTTTCGAAGTTGATCACCTGCGTCCTGCTCGCTGCCGGGCTCCGATGACTCGGACGCAGACCTTCTCGCGAAATCTGCCAAAGGGCGGCTTTCCGCAGTGGCATCCAGACTCGTCCGCTTGACGACACCAGCAGTGGCAGCTCGGGTGTCATGAGCGCGCTCGGTCGACAGCACAGACGGAAACGCAGACGCTGACACGGCCTCTTGGCGCTTTTGCGAGTCGTTGGATACCGCCGTGTTCCTGCGGCTGCGTGCTCTGCGTTGCTGGAGACGAAGCTTCTCCGCCGATGCAGCGGTATTGAGACGGCCTCGCCCGGTACCCAGCTCCACTTCGGGCAACGCAACCTCGACCAGGCCGAAACGAGTCCACCCGCTGGAGCGTGACTGCTTGCTCAACCGCGTGTTGTTGCTCGATGTGTCAGCGTCGTCCCGATCGAGGCTTTTGCGTAGCTCCCAGAGATCATCGACGGCTCTGGTGCTGTAGAGCCAGGAGATCACAGGACGAAACTGATGCCGAGCACACAGAATAAAAAGCAACCCTCGGGTTCCTATTTTGTGCCGGGGATTGTACAGCACACGCCATGCTCCAGCCGAATCGAGTATCAGCAGCCCCGCCACCGCCACTTCAAAGCGCAGGTACAGCTCAAGTGCCAGTTCGCCGAGACGCACCCCAGCTAGCCGCTCTGGCAACGAGATTCGCCGTAACTTGTGCCGAACACCAGTCTTGTACTCAAGAATAGACAACGAGTCGCCGAAACATAACGGTCGATCGATACGGGGATCAGCTAGCATATTCCGGACAAGCGTGGACGCCCCATTACAATGCACATTGGCTGCCAACAAGTACGCTGCAAACTCCAGCTGACAGAGCGTCCGAGTTTCGTACTCCAAGAGTCCCGCCTGTACTGCATCTTCCGTATCCCGCGGATGCTCATCAGCATCTATCAGACACTGAGTCTGGATGAAGAGATCTTCCAGCTGGCGAACTGCATAAGGCGTCTGGAAGAGGATATGCAGCGGGAGTCGCGGGTAGTGCATGCGAACTGTGCGCGCACGAAGCACCAGCGCAGCATCGTCAGCGATACGGTGCGTTTCGGTATAGGAGTCACGCGGCTCAACGCCCGAAAATAACAGGCACATTTCAGCGTGACCGAGGTCCACGCGACGGCGGTCATAAGCCTCATAGACATTGCCTACGAGCAAACGAACGCGATCCGTGGCTTCAGTGTGCTGGAGCACGTGTGTTTGGGGCTCGCTCAGGTAGAGATCATCAAGGAAGATGATAAAGTACGCCAGAGCATTGCGTTGTTCCGCATAGAAGACAGAGAGTGCTGCCTCCAATTGCGGGAGAGAAGGACGACCAGTCACCACAATGTGTCGCCGGTAACCACCAGCCCGGAAGGAGCCCTTACCCTCCTGACTCATCTTGTAAATATTCACAATATTCGCAATGGCGTACGCAAAGTAGGCAACCATAATTACGATCACAATGGTGACGTAGATGCGAGCGACGACATTGGTGGCCACATAGTCACCGTAACCTACGGTCGTTACCGTCACGATCGTGAAGTATATGGAGGATGTTGGGGTGAAATGGTTCGATCCGCTCGCGTACTCGATGTCAAACATGAGCATAGCGATGCTGAAGACAATGGCAAAGAGGTGAATGCTCAGAGAGACGACATAACGCCCGACACGGCCGATGTACATGTGATCCTCGCGCAACATGTCCCGATTGTATATATAGAAAAAGGCTTGCACTGCCGTGATTGAACGAAGAAAATTGAAGTTCACAAAAGAAACGTTCCCAGCGGCGGATCGCAGAGCCGATGGTATCGATAAACTCTCTGCAATCGCACTCAGGGTGAAGACGTGATTTCGATAGTACGGACCCCGGTGCGGCAGCAGAAAGACTCGAAATGCGTAATCCACGGCGAACCATAGACCTACAGGCCAATAGTAAACACGTCCAATGTAATCACGACGAAGCTCGCCCTCAACATAGAAGATCACACAAGTAGCCAGATCGATCAGGAGTCGAATCCAGCTTAACGCCAAAGTCACACGAGAGCGTTCCATGGTCATCTCGAGGCGCTCGACGAGCAGCGAATATCGCAACGAGTCCTCAGTGACTATCGGTAGACGATCGCTTACAGGAGGAATCATTCGAGACCACCAGGGTGTCATGACTTTCATACTGAGATGCAAAGCTCGGGCTCGATTCACCCAGTTTTGAGCGTCGTTGGCGTCAGCGACACGCTCTGCGACAACACCCGAAGCGCCAACATGGCGTACTACGGGACCGTCCGGGATTGCAGTGCTTTCAACGCTTTCTAGGTCTGGTTCATGCAGCGACGCGGTCGCAACTCGTCCAGCGTCCAGCTGGGCTAACGACGAGTCTACTGGAAAGTCCGGCTTTTGCGAAGCCGCCTCCAAAACGCCACGACTCAGCTGCAGCGGGCTCGACGCGCGGTTCGTTTTGCCAGTCTCGCGCTGCAGCAGACGCTCAAGGACATCAGGTTGTTCGAACACGGCATCGGTGTCCGCTGCAGACCCGCTGAATTGCCCCTCGTCCGCGTCTTCATATGGTTTGAGCCACGCGAACACGCTCCGATCCGTCAAGGCTGGCGGTAAAAGATGCCTGTTGAGCCGCGAGCGTAACCATAGTGCCGCCAGACGCCCGCGGGCCCGACGTCTAGCCAACAGGCGGAGGCGGCGAAGCGCACGAAAAAGGAGCAGCAGAAGAAAAGGCTTGAGAGCGACTACACAGAAGATAATAGAGCCCCAAACAAGGGAAAAGAGCAAACCTTTTACGTCGCTCAACCGTACACTATCTTGATCAGAAGAAGACATTGTCCATCAAATAGCGATGTGCAGGTGTCCATGCGGTGCTGGCTTGACAACTGAGGTGCTCAGCGGTTTCTGGTGCTCGTTCCAAGTCGGAACCCAAACGGGTCAAGTGCTGGCCTGCCGCCACAGCGGGGCGTCGGCCTCGGCGCTGATCGAAGATTATCGTTTATTGGACAGAATGCTTGTATGGACTAGGGATGCTAGATTCCGCGATGGATAGTGACATCCAGGAACGCGCAGATCATTCTTGACGCTACATCCACGTTAGATTATTTATACTCGTTCTCGGAGATTCTGGTCATTTCCTGCGACAAAAAACTGCCGAGGCTGTCTTGAGCACCCGCAATAACGCCCATACAACCGGTGCGGATTCAGTACGGAGACGAAACGGCTTCGAAATACTCCCGGGAGCGTCGGCTCGAGGCACGCTTCACTAGTCACAGAATCGGGATGCATCATCATTCTGGGAGCCTGAATCCTGCGCATACGGAAGCACTGCCTGTGGAGGCGCGAAGCGATGTGCTAGGAGTCCACTGCGACCATAGCGACGCCCCTACGCAGCTTACCAGCTACGGGTCCCAGAATGAAATGCGTTTCGGACAAGCAGCCATGTATTGGCTCAGCACCCGTCAGTGCAGAAGCACACAAAGCGCTGGCCCAGAACACTCATCCGGCTCGCAGGACCTGCCTCTTAGACGTAAATGGTCGAATATACAGGGAATGTTTTCCCCTTTCATCGCTCACCATATCCATTCAAACACCAGGTTCTCGAGTTGCTAGTGCGCATTTCGTTTCTTCGAGATTGCTCATGCACACGATTCTACCCGCCGCTGCGTCTTCTCTCCGTGCATTGCCGGGCACAGCAGCAGGCACACAGCACCCCGAGTGACATATGAACTGGGCATGCACTCCGAAGGGAAGCATGTTCAGTGACTAGCTTAACTTGGAGGTCGGATGCGGCATGATGGGCGTTTTCACTTATGTCGATACCTTTCGCGTACAATAGCGCGTCGTCGGTTCCTCTGGGGGTTCCGTCGATCAAAAACACAGGCGCGATGCTGTGCGGGTAGCCGCGCGAAGCACTGCTTCCAAATAGCGTCAAGGCGAGATATCTTTTGATGATTGATCCACGAATCTGACCAGCAATCCCCGGGATATGCAACCGCTGCCTATACCCAGGGAAGCGAGCCCTCATGTGCTTCGGAGACCTCTGGGTCACGTGAATCACGCTCCAGTCTGACTGTCGAGAATGAGCGTTTCATTCACCAAACGAGCCTCCAAGCGTTGAATCCTAGTCCAGCACCGGACATAGCACCAGCAAACGCGGGCATCTCAGCACAGAACACGCGTATCGTGCCTGCAAAGAAGACTTCACTCGCAGGATTTGATGTTTTTCTCACTGCATCCATCGATGGCAAGCGCCATGGTTAAATGCCTACCCGCTAGAATCTTTCCCGAGAATAGAGGATCGTTTACCATGACCAGGGATTCCCCACTGCACGACGCTCACTGGTATCCGAGAGCGTGTCGCTTGTTCCGCACCTCACCGTCAGGGTCCATTGGCGAACCCGCTTCATCACTGTCCAGGATATGCTGGAGCATACCGAACGCAGTCAGCTGGGTACACGTGTGGGAAGCAGCCCGTCGAGAAGCGTGGCGCTGGGCGAGCTACATCTCCCGACGTGGCGGAACGGGTGCAAAGCATCCCAAAACAGCTTCCGTTCGTTGCTTGAAGCAAGTGCAGGCACCGGATACCGTTCAAAAGCGCTTTCATACGTATCACGTTCGGTTCGAAAGAGCGCTTCGTCCAAGTCGGGACTGGACGACGTTCGTGTGTTTCCGGAAGTGGAGACGCAAGTCGGCGACAATCCTTGTTTTACAGCTCCCGCAACAGTCGTAACAGCGCGATGCTCCAAGCCAAAGAGGCATCGTTCGGCTCGAGCCAGCCGGTAGCTATCATAACGGGTGCATCCCGGGGGATAGGTCGGGCTATCGCCTTGACCCTTGCCGAGAGGGACCGCATGGTTCTCGTACTCGCGGCTAAGAGCCGGGTGTCTCGTGCAAACCTGCCTGGAACTGTGCAGAGCGTCGCTGACGAGTGCCTGGCTCGTGGTGCTGCTGCGGTTCTCCCGTTCCCGCTTGACGTCCGTGACGACCAAGGGATCGAGCGAATGGTGCACGAGACGCTACAGCGATTCGGTCGAATCGACGTGCTGGTGTGCAACGCTGGTGCTTTATGGTGGAAACCGGTGGCCGAGACGCCCCTCGAGCGCTTCGATCTCGTCCATGGTGTCAACGCCCGAGGCTCGTTTGCCTGTGCCCGCGCAGTTCTGCCCGCTATGGTGCGTCAAAAGACCGGCCTCATTATAACGATGTCGCCGCCGGTAGAGCTTGACGCGCTTCCCGGAATGACCGGGTATTTGATAAGCAAGTTCGGAATGACCATGCTGGTTCACGGGCTTGGTGGCGAGCTTGCCGGCACTGGCGTCACCTCGGTGGCTCTTTGGCCAGCTACGATGGTAGAGTCTTTCGCGACGAAGAACTTCCAGCTCGGAGATCGCTCGCAATGGCGAAAAGCCAGCATTATCGCTGATTGCGTCCACATGCTTCTCCATGACCCTGAGCGCAACGCATTGAGCGGTCGTGCGCTCATCGACGAAGACTACATGCGCTCTCGCGGTATCCGAGACTTTTCCCAGTACCGCTGCGATCCAGATGTGGAGCCAGAGCGAGCCTGGCCTCCACGCAAACCGTGGGCATCAACCGCGAAGGACCCCAGAGCGCTACCACCTGGTGTCTCGCTAGCACCGTCCAAATTATGAGGTTTGCTGAAGCATGCACTGGAATGCGCAAGCTAGCATCTCGAACGTAGTGCACAGGTCGAGATCGCTGGGTCAGGTATCAAAGCCTCGTGCGCCTTCACATCGAAACATGTGCAGTGATCGCGCTGGAGCATCGCGCCTGGCAACTGGTATAGCAGGTGTTTATCTACAAAGCGCTGCGCTCTTTTCAATGCGCTCACCCGGATACCTCCAGATACGAACGACAAACGGGGATAATCGAACCTTGATTCGGTTGCAGAGCGCGGCAATCGTCACCAGCAGCCTTTGAAAGCGCCTGAGCTCTCCTCAGTACCGAGTTCCGCTGTGTATCCTTCGCTCAGGTGTCCATAGTCCAGATGACTGCGTTCTCCATTTTCGAGATACGGAGCTGATAAACGTGCTAATGGATATGCACTCGGCAAGCTAAACGCCAGCTCTGTAACGGAGATGTAGAAGAACAGGATTCAAGAGTCGCGAGGCATCCGTCAGCGAGGACTGGTTCACAGCCACCGACAATCTCTATAGGCAACGCAGCGTCGGACGGCCTGCTTGCTTCATGGTGCGAGCATGCTCATAAACACTCTATGACATGTTGTACTCGTTTGCATTCGTTGCCGATGCTTTCGATACATACAAAACCACAGGTGGCAGTGGAGAGGCAACCATGACGCGCCTCCACTGGAAGCCTCTGAGCTGATGCCCACTCCATACAGCATGGAAACAGGCGACGAGGTACCCGCAACCTCCAGCGCATTATCGAACGCTGGACCCGAAACGCTTCCCGCTTCATCATCACCTTTGAAGGCTCAACGTCAGCGCCAACCACAGCAGTGCAGCAGAGGCGAGCGTCCGTCCTTCGCTAACTAGCTCATACAGCAGTCGCATGATCGGAGATGTTGCTGCTGTAGCGCTCCATGCTTCATTCCCTCCTGGGTGCAATCACTCTTGTGTGCACGTAAGATGCCTCCGCATCGAAACAAAAGCCGTTTTCGCTGGCTTAACTCATCGTTTCGATACTGAATGCGCTCGAAGCATACCCCAAGGCGCAGTGAACGGAACACGCGCTAGTCTCTTCGCACATACAGATCCACCTCGAAACGCACAGCACCAGAGCAAACCGGGAACCTACGTGTCCGTACGCGTGTCACAAAACTCCCCTTCTCAAGCCGCATACAAGCGACATCGGGAATCAGCCAGATCTCTTGACCCAGACGTCTGGGTTGCGGGGTAACCAGCACCTCAACGTCCGCACTTGCTGACAGCTCTGTGGCTATCCGAAACCCCGCGTTCCCCGGGAGACGCCAGCACTCGACTTTTGGTGTATGCGGGCTTGCTTCGGTTCCTTCCGAGCGTCTGCTTTCGAGTTTTGTGTTTACAACCGACCCAGAGACGACTCCTGTTTCGGGAAAGCGTCGTCTTAGGGTGTCGCGCTCTTCGCGACGCTTCACAGCCTGACGGTGACGACGCCCCCGAGTGTGTACGAGGTAGTTCGCCTCGCTGGGGTGGACGGTGCGGCAGAGCTTGCACTCGACGGCACCCAGCCGGTTTTTGAGTGCGTAGGCGTCCATTCCGGGCCCAGCCTCAAGGCTGTCAGGTGCCTATGGCAGGCCGCTCCGACGCTGAGGAGCAACACGTGCCCAGCGGTGGCACGCCAGCAGACTTCCAGTGGCCAAACTTGCGTATCCCGGGCTTCCGCCTGCTATCACCAAAAGAATCCAGCGTCACGCAAGACTTTAGTCGGAACACGCCCTGGGAGGACCTCGTGTACGCTTTAGAAGAAGCCGCAAAGGCCTTGGTTACGCAGGTGGCAACTCGTGGTACCGTACCCGGAGCCGTACGACAGTCGTTGACGGTCGCACTGCCACCAGCACTGGACCGGACACCCTGGACACCTTGGACGACCTGCAGGGAAGACGCATCGACAAGCACTCGTGTGTCTGCAGAGCTCTACCTCGTATGCGATGAAACCTGGCAGGTGGCGCAACCTCTGGGGCTCGTGAGACTCTTTGGCGTTCCTGCGTACTGGCTACTCCGTTTGACGCCAGCACTATCGTCATATCGTGACTGGGTTCAAGCTGCAGTTGGCGCACTTTTCTTCGTTGCCACGACCTGTCTACAGACCGATCAAGACCAGCCTGGTGAAAGCGCGTGCGTTCTATGGCAGTCTCGCGGAGCGGGGCGCCAGTGTATGACACCCGACTGTACCTCAGACGTCGAGACTGGTCCCAGGAGGAAGTGCACGACGCTCAACAAGCGAAACGGAAGCACACACTCTGTAGAGTCGACTGAGCCCCAGGACCGTAAGCACTGCACCAGCGTCTCGATGACAATGATGCCCACGACAGTTTTCGTTGAAACAAGCGCTACGATGACGGAAGCTGCAACCGAGTACCGCGGACTAGGTATTGGTGATGGGTTTGCATTGCGGCATTACGAAATGCGCGTGCTATCTACACCTCCTGCGAATATCGAGGATCTGGAATCCTTGTTGGCATTCTTTCGCCAGCATATCGTAACATCTTCGCTCTCGCCAGGCGCCACGGAGACGAACAGGAGCATCACACAAGAGCGGCTTGAGATTGCCCTGACCTATGAGGTGGTGCTGGAACCCGAAGCGGTCGAGTCCGAGGGCTTAGTCACATCGCCTCTTGTAGATGCGGATGCCCTGCGGCTTGCGTTGATGCTGCGATGGCCACTGAGGTCGCTCGCTGCCTACGAAAGCATGGATCTGCTGGATGCACCAGAGTGGATCCTCTGGTTACCGAGCGAAAGCCTGGACGCCGAACCCATGTCCAGCATGCCACGGAAAGTACTGTCGGTGCCGCACTGGACACAGATGCGACTGTTGAGACAACTCGTCAGACGACTTGTGCAACTGATTCGCAACCTCCGCTCCGTATCGATCAGTGATACTGAGCAGTACCTGGATCTAGAGCAGCCCAGCAGGATGTTCACGTCAAGGCACCTGATTTGTCCGCTCTTGGAAGCGTTGAGAGCGTGCGTCGACGACGCCTTGATTGCAAATTCATGGCCAAAAGGGCTGCACAGCGAGAACGACGGGACGGTTGCGGCAGAACTTCGTGTGACACTAGAGAGCTTGAATAGACTGGCGAGTGCGAATCTGCAGAAATCAACACCGGAGGCGACACCTCTTGACGCCGCAGCGGCTAGCGTAGAATCTCAACGGGTTCCAGTGGAAAGCACATGCCCAGCTGCCAGGAATCGAGGAGCCGTCGCATCTGAAAAGAGCGCTGGAGCACAGGCTCCCTCTGCTACGCCTGTTTATGCGCTGAACGCTGGAATTCGCGGAGAGGCCGGTGCGGTAGCTCTTGAGCAAACGGCAGTAGCGTTTGCGTCCGATGCATTCGGATCGCAGGCATACACAGTACGGGTGCCGGGACGCGCTTTGGGCTCCGTCAGCCCTGGGCAAGGGGTTGCTTCAGCTTCGCTCCCGTCACCTGAGCCAGCGCCTGTACCCAGTAGACCGGGCCACCTGCAGACGGCCGGCACACGAAAGCAACTGCATGGTGCGGCAAGCGAGCATGCTGTAAAGTCGGATCCTGAGGCGCTAGGCCAGGCTGAAGTGGATTCTGATGCGCAAATGCCGGTTGCCGCGGATGACACCTCGACGGAAGGCATCTTTTCTGTTGAAAACGATCCACATCGGTGCGCATCCCTATACGACGCAAATCCAGGGGCCAACGGGACACCCACGGGCAACGCGACTGCCAAAGCTGAGGCATCTTTCTTTCCGGATGACTCGGAACCAAGTCGACAGCAATGGCAGAGACTGCTCGAGTTCGGGGCAATGCAGTGTGTGAGAGCGCTCTGGCAAGCGATCTGCTGCCAGTCTAGCATCGAACGCCAGTATGTAACGGGCTTTCGTCGCTGTTTCGAGTCCACAG